GTTGTTTCATTTCAATAAATTTTTTATTTTTGTTTCACTTATATGTGTTGTGAATAGAAGTTGCGTTTTCATTCTCGGACATTCAATTACAGAATGAGAAAAGTACTCGGGGAGTTTCTTTTGATGAATTTTAAATTTAACGATTTTTTTTTTATAGCGATGAAAAGTGTAATGCTGATAACAAAAATACAACGATTTACCAAGTCATGTTTTCTATTGGACTGGTGTTTACCATTTTATCTACATTGATAAGCTTCTATTTGGATAGAATTAGCCCCAGAATACTAGTCCGTGAGTTTTTATCGCTTTAATTCTTCCAGAATATTTGCTCAGCAAAAAAAAATTTAATTTATTTTTTTCCCAGCAATTTGGCTAATAATCTCAGCTGCTTGTTCGGTCGCATTGAACTTTATTACGGAATTTTACACCATTGTCGCAACGTTTATTACCTTCCAGAGTTGCAGCATATGCGCAACGATAACAAGTGCCATCTCTGTGGGTTTATTCCCAACAAATGTTAGGTAAACGATTGAACGTAATAGACTGTTTGCGATAATTGCAGTTTTCAAACATGCTTACATTAAATACAGGGCAATGGCAACATGTTTCATCTACGCATTCGGTCGAATCGGCGGATTGGTGGGAACAAATTTGGTCGGAGTCCTAGTTGAACACAATTGCAATCTCATTTTTAATGTTTTCGGTGGTTTGACATTGAGTATGCGTCATTTTGTCAAATTGTTTTGTCAACTTAAGTTAATTTAATGCTTATAACGTATTTGTAGGCTGTGCGTTTGTCTTTCTACTCATAAAAACCGAGATTCCAGAACCAATACAAAATGACCAAAGAAGCGAATGCTCTGCATAACAATGATTTATTTCGATTTTATCGATATAATTCTATTTCTAAGTATGAACCAATCAAGTGGATTCTTTCTAAATTTCCTTTATTTGTCCTTAAATTTGAAATTAAAACGTTAACACATTGAAACATTCTGGGAGCAAATTTATTTCATTCCTCATGGATTAAATGACTGCCTATCCCGAAAAAAATGTTATAACACATTATAATTAAAAAGGGCGTTAGGCTCGTGTGATTAGAATTTAAAGAAAGGAAACAATAGCATATGGATGTAATGGTAGAATGTGAACGATTAGATGGTATTATATGAGTGAACGATGTGCGAATCGAAAAGTTAGATGTCTAGAAAAAGGCTATTTGAATTCGAATGGAATCGTGTCGTAACAAGTGAATACACCCATTGGAACAATAATGACTTGTAGATTTAATAAATTGCGATCTTTGCCAATGAGATGTGGACTCAGTTTGATTGTGCTCAGCTCCAGTTCATCGTATGGGAGTAAATTGTCGATATTCAGTGTTGGATTTGTTTTCGAAAAATATGACGTGCAAACGTTTACAGTGCGAACATGCTTAATGTCATTCTGAACGCCGGCAATTAGGACACCAATCTGAAAGGAAAACACATGAACGGATTATTCTGAAATTATTGTTCAATTCAAAATTGAGTTGATTTCATTTTTTGTCAACCTACCATGAATCTTTGATCCACTTCCAAACTCGATTTGCAGGTAACACTTAAACGAACAGTCCGCAACAGTACTTCAGGTATTTCCAGAGATCCGGGTAAATTGTAAACATTAATTATCTGAGCTTTGCCATACCGAATACCACGCGGATAAAAGTCAATGTCCCACTGATAGAAATCAATGTCTGTGGAAAGCGAATTAAAAAAGTTGTAGAAAAAATGTTTGCATCTCAATTTATAAAATTGGTAAAAAATAGAATGAAATGCGTCATTTACCATCTTGATCTGGATTCTCCTGTTCAGCCAGGCTTCGTAAAGAGAAAAAGCAGCCGCCAAATTTTTGATAATTTTCGACATTTTCAAAGTCAGGAACATCTATGTTCATGGAATACGTATCTGATGTGTACAGTCTTGGCGTGAATTGTAGCGCACCTTCAATGCTGCGCTGCACCTTTTCAATGCATTCCGTTTGGCCAGCGTGATAGGTCATGCCGATCGAAATGCGTTCGACAAAAAAGTCAGCATCTTGTTTGATGGTCTGTTTCAATAATAAATTGGCAAGATCGCGAGGACTCATCATCGGATATCGAATGTGAATGAAAATTGATCGAAGTATATCACGAAGATTTTGTGCCTTTTGTTCATCGGTAATGCTGCTTGTCGTCTGTTCATGGTCCAGTTGTCGTTTTTTCATGTTGAACCAATTTTCGGCGTATGTAAATAATTCATATTCATTTTTTAGCACTAAATCGTTCTGCTGTAGCAATGCAATCAATATGTTTATATCTAAATCGACAAAATCACGAGCCTCGGCAATTATGTCCAGATTCCATTTGAGAAATTGTTGAATGGCGTCGGTGATTTCTTGATGATATGGGCTAAATGAAATTGTATAGTGCAACCAAGACACCAATACACCTTGGGTGGCCGCTTTTGAGATGTGCTTCATCATGTAATCCACACACAATTGCACTAGATCCTGCGTGTAAATTGAACATTTTCATATGAAAAATTCGATTCCAACCAATTTTCACTTTGAAATAAAAAATTTTTTCTTACCTTTATGTTATATTTATCGGCCAATGCAAGCATCGGCATGACTGCTGTGAGTGAAATTCGTATCTGGCCTACGTACAGATACTTTAAGAATTGTGGAAAAACCTCAACGCAACACGGCTCTTCCTTCAATTCGATCACACTTTCACGGCATTCATTCCATTCGGGATTCATGAGCATCACCTGAAACACTTCGCTGCTGGCACACAAAATCACACGGTGTGCTGGATACTTGTTTTCACCGACAACTAAGCATATATCAGACATCAGTTGCTCTGCATACATGTTGGCAATTTTATGCAAAACACTAGTCGCATTATTCATCTGAAAACAATGGATTTTTTTTAGCATTTGAAGCGTAATTAGAATTATTATCTGAAAGTTTTTTTTTATACATTTATTGGTATTATTGTGTATTTGGTTTACCTCGATGATATTTGAATCCTGATTTGACTGTTCACCATCCATTTTTCCACAATTGGATCCCACAAAAAAAAATCCTTAGTGCTTGAAAAGAGAGCGATTGAAGTATGAAGTTGGATGTTCTAATGCGATGCTATACACAAATGTTTTATTTTTGGTTGAAATGTTATCAGTCTATCCTATCACATTCCTATCGTTTGCAAACGGAACGTTGAAGGCAATAAAACATTTTCAATGATTTAGTTTTATTTGCTCATTATTGAATTTGAGACAACAAAATGAATCGAAACCAATGAAAACAATGGTCACTTTATCACACAGCAAGTGACTTTAATCGAACAAACGCAAAAGAAATACACATAACATTTATGACATATGTCAAAGCACTTGTGCTCTCACTCTCCACAAATTCTGTGTAGACGTCAAAAACATGTAAACGTATATTTTCAGTGTGATTCAATTTGAAAAGCGAGTCCAACATTACAAAAAAAAAATAACAAAAGAAATTATTAAATAATAAAAATGAAAAAAAAAAAAACGAAATTCACATAAAATCAAAGAGATCAATTGTATTTTATGCGAGTGAATCGATTGTAAACAATCTTTCAAGGTCAGTGCGAATTGCAGTGAAGTTGGTTCACAGACACACACAGAGCCATGGTATATCCCGCATATAATTACTGTATTTAGATTAGGAAACGAACTAACAAACGAACAACCAACCAACCAACACTACAAAAAAAGGTCGCATAGTCGTATTGTGTGTCGACTTGACTCGACTCGAGGGTGTGAATTGTATAAATTCAGACAACTTAATCAGTGCTTGCATTGGATATACAGCGTACATACGCACAATAACCATTTCATTGAAACGCACCAAAAAAAAAAGAAGAAGAAAAAAAAAGAAACCGAATTACAAGAACATAGACTAAAAGAAGAACACAACAAAATCCATCATTAATACAATTTGTGTGAATTGTTTTGCATTACGATTGACTGCATTTATGAGAAAAATTATGTAATACATATCGAATTGGATGCATTTGTGAATTGAAATTATAAATCGGAGCAATCGGTAATCGATATTCCAGAGATTTGTTGTAAACGATTTGAGAAAAATACGAAAATTATTGTGAATATTGAATACATGCCCCAGCCGTCTAATGTACGTATTTAGTGTGTGGCAAATGATTTGTGCATGCGTTTGTTAGTGTTTGTGACTTGTGCACATATCGTTCTTTTACTTTCTCAAGTGTACAAATTAAGCGACAATGCGCCATATTAGATGCTCGATTAAGAAAATTATTGCGCTGTCTCGATGCTAAAGAATTTCTATTTAATTGACAACAAAACGAGATACGGGTGCTGATACCGAAAATTGTTGTTTTTTTTCGGCTTCAATTCACAGCGTATATTGATTGCTGACACAAGCAGCAACAACAACATCGACAACAACAACAACAACAAAAAACCGATTCATACACAAATCTGGTATAGCACAACGCCCGTGAGGTGCAGTTAATGTATATGAGTGACGTATTTTCCCTCATAAATTCTGCATTTCTCGCCATTCGTTGAAAGTCTATTTTGAGTGTATACAAGGTGAAAAGCAGCTGAGAGAGAAAGAGAAAGACAGAGATAGTTATATATATAGAGAGATAGAGAGAGAAAAGAAAACATAAGTATCGATTGCTCACAGTAACATTTTGCTTTAAGATAAATCTCAGCGAATGTAATCAGTTATTTACATTGAAGATAAACAACACTCCATTGAGTCATAAGAGAATTATTGTCTTAGTCAACATAATAAATATACGAATAATGTTATGGTAATCAAATGAGAAAGAGAGCATTGAAATCAAAGCAATAAAGCCCTAGTTATTTGTAAATGAATCGAAAGATTAGTGAGAGAGTAAAATCACAAATTATACGGCTCAAAGGAAGAATGCAACCAAATGTCTAAACTATTTTAAGACGAATTATATTTTTAGATACGTAAGTTAACCGTGCAAAAAAAAAAACACAGAACAAAACAAAAGAACAACAAGAAGGGAACGAATAAAAAAAACGGAACAGCAAATATTGTAAAATAATCGATATGAAGTTTTTGGACGTCATTGCATAAGTCTGTTGGATAAACTGCAAAGTCAATTAGAGCGAGAGAGAGAGAGAAAGATAGAGAACCAATCAAAATGGCAATACACACGTTTGACGCACATGATCGGAATAGCTGGTATTTTGGTGCAATGTCACGGCAGGACGCAAATGAGCTGTTGATACAAGAGCGTGATAATGGCGTGTTCTTAGTGCGCGACAGTAATACAATAACTGGAGATTATGTTCTATGTGTCAAAGAGAATACTAAAGTGAGTCACTATATCATCAACAAAATACAACAGCACACGCCATCACTGCAAACCGTTTATCGCATCGGCGATCATTCGTTTGCCGATTTGCCAGAGCTGTTAGATTTTTATAAAATCCACTACTTGGATACGACCGTATTGATACGTCCAGTGCAACGTAAAGTTGAAAAAGTGATGGCCAAATTCGATTTCGATGGTACCGACGGCGAAGATCTTCCCTTTAAAAAGGGTGAAATTTTGTATATTGTAAGCAAAGATGAAGAGCAATGGTGGACGGCACGAAATGCGCTCGGCCATACTGGCCAAATTCCGGTGCCGTATGTGCAAAAATGCGACGACATCAGTAGTAGTAGTCAAGTGAACAACTGCAGCAATACATTGGAACGTTCAATGAATAACGGTGCTGGTAATATAATGAACAACACTGGAAAATCTAGTCCTCATCAGTCTGATAACACATTAAAAAAATCAAATTTGAATCGTAAGCTACCAGCGTTGGCGCGGGTGAAACAGGCACGCGTACCAAATGCATACGATAAAACTGCGCTGAAGCTCGAAGTTGGTGATGTCATCACCGTGACTAAAACAAATATTAATGGCCAATGGGAGGGTGAATTGCGTGGCAAAACCGGCCATTTCCCATTCACGCACGTCGAATTCATCGACCAAGACCATCACCATCATCATCATCATCACAATGCCACCGATGAATGGAATACAACCGAATAGGACCAAAGTACAGAGATAAAACAAAAACAAAAATAAAGAAAAAAACAAATGATATTCTTTCATCGTAATTATATTTACTCCTAATTTAACTAAGCTATTTGAAAAACTTTAAAGAATTGATTAACAAGAAATTATATAAAATGATAAAAGTGAAAACAGAAACAAACAAAAACACAAAGTAAAAGTTGTACTATGCATTTACTTGCGCAACAACCAGAGCCCTAAGTTAGCGGGAAGATACTATTTTTTTTGCGCAGCTAAATGAACTTGTAGAAATGAACCCGCACCTAGGGTGTGTTACATGTTAAGAATTGTATATTTATGATCATGAACCATGATTTGGAGTAACAAAGAAAAAACTCAAAACACTTCATCTTGTAAAGTCAAAGCCTAAATAAAACATTTGTGTGGATCTCTTCGCCATGCGCCGTTCTACAAAATAAAATAAAAACTCTTGTCATTCTTTTTTTTCTCCTGATTTGGTTTTTATTGTTATTTTTTTTTTTTTAAATAATATTTCGATTCATTTAGGTATTTTAGGTACTGTTACAGAAAAAAAAGGGTTTAATTGCATCGGGATTTGGAGTATGTTGCCATAAATTACAACTAAATATCAAATAAACAAAGTTCGCTGTACATAAAATGTGCAAGATCTATACAAATCTATTCAATCTAATGTATGGCTACAATTGATACAATTAAAAAATTAGCTTAATGGGATTTTTTTTTCTCGTCATATTAAAATTGGCTTGAACACAACTTAAAGTTCATCATGGGATTGTGCGTGCTTGCTGACAAATTCGAAGAGATCATCCAGCATACGGTTACCGTTGTATTCTTCGACTTTTTCACCATTTTTGTACAGGAAAATTGTTGGGAATCCATCAACACCTTGTTCATTGCACAAATCCTTGCTTTCCTCCAAAGTACAATCGACTTTGGCCACCTTGGCAACTGTGCTACCGGCAAACTTAACAGCCAATTCGTCCCAGGTTGGTGCCATACGCTATTGGATTAAAGGTAAAACTGTATTCAATTGAAATAATGATATATTATTTTTATAACTTACTTTGCAATGACCACACCAAGGTGCAAAGAACTTAACGATTGTAACGCCCTTTTCGACACCATGATTGAAGCTACCACCAGTCAATTGAAGAACAGCAATCTCCTCAACTTTAGCGTCGTGTTCGTCAGAGTCTTTTTTCTCAGTGGCAGTCTTTGCTTCAATGAATGCTTTGAAGTCTTGAACGGCACGCGATCCGCTGTACTTTTCAACCTTTTTACCATCGACAATCCACAACAACGTTGGATAGCCTTTCACCTCAAAGTCTTGGCAAATTGAACGATATTGAGTGCAGTCGATTCTTGAAATTGACACAGATGGATCGTACTCCAATGAGTTAGCCAATTCATTCCAGATTGGCTCAAGACGCTACAGAATTACAAATAATAATGAACATTTAATCAGATTTTTGGATATAAAACTTTGTAATAAATCATTTTCTCAATACATACTTGGCAATGACCGCACCATGGTGCATAAAACTTAACAAAGTGATTTCCGACGGCAACATGATCGGCAAACGTCTCATCAGTCAAATCGTTTAATGCATCCAATTTTTCGGGAACTTCCAATAAATTCTCCTGTTATTGTAATGGAACAACATTATTTTTCAAGTTTAATTTCATACATTGTTTTAATGTGGATTATTAAATTAGTTTCTCTTGAATTCTAAAATAGCATTCAAATGCGTCATTTTTTTGATTACAACCAAAAAAAATTCTTACCAAAATTGAATCACCCAAATTTTTAATCAAGAAACGCGATAGACCTTCTTCGGACTTGACACCGCTGAATTGAATTCGTTCTTTGCCCTCTGGATAGAAAAATACGGCCAAACCTAAATGTTTCGTATGAAACCAAACGAAACACATGAATATGCAATTATGCATTTATGCAATTTGTAAACACAGTCCAAAGTTCATTGTGTTTTTTTTCTCTCACCTTTTACGCCATTTGAATCACAAAATTCTGAATCAGCGTTGCAATCAACGTAAGCAAGTTTCACATCATCACGATTGTTGATATTTTCAGCTAATTTATCGAATTTGGTGAACAAGCGCTTGCCCAACTCACAGCTGCAGAAGAGAAAAAAAACGAAAGTTTTTTTTTTAAAAGCCAAATTGATAAGAGTTTTGATAACAACTCAAATGAATTTCCGCCCACTTTCACGCGGACAATTATGAAACGATTAACAAAATTCATGCATTTTGATGTGAATAATCAGGGAATTTCGGGAAGTCTTGGGATTATTTCAAGGAAATATTCATAGTGTTCATATCAAACGAATTAAAGTTCAACAAATTTGATGTGCGCTCGTAAATCATATGATATCAAAACTGTCTCAATTAAGTCAGACGATAACGTCGAATACAGATCATGTAAATGGAATAAACCTTGTTGAAGAGCCTCAACAATAGTGAGGTTTAGCTTTTAATAAATGTAGATTTTTTCCGATTCAAAACTTACCTTTGTGAATAGAAAATGACCAAATAGTTTTTTCCTTTGATTTCCGATTCAAAATTGTCTCGGTTCAATTCGATGCTTGAGATGGCTTCGGCACAAACGCATAGCGCGATTGATGATAAAACTAAAAAAATGTTTAGTGACGACTTCATAGCGAAAGTCTTGAATTAGGATTCAATTTCAAAAATATTGACGACACAACGAATCGACGTTTCTTTCTTCTGTTTAGCCGGTACCAAAACGTTGCACTTATTTTATATTTTTGGCTGTATTAAAGATGACTTGACGTGTTTTGCGGCTATTCGAGTTCTTATGCCAACGCAGTATTGATTTGCATACATTGAAAACTGGTCCTTTTCATTTATAGAGTGTTATACAGTTTTAAACGTCAAACACGATTCAAGTGCTGCCATCACACCAAAATATATGTGTCGTTGTTATCTGAATGGGTGGCTTTCATCTAAATGAAATGATAACCGACTATGGGAATATATATATGAAAAAATTGAAATGAAATCAATTTCACTACGGTTTAATTCTTATTTTTTAGCAAGTTAATCATAATTGAAATTGCGTTATCTGCTACGTGCATCAGAACGTGTTAGCCGGTTTTTATGACAATGACATTCGAACAATCGAAATGTCTTTGTGAATTGTTATATCACATGTGTTGTTGACAGTTCACGACTGTCAAATTTCACAATAACGGAGCAAATGTTTTTATATTTTGTGTGATTTAATCAATTCGTAATATAGTTTTCTAATCGTACCGTCTTCAGAAGCGGATGATTTAACGCATCGTGTAGTATATTAGAAAAGAAAACTAGCCAAAAATTGGTGTAATAATTTGGTATGTGAGAAATTGATTGTGCTAATTGTTTGACGAAAAAGAATACATACTTCAGATGATCATGTGAAAAAAAAGTGTGATATTCAAATATGTTGATAACTTCATAACGATAGAAGCCATGTTTGAAATAATAATTTTATTTTTAACATTTATTTTCAGTCATTGGATTCCTGAGAACGCAGGTATATTGACAGTGCAGCAAAATGTTGTATACGTTCAAGGATACCCTTGGTCGTGAGTATTCGGTCGATATGGACGATAAGCGATTCCGGATAAAACCTTATCAGCAAATGCTTTCATCATGTACCGGTGCACTATTGACCTCGATTTTAAGTGAGCAAACAGCAAATCATGCACTCAAACAATCAACCGATTGGGAAAAACAAAACATTTATACATAACCTTTCTCTCAAACAGTGACTCCCCTTGATGTTGTGAAAACACGACTTCAAACCCAACAAAAGCGGATGGCATCCAATAGATGCTACGTATACTGCAACGGATTAATGGATCATCTATGCCCTTGTCCGAATGGAACATTGAAATCGTTAAAGACACAATCAACACACTACAACGGCATGATTGTACGTAGGCAAGGGTTTTTTTTCCAAAAAAGAACTTGAAGAATTGATGAAAATAATTGCTGGAAAATAAATTCAAACTTTTATTTCTCTTGAAATTAGGATGCATTCTACAAAATTAGTAGATATGAAGGCGCACGATCGTTGTGGTCTGGCTTGAGCCCGACCTTGGTATTAGCTCTTCCGGCAACGATTTGCTACTTTGTATCATACGAAGGCACGCGGATTTACATGAAAGATTTTTACCTTAAATTAAACCCTGGTATGTCGATTCATTCACACGAACTTGTAATGAAACGCAATTAAATCACGAAAATTCTCATTAATTTCAGGTCAAACCGAACAACCATTTTCCATACCGTTATTGGCCGGAATGGCAGCACGTGTGTTCTCGGTGTCTGTAGTTAGTCCATTAGAGCTGATTCGAACGAAAATGCAATCGCAGAAGCTCAGCTATTATGGTAACTTACATACCTTTACTCTATCAGCATCTTTGTGCAATTTTAATTATTAAATGTTCGTTTTGCAGAGGTTGGAAAAGCCCTTAAAGCAACAATCCAAACAGAGGGTATATTTGGGCTTTGGCGAGGATTGGGACCGACTGTTTTCCGCGATGTTCCATTCTCTGGCGTTTACTGGGCGATCTATGAGTCACTCAAAGTCCATCATGATGTTACAGTGCCGACATTTGGGTTCAGCTTCTTTGGTGGTGCTATTTCCGGCAGTGTAAGAATTTTTCATTCATTTGTAGCGTATCTCACTCTAAAGATAACTATAATCGAGACTTCATTTTGCTCGTTTCCATAGATTGCAGCATTTTTGACGGCACCATTTGACGTTGTTAAAACTCACAAACAAATCGAATTCGGCGAAAAAGTGCTATATGCCGAACATCCGGTCAAGTCACTGCCGAAGGTGGGAACCATAGCAATTTTACGACGAATATTCGAACAACACGGTGTAAAAGGGATATTCGCTGGCGTTATTCCTCGTGTTGTGAAAGTCGCACCAGCCTGTGCCATCATGATCACTTCGTTCGAATATGGAAAGGCATTCTTCTTCCGCCACAATGTGGATATTTACATTGAAAAGAATGGAAGTGTCAGTTGAACCAAACCAAATCCCTTAGACGAGTAACGAAAACAATTGCGCACAAGACAAAGTGGCAGCAATTATACAGCAAGATTGAATGATTTGGTATGAATGCGAAACGGTGTTGAGTGACTGAAAGAGAGGAAAATCTAGACATATTTGTACAAAAATCAATTTGTTTTAAGAATAAAAGAGAAGAAAACGTATTGAAATCACATTAAATAGTAAAATTTTATTTTCATTTCCTTGATTGCTCTCGACATTTCATTCTCCAATTGAAATTCGCCTTCTTTCATTTATTCAGACTAAAAACATCAACATTTATGATTGTTATTCTCCTAACAAAAGCACCAGTTGCTTTGGAACTTGCACACACACATGATTTTTGTTGTTGTGTTTAAATTGCAATATTTTGTATTGTCAAAAATATGTTCTTCTTTATTCATTTTTATACATGATAATTTTGTCTTTTTTTTTTGCTAGGTAACAAGTAATGTGTCTCTTTTTGTTGTTGTGATTGATACGTATTTTCTGTTCATATTTTTAGGCGCAGTGTGCGCGCACACACACACACACCAATCAAAATTGAAACATATTAAACGATTAAACAATGTATTTTATTTTTCACTTATCATTTATTCATATTAAGTCTTTGTTGTTAAATCGTTGAAAAGGCCAAAAATTAAGATGTTAAACCAATTGAAATCGTTTTGTACAACGAAAAAAGCATTCATAATTCGAAGATCAATCGTTGCGGCACTTAATGCACACATCACAGTACAATTTTGGGGGAAATGCATCTCATCTTTGGCATTAATGTGAATGTTTCAATTAAAATGTTCTGCAACGTGGATAATTTTACAAAAAAAAAAAGATTTGAATTCCAAATCATTCTTTCTGTATTAGAATGGCCAACTTGCGATTTCACTTAACTTTTGATTAATTTTCATTGTTAATTCTTCGTGTTTTTATTGTTGTTGCTGTTATTTATTATTGTCGGTAATAGAACAATTTTACAATTGAATTTGTTTCAAGCAAAATTCTGGACATCAACATAAAGATATGAGAAAATACATCGAAATAATTCCATTTTGTGGGTACAATTCTTTTTCAATAATAATGAATTGTCAACATTTAAAAGCGAAGCACAATTTTTCTTTCGATAAAATTTAAAAAAAAATGAAATCAATAAAAATTTCGTAAAATATGGTAAGGAATATAATCTTGTGTCTTTTTTTTATTTAAGGTATAAATTAAATCAACACTACAGCGCTAAAAAATAAAAAAATGTGTATGAACATTATTCATATTCAATCCCTATCTTTGAGTCTCTCACTTTCTATAATACATCAGACGCTACATCGATTTCGTGTCTCGAAACTTGAAACCACTCTCCGTTTTTGGTTTTATTTTTTTTTCCATTTTTTTCAATGATCAATGTAAAATCGTTCAATTTTTGTTGTTGGTCAGCGTGAACAGCTTTCAGTGAAAGCCTGATCCATTTTGATCAATGAAATAAACGAATTAGTTTAAAGTATAGAAAAAAAACCTAAAATTTAATTGCATAAAACGCAGCCATCGCTCAGAAACGAAATTTGCAACCCGAAAAAATGGATTTCCAAATATTAAACAAGTTGGGCCAATTCTAACTCAAAATCACTGGATGCCTGCAAAACAACGCAGTATAGCACACTTAATACAAAAATTAAAGAACGATAAAAAACATTGTTGACGCTTTTATTCTCCCCACGTTGGTACTGTTGTTCTCAAATCAAGTTGATCGATTCCATCGTATGGCATTCCAATGGAAATCATAAAGGCGAATGCAACCGCCAACAAGCACGAACCGAACAGATCACCAAGAGCTGTCAAGAATGGTATAGCCGAATTATCTGGATCCACTTTGTACTTCCACATCACGTGGATCATTATATGCGCGATATAAAGCAATGTGCAGATCTAAAAATGATAACAAAGAAAATAGAAAGGAATGAATAAAAAAAAACGTGTTTGCCGATTTGACGATAAACAATTCATAAATATCTAGTGAATGAATTCACGTTCCATTCGATGATCGTAATTGAAAAAATTATAACAAGGGCTACTACATATTATCAAAGCCTACTATATAATTATAACAACCAGTCTCAATACTTTATAGAAAGATTTTAAGCATAATTCAATACGTGGAAGGTGGAATGAAAGGCATGCACTCGCCGATATTGATTATTACTTTAAGAAAAAAAGAAGTGTTCATTTTCCGTTATCAACTGACTAAAACAGTGATAAAGATGAGTTAGATCCCGTTCAAAAAGCATTTCAAAATTCTTATCTCATTTCTAGGTGAACGTTTCGTACGTGATCTTAGTCATCGATATGTCCCGAAAGGCTTTGAATGATGTTCTATTATTCATTATGGTATTGAATGTGAATCACTTACTTGAAGCAAGCTGACAAACATGTATGAACATATGAATACGCCGCCAATGGTTGATTCGTCTCTATGAATGTAATCAGCCACATAAATGAATAGGATTTGACCGGGAATTGACATGAGGATTAAAATTTTTGCCGATCTTGCGTATGGTACACCTTTGATCAATGCTCTCCATGGTGATTCACAGATTTCTGTATGTGGTGGCACGATGCCAATAATTGAGCTTTGATGCAACATCGTTGATATTTTGCTCGCTTGTACGGACACCAAATTTCCGCCAATGCCGTTGATTATCGGTTGGAAAACCACAAATCCCTTGAAAGCCTCTGCATTAACAAGTACTAATCCACCCATTCTATATTGCAAAGGGAAAATTTTAACATTGAAATGCTTCAAGTGGTTTTGTATTTGTTTTTCTTTAATGTGAACTTACCCGCTGATGAAAAGTGCGGACAAAACAGGAATCCAGCCACTTTTCAAAACCTTGCACGTGTAGCTGTTGTATATGACCACAGTAATCCAGATAGGCAATAGAAGCAAATAAATGCCAACAAGAACATATGTCACCCAGATATGTGTCGCTGAAAATGCCAAAATCAAAAGACAAAAACATAATGATTAAATGACTATTAAGTTTGCTATGTTATTCGCATTCAGTACTGTGAGACATAAGTGCTCATTCAGAAACAAAAAAAATGGAACTGTTTTTAGCCAAAGTTGAACCAATGAAAAATAAAACGATATTGTCGTTACGACAATAACATTGATTTCACAATGATTATGATGTGTGACCAATCTATTGCGAAACTTACTCAAGTTATCGAAAAGTGTCGAGGCAATGAAGGAAAAAACACTTAATGAAACGACGTCACCGATAGATGCAGCCAGTGGAGTTGCCAGATTATCCGGATTCATATGGAACCGATGCGATAGAAGTATCACAGCCACTAAAACAAAATCTGTTCGAAACAATCGAAAAGATAATCGATCAGTACAAGATAAATGAAATAACTGTAGTTCATACGTTTGATATAGATACGGTATTCGAACGACACTCACCTAATACAAAACATGATAAAGTTGCCGTAAACATACTTGACGCAATCAGTAACATTGCATGAGACCAAACAAACGGCCTGTCACCGTTCATTAAACTGCCGACGCTAATCGCAAAGAGACCCACTATGAACGAAGCAACGGTCGCTTGCACTTGCACCAATGCAATATTGCCGACAACCATGTGAATGACTTCGGCTTTAGATGTCATGCGACCTAAATTTGCTTGCGTTGACAAACGTGATGCGAGGCACATATCCAAATTGCCCTTCAAACCCAGCAATGAGGGCACCAGTATGAACAATTCTGAAATATGCTGAAACACCTTCCATCGCTGTGTAATTGCCATGCGGAATAAGAAGAAAATCATCCAAATTAACATGTTTTCATAACAATTCGAACTGAACTAATAAGGGAAACAATTTATTTCAATTAGAAACCATTATTGGGTACGTCTTATCACTCAGAGTTGCATTATGTTGGGGTAAACAATGTTTGTGTGAATCGACCTTCAAGTTGTTATTTGTTTACTTTTTTCTATTCATATGAATATAGGAAACTACTCTGAATATGACGTTAGTTTGGTAGTTTGACAACTTTCAGCACAGATTTTTACACAAAAACCAATTTAGCTGACTAATAACGTGATTCGATGCAGATTTTCGAAATAATTAGTGAATTGAATGCAGTTAAGTTGATATCTTGATGATATTTCACATTTAAACTGGGGATTTTTTTATGGGGATTTCTTTTTCACAATGATTACAACCTTTCAGTGAAAAAAAACTGCCGCTTTACTTACGCGCAGTTCAAATTCGTAGAAAACTTTCGGATCTGGATCGTTTGCAAACTTCTACAAATAAAATCCATGTAAAATTTGTTCTGTTCACTTATTGAAAGGCCTTATCTTGTATTTCAAGTGAATGCGGCATTGTAAATTTTTACCATTTGAGCACCAAGCTCAATTATTTTTTCTGCGCATCATTAATTTTTTTTCTTCAATCGATAAGCCTCCAATAATAGAACGAGTAATAGTTGTAAATCATGTAAAGATTGTAATTATAGAATATTTACTCGTCTACAATTGCAGTTAAGCTTTATCGCTAAAAAAAAAAACTTGATAACATATTATTTGATCGATACTGAATGGTCAAGTAAATAAAATTGTACCAGACGTATGTTGTTCTTGGCCTATGATAACCAAAAATGAAGCAAGTGAGTCTGGCAAAAGTCCGTTATTTGGCAACTCTTTTTTGTATGTAAAAAATGTAATAGCAATAAATCAATGTAACAAAAAAAAATGCCTACCTCAACACGGCCCAAAATTAGACCAGCTCCAATGGTTCCAATGCCAGCAATTAAAAACGGAATCGACACTTGCAACGTTGTTTTCCACCATTCCTCTTGTTTGATCGGCTGATGTACCACTTTGGATGGTTTACGGTCGAATCCTTTGCCATCAAAGTCCCCGCTACCGAGGTCGCCACCCTTCGGATCCTCAGATGATGCTATGGACGACGTCGTGATTGAACTTAATGAACCATGCGATGAAGGAGGTAGGGCAGAAAACTTTTCGTTTTCATTATCTGCACAAAAAAAAGCAAAATAATCAATAAATTACCATTTATAATAGCACGAATGTGGTGAATGCTGTAATTGGAGACATGTAACACGATATATTCATTCCTTGCAGCGATTACAACAACATGACATACTTTCTTGGATACTACCATACATGATTCTAGCTTGAAGTACCTCCAGATTTCTGTATGAAGGATGAAAATGTGATAACAAACTAAATCGAGAACTTGCAACGATCTCAATTACAAAACACAACAAATTTATACAGTATCTATGTGTCTACTGTGGCGGATGATGTTTTTCAAATGATTTGAAATTGAAAAGCATTTACTTCGAATGCTAAATTTATGAGAGGCTTTTTCATCTATACAACTATTTATAAAACGTGCTACGTGTGTTTTCTTTTTTCCACTCTCAACATTTTTTTTTACATCTTCAGCATCTTGAGACGGAGCTTCTTTGTAAGAAACTTTGCTGTGTGTATTAATTGGGCATTACGTAAGATTACATGGAGATTTTTCTCGGTTTTATTTTTTTATCATAATATGGTAGGCTATTCAAGTTAGAAATTGATAAGATTTTTCTCTTTGATGCCACATAGTCTCAACTGCACGTGATAGAATCATTTTGATTATTCAAGAAAATGGTTGGAAGATATGGAAAATGAATGAAAAAGGTTGACTGAACTTTGAAAGGCGTATTTTTTGTGTGCTCTTGATTGTATCATCAATCAAATTTTGTTCGTGTCCTTTGATCTCCATCTCCATTTACCAGACAGAAGCTCACGCGATTTTCTTCACGCGATAAGGCGAATGTACGCTGTGAATTTCGATGCGTTTAGCATTTTTGGAGCAAAGAAATCAATTATTCGAAAAAATGGGAAAATAAATGGTGTCAAAAACTGAATTTGAAGGTTGTCTAACGAAAAAGTATATCGTGTAAATAGATTATTTGCTTGGTTATATTTTGCTCGTATTTCGAAACAATTATTACATCAATTGAACTAGCACCCCAAGTCAATTGCAGCAAATATCAACTTGTAATTACAACGTGGAATTTACAATTCGATGAAAGTAATTGAAATATCATTTTGAACACCAATCAATTTTACAAATAGGTGTAAATCTTTTTTATTTTTAAAATGAAAGCCATAAATTTCAATGGAAATTCAGGTTTTACACGTATGCTTCCTTTTGTAACATTTTCGATATTTTCAAAGAACATCGAAACTGAGTCCACTGCGAACAAAGTCTCTTTTACGCTAACAGCAATTCGTATACGAACGAGTCAGTGCGACAGTTGGCGTGAGCGAGACAAAGTTTGACAGCAAACAATTTGGTTATATCGGTTTAAATATTCTTTGAGATTTTGTTGTTGGGTTTAGCAGAGAACACGTATGATTCAGCAGAAGAGAATATGCCCAATTGATATTCGAACATGTTTTTGGTTGTTGGCATCGTTCGATGGCGCTTATTTTGCTCTTTATTTACGGTTGATTGTTTACTCGAGATGTGTCAATGTTATTGATTTGTTGCCACCTTTTCAACAATAGATAAGTGTGGCGAAACGTTTCGAAAACAATTATCAAGTCGTATACCTAATTGAACCGATCGAAAATGCGTAGAAAATATGCGGGATTCATCAAAGAGCACACAAAACACATAAAACAATAATACGTCCAATTTAAATGTCATGAAGATAAGACTCTCTTCTTCAGAAAATAATAGAAAAAGACAATTTTTTTGTCTCTATTTGCATTCTGATTGGAAAAGTTGTGATTGTTATCATCCCCGCGGTTTCGGCAGCTGATTCTTTGCTGTTTCGCATCTTTATGGCAGGTGTCTCAAATTGATTGCTGAGCAAATACGGACGATGAATAGCAATTCGCGTGGAATCGATGTAATGAGTTATATTTATGTGGAAAAAACCAAGCAATTTCCATCTATTTACTTTGGTAGGAAGGAGTTAAATGGTTTTCAGTGTCTAAATGAATGGAATTTGCCTACAATGATAACGATGTTCTTGTTGTTCAGACAAATAAATATTATTACTTTTTGCTCGTTTTGAATAATTATTCAAGAATCGGTCGGATACCGCTTTGTTTAAACTGTATGAGAATTTGTAGTAGGAACGAGTAAACAAACATAGGATGAGATAACATCGGTATTGAAACCAGTGATAATGGTTGGATTTTTATCGAAACTTCCAACGGGATCCATAGAAAAATGAATTACTTTCAAATGTGTATTTACAGTTAGTCTCTCTACTTACCAATGATATACGATTTGTATAAATCGTTGATATATGGGTGATCGCTTAAATTGTTATGATTTACTAAATCGATATCAGTGAACGCTTCGGGCAAACCATTCAGAATGCCTTGCTTCGATGTGTTGATTGAGTTATTATTTTGTTCGTTCATGTTAACGACAATTGTTGGAACTGGAGGAAGCGGAGAAAGAGGAGATTTTCCATTCTCTTTGGCTATTTGTGATGTTGGTTTTGATAGTGTGGTGGTGATTGTACTGATATCTGGTATTTTCTTATTGGTGGTCGGCATTTTTGATGAAATTGATCGTGGCTTTTTTTTACTGTTACCGGGTGAATGTCAACGAGTGTTTATGAAAATTTAAGTTTGTGTTTTTACTATTTATTTGTTTTGGGTTTGCGGCTTTGGAATGCGCGCCTTAAGCACGGTTTATCGCGAATTATGTGGTGCGGTGTGGCGTTTGCTGTTCCGGCAACGATTTGTTTGCACGTATTAATGGATCGATGTGCAAGATTCTGATGTTTAGCCATACAATGAGGTCGATTCATTCAGGTGAATTGGATTTGGTACAGATCCTTCTAAACCATTGATGTATCCCGGTATTAACCGCGTATCTCTGGCTTGCTGCGTATACTAGCTTTTGACTGACGACTGTTTTATCTATCTCTTCGATTTTGTGGTAAAATTCAAGTCAAAAGCGAGAAATTTACATTTTGGTTTACATTTTACTTGATTTGTATCAGTTAAGCGGTCGCTGTCGGTCCGAACAACTGTAACTGTAAAAAATTATCGATTTATGTTTGTTTTTTTCCTGTTTCCTCGCTTGAAATTTCTTTTTCTCTTCACTTTTCGTAATAAAAACAGAATGTGTGAAAATTTTATGAGTATTTTACATGAAGACGGTTTTGTTGTGCTTTTTTTGTAAACTATTTCCGTTTTTTCTATTCTGGGCAATGTTCGATTGTTTGGTTTTTTTTCTCTAGAGAGACACTTTTATTGTTCCTAATTTTAGTCGATCAATTGTTTAGTTTCCGCTTGGTATCAGTTTGCCGGGTAGAAAAAATTGAAATTGCTGATTTTTATCTGTCATGTCACGTCCCAACCATTTGAAAATTGTATCGCAAAATTGAATATCACTTCATCAGAATGGTTTTGTCAACATCACTTGTACAATCAGCAGAACAGTTATATTCATTAGGAATCGATGAATCGAGCAATGTGCACCTGGAGTCACAATCAATTCAGTTCATACAGAAATGTCGTGGAAAATTCAAATTAATCAAACAAATTTGTCAAATGTGGGAATTCGACTCAAGTGTCAATTGTGTAATTTGTATAATTTGCACACTTAAGACAATAAACGAAAAACGAAAAACGAAAGAAAAGAACACAAAAAATGGTGAAATGAATTCGTCTGTCGCCGTGTGGATCGTGTGCTTATCCCTTCATGTCCCGAACTCAACTGTTCGTTTTAGCTTTTGAATTTTTTTAAATATCATTTTCGTACCGTCGTACGGCATTCTGTATTGTCACCGTATTTAATACACTATAATGATGTGTGACAACGTGTACATTTTCATCATTTACCCCCATAAGAACGATATTCGATTTGTTAGCTAGATCACTCATACCAACAATGATTTTGGAATTTAAATGCGATTTTTTTGTTGCGATAATGGACATACTAGCCATAACATAGACCGTACGGGCGTTTGGACATTTACACACATACAGAGACTAGTGTTCTAATTTACACCATGTTTATTGCTTTGTGTGACGCTGTACATTTCTTGTTTCTGTATCATCATTATGACGATTATTATGAATATGATGTAGCGAATTGACATCTTATCAATAGATCATCATCTCTCTGAAGGCTTTGATACGTAATGTTTACTTGAAGTGTTTACATTTTAAAAAAAAATATGGAAAGAGAGGATTGACTCCACTCACAAATGCAATCTTCAACCAGCTGTATTTGTACATATTCATCGACGTCATATCGGCCACAGGATTGATCGTTTTTGCCTTCTTATTGCGAATCGATTCGCTACTGCTTTTTCCCAAATGCGGAAGTGAATGATAGCATTTAATATGTATTCGTACGATATAAAGACCTGTTCGGCAACACAAACCGAAAAGTCGTTCACATGTTTCACGATTCATTTGTGTTGTGAACACAATTGCAAGCAATTAAACAAACAAGACCATGACTTTCATTACTGAGTGCAAAACAATTTTTATTTTCTCATTGTTAATACGATGATTATTAGTAGCATACCGGCTGTAGACATGTTACGAAGCGTTCATAATGGATTCAAATGCTCAAAAATGGGACATCTAAACTGCTAAACAATTACAGATTTGGCTAAATATACAGTTAGCTCACTGATGTGTGATTGTTTCAGTTGGTAGTATGATTACGATGTTATTCTTGGCATCAGCAACAACAGATTGATGAGAAAAACTACTAAAACAGAATGATGCTCTTCGTAAATTGGATTTGTGCCGATATACGACAATGACACAACTATTGAAGTTAAGTCAACAGGTGTCACTTGAAAGTTGCAAATAAGAAAAAAAGAACGAACGATACGGATCATATAATTATGATCGATGATTTTGAAAAAAATATCAATTTTCCATTGTTAGATTAATTTTCGACGCACCAATTAACGTGACCATTGGTATATCATGTTACAGATGAATTTGATTAGATTTTAATTCGATAAACAATTCTAAAATTTTGATAGCGGATTCAATTAATCCTGATCAACTGTGTTGCCTCTTGCGCAATGCTAATTTGAAACGTATTAGCTACAATTTATGGGTAATTTTTCAATTATGGGCTATATTTTCTGTGCTGAGCTCATTTTTATCAATCAAATACCCGTAATGTAATATAAAAAAAATGCGCTCCATAAATCAATCAGTATGACCGGATAACAATTCACGGAATGTACAAAAATGGTTTTTGTGACACTTCGACTGAAATATAAATATTTGACGTTCGTTCGAATTGTGTTCTAGCTTGTTTACACTTTTAAAAAATCGACTAAAACTCAATTAATATGCCTACACTCGAATGTCTACGAAAATATTCGCATTGTTTTCAAACCTCTTAGTGATGAACAGGGACTAATTGCGTGTTTTTCATGAGAAACTGTTGCACTCACACGGCAGCTTGTTTACTTTCGCTTATAATTTATGCACTTGAATAACGTCGCAATGATCGGGTAAATATTTCGATAATGTTTAACAAGCTTCCGTTACGTCAGTAAATTATTTTTCTATTGAATGGGAGTTTTAATCAACACGTATGTTTTTTTGAGAAAGAATCATTTGAATTACAAAAAAAAGTATCGAACCACTTTGAAGGGTCGGAAAAAGTTGTTGATAGTTTTTTTTTTGTTAGGCTCATTTTAACTTTGGATCAATGTCAAAAGTATGTCTGCCACAATGTGTAAATCAAAATAAAATGAAAAGAAATGATTAGAAAGATACAGAGAGAAATTTCAGTTATTAATAGCACAAATGAACAATTTGAATTGTCAAAATTTTTGAAGAAGTGGCGATTATCTACGTAAATCAAAATACATTAATAGATATAAATTGTTGAACGTTTCAACCGAATCTCAACGACTTTCGATTATCACAAAGTTTTTTTTTTGCATATCTCCGGTAATCTCACTTTATCAGATCGTGTCTTTTTTTGCCGCATGAGATGCTAATTTGCACCGCATTAAAAACTTAGCGCAAATTTTTAATGCCATTTCGATATTTAATTCGATTTAAGAAATTGCAAGAGTCGGAAACGCGTTTCGTGCGTCAATCAATTTGCAATTGGTAAAGTGAAATGCTAGTTGCGAACCGAACCAAAGCTATGAGTTCAAGTTCAAAATGCTGAACAGAGAAGCATTTTTTGTAAATTAACATTTATTAGGTTCAGATTGTGCCCCACTAATCCATTTTGCAACTTTGGCAATTCGAACGACACGAAACATAAGCAGTAACACATGTTTGTGAATCATTTCATATTTATTTCTCATTGCCGTTTGATAAAACAGACATCGGTGAATCTGACAATATTGTACGTGTACAAAAATAATTGTCTCAAAGTCTGAAGTATTTTGTAATGAACGATCAGTTACGTAACACACATTCATATTTGAAAAGAACGAACCATCCCATCTAGAAAATGGTTATTTTATTCGTATTTCCGATCACGTTTCTCTTGTTTAAAAAAGAATTGCCAGCAATTCACATAAATTAAGAATCATTTTCTGATTCAATTTATCTATGGCTAGATTCTAACCGCTAGAAATTCAATCAATTATTATTAACGAAAAGTTTGAACGAAATAAAAACATTTTAGGATGTAGGATATGCGTGAAAAGGGTATCATAGTGAAATGTTAACCCAATGATCACGATTTTTGTTAGGAAATGTTTGATTCTAGTAAAATTGAAGCAAAACAATAAATACCAATTATGAAATCAAAGCCCATATGAACATGAACCTAAATAAATATTATCAAAACCTAGAAAATTGGTGGGATCCAATGATTTCATTGTACAAATTGGCGTCAATTTCATCACATTTGCCATTAACGATAACAGTTGGAACCACCGCAAGGAATTTCATCAGTTCAACCAATCTGGTGAACTGAACGCGCCAAATAATAACAAAAAATAGATGACATGAAATTGTGTTAAACGATAACTCCGAAATGTCACAATCCGGGCGAAAAACTAATACAAAAGACAACTAACAAGGTGAATTTATCTTACGTGATTTCTTCGTGCGACGATACATTTTAATGGTTTCCCTAAGTTTTTTAATTCGATTCACAGACACGAAATAGAAGACTAAGTGAATTCTTGACACAAAAAATTATTTCACAGTACCAAGCAGTACGTTTGCCAAATGATAGAATTTAAAAGTAAAAAAAAAACTCTGTAACTAAAAAGAGTTTTACACCAATTGCAAGATATGATTTATCAAAACGTCAACAATTGTTGTGAAGCGATCTCTCGTTGTTCCAATCTAATCGTATTGACGTTTCGTTCTTCTTTCTTCTTCCTCGCACTTGTCAGTGTGTGCGTTGTCTTGACGAGAAACAAAAGAAAACGATGTCGGCATTCGGTGTGCGTGAGTGTATTTGTATCGCTTAAAATGTAAGCGCAAGTGTGTCTGTTGTGTGGCTCTTTTCAACACATTAATTTCAGCTCAAGCATCAAAACACACTTTTTTGCACTGCACTGAAGATTCGTTTGCCAAAAAAGATGCATACCTCAGCAAAAATCGAAATGATTGAAATGCAAATGAATACAAAATAGCAAATTCTGCACACGAATTGCAGTGTTTAGTTTTTGCAACAACAATTCAACCGCATTATTCACACGATTCCGAACGTAATTTAAATAAACGCTATTGCCCTAGACAACAACGTAATATTATATACAGGAGATAGTTTTACACTTCAGCGTCAGCCCATAGGTAAATTGAGCCGATAAAAAGCGAAGCGATTGTCACATGGCTCGTGACGACTTTCTCATCGCACGTGTGTACACAGTAATATAAGACTTTTTTTTTTCTTTGTTCGTTTTTTGTTCCTACTCCGAATGAAAATTTCATACTGTTGAAAGAAAACAAAAAAAGAACTCGAAACATTCGTTTATGTTCCATTGTTGCTTTTTTTAGGGTTCAATATGGGAAAATCAATATTAACCAGATCATCTGTTTGTGTTGCTGATTGAGTAAAAAGGGCAAAAATAAAAAAAAGACAACAAAATAAATCAATGAAGGCGACAACATATTACGATCATTCCTGAGCAACTGTTGTGTCGATTTTTGAACAGACACACTCCATAATTAACGTTTCACCTGTGTGATTTATTATTAGTGGTAGGTAATTTTGAGATATGGGTTTTCTACGAACCAAATCGATGGAAATTCAAACTGAGCACAATTATGTGCATTGCCTATGGTAAAATTGTGTAATAGTCTATATATTTGAATTTTAAAATGCTTTGCTAAAAAAAGAAATTTAAATGGCTTGGTCATGGTACAGTTTCTAGAATTTTCTGATTTTACTACACAATTTCGTTAAGAATTGTTACAATCAATATGCATTTTTCAAAAGGTTTTACTCTGGTAATTGGTGACATTTTCGAATTTAATGAATTTCATATATTTTGCACGGTAGTCATACTTGAACATACTTTTACTTTCTGAGAATTATCAGTTGAATCACTTTGAATTGCATTGAATGTGATTTCATGGAATGATAAAGGCGATTGAAATGTAACAAATGAAAAGTAGCTATGAGAATAAAAAATCGTTCACAATGCATGTTTTTATCTCTTAATTTTCTCAATATATTCAGATAAATTGAACTAGTCAAGTTTATTGAAGAGTTTAGGATTGATTGAGAGATACTCAACAGAAGAATTGCTTTGATAAGTCTAATCATGGTGTTTCTTAGTATTCTTTTTATAGCCAACTCAAAGGAATTTCAAAAAACATCACCCCGATATCCTTCCACTTATCTGCATTTTCTATTGTTGTATCTCTAATAATTGAAATAGTCCCCTCAGTGGCACGTTTTTCACTTGAGGATATATACTGTTAAAAGTGCTAATAAAATTAGGTTCACGTGCGCCAGTCGCTCACATGCATACCAATATAGTTAATAAACCGATCACGTTTACTGATTAGCTTCAGTCAAAACTTTGAGTCATGGATTCCTAAAATGACAGGTAATAGTTGGTTGTATCAATCAGAGTTTTCGAGCATTTTGCCGCGTAAGAAGCGCTAAGAATAAATGTTTAATTCTAGCATTCGCCTGTGAATTCTCCTTTCTCTGACTAAAATACATAAAATTGACCACACTTCAACTCATTATGCGGTATCTCAATGTCAATTAAAAAGAAAATTACTCGAATCCGCAAACAGTCGTTCGAAGCGACGCAAGGCATAAATTTGAATGCGGTTGCGGTTGTGTTGTACACCGCTCATTACTTCAATTCTGTTGTCGCCGTTTTTTTTTTTCTCTCGCATTCGTAATGTTATACATTTGAAATGCTTCATGTCATTGATTCGCAAGTGCATCATACCGTCGATTGTTCTGTTTGAATAAACTATATGCTCAATTCAGGTACTTGAGCTCTTGCAACCCACGTAATCTCGAACTCTTTCGAAAATTTGAATGTGTTTATGCATAAATAATAATGAATGAGACAAACATATAACAAAGAATGCATTAAATGCTAAGACTGAAAATGTTTTTGAAAATTTGTCTGTTTGAGAAAATAGAAACTTTAAAAGGTTGAATGCGACTGACTGCGACACTGTCAAGTTCATTGTACACTCAATGAAAATGCTACGTTTTTTTCTTCTCACAGAATATTCACCTTGCATCTCATTTGTACAGCTTCTACGTCAAAGCAAAGCGACTTTAGTGCACTATCACTTTGCTATTACAGCTTAATTTTAGTAATCGATGCATAAATTGCCCTGCTATGATTGGGCGTCTGATTGCGAATCTTGTTGTAATCGCACGAGTAGCCATTCTCGATGAGTTGTGTGTTATCAAAACATCGGAATATTTTTTTCTCGCCGCTCATAATAATAATAAGTGGCCAGTCAAAGTCCTGGGTGCGACAATGATTGTTTGGAGACAACCGTTACATCTGTTTTGTTTCGTTGCAAAACGATGATGAATTATCATCAAGCACGTTTATGCACTGAACCACTAATTCGATGACGTGAAGCCGCAGCACAAATTGCTATTATCATTTTGCTACTCCATAAACAATATTGTATTTACGTTAGCAGCGGCGGCAAATAATTCAAGTCGATTTTTTGCTGTTTTCCGTCGTATCTGTTCCCTTGTTTTACAAGTTGGTCTTTTTCACATCTTCATTTAACTCTTTTTTCCGTCTCGTCTTGTCATTTGGTTTTTTTTTTTAGTTAAATTCCAACTGATTAGTGGCTCGTTTCTTCATTCAAATGACACAATGTCACAGCGGTTTAGCTTGCAAACGTGTTTCAATTCGAATTTGCAAGTGAAACAAATCAGCAATTACGGCTATTGACTAATTAATGAAAATACACTGCACAGAAAGGCACATTTCCCGTGCTGACAACACATGGACAGTGTCTAAACTTTTAGGCTGTCTGTGTTTCGCAAATTGCAAACACAATATTTTCTCTGAGCGAAAATTCTAATTTATCAGACCTATTCATCTGTTTAGCATTTCTTGCACATTATCTCGATTATAATGTGCAAATTGTAACTGTCGTGGTTACTAATTAAATCTTTTTGATTCATCATAAATTATTATCATTATCATTTCTTTCTAGCTTTAACGATAAAAACTCATTACATCGTTATTGTCACAGTCGATGATTTTCTATTCACAATCCCATTGTCCATGATGCCGTGCGATTTTTTTCAGTTATTTTTGTTCTTCTTCTTTTTTAATTTGACTTTTTTTTCCTTCTTTATCTAGTAATAATTGGCCAGTGATTTAATCAACATTGCGCCTTAATGAATCACCATTAACATCAGCTGCAAATTGAATTCGTAACATTTTTGCCGGAAAAAAATGGAATTTCATTCAAATGAAACAATGATTGATCGAGTTCATGATATGCAAGAGTTATTCCTCTTCTTCTACGGAAAATCACCGTAAATAACAGCTTTATGATGAGTAAATACAACACCAATACATTTCTTATCAGTGACGATACTTGTTTTTTTTGAGTCGACAATTTTTTTTCCATGAGAGTGAGGTGTTTTGATATCGAGTTTTTTTTTTCTCGTTCAAAAGCATAATCTAAACGAAACCATTTTATTGCACTTTTTTTAAGGTTTGTCTTCATGTTTCTTCTTGATTTGTGTCTTCTTCAAACATAACTTGATCCCAACCCAAACCAGTCATTTAAAATATAACAGATATTTGGCCGCATTCGTAATAGTTGGAGTACCTTGAAGTTACAAGCTGTATATATGTTATATCAATTCTGTATCATCACTTTTGTAAAATTATGTATTGACATTTTTCGATGAAATCGAAGGAAATTTTAATCAAAAGATTGGCCGACTGACAAGGACAAATATGCCTGATTATTGCTTTATCTATATCAATATTATCTGTTGTTATGCACAGAGAAATTCTTGAACGATTCGTTTGAGCGCACCACTAGATATGGATGTCAATTAAATGACATGCCATGAGTAAGAGCAGCGAATATTAAATTCCAACGGCCAATTGCAAGAATGGGCTTGATTCTACTTAATCTTTATGTGTATCATCAAAATGTTGAAGAGACTCAGGAAAAAGGCGATTGTTTAATTTTTCTCTTGAATGAAATAATAATAATGAGCGCTAAATGATCACTCATTTGCGTCTTTTGTCAATCAATTAGATTCATATCTATAATTCATACTTCGACATGGAGATTCAGAGTTCGAGTTCAAGTTCAAGTATAATTCAAACATTCTGGTAGCGTTCAGCTACAACAAAGAAGGGCTACCATACTAAGTAAACGCAACATTTATCATCCAGAAAATTTTGTTCGTATTTTTTTTAAATTTAATTTAATTGAATTAAAATAAGAAGAGAATCGAAATTAGCATTCGAATTAAGGCAGAGACAACTGTTTCTTTTTAATTCATCAAATATCCGTATTATTTTTGTATCGATTGTTGGAGATCCACAAAACAGACCAAAACACCGAAATTGATTAAGCAAACACAGTTCAATGAAACTGGGGCTGCTGTTAAACAAAAAATTTCTTTTGTTCAAAAACAGAGAACCAACTCACGGCTCAACAAGGCGAATTTATTCCGAAAATATTACGAAAGTAAGTGAAGTGAAGAGAAAAGAGATTCCATTGTTCTACAGAAATGTTTAAAATTTCAGAAAAAAAGTAATAAAAAACACACACTTTTTGTCCTCCTGCGGAAATGATCCAAACACAAAAATTCGTTCATAAATTTCGAAATTGTTCAATAGATTCACGTTTAACAGATGTAAAATTGCACGCACTGATTTCATTAAATGAATATGAACAATCGACAGTAATTGATCAACTGAAAATTGAGGTGTAATTGAAGCGTGTGAGTAGACAACCGTTTGCGGTAAATGTTATCCAGTAACTAACGAATCGAGTATCATTTTTTTTTCGTTTTTATAATTTTTTTTTTAATGTACACGCAGTTGTGTACAAATACCAGCGTAATAGAGAGTGTGACGACAACAATCGGTGCGCGCGGTACACCTTATCCGTGCAATATCTGTCAGTCTCTTGAAATCGACTCGAACTATACATAGACATTTATATTCAATCAAATGGTGAAATTTAAACGCGAACGAAGGCGCTTGTACATGGACTCGCATTATTTTCATGTGTCGAACGGTAATATAAAAATATAAATGTGAGTAAATTCATGAGATAACTTCGTGAGCCAAGGTGTGAGTTAACATATACTCACACTATGATTAGAAGATTTTTAATCAATCACTTACTTGTTATCACGTAATGGAATCGAGAGCTTTTTTAATCAAGAATTGTTTTTTCGCCAAATCAACGCTACCGAAACTTAGAAGAAAAAAATGATATCTGCACCTCAGCAAAAAATACGTGGGAGTCAAAGAGACATATTGATGCTGGCTTAGTATGATAATTTAATTTGTTTGTTTTCTTTCTTTCTTGTGAAACTGCATAATTTCGAATCCAAATCCTTTCCTGTTTATTTATTCGCCTTTTTCCGCTATTTTGCTGTGAGCAATTGAGCAGTTTTTTTTAAAATTCGCCTTATCGCTTTTCATTTTCAAAAGAACAAGTATTTAATTAGCTGGCACGCGCCATGGTTTAACTGTCCAAAACAATTGAATGATTAGAGTTTAAGTGCTGTGTTTGAGATTGGCACATACACTCATCAATCCCATTAAATACATTCAAGAATTTGGGAAATAAATGTGAATCGACATTAATCCAAATATCAGTAGTCAACTTCCGCATGCTCTTTCGCTTCCCGCCATTTAGCTATACATGTCGAAGCATCAAACATGATTGGAAATGATTTGAAGAAAAACGAACGACAGAAAAAACAGTTGTCATTATAGGCACTTCCCCTGCGATATGAATCGCAGTGCATGCTAACACACAGTCCCGCGTGTGTCTCCAAATTGCAGCGATACGATAGAAAAAATATACCCGCATCGCACGAAATCAACAAAACAACAAGTATCTAAGCAGATGAGCATTCAAAGTGAATCAATTAGCTGAAAAAACAGCGATTTGTCATGTTTCTGGTAATTATTCAAAAATTGCGGTAATTCCTGGCTCATCCGAAATAAGGGGGAAAATGGTTTGCTTTTTATTCTCTCCGCGGAAAGTACTTTTATCTTGATGGGATTCACCATTTGAATAAACCTTTTTTTTTTTGTTCAAGATGTTTCATGAAGTATTCAACGATGATTGTAAAATTTTATAACCAGTTCAAAAGTTCCCTTTGTTCTGTTTTTGCGCTCCTTTTGAATACATCATCAACGGCGCAAAATTTTTGAAACGGTTCTCTTTCTTTTGTTTTTAACAGGGGAGTACCCCAAACAAAAAACGCTTTCTCGGAAATTGTGTTTTTCTACGATTCACATTCATTAAATTGGTGGTGACGCACTAAAGTTCACTACATAGAAGTGCACGAGAAAACACTCGATGCGATATCGAATGCTTGACGTAAATGCGCGCAACGTTGCTGATTTCGATAATACACTGCACTAGTTTATGGAATGTGGATGAGAAAAAAAATCATCTTCGCAGCTTCCGTTTATGCGAAACATATTTTTCACCAGCCAATTGCAACGCATGCATTTTCCATCAATTGAAGCTGAGTCATGTGCTGCATTCATGACGTCCCAAATGCGAATCGTTCATCAATTCGCCCAAAATAAATGTGACGAAAGAAAAAAGAACAACAGACAAAAATCAATTGCCGCACAAAGTCAATGAAAAGTCATATGCCATTAAAATTCATGTCACCGTAACCAGAAGAAAAAGGCATTAACAAACAAGCACACGTTTACATCCATTTGATTCGTGTGACAACAGAGTTTTATCGAAAGATCAACAAAAATGGTGAAGACAGACAGCAAATCGGCCACTCGTTGACATTTCGTAAGCATTTCAATCACGTTTCATGCGACACCTGTAAGTATCAATTCGTAAATGACCTCATAGAACCCAAACGATACATTGAATAAGTCGCATGTTCCAAGATATTAAACATGAAATCGATTCAGAGTTTGTTGATTTTGCAGCCTTTTAATTTTAGCCGATTTCTATAAAAATCGACGTGAGTGATAAGAAAATTTTTTTGCGTTACATGAGCGGCCGTTATCGATCTTCGATTGTATGATAAATGTGATCGCAATCGGAGAGTGCTTATTCTGCAACACTTTCAATTAACGACGACGACGACGACGACAATGTGCTTCAGACATATTGTTCTTTTTTTAAATGTAAACATTCATTTGTTTGCAAGTAAATGAGTTCGATGCGTCTTCATTACTGTCGTTCATAATGGCTTTTTTGAAATATTTTCGCTATTGACTGAGAATAATATGTATTTTTCGAGAATTATACTTCTCGGCAGTGCCGAGTCGTCACATAAGGCTTTGCCAACAAAATAATGTTCACTTAAGATGCTCGATAACCAAAGGGAAGGTTATTGTTTAAAATAATCCTGAACGAGACAGTGATTTCCTTCGTTAGAGGAAATTTGCATATATGCAGAGGTTAATCATCGAAAAAACAGCAATGGAAAACTGAATGAGTCGCATTTATTCTGCGAACTCATCTACCGTTAATTGTATTCTGCATACCAGAGCGTTTTCATCATACAATACTATCTATTTGGATTGAATTCTTTGTGGTCTTTGACACAACTAATACCACTTTTGCATTTATTATCACCATCAATATTCATTGCGCTTAACATTCGACTGATAATTCCCAATGAGGAATGTGTACAATATCTGTAACAATTTTGTAATGAAAATGTACACAGTGTGTGCACAAACGGTGTACACTTTCATACAATACGCGTTACAAGAATACCATAATTCCTCATTGGGTTCCATTACGTTGTGTCTGCTCCATGTAACGAAAAGAGAAAAGAACGTCCATTAAAAAAATGAGCGACAGGCAATTAAATGGAATAAAAGTAGCTAAGATCTCTCATAAAGATTCGCAAAAAAATGTTCCATTTGTGTATCACCTTTTTATGGCACTTTAAAGAAAGTGAATTACCCTCCTCCCTAAACAAGATAACGCTTCCATGCAAATAGTGTGTGATGAGATGATTTCGACATGAGAGACAATAAAAAATCTGAAGAAATAAAACAAATACCAAGCCTGACGAAGCGTTCTATTTTTCCCTATATATCTGTGCTTATCGATTTTTTCCATACACGGTCGATTTGCGTTTAATTCATGAATGATGAGTGCATTTGATAAAATTAGGGTCAATATCATAATCAAGTTCTTATCTATCGTCAGTTTTGCGCATTCCATAGAACAAAACAAAAAAGTGTGCGGCGATGATTTGATATTCTACTGATCAACAACAATTGTGCTGTATAAAATTCAGCAGCATCGACCGGATACAAGGTGAACACTATGTAAATAAAAACACCAATGAAGAAGAAGACAAATGTGAAGAAAAAAAAACGCATGCTAAACAATTATACCGTTGTCTTCATTAAAATTTGCATTGACACTGAAACAAGCGCTAAACGCGTTCAAATAAAACACTCACAAAAATTCGCGTGACACTTTCAAAACTAGAAAAACAAAACAAAAAATCACATGAATGAATGTTTTCAACTTACATGTACTCATAAATATGAATTACAATGCACCACTTTTTTGCCGGCCAATAATAATCACTCGGTAGACAAATTGTACCCATACATATACAGACAAACACGCAGAGAAAGAGAATAAAACAATAACAATTGCACACGATGCGATCGAATAATTTGACTTTTGTTTTGGCGCTTTAGTTTTAATTGTTGTGTTTATTTGTTTTTTTTTTTATTTCTTCATTTCGTTTGTCAACATTGTTTTGCATGCACGCAAATGTTGATCACAGTGGACAGCACGTAGATTATACGCTTTGATTTGTTCAAAGTGCTTGTGCTAGTGTGCGACCGTGCGGCCGACTGAACCAACAAATCGGAATCGATTTTTTTTCTTTAGGGCTTTTAAATGAAATTATTGAAATGTGTCGATAATTTGTTTGTTGAAACCGGAATAAAATTGGATGTTTCTTGGAAAATTCGATAAATTTCCGCATCAGTCGCGTTAAAATGGGAAAACTTGACACCAATGCGGTATTTGAATGAAATTCACGCAACGTGCTGTGGTCTATGAGTTAAATTATGTCATTCACAAATGAAAATTTGTCGCCCAAGAGGAAAAAAACCAAACCTCGTGAATGAATTGAAATGGAGAGGAAAAATGTGTCCGGAAATGAAATTGACCTTGTATCAAAATTGAATATTGAAAAATGGTATATTTTCTTTCTTTTTTTGGTTGAAAAGATGAAGAAGAATCAAAGGTGCAAACTTGTTTTTTTTTTCTGTTAAAATGTTGTGTGTGTGTGGCAAGTGATGAAAACTAAAATTCACCGACTGGAACCGTTCGAAATTCACTAGTTCACATTTTAATTAGGACTTTTGGTTGTTAGTTTTCCGTTCGTCGGAGTAGTTTTTTGGTTGGTTTGCTGTTGGTTGTTGCAGACCAAACGAAATATAGCGAAAACGTGTTCTTAACCCATGAGCGCTCTTTATAAACTGACATTAGCTGGAGAGTATGGTTGCCGAAACCAATTTCACAACACGTTGAAAGTGCATGCACCAACGGTGTGCAATGGGAGCAAGCGAGAGGGAGAGATGTGTTTTGACTGGAAAGGAGAAGTTTTTGATGCCGCATCGTCATAGCTTTGTCATTTCGTTGAGAATGAATAGAAATTACTTGCATATCTCATTCACATTGGGCTCATATTATATACATTCAACATTTCAGAGAAAAAAAAATCTTCAACTCACCAAAACGAAAATACAGGAAATATGCGAAAACATTGGACATTTTTTCTATTTGTAATTCCACTATTTCTCCTTATTTTATTCAAAATTCACGCTCTCGCTATTTGTATGTTGGCATCGAATTGGCGACATGCGCATAAGGCACTTGTACACGCGTGGCGCCGACCTACACAATCGAAATTTCTCGCGATGTAATGATTCTAGAAACACAAAACCATGCACTATTTCATCATGTTTTTAGCTGAATTACGACACAACATTAATTTTTTTTTTTATTTTTCTATCGAACAGAATATGGAATGCAGCGTGAGAACAAGCAACGAAACGTGGTACTGTTGCAATGTAAGTGTCATTGTGAGCGAAGAGAATAGAAACATTGCTTTCTCTTCCCCCTCTCCTTTCGTCTGGGCGGCTATTCACATACGCACATCTGATTTTGCATACAGCATCCATGACCTACGATATAATGATTATGGTTATGATTGAAACGGTACAACCACCGTACGGCGTGCAGCATTGTCCATAAATCAGAGCAGATTCTCGCATTCATCATTACTTTTACATGTGACATGAATCGATTGGATCTAAATGTAATGCTCGTGGGGTGGCTTTATGCTGCCATCAACATTCCAGTGTTACGTAATTGAAGGAACTTTTCACCTTCGCAGAATACTCTGAGTGCTTTCACTCGTATTGCTTTCGTTAACGACTGCTTTGTGAAGTACAGTTGTACAGACTCTCAAGCACTAATGTTTTAAAAACTGTCGCAATCATTTACGTGGGAAAAAACCGTTTACTTTGACCCGCAGAAAAGTGGTCGTTTGTATACACAGTAACTATATTTGTAGCGATGAATTACTGTGAAAACCATATTTACAAGCAAATGGAGGAAGTTTTCAATATCCAAGAAATTTTCCTTTCAAAAAGTATTAAATTGCAATTTGATGGAACACGATTAAAGCAATAAAGCGTAGTATAAGCCACCAAACGTGATTCATTTGATAATCATGGCAACGGCACATGAATATATGTCAGTCTCATTGAACAAACAAAAATGTCCTTCGACAAACATTTGAATCACATGAATGCTATACAATTTTCGTTTATTACCAAAGCGCACATACAAAACACATGCCGAGATATCATAACGAATTCAACATCTGGGTAGAAAGATCTCGTCTTCTTCGTTTTTCTTTAAAATTGGCTTTACTTAATTTGTTTTTAGATAAATTTTATTTTTATTCCTTTTTTTGAATAAACACATCAGAATAGGAAATAATTGAGTGTTCAATGAGAAACGAAAATGACTCTAAAAATTATTTATAGATAGCAACAAATCTTTTAATAGTGTTACGTATCGCTGACGCCACACTCAACCAATTTAGAATGGGTCACTGGAGCTCAGGAAGGTGACGAATATATGACGAGGCGTGCAGAGTTCAATTGTCCATCTTATGCGGATATAGTACAAAGTCTAATTAACGATTATTACGCACACTTTATCAAGAGTTTAATCTGATTCATATGAGAAAAAAGGTGTGAGCTATTTTTGAATCATACTGATCACACACTATGACTGATTTTGAATTCGGCTAATTCAGTAAGACAAACAATGGACACAATTTAATTTTACCCATGAGAATCGAAGTCCAAGGAATTGTATCATAACAAACACACACCCCATTGTATTATATAGATAGAATGTTACTCGTGCCACACTTTTTGTTTGTTTTGTATTTGATTTGTCTTTTTATTTCGTTCTGATGACAAAAGAAGCCCAAATTACAGTAGTATACTTGTTGTAGAGTTATAATGCTTTAAACGCTATTGTGACACAGCATATTATGTACGCTCATTTTACGTCTAATTTATCGTGGAAAACGCATAGCTCTGTTCAGCAGACGAAAATGAAAATCGTAACAGAGCCGTAACAGGCGCATGTGGACTTATTTTGTTTTGTTACGAATTCGACTTGTTTTTAATTTGGAAATTTCGACGTGATATAATGGAAAAAGTATTCTAACCCCATAATAAAAGTTAATGATTTAGCAGAAATAAAGCCTTAGAAGTTGTATTTATTTATTATTTGATGTTAGATAAGTATCAATGGTACGCATCATCGTTAATGGTGGTTAATAAAAGGTTGAGATTTTCAGGTGTCAGAATTTCATTTTTATTGATGTGGAATGTACATAATATATATTCTTAAACATTTGTGTATATCATCTTCATAACAAAAATAAACAATCAAGAGGTGCAATTTGAGTAACAACAAAAAAAAAACAATAGGAACGCAGTGCGGATGATTCAATCATCGTACAGATAAGGGCTGTCAAGTGCCCCAGAACCAGCCGCAACACCGCCTTCATTCGATTTTTCTAATTTTGTACGTAACATGTGGCCACAGTGTGCATTGTACACGATTGCTTTCTTGTCACTACGGAAGATAAACGTATATCAAACAAACATTTAGCATGATATTTGCTTAGGAAAAAAGCGTTTAGAGTTCAAGTTCAATAATCTGTTGAATCTCGAGTGTCCATCAAGTATGGAAAGTACTCCACTTACCCGATAACAGCTCCGAAAATACCAAGCTCAGAAACCAAATCAACAAGTGGTGGTGGTGACGGTCCACTCGGCCGAATCATGTATCCCTTTGAAATTGGAGGAAATATGCGCTCCATTAAAATCCAAGCACTACGCTCAACCTCCGACATTTTCTGAAGAAAAATGTAAACAATGCATTTACTTTGTACAATCTCTTAATCACAATTCAAATAGACAGTAATGTTAACACCTACACGTAACACATCTGGAATATCATGACCATAAACATTATTTCCGCCACCCTCGCGTTGCGGTTTCAACACGTATCTGCATAAAGATGCAGAAAATGAATTATAATAATATCTTCTTTTAAATGTCATACGCATCATAAACTCACTTGGCTGGATCCGTTAAAACCATTCTCAATGCATTTTGTCCTTCGTCAGTGTTGCTGTCCATCGAATAAAGACCGGTGAATATATCGGTTATTGCTTTGATTTTGATGTCATCGGTTAGGAAACGTTTCAGGATACCTGGTTAAAAGAGAATAAAATTGCTTTGATGCTATAATTTCATTTTTAATTGTTTGTAATTTCACTTCCACCATCTTATGGAATGTGTATACACACCTGGTTTGGCAAGAGCTTGTTGAACTTTTTTTGTACCAGCAAGATGATATCCAATTGATGGGCACTTAATTGCGACAGACTTTTCAATGAGGTAGCGTGCGTCCCACTCATTCTGACTTGGATAGTGGCCTGGTTCATATCCGGCACGGAAATATACTACTGATATGACGGTATCGTTCCTAAAATTGAAGAAGAGAGATGCAACTATTCATTATTCTGTCTTTTTCGATTGTATTTCATTGAACTAGTCTTCAGAAAACAAACTCTTACACTTTGAGCTCATTATTCGGTCCCAATGAAGCCTGTTGATGGATCTCGGTCAATGTTTTCCGAATGACTTTTATGTGTGGGTGTTTTTCACGAATGTAAAATTCATGGAATCTCTGAAATAAACATCAGTATTCAATTATATTTCATTCAAATGTTGAAAGAACGTTCGCATGCGAGCACTAAATTAGTGTTACATTACCTGATCACATATATTATAGGTAACACCTTCGACAACAAATAGGATTGCAGCATTTGAAATGGCCTGAAGATTCCAAGCTTCAACCATTCCTTCGCACAATCCAGCTAAGGCACCATTCAATGGCAACTAAAATAGAATGCAAAACAATTAAACGTTCTGTGGTTTTCATTTTCGAAATGAATTCTATGAATTTTGCACCAACGTTAAGTTTAAAGTCACTACTAAGAAATGTCCATTAAATTGTTGTAAATTTTATTATACACAAGCACTTACGTTTTTCACTTTATCAGCATAATTCAATTCCGATAGCACAAAGCTACGAGGGAAAATTATTAAGAATTGTTATGGTTAAAAAATACCGTGTCCATTAAAATGTTTTAATTTTTTTTTTTTTGTTTTGGTTGTTTTATAAGAGCGGTCACAAATGATATGAAAAACAGTATTGAATGGAGTGCATTTCGTTCCATTTTGAAAACACATATCTTATTATTTTACTTTGTAATTTTTACAATCATGAAATAGGATTTCGATGAAGAGAAAGTGGAACAAGTTTGACTTTTTTTTTTTTGTTTGCGGTGTATATAAAGCGAAGTGAATAGGTCAATAACATATGGGTTTCAATTCTCATTTATAAAATGTTGATTGTTTGCATAAATTCAGGTTGGCCGAAAGAAAAATCAAAAGACGAAAATGATAAAAATAAGAATTTGGAAGAGATAAAAGCAACATTTTAGTGGGGAATGGGTTATAAAAAAAAATGAAAACTATAAAACTAAATGTGTTCGGTTTGATTCTTAGGAGAGAGAAATTAGCGGTTTGACAGTCATATAAGGGACGATAATAAAACACAAAGCAATGACAAAAAGGGAAAATAAATACAAAATTGTGTGTTGTTTGTAAGATTGAATACCTATGCAGTGGATGGAATTTGCTCGAAATACCCGCAAAACTAGAGGCGATTGTGTTGAATTCCACCTGCTTTATTTCGTTTAATTCCAACGAATGGACCATATAGTCAGATCGGAATAGGCCAAGGGATCTAGTCTCCTGAAAATGATAACGTTTTCCATTTTGGTTTTGTGCTCTAATTCTCTCTCTCTCTCTCTTACTTTTACAAGTATGTATTAATTGATACATATCCGCCGCCAATTAAATTTTACCGTGCAGTCTACTAATTCACCCACACTGGAGCGGAATTAAAAACAACATTTGAAAATTCATTTGTGACCTGTGCTTGGAAAACGATTTTTTTTAAACACAAAACAAAAATAACTAAACAAACGACAAGTGTATGTGTATGTATGCGTGTTATTATTTACGGAACAACTGTTGTGCTAATGACGAAAAGGTCAGTGGTACAAGGGAAAAAGGTTTAACGTCAAATATCACATGTTAATATGATGTCTCTTGAGTTGGTAACAGTATGTGAAGCACGACCATAATATTAAATGCGATTCCCATGGAAACCGGTTGCACGTGTGTAGATTTTGCGGTTGGTGTGCACTGGTCATACAACGTTTTACAACGCACATAAAATGTCTGTGTCTTATTCCATAACCATGTGACTGACATTCAATTGTGTTTATCAGGCGTAAAAGCACTCAATTCAGTAGTTTTATTTATACATCTATGGCTCGACCAAGTTTTGGTTTGTTTTCCGAAGGAAACATATGTATTTTTTATTTTGTTCTAGAAAATATTGATTGAAATGGATGAATAGAATAACCTTTGTATTTCTCTACTTATTGGACCTAAATGCCCGAACCCCGAAGCGATGGTATTGATTTCAACTTGTTTCCAACAGCAATATGGTCGTTTATGATCGTTATCAGTGCAGCGTGACTCTAGCATCAAATCCGATCTCAATAGTCCCAATGATAATGACTGCCATGAGTGTGTGTGTGTTTATGTCAAATCAAGTATGTTCGAAAAAATGTTTAACACCAAATAGGATCAAAATTCAGATTACTTATGATATAGGGAAAAAAATCGCCTTTCTCATACTTTGACTGAATGTGCTTCTCACATAGAACGAAAATAGATCTGGCATTGCGGTTAAAAATAGAGAAGTGGAGCAAATGCACAAATGGGTTTCTGCATCCACCATTATTTGGTGGGACAAAAACGGAAAATTGGCACTACAACAATAAAAAGATCATGTTCAAAGTGAACTACAACAGAAAAAAAATATAAACTAGTAATGGAAATTGATAACAATAACATTTGACAGCTTCAGAGCACATAATATATACGAATTTTACAACTTTTGATTGAACAACACCGAATCGCAATGCGACTTTCGCTGTGCGGCTGTCATTTGTTACAACAATGATTTTGCAAATTTGTTTATCTAATCTGAAATTTCATTACGTACTTGTGCCGATTCATCGGCTAGAATTTTTTCGTAGATATTGAACAGATTTCGAGTGAACTCATCGACCTTGATCGTGTTTGCAAGCGTTTCACGAAGGAATTCCGTGTCATGTGCAACCCAATGCATCAATTCATTAAGTATTGGCTGCAAACGTACAGCCTTCTCGAATTCACGACGTGGAAACAATGTTGGCAACAGTATAAATGGTGCAAACTGGAAAAAGTCATAAGTTGGAATTACAAGTTATTGCGCTTACGTTCCCAAAAAGTACAATTTAACATACCTGAACTGAATCCTCGGAAAAGTCGGCCTTTGATCTCATTGCGGCGCCATGCATTATCGCCCAATCTTTCGCTTTCGAGATTACTTCATTCAAAGTTTCCTCATCGATTGGAAATGGAATACACGATCCTAAATCCGGCATTTTTCTTGATTATATACTTTTCAGAACCAAAAATGAAAACAAAAAAAAAACTACGTATTGCTGTGAATCATATGATACACAATTGACACCGCACTAATGCAAACTAACGAGTAAATTCACAACGTCGATGGAATGAAGTTGACGATAAATTTTCAAGAAACAAGAAAAATGGTTTTAAGAAGAATTAAATTTTACTATTTCCCTGATTAGATAGAATTATATGGTGTTTGTGAATTTTATACAATAAAATACTTTGACGTTTCTGTGATAGTTCGAACGTGTGACATTTCACGAATTGTGGCGTGTGCGTGACACACAACGATAATTTGAATTGTGTTCTTTCCTTAGGTTCGTACATTCAAATGTGATTCATGGAATAGCAAAAAGTTCAAATACATTTTTTTGATTGCTCACAATTTTGGACAAACTATTTTTCACATTTTGGATGTTGATAAATGGGAAAAAATGAATCTTGTCCTATTAAAAAATCATTTATGACAACATTTCGACTGTTTTAATCTGTTAGTACTACGTTCAGGTATGTAAATTCAGAAGTCTATTATTATTTTGCATTACAAACATCTGCATTATTATCAAGTTCACATATTCATTCGTTGTCTATCAAATAAGAAACGATAAATTGAGATTTAGTGTGGAAGAACCGTCAGCTGGGACAGTTCACGTTTTTTCATTCAGTGAATAGCTAATATAATAAACGTTGATTATTCAATATCGATACAATAATTTGATCGAAAAAATTCGGTGGATGCAGAAATACCAGAAAAATCCAAGAATTAAATTGTTCAGTGTAAATTCTTTTTTTTTCTTTCGAATAACCGTTCTGTTCATGAAACATTGTAAAAAAGAAAAGTCCATGATGAAATCGTTTTTTGTGTTGGTCATGATAACTGCGTTTTGCAATGGTGACGAGTCGTCCGATTTGCAAAAGGCATTCGTTGATAATGAAGTTATTTCCGCCCTAAAAACGGCTCCTACAATGATTTTGAGTGTAAGATTTGGTTACATTTCAAAAACTTCTCAACAAGCTAAAGTTTTTCACGTCATATTGTTCATAGGTCTCGTATCCAGGTGATATCGCCGTTAACTTAGGCAACGAATTGAAACCAATGCAAACTAAAGATAAACCAGAAGTTAAATGGGAAGCTGAAAAGGGGGCCTTTTACACGCTGATTAAAATTGACCTTGATGCACCAAATCGAAAAAAGCCAATATGGTCTGAAATTCGTCATTGGCTTGTGATGAATATTCCTGAAGTTGAGGTAGAAAAAGGAGACGAGATAGTTGAATATATTGGAGCTGGTCCACCGCCTGATGGTGGTTTACATCGCTACGTCTTTTTGGTGTTCAAACAGCCAAATGGGAGAATTGAACACAACGAACCGCGTTCGACAAAGCAGTTAATTGCAATTACTTTATTACCTATTTATTTTTTATCTATTTGAATACATTGTAACAAAGTTTCATGCCAACCATATTATCGCAATTTTGTACAATTTTCAGGCAATGGATTAATAGGGCAAATACATCTGTAATTGAATTCATGCGAAAATACAAATTGGGTGATCCCGAATATGGAAACTTCTATCAAGGGCAATGGGATGAATACAGTGATATTCTTAAGGCACAATTGATGGGATGAATATTTCCTTCCTTGATCGAAAGATATTGACTTCAACAACTGATCTGAAGTTAAAACATCAATGAAAATTAAATGATTTGCACGAATATCAAATAATTTCCATAAAAATCAGCAGGTATCTCATGAATAGGGTTTTTAATGCACATCTTTAGCATGTTAAAATCTTTGGCACTGGTTTTATGGCTTCCCGCAAATGATTTTATCAATTTTTGATTTGGTGAAAGATTGGTACTGGGTTGCCACATTTAAGTATTTTATGAATGTTTAAAAATGTTATGGAAAAATATAAAACGAAATCAGAAACAACACCAAAACAATGACTTTCATTCGAAGATTGTAAATCGTTCTCCCGATAACATTTTTTTACTTTTCATTGAACACCATGCAAAAATGTTGCATATTTGTATCTTCTCTAATATTGTTTAAACAATTAACAATGAATTTATTCTATTCATCTAACCTATTGTTTATAATTGTTCAATCGTCTACAAATAAACTTGAAAGTGGAAAATGAAAAGAGGGAAGAGTTCATTCAGTGGAAAAGTGGGAGAAATCTTTGTTGCATTGTGCAGTTCCGAGTCGCAATTGTCGGTGCACGCTTTATTCTAAGTTAGTTATTCGAAAGAATCGTACGCTGATTGAAGATGAAAACGGTTTTTATATTAATTGCAATAGCTGCAATTTGCAGCTCATATACGCCAGTCGACGTGAAAGAGGCATTTTTGGATAACAAAATCGTTCCGGACGTGTTGGAAAACGCTCCAAAAAAGATAATCAATGTAAGAAGTGAATAAGAAGAAAAACTTAATGTCGATCCACTTTTGAAATTGATTGTATTTTAAAGGTTTCCTATCCGAACGGAGTTATCGTGAAACTTGGCGAAGAACTAACACCAACACAAGTGAAAAAGGCACCATGGGTCACTTGGGAAGCTGAAGAAGATGCGTTTTATACATTAATGATGGTGGATCCAGATGCTCCCAGTAGAGAAGATCCAAATTTGCGACAGGTTCGAATTTCTTTGTTCAACAATCACACAGTCATCAAAAATAATAAAATATGATATACTTAAAGGTTCGCCATTGGCTGGTCATGAATATTCCCGAGTCTTTTGTTGAAAGTGGAGACGAAATTATCGAGTATCTAGGCTCAGGTGCTAAAGAAGGCACTGGCTTGCATCGTTATATATTCTTAGTTTATAAGCAACGTGACGGGATCATAGAGCATAATGAGGCACGTTCAACAAACAGGTCGGTAACAATTCAAGTTCAAGATTATTATCATTCAAATTTCGAAATCATCGAAATGATGACATATTCGTTAAATTCTTTAAATAAATAATTTATTCCAGGATGCGTGCTAACCGATTGGTCACTTCAGCATCGGAATTTGCAGAAAGATACAACTTGGGTGAACCAGAATTTGGAAACTTTTTCCAAGCTCAATATGACGAGTCCGTAGATCGTTTACATGCACGATTTATTGATTAGTATATACTTGATTTGTATTTCTATCATCTCTCTTTTTGACTCAAATCAATTCAGTTCAAATAATTGACAACACATTTTTCGGTTGTCAAAAGTGAAAATTTAATGCGGAAATAAATTATTATTATTGAAGAGAAGCAAAAAATTCTCTTTATTTCAATCCATTGAATTATTTTCATTTCAATCTCACGAGCAAGTATGAAACATTTTGGAGCCTTACTACTTTTATATTTGATAATTTTCAAAATAGGAAGCTCCGAATCAGAATGCAACGAAGTTGTAACGATGCTGAATAAACGATAAACTTTTAAGCACGCAATGCGTTTTTTACAGTGAATAACAAAAAGCGGATGATTAAAAATGGCATTGAACGGTTTGTTTCTTTTCGATAAACTGGTGAACTTAAGCAATTTCAAACATTCATTTAATTGATCCATAATAATGTGTAACGGAAATATAGTATGGTGAGAAATAGAGATTTATATCTACTTAGTTATTTCACGTAAAAAAGTATTCATCTCGGGTAATTTCTTGATAGCATTGCTTCCGTTTATTTCATCAAGTTCCTCATTTTCGAATACATTTTGCAACTGCCATTGATGGCATTAAGCTGAAATTTTTTTTTTGCCATTTGCGATAGCCAATTTGTTTACAACAAAGACCGGTCTTCGTACATTAAAACAACAGTGAAGTTAATGCCATTTGTCGCACCAATCAGTGAAAGAAATTTGAATGGTGAACACAATTCACGCATTATGTGTGCGTGATTTGTAGTGTCAACGGAATTTTGTGATAAATCGTCTATCATTAAACAAATAACGAACATTTTCATTCACAAACTACGGACAAACAGTCGCGAGCACGTTTTTTCACTCGATCAATTCACTTTCTGAATAAATTAGGGCTGCTTGGTATTTGGAAAAAAAGACAACCGTTGCAATAGTGGCAACATTTTTAATTGTTCACATCTGTCATTTCATGACGTTTGATTAATTCATGTGTAAAAACTAGATTGTTTTTTTTTTTCGTTCAGTGTGTCGATAAGCACTTGGAAATTCGCAAATCAGTACAAATCAATTGATAACATTTCAGTCGACTTGCCATTGATTTAAAGACACACGTCAGTAATGCAAAAGAAGTTGATACTAACGACAACGATAATAATAATAGCTTTCGTACTAATTGCAATGGCTGCATTTATTGATTCATATACGTCGTCCGAGGTAGAGAAAGCCTTTACCGATAATGAAATTGTTCCGGATATTTTGAACGCGAGTCCAAAGAAGATTATCAATGTAAGATTTATAATTTAACCAGAAAAATAGTAGAAGAAAACAATTGTTCCGATTCATTTCAAGGTATCATACCCAAGCGGTGTCACAGTTAGTCTGGGCAATGAATTAACGCCGACACAAGTAAAAGATGTGCCACAAGTTTCGTGGAAAGCCGAAAATGGAGCTTACTATACGTTACTGATGACAGATCCAGATGCTCCATCGCGTGTTTCACCAACTTTCAGAGAAGTTCGGCATTGGCTTATCTTCAATATTTTGGAATCGGATATAACATCGGGCGAAGAAGTGTTTGAGTACAGAGGTTCGGGCCCTCCGAAAGGCACCAATTTGCATCGTTACATCTTTTTGGTTTTCAAACAACCTGGAATAATTCAACACACCGAGCCGCATGTGTCCAATAAGTAGGGAACAATTTGATCATTACTTCAATTCATATATATAATTCTTTTTGAATGTTTTTTTCTTCCACCTAATAGGAGTCGGGCGAATCGATTTATGACTTCCGTGTCAGAGTTGTTAAAAAAATACAACTTGGGCGATCCGGAATTTGGAAACTTCTTCCAAGCCCAATACGATGCATATGTTGACATAATTCAAGCACAAAGCACGGAATGAAAACACATTCTTCATCGTTCAATAAGTGATCTTATTATTGGGAACATTCCGTGTCATCATATTTAACGTCGATTATATAATTTTAGCTGCTAAAAACATTTCTGGGCGGTGGTTTTCTCTTTTCAGTTTTTATTTTTTTTATCTATGTTTTGCAATCGATAAAGTTCAGTTTTCAAGATTTAAATTTTTTCTTCAATGGGTTTTCGTTATTCTTGTGCATTTTTGAAACTATTTCTCCTTGCGTTGATCTTTAGATAAGGGAGATAAGTTGTGTAAGAGAATGACGTTTGTGTTTGATTAATAAACAATTTTTTTTTTCCGTAATAACAGAAAACTTTATTGATTATTTATAATATTATTTACAAAATTTCTGTTTGTTTTGTTGTTTCGTTTTTGTAAATGCCTGTTGCTTTACGTAAGAAATATCTCTCTACTTTTCGAAATTTTTCCATTTGGTGCGATGATATTTGCATCCAGCAAGCACAGGCATATAGTATTATCGGTCTAATTAGTTGTTTGTACATTAGTATTTTTACATTAGTCGCGAGGTACTTGGAGGACAATGCATTCCTGAGCAGTGCTTTCGCTATGTTTACTTTACTTAGAATGTGCTGAACCTGATCATTGAATCTAAAGTTACTTGAAATGACTATTCCTAAATATTTTACTTTTTTGCATTTTTGGATTATCGTTTCATTTAGTTTCAATTCGATGTTTATCGCTTTTTTCCTAATTGATCTGGCTAAATCTTTATAGTGGCCTACGATTGAAATTGCTTCGGTTTTTTGCTCATTGAGTTTTAATTTCCAGCATTTGATTTAATTTGATATTTTTGTTAAGTAAGCATTCATTTCGTTTTGTGCTTCTCTTATTTTATCGGTCGTTGTGTATATTATTGTGTCGTCGGCGAACATAAGTCGTTTGATTGATGTTTTTGTAGTGCTGCTCGGTTTCGGGAAATCGTTTGTGTATAGCAGGTAGAGTATCGCCAATAGAATGCCGCCTTGTGGTGCGCCTGCTACGATTGGTTTCGGTTTCGATGATTTGCCATTGATTTGTACGGTAAAAGTGCGTTCGAAGAGATAGTTTTTAATTAGGCAAATTGTCGTTTTATCGAATTTCATGACGTGCATTTTGTAGATGAGTGCTTTGTGCCAGATCGTGTCGAATGCTGCTTGGAAGTCGAGTAAGACTGCAATGGTTGGTTCTCGCTTGTTTAGGCCTGCAATTACGTCTTCGATGAATTAAGCTGTTGCCATCTCAGTCGATTTGCCAGGCTGGAAGCCGAATTGGCACTCGCTGATGATTTTGTTTACATCACAATGGATTCGTATTCTCTTTTCGATGATTTTTTCGAGCAGTTTGCTGATGGCTGATTGTTGTGTGATTGGTCGATAGTTTTTGATGAGTGTGTTGTCTTTGCCAGGTTTCGCGATTGGTGTAATAACTCCAAATTTCCATGCCGACGGTATGTATTGCATGTTTATGATGTGATTGAATAGAATTGTGAGTGCTGTTATGAAGCAGTTTGGCATTTTCTTGAGCATATAATTTGATGTGCGGTCGAAGCCAGTGGATTTTTTCGTGTTTCGCATTTTGATGATGTCCTTCAGTTCATTGGTGCTAATGAATGTATTTTGCAGTTGTTCATATGGTGCATCGATGTTTTACTGATTTTGAGTGATGTCTTTGAAATTTGCTTGCACTTCCGATGAGAAAACGGTCACAGGTGTATTGTTTTTGTAGCTGTTGTAAACGGCGTTAACGAATGGTTCCATGGTAGATATCGTTTTGTTTGTTATTTTGTGTATATTATCAAAATGGGTGGCAAGCGCTTCGACTTTTTCTTCGTCGGTCACACATTTGTTTCTTTTTTGATCATTTGAGAACAATACATTTGGATTTTCACTGCGATTTTTGTAGTCGGTAATTTGTTTTATGTTTTTGAAGACGTTATTGTCGAGTTTTATATTTTTAATTTTATATTCGAGCTGACTTGACACATCAGTTTTTATTGAGTTTTCAATCATATTGTTTATTAGTCTCAAGTCGATGCATATTTTGTCGTAGTTGGCACGATTTTTATTCCGGTGTTTTTTCGCAAAATTCTCTTTTTTTCTTTGATTAGTTTGAGCGAGCGGTTCGATAATTTCATTGTGTCACTACAAAATTTAATGTCTGGCACGTATTTGTCGATTGCATTTCTATTAATAAACAATGTTTCACGAATGTGTCGTGATTAACACTATCAAAAAATTATTGCATCTATTTTTAGACTTAAAAGTTTAAGTTTTTTTTTTCTCGGCAAAATTGTTTGACGTACACCGCAAACCAACAAATAATTTTAGTCATATTTTTGTTTTCAAAATAAATCAGACCGAGAAAAATCTGAGATTTATAGTACCAGTTTCTGTCATTCATTGACACTGCATAACGAGCACTACGGTAGCTCAAAACTCGTTTAATAATATTGTTTGTTTGCGTGTGAAAATTCTGAAACAGGTTTGCTATTGTTATTTGACATCATTACACTGACTTTGCCATCTAAGATTTGCGACTGAACGCCACATTTGCAAGTCATAAGCTGTTTAGAGCTAGGGGAATATCACGCAAAAAATTCTATTGAATTTCTATTGATTTTTGCATTTTCTAAAAATTAATTTCAATTATATTACATTATGCGAGATATCTGAGATTTTTTTCATTTTGGTCGATTTTTGCAGATATTTTAATGCTGGAAGTGGTTTTTGGCGGATCCTCAGGATCGTTCAGAACTGCTCCCGATTCTGGAAGTGGGTTTTGGTGGATCTTCAGGATGGACCAGACTGGGTTTGGCAATGCCCTGGCCCATCTTGAGGATCCACTTCCAGAACCGGGAGCAGTACTAAACGATCCTGAGGATCCACCGAAACCCACTTCCAGCATTTTTGAAGCGGTAATGACGTCAGCACATGGTGAATATGAGTGAATAATACAGATTTTGCGAAATATTTGAAATAGCTTAGATTCCATTAGATTTTAATAAAATAAATGAGATAGAAATAAGTTTTGCGAATAAAAATTGCGTGATATTCCCCTAGGTTTAGAGCGATTGATTTTCAAAGGGTCATTTCGATCGTCGTTCATTTTTTTTTTGTAAATAATAATTTAGTCAAGTCAATTGTTCAGAACTGCAAAACAATTTTTAAGCATTTTCATGTTCACATTATTTTTGGTCAAGCAGCCTTTGGCGCTTGACCAGCTCATGTATAAATAGGCCGCGACATAGCGAAATAAGTTCAGTAATGTCATGTAACTTGGACGAACAACATCCATAGAAATAAATAGAAAAAGAAAATAGCTCGAGCATTTTTTATTGGTTTCGTTGCGTGATAAGATTCAACACAATTAATAATTGTTCAAAATATCAGATCAAAGTAATCATGAAACTCATTTCCTTATTATTTACGGTGACTGTGTTTTTTACATGCGCCGTGTCATCCGACGTAGAAAAAGCGTTTATTGACAGTGAAATTGTTCCAGATTCATTGAGCGTTGCCCCAAAGAAGATTGTGAACGTGAGTTTTTTTTTTGGAAGATTACTAAAAATGAAAATCATTTGACTTATTCTGGCTTCTACGTTTTAAGGTGTCATATCCAAACGGTGTTACTGTTAACTTGGGTAATAAGTTGACACCGACGCAAGTGAAAGATGTGCCTGAAGTGTCATGGGATGCTGATCAAAACGCTTATTATACTCTTTTCATGGTTGATCCAGATGCACCGTCACGAGAAAATCCACGGAATCGAGAGTTTAGACATTGGCTCGTGGTCAATATTCCAGGGAATGACGTTCAAAAAGGAGACGAAGTAATTGGTTTTATCGGATCTGGACCGCCAAAGGGGACTGGTTTTCATCGTTATGTTTATTTGGTTTACAAACAGCCAAATGGCATTATTCAACACAACGAACCACGTTCGACAAACAGGTGAATAGCAATCATGTTATACTTAAATAAGCTTGAATGAGTTTGTACAAAAATAGAAAGATTTCTTTCAAGAGTGCATATGAAAGTAGGTCATTTGTGACAATTCGAATTTAATACGTCAAATATTGGAAAGTTGTTAAAGAGAAAAGTTTGTATGAAATATCGAAAAAATCGAAAAATTGCAGAGTGTGAGATTAAGCAAAATTGTCCATCCAAGCTTGGATCAAGCTGAATCGATATTTCTACTAATTATCAATTTCTTATTTCTATCCCAGGAGCGGTGCCAACAGAGCGAAAACTTCAGCGTCAGAGTTTGCACAGAGATACAACTTGGGCGCACCAGAATTTGGCAACTTTTATGAAGCTCAATACGATGCATATGTTGACATTCTGAATGCACAATTGAAAGGATAGATTCATATTTTGCTTATTTAAATGTCAAAATTCAAAAGAAAATATATGCATTTTTAATTTCGTTATTTGAACACTAAAAATTATAGCAACGCTATGAAAACGGGCGTTTTATTTGAAAATTATTCCTTTGTTCAAAAAAAATGTTCAGTAAAAAATTATTTCTACTCTTCCAATCAATAAAATTATTAGAAAAACATCACTTTCTCTTTGCAAAGAGAAAGCAATTGCTTGCAAAAATCTAAATTCCGAAACTATTACAAAAGGTGTTTGTGATTTGGATAACGCACGGTTTGCTCAGTGTTCGTTGTGAATATCATCAATGAAGAATGAAGTGAATGACATTTGGGTGGCGGATCGTTTGCGTGACTGCGTGACAGTCGTGTACGTGATAAACACCGGCAATGTATAATTAAATATTCATTTATTTTAATATTTAATACAGATAAAATAAAACATTAGATCTCATCTTCAGAATATAAATGATATTTTTATTGTCTGCTTCAATGCATTCACATTATCCCAATTTTCCCCGACAGAATATTTCATGCAAGTCTATAACGTTTCATTTATGGCAACATTTTAACATTTTTGCTTGATACTGTCATTGAATGACATTTCCTGTGTTAGACACAGAGTTTTTTCTATACAAAAATACTATCGCCATTATAATGAACAAATTGTTGCAAACGGCAGCACTTTTCGAAGCTTCTTAATTAATGTTAAACATATCGCTAAATTGATTGGTATAGATTATTAAATTTTGCAACGAATCGAATATCGAATGGAATTTTGGTTGTGATTCAAGTTGAAGAGTGAATAAAAGTGATTGAATATGTCATTTGGTAGTTCGAATCCACCATGGCAGCGGAATACGCTGGGAAACAGTGGTCAACAAAATGCCATAGCCAATTTGCAGTCACAAATGATGAACACGAATTTTGTTGGTTTTCAAAGTTTAGCGATGTCAAATCAAGCGCAGCAGAACAATTTAACACTGATTCCACAGATCGGAGCTAACATCAACACACTGAACAACACAAATGCATTGTTTGCGAATCATCAACAAATTCAGTATCAAAATCGTCCGACGTTGAATCCAAATGCCTTTGGTCAGGTGCAAACGACACAACAAATCATTCATCATCAAACGCAATCCCAACCGAATCAGCCACAGACACATCAAAATAATGCCACCTCTCAAATGTGTAATAGTTCGGCATTCAAGTGGAATACGAATTTAGTTCAACAAGTGACCGCATCGAATCAAGGCCATAATATGAGCGTACGATCAAATGTAAATCAGTCACAATTACAACATCCAGTGCAGTCGTCACAACAGCAACAACAGCAGCAGCAGCAATCAACGCGAAACTTCAGTTCGTCACAGTCACAGAGTAGTTATGGCAATAGCTTTGAACGTGCATCGAATTCAGTGCGGAGCTCGACTCATTCGTCAAGACAATCATCGCCACCCGCCAGACGAGGCACACCGGAACGCAGCAGCCGACGCGAAGAAGACGAACGAAAGAGACGTAAAGAACGAGAACGGTCAGTTCTTTTTTTTTGTTGTTGATGAATTGAAAGAAAAGTAGATAAAAATTTGAGTTTTCTTTTCATACAGGGAACGTGAAAAGGAGCAAGAAAAGCGAGATGATCGCAGTCCAGTACGGAGAATATCTCCACGGCGTAGAACTAGACCGATTCCACGATACATGGTTCAAGTCCCGAAAATGACATTGAATGCGTATGTTTTGAAGAGTTATTCTTTCATTTAAATCTTGCGCACGGATTAGAGCATTTTTGACGTATTTCTTAACTTTATAGAACTGAGGCCGACATTCTCGAGATGCGTCGACGCTACAGCAACCTCTATGTCCCATCCGATTTCTTTTTCTCGCGTATTAGCTGGTCGGAATCATTTCCCTGTCATGCTCCATTCTCAATCAAAAAGCCGTCCGCTTTTCATATCTTTCACAAAAGTGTCGAAAATCCAAATGGTGCTGACAATGGAGCAGTATTTGAACCGCCTGATGCCGACGACACCTTTTCAGCCAAGGTAATTTCAAAATCATCTTCATTATATTCGATCAAGAACCGTAATCCAAATTAAATTATTCGACCAATCGAATCTTTCAGGTGATGCTAATGAGTGTCCCACCGATGAGTGAATTTTATCGCAAATGTTTTACAAATGCTGATGAAAAAGAGCGTGACGATTTATTACATCCATCGCGTTTAATCAGCTTCTTGGTTGGAGTATTGGGTAAAAATGAGACGATGCCAATTGGAGGTGCATGGTCACCATCGCTTGATGGTCCAAATCCGGACAAAAATCCGGAAGTTTTGATAAGGACAGCAATTCGTACATGTAAAGCATTGACTGGCATTGATTTGTCACCATGTACGCAGTGGTGAGTCACAATAGAAAGTTTTAAATTCGCCTAAATCATGGGCCTTAGAATATCCTCTTCCTGTTTATTGAAAATTCGAAATTTTACATTCAGGCACATTGATTTCATGTTTTCGCTATCTAAATCGACGGACTAAATTAGTGTGGCAATTATCGATATGTCTGACTAATTTTTCATGTAAATTTATTGCAATAACCTATATCTATATGAGATCCCATAGCGGTGGTAGGAAAATTACATTGCTCGATTCAAATAACTATTTATCTCTATGGTAGTTGTTAAGTGTCTCTTTTAAATCACAAAAAAAAAAAATGAACTGAAAATTTCATTGGAATTCGTTTTGTTTTAACACCATCACTGAATGTCATTGTCACCTCCTAGATGTGGATTTATGAAGCAAAAGCGTGATGGAAACACAAATGAAAATTCATCGTGAATCATATTTTTTTGTCATTTTCACATTAGGTACCGTTTTGTCGAACTGTATTACAGACGCGTTGAAAGCGTACGCAAAGGCCGAACAATTCCAGCACGTACACAAACAGTTGTTATTTTTTTGCCAGACGTTCGATCATGTTTGCCAACCAGACTGGAATGGGATGAACTTAATATAATATATAAAAACCATTTGGAAATGAAAAAGCAAGCAAGCATCGATGGCGAAGAACAATCAAAGTCATCCAAATCAACGGAATTGAGTGCTAACGATGGCAGTAATAATGCTGACGTTGAAATGACTGACGAATCGAACAAATTGGAACAAGAGTCTTCTCACAACGTTGGCGATGACGAATGTTTGGATAAAATTGCTGACTCAAGCGAAATAAAGGCTACAACGGATACCAAATCAACGGGCACAACAGCTATTTTAAAGGCATTGCTTAATAATACCATTTCTAATATCATATGAGACATATTTTTTTTTTGTTATAGTGCTTACAACCATCTAAAAATTGCATGCATCCGCCAAAGCTATAGAGACTTTCAATTCACACCACCAAATGGTTTCAATGAAATGCTCTTAATTTGGTTCATTATTTTATTAATAAGGTATCACAATCAATCCCTCCGAACACAAACATTTTACCCATTCAACTTCTCATAGACTTAGACACTTCCAGGCGTATTCACATGGAAAACCGCTCTGCTGGGAAAGAAGCACTTTGTTTAACATTCCGTGTCAATGTTTTTGCTCAAATATTTATTTCATTTTGTCAAATTTTTTTGATATTTTTCCTAAACTGGAAATAATATGTATATCGGGAGGACAACTACGTTTCATTTTAAATGAAAAAAATAAAATTAATATTCTTGTTTGTCTTTCCCATAGGTTGCGACATCGAAGAACGAACCGAAACATTTTTCGGATTTGGATGTGAAAACAATGAAAATCCAAGAATTGAGAGATCAGCTAGATGCCAGAGGTCTTTCGTCGAAAGGTAAGCTCATGACTCACTCAACATATGCATATGTTGTATACCTATACATTGTGTTGTCCCATTTCATAGGTTTAAAGCCACAACTGGTTGCCCGCCTCTCGAAGGCTTTGAAAGCGGAAGAAAGTGAATCGGTTTGTGCAGAAAATCAAAACCAGAGCAATATTGATGCTGCAGAAGCTCAAGTGGCCAGCAACAGCATCAATGAATTGCACGAATTTGCTTCAAGCGATAGCATGGACATTGATTTGGCTGACATTGTCGTCATAGACGAGTACGATTCAACGAAGAATGAGAGCAAGCACGAATCAAGCTCGAAAAGGGTAAAATTGTCAAACATTATTTCAAAGATTCTTATTTCTCAAAAAAAAAATCCATACATTTTCCAGAGTTCATCGAAAAAAGCTGATGAGCGTGAGAATCGTTGGCTGGAAAAGCGCTATCGCTTACCCGAAAATCCCCAAATCCTTTGCCATCCAGTTCAGCACACTTCAATCGATAAGTTTACATGTGAAGTGAGATCGCTTTCAATTTTGCTGGACTATCGTCCCGAAGACACGAAAAAATCATGCTTCGAAGTGTCATTGTTTGCCGAACTATTCAACGAAATGTTAATGCGTGATTTTGGCTTCAACATTTACAAGGTTCTGCATTCGATGCCCGAGCCAGAACAATCAGAGCATGAATCTAAAGAGCGTCGTGACAAGTCGGTCGATGATGAGCCGAAAGAGAAGCGACATCGAAAAGACAATGAGGTGTCAAGTGAGTCAAAATCATCGAAAAAGGACGATTCAAGCAGCACAACCAGTCACGAAAAATCGAAGACGTCAGAAACTGACAAGGAATCAAAGAGTAGCAAAGATGTTCGGTCCAAAGACAAGGAGAAAGAGAAGAGTAGCCGTGAACGTCGAACAAGCCGCAGAGAAGATGACAGTGATGATGAACGTTCGGTGGATGGCAAAAGACGCTTGGTCACAGTAGATCCTGATTTGCTGCTGTCATTCGTCTATTTCGATCAAACACATTGCGGCTACATATTTAGCAATCACTTGGAAGAACTCTTCTATTCACTGGGATTGCGTTTGTCACGATCGGATACGAAAAAGATAATCAACAAAGTTGCGCCACGATCACTGTTCTATAGGTACAATTACCCATTTTGTTACCGTCAACTGTTCAGTGTTTGATCACATTCTAATTTATTCCAGAAAACTGACTGATAAACCAAAAGATGAACCGCTACCGGCTATCCTATCAGAATCTATGGAAAATCTCGAAGAGCTTGGAAAGGGCAACACTTGTCTGCTGCCAATCTTTGGTAATCAAACAAGTGTTAAGAAGATAGAACAGGTTTCTAGTGAAGAAAATGCAAAAACTGAACCAACTAAAGCTGACAAAGTCAGTGAATCGAGTGAAAATGTGGGTGAGAGTCACATGGTGATGCATAAGGGTGCACTTATCGATGTGGAAAAACTGCTTCAACAATTGAATCGATCGGAGAAAGCGCGCGAAGAGACCGAACTTCGTTTGACCGAACTGACTAAAACACAAGCCGATCTACAGTCGAGCAGTTCTAAGGCCAAGGATAAAATCAAAGACTTGCAATCGGAGTTAAAGAGCTGCCATCGCAAAATTAACGATGCAGACATCAATTTGAGCAGTGCAAATGTAGGCCATATTTTGATTGCAAAAGATGAGAATGATTTTGATTACCGTACTTTTTTGATTACTTGCAGAAAAAATGCTCGGAGTACTATTCGATTTTATGTGGCATTCATGACAAAGTCAGTCCCATATTTATCAAAAGTGAACGAAATGCATCGAAAAAGGAGTCATCATCGTGAGTTATAATACTTCAATGCTAACAAACTATCAAATGCCGTTTATGTAATTTTGTTTCTTTTTTTTCGCACATGAATAGACGCGACAAGGATCGGCGTGATCGCGAAAAAGAGAAAGACAAGGAAAGAGAGAAGGAGAAGGAGAAGGAGAAGGAGAAAGAGAAAGATAAAAACAATGGTGCTTCATCGAACAAAGATAAGGAAGTGAAAGATTCGAAGGAGAAAGTGACCGAAACTAAATCGGACATCAAGCTGGAAAAACAAGAGAAACCGGATAAACAGGAAGAAACTTAAATATCATTGCAACACATGACATTAACACAGTGGTCATAGCTATCTTTATTCTATTCACAAAATGCTTTTACAATTGTACTCAAACAAGAATATTTTAATGGATCCCCACAGTCGTTTTGTTTACGCTAACAAATATATTTATTATGAATAATAATTTGCAATCGTTGGTATTTAATGTCTTTTGCACAGGCTAACAAATATACGCGCATCCATGCGTGTTACTCTTTTTCAGAGATTGCATATTTGCTGCTGAGTAGGCCTGAGCTGAGCTGAATTTGCTAACTCAGGCGCCTGGACGGGTATTTTAGCGCACTTACGGTGCAAAATTGTTGTGGATCGCTAGAATCCACCCAAATATAATTGATAAACAGCGTGGATTCCAGCGATCCACAACAATTTTGCACCGTAAGTGCGCTAAAATACCCGTCCAGGCGCCTGAGTTAGCAAATTCAGCTCAGCTCAGGCCTACTCAGCAGCAAATATGCAATCTCTGCTCTTTTTGGTGCGAAATCGTGGAAAAATAATTCGCACTTTTCTCTCAAAATAATTTTTTAATGCAAGAATTAAGCAAAAATTATTGTTTTAGTTTTATTAATTTTTCACAATTTTTGGAATATGTTGAATGAAAATGACTGAAATTACATTAATAACTAAAAAGAATTGTTTTTTTTTTCTTCATGAGAATTGAGCTCTTCGACATAAAAAAAAAACTTGCTTGTCATAAAGACTGTTGGTACTTGGTAACAGAGACACAATTGTCGAGTGATGAACTTTTCAGCATCAGAAATAGATGGAAATTGTATGTAACAAAATTCAAGCAATTCATCAAATTCCGCATTTTTGTTTTTCGAAACTGACAAGCGTCTTTTGACCGCAATATTTTATGTGGAATGAAACTCTTCGATTATTATTTTGTGAATAACTGTATTATGACATAAACATGGTAGGTATTTATATTATCATGTTTTATTTTGTGCTCGATTATTCTTCTTCAATTCCTTGTAGAGTTTGACGACGGTGTCTTGTTCGGATTCGATCATTTTTCGCATTGCCATCGACAGATCTTTGCGTTTGCCCTTCAATGAAACTTTCTTTGCCTTGGCAATACTGGTCTTCTGAGGGACGTTCTTTTCGGTCGGCGTTTCTTCTTCGGGTTTAGAATATTGATCTATCACTGAATGCAGCAGAAGTGACTTTCGGCCCGGCTATGAAAATAAAAATAAACACAATTTCCATATTAACGATCGTGAAAAAATCGTTTCTATCTTCAAAAATTCTTACCCGAGGAACTGTTTCAGCTTTTTTCGCCAAACGTGGAACGGTCAATTGAGGAGGTTCATTCACAACTTCGCCAAATTTAAACTCATCTTGTTTGAATTCTTTGATTTCTGTTGTTTTTGTTTGTGATTCTTTCTGTTTCTTCTCTTGAATCATTGCTTTGATCAATTTTTTACGTTCTTCTGGCGCAATAACGATGGTCGCTTTAGTCTTTCTACCTCCCTTTTTTGCATTGGCTGCATTTTGTTTGAGCCGTTCATCAATTTCATTAGCTGGTCGCTTCTTCAACTTTATTTCACCAGTTTTCTTATCTCGAATCACTTCAACGCCGTACTTTGCTTCGAATTTTGCTTCTTCAACCGACTCTTGAGTGATACGGTTGACACGTCTCATATAACTAGAATCTGATTCGTTGGGTTTTTGGTGGATATTATCAAACACCTTGTTAGTTCGGGCATCGGGACAATTCTTTTTACTCTTCTTCGTGTAGTTTTCTAAATATTGGTTAAAAGCATAGTGATTTTATTTTGGTTACAATTTCATCAATGTATTCCGAGATCGTTCCAAATGTAAATCTACCTGGTTTATCTTCATTGCCAGCAGCTGAACGTTTCGAGTTTTTCTTCTGTTGTGGTTGTTGTGTTTTGGCCGCTTCTTTCAATTTAATGAACCGAGCCAAACTGTGTGAAACCTTCTGATAATCACATCTCTCCGGTGGATTGTTTATTTTGTCTTTAACTCTAAACCGAACATTACCAAAAAAAAAAATATTCACCGTAATTATCACCAAATTCACCGTATTCATTCCTTCTTTTTGCAAAACCACTTACAATGCCTCTCTCTCTTGTTTCTGCTTAATCGGATCACGAACACCGAAATGTTTTCTAGCTGGTATTTTTCTCCCCATTTTACGGTCCAATCACATCCAAAATTCAATCAGTATTACAACAATCTATATGAGTTTACACGTGCAGCATTGACAGTTGTTTTGACAGTTCAATTTGCACGAGAGAACTGTCATTCGGTTGATGTGTGAGTGAGCGTGAGTATCAGTCGATGTATGCGATGAAATGTATTTGTTCGAGAAAAATGCATGAACCAAACATTGAGAACATCGCAATAAAGTTGGAAACCAAATAGTGACACTCGTTGTTTGGTCTCGATTGCGACACAGCATACACAAACGAATCAAAGAAGGGAAAAATTTCGCGACAAAAGAATTTAACAAGTAAATCTGAGCTAAAAGTGATCTAACCGAAAACCCAAAATATTGGGCGATTTGGATAAAAAGTGAGTTAAATAAAAACAAATTGGTGATTTTTTTCTCGCATTCTTGTGATGTACATATATATGTGTATATGAGTTGTCCCTTCACTTGTGCTTCGATACGTAATACTTCCATATGTTATGTGTATAAATCCGAAATGTTTTAATTGTTTTTATCGATCTTAATTGTTTTTCACACTTTAAAACTGATTTCCGGTGCATTCATATGAAAATCGATTATACAATTGTGCGAGATGATGATTCATACGAGTTTTTGTGTAGACAAAGAGTGAGGCAAACAATCTGTTGTTCGATTCACCAATTGAATGAGTCACATTGAGCTCAGCAACAGTATCGATTGTTGTATATGCCAATAAAGCAATACACTCATTGCATGTCGAAGTGATTCAAATTGGACGCCTTTTCGATCATACCATTGTGCCCGAAGATTATGGCATAGTAATAATTTTCACTGTGTATTGAATTACGCCATACACGGCAGGTAGTTGTGCGGCAGAATACCTAATGAAGTAGGAAGAGATAAAAAAAAGAGCAACATACAAAACAAAACGATGATGAAGAAAAGAGCAAAACGAACGCAGAATAAGAAAAGAAATGAACAACGACTTCTATTAAAGAGTGAATCATGTACAGCGTGAAGACGGAATTAAGTACATGAAGCACGCGCGGCAAGCACAGCCAAACATACATATACGAAACAAGTTTATATACCATGTTCGACTTATATGGCGATTCCTCGCCGTCCTGAATGCTTTATCCGTTCATTGATATCTGTTCTTATTTGTTGCTTCGGTATCGTTTTAAGTAGAAACATAAACGAAAAAAAAGTAGGATCGTTTTATGTTTTTTTATTGATTTTAATGAAACCCAGAAATGTGTATATGGGCTCGTTGCTTGGTGTAAGAATGCGACAACTCAGCATAAAATTGTGAATAAAAAAAGAAGCGACATGAATTGATTTAAATGTAGACGCGAATATTGGCGTGTGCTTTCTTCTCCGTAATTTAATTAGAGTTCATTCGGCTGATAATTTTATTTGTGTGTTTTTTTAAAAATTTGTTTTCAAAAGGGAAACATCAAAATGGCTATTGGAAGTTCAGTGTACCAGCCGACGACAGTGTCTTATGAACCGCGACCAGGGAGTTTGTTGAGCCAAACAACAGCCGTATCGCCGCTGCAGGTGTTACGTAAACCGTATGTTCAACTGATTTTGTTGATACTAGGAGTTCTTTCCATTACATTCGGTAAGTGCGACGCACAATGTCCAATTAGTATTCAGTGTTTGAATGAAGTCAACGAAGTTTAACACAAATGTGTACGACGTATTTTGTAGGCATTGTTTTGATAGTCAACGCGAGCGATGATTATGAACACGCCGAAGAACATCGTGGCGAGCAACCGATGGAAATGATTGAAACCGCCGAAGCTATTGATATTTCATTGATTGTGGGCGGTATCCTGTTGACACTGTTCGGTTTCGTATTAATTGCACTGTACATTAAAGTGGCCGAATGGCGAAGACATTGCATGTGCCCATGCGGGCTGTCGAAGAAACAAGGTTTGGCGCGACAACTTCAGAGCGGAACTGGTGGAACACAGTTGCCATTGAATCCATCCACAGATCCACTTGTATCGCATACACAGTATGCTCCCGTCTCCGAATTACCACGACCCGACGACGAAGAGTGTCGCACTTTGATGACAGACAACAAGGATTGGTATGTTTATAATTTTGAAATCAAAATTGAATTTAAAAATTGACCTAAACAAAAAAATTCTTTGTTCAAACTATCCCACCACTTTTATTAATTTCAAACACGCCTTTCAATTTCAGTCTCAGCAGCGCTGAAGAATCTGATCGAATGTTGGACCCAGATCCACGTATCGTACTTCGCCCACTCGGACACGTTGAAGACGCCTAAACTACTTGAATTCAACGCTTTTCAGTTCGTTTTTGCACAGCATGACAAATTCATACTACTTGATTGAGGCCCATGGCTTCGATCATCGTCTGAAATCTACTAAATTAATCACGTGAACACAACATAGTGTGTGTTTTTTAAATCGGCAGATTATTGTGTTAGTGCATTTTATGTGCAATAATCGAAAAAGACCATTGCGATATTTATCGGAATTTCGCAAAGACGAAACAAAAAAAAAAACAGTTACATCACTAGCTTATTTAAGGTTTTATTTTTGTTTTCTTCAAAATACACGTACTTATCATTTATAGTCAATAGGGCTCCAAGGACTTGCCGTGAACTTGGATTTTTTCTTACATTCGGCATATTAAGTTAATTTATTTGTCATAACAATTGCATTCATCACGCAAACTTCAAGAATTGTATACGTTTTTTGTGTTCTTCAAAACACATTCTGTCCAGCCCATCATCATTTTTGATAAATTATTTCTTTTTTTTTTATTGGAACAAAATCATATAATCTCACCTTGGAATCAATGCTTTCCGGGAGCCCATTAGAATCTCATGTAGCTACTTTTGATCAATCATTTGCCAAGTGTAGCATTTTCAAGGGAGTGTCAATCAAAATCGTGAACTTAGTTCACAATTTCACGCGCGATCTCCTTATGAAGAGATAAAGTTAGAAGAAAGACGAATATTTGATTGTATTTACACATGCTGAGAGCGACTTTTATCATTTTCATGTAGTTTATTTTCGGAATGTCATTGAAACTATTTCAATTTGGAAAATGTTTGGCAGGTCCATTGCGAATGGAATTTGGTAGATAGGAAAACAAAAAAAACGTGGCATTTGAGCAGAGTTACGTGATAGATTTAAGAAGATACTTTTATGTTTTTACATATTCATCAAAATTTGTCATCATATCTTCATTCATTTTGAATTATTGATTTAAATGACATTAAAATAAAATTTATACATGTTAATTTATATCTCGTTTTGGTTACATTCGGTACTTATGACTTGCTTATTCTAATGCAATCATTCCAGCTCGATACATTTGACATAGACATACTTTTATCGTACAACTTTCTCCATAGCAATAGCATTTTAAAAATGAAATCGAGTGATAACAAACAACAAATTGTTCTAGTTTCAATAAATACATTTGACAACTGATAACTAACTCTACTGCATCGAAATCTGGAATGGCAACGAAACGGAAAATTCAAAAACCCAAATGTACGAATGTACCATTTTTAATTCATACATTTCAGCCTTAAAACAAAACTGACACGAAGTGTTCTCCCAAAACGATACAGATGGCATCAATCAATATTTTGATCGGATGGACTCTGAATTTTGCTCAAAGAACGCATTTGTTTCACTTTTGCTTGAAGGCAACCATACGAGTTACTAATGATAATGTTTAAGCAAATGTGAATCTATGTTTAGATATGGAAAAGACTTCAATAAAGCAACTATTTTACCCGTCCGTAGAAAAAATATTATGTTTCTAAATATTTCTTTGGTTTCAATACTTGCTAAGTCAATTTTCGTGACAATATAACAAATATTTTCTGCAGAATTGTTGTTCATTTCATCAGGATCATTGGATAATGATTTGATTGTAACAGCCGGATGAACGCTAATGATCAACTTCATTGTTCGATGTTTACAACGTAGGTTTATTTAGTTTCATGTATCGAAATAACACAATTTTCCACGTTCGTTTCTTGTGTATCGAAATATTTGTTTTGACAACCACAGGTCCTGAACTAAATAAGGTGAGATTTTATTGAAAAGATTGCTCCAATTAAGAAAACATTGTGTAATTTTAAATTACCTATTGAAATGAAATAAATCAAGCAAATAACAGGAATCAATTTTTCAAACGTGTCGCTCTCCGCCTGGAAATCTAGCTTCATGAACTCCAGAGAGGACATCTTTGTTTCTGTCCATATTGTGTACACCATTCGTCCACCAAACGTGATTATTGAACCACATAGGACACACATGCCAGATGTGAAACCGTAGTGAATAACATCGGATGTATAATTGGATATTCTTTTCGTATTTGAAATTTCTGGTCCGTTTCTCATGGAATACGCTGTAAGTTGTAAATAAATTTTCCAATTTAAAGTGCACAAGTTTATGTTTTTAAAACACATACCAGCTGAAAGTAAAAGCGATTGAATTAAATTTAAAAATATCATGTCAATTACTGAATCTGCAGTTAACAAAAACCAAACCGTCCCATTTAAGAATGTGATGCAGATGGTAAGAATCAGTGTTCCAGCATTTCCAATGACTTTTATTTGCCAATCTTCAGTCTGAAAGAAATCAAATATTTCTAATGTTCTTTCTTCACTTTTAACCGTTTTATATTTACTTACTTTCTGAAGTGCAAAGTTAATTAGCACCAAGTGACGAACAATATTAAAAAAATGGTAGAAAATTGCAACAAGGAGCCATACTACATCCAAAGTAAAGGTTGGAACATTGTTTATTCGGTTCGATAATAAAGGATATGTCCAAAGAGTTGACAGACAGGAAAATGTTTCGAAAAATAAAAACATCACAACATGCTCGCATATATTCATCCAGTGAGATTTCAAAATTGCTTTCAAAAATGCCAATGAACCTGTAAGAACACATCATAATTATTTTAAATGCAAGTTTAAATGTCTTCTACTCATACCTGAAAAATTATCTAATGAAAGATACGTCATTGCTGTTTTTATAGAAGCTACTCCGAATTCTATTAATGTTTCAGATGAACGCTAATGTTTTTTACAAAAAGTATACAATTTACTATTTTATGTTCGCTATGCCTGTGCTGTTTACACATGTGGCTATGACAACAATAAACAAAACGATACAATAGAATTTTGGACAGATAAACATTCCTTTGGGAATGCGCTGTTTTGCTCCTGCCCGATTCGAAATTTCCATCACACCGCTTAACCATTCTGGTTCAATTTACTTTGTAGTATCCAAAGTAAATCGGTTTGAGTTTGAAGAGAAATAAACTATGGCTGTATGAAAACTAATTGAAGCATGTTCATTTTTTGTTCTATTTTCATTACAGAAATTCTTTTAGCAACAATTTCTATATTTGTAAACAAAAGAAAAAAAAAATTGAAAATTTTCTTGTAAGTAAAACGAGAGAGATTTCAAAATAGCATAAAGAAAAAAGAAAAGTGCCAACGACACATGGTGTTCCCAGACGGTCACCCATTCAAGTACTAACCATGCTCAATGCAGCTTAACTTCAGTGATCGGACGAGAACTGGTGCTTTTTACATGATATGGTCGTTGACGAATGAATACCGTTCTATCGAGATCATACTCGTCATATTCGCACCGCGAAAAACTTGTTTCAATGTTTTGCTTAGGCTATAAATAAATCTGGATTAGTATCCCGTTATGTTTCATAACAAAGAGCATTTAATTAAAAAGGCGCACAACATTTTTCAAATTGATTTCCTCCATTCTGAATGCGTACACAATAAAAGTCTTTGTATTATTCCATTGTTCTCTTCTTCACAGTGTATGGCAAAGTGCGGACATTGAATTTCAAAGGAGTCTATTTTGAGTCAGTTGCATTCTATCCTTACGATTTCCGTTTTAAAAAAAAACCTTATTCTACTGTGTTCAAAAATAAATGTTGACATTTTCATCATCGACCGTATTCGCAATTAATGTTGCCATTTCTTGATGAATGTTCTTCAGATTGCACTGTTCCAAGAATGTTTTAAATTCAGTTTGGCATAAATATAGCAATAGTACCCAGCAGTAAAGTTCAAAAGTGAGTGGGCAAAATGAGCTTGCATTGTTTTGCGAGAGATAATGAAAATATTGAGTTATACTGGCACACATAGTCTATATTGTGTGTATGTATGACGTCATTTTTCATTCAAAACAAGGCATTACGTACGTACGCGCGCGCACACCGCACACACCACAACCGTATGCGAACCAACAGCTGAACTGTCAAAATGCCAATGTCGAGTTGCGAGCACGTGAAAGTGTTTCGTTCAGTTTTTGACAGTTAGTTGCACGAATTCAAATCGACTCGACCACATGCAAGTATCATATTGGGTTTGTATTTGTATTCGGATTGCATTTGCACTGCGTCGTCATTCGTTGACCGTGGTGATTGTTAAATAATCATTACACACCGCATTTAAATCGTTTGTAAAATTACCCTATCGCGTGTGCGAAAGAGACGAATACAACTACTCTATTACGAGAAGAAAATTGTGCTAGAAATTCCGTAGCCCGTTGAGAAAGAGAATCAAAGCGAATGACAGAAACAATTATATTAGCTTAGCGAAACCGAGTTACGGTTTTCAAAGTCGTTGCTTGAATTTATTCGATAGCAACGTATTGAACAGTCTGCATGAATACGCTATACAGTTACGTTGTGAGCAGAGAGAAAGAATAATGTGGTGCAAGTTCGTGTCATACCACATCGATTTGAGCTAAAGAAAAGTGAAATTTTGCCTACCGTTTATTTTCAACGAACGTCGCACGAAAACACAACACTCTTGCCCGTCGATTTCTGAATTCGTTTGGATTTTCGAAAAATCAGTTATTTTGGTACCAGTCATCTGCGATGATAGAAACTGTGATCTAAGTTGTTCATTCGATCATTTTCGGGCTCGTGCAAAAATACCCATATTTTATTTTGATTAATTTTCGGTGATGTGTGATTTGAGATAATGTGAAAAGAAGATTATTCACAGAAAACAGTTCTCCAAATAAAACGTAGCAGTTTTTCAATGAGTCTATTTGAACATGGACGACAAATGGATTAAGCATATTGACGATTCAAACAACAGGTAAAATCATCAAGAAAACTCGATTTATTTGATCGATTTACCGAAATAAACAGCAAATGCGCACAAATATGTATTTGAAAAAAAAAAGTGTGTGATCATTTAATTAAATTGAATAGAAAAGAGAGCAAATGTATATTTGTGACTTGAATTAACCTTGAGCATTTTGAATCAACAATGTGCTGAATAGCCTGTGTTTTTGTGTTGCTTCCACACATTTAATTCGGTGATTCATTCAAATAGAGGCGTTTGGTTTACAATTTTTGCATGCAATTTGTGCGTAGAGTGCACGGAATAGAGTGAAAGAGACAGTTTTCAGTTATTATTTAGTGTGAATATGTACAGATTTTTGTTTGTTCCGCCTTATGTGGAATGCGATTCAGTAAATACGTGCCGTGCTGATTAACTCGTCGTCAATGCGATTGTAGTGTGAATGTCGTTCGGACGATAAGTATGACTGGGATTCGAATAATTTGTGCCTACGATAAATATGTTTATTTGCAACAATGAGTCGATTGTTGTGCCTGTCTCTATGAATTCACACAATAATCAGTTGATTATTGTTATCATATTCGAACAGGCAGTTATTTCGATTGAATATTTTTCCTTCATCCGACTCTCGTACAAAAAAAAAAACACTTCCGATACACTAATTTAATTAATATGTATTAATTGGTAATTGAACGGCAACCGTACGTAATGCACAGTTGCCGTTGCTGCTACCGCTGCTCTGTACATGCAATAAAGTGTATTTCAATCAACTGAATGGGTGTTTGTGGGTTGTGCGCGCGTGATTTACCTAAAACGTTTAATTTTTTCCGTACTTCCATAAACAGCATACACGGGCATATATTTATAGTGAACTCAATATTGTCTCTCGACTCAATGACATTTGGCGAATTCCTTCTCCTCTTTCCTATTTATTACAGTCGTTGCTTTTTTATGGTTTTTTTTTTACATTTTATCGATTTTGATGTTTGTTTGCACAATATCGTCATGTGTACGTTGTACATCAATAATGATAGTACATCGATACAGCCCGTGTTCACTGCTAATAAGACTATACAATACACATATTAAGCTCAACAAAAGGTGATTTTATCGAAAACTCTACATGGTCGATATGTTTGAGATCCGATCGATTGGCGATTATGTCATGTACCGTTGAAAAATTAGAAGAGTGACAAAAGGCGTCACCAACTGCCAACTCCGTACAAATGGCACATTTTAAGTGAAAAAAAAGCGCTGAAATTATATCGGGGGGGCAAGACTAAGATTGACTGTGAAACATTTTTTTGCCGTGAATATGCGACACATCACCGAAAAGAAAACGTTTGCTCACAAATTCAAGCTCACACACGACAACGGCGAACAAGCGAAAGAATTGAAAGAAGAAGAAAAAAAAAACGGATGGTGGTCGAAAAGAGGATTTTATTTGTTTTTGTACGTAGTGATTTTCCTTCGAATATCGCTAAAAATAGCCCATTTAATATACTAGCGTTTAAAACTACACGAGCGACAACAAATCCTTTCTCTTATGTATGTATGTATAGTATACATTTTGTGCGGCCAGTATATTCAACTCTACGTGGGAATTTATTGTGTCACACATAAATTCTGACTCAGTATTTAACTTTGGTTCGGAAAAAAATTCATTTTTTTTCCATACTCATTCATATGGTGAAAAGAAGAAGTCCCATTGAAATCACCTTAAAAAAAGGATGAGTTAGCGAAAGTGTATCAGCAGTTGAGAGGATTACAATTGTGCATTTGCAAGTCTTCCGCTGTGGGTTGTTCATGAGAAATTTGGAATTTTGAGCTAAATTCATAAACACACACGACAAATGTATACCATTTCTGTTTTGTTTCGGTTTGACTAGCCACATTTATATTGTGCATTATTTTGCGTTGATGATGTGTGTCAAGAGCTGTACAGAAAAAAAAGAGGGCGATGTATTATAATAAAAGCCTACTAATTATGGCAAACACAAATATTGAGTGCCTGTAGAAATTTCGTGGTGCCAAATTACTGAATGACGTCATCTCTTTATTTTCTGCATGGCGTATGCATATTATCGCCGTATCGTGGAATGCACAGTCAAAATTTATTTAATTGATAGGGAAATTAACGATTTGCTGTGTCTGTTCTCCTTGCACAGAACAAAATCAATGGAAAACAACAGTTGGATTCCAACATAGTTTTTCTCAAATAGTCAATCGCAAGTGTAGTTGAACTGTAACATATTCGTGTAGATGAACTTTTCGTACGTAGAAGAAAAAAAATTAGCAGTTGCATGCATTGCAACTGCAACAGCAAAAGCAACAGAAGAAAACAACAACAATGACCAATGCCGCTCAACACCATAGAAATAGAAAATAAACCAAAACTGAACGAAGATATACCGTTCATACACATACGCTAGCGCGCGAATCATCAACACTTATCATCAGCGTCGACGACGATGACGATGACGACGACGACGACGACGACGACGACTTCGTCATTCAGAAATGAAATGCATACACATGTGCTTCAGTGCCGAGAATTCGCTCGGTGTCGCTATTCGTATTTGGGCACATTGCTGTTTGTACTCCGTACTCGGTCGTAAAATAGAAACGGCACTTCAATGAGCAATGCGATGAAAAGAGAGGCACAGTCACCACATCCGAACACGCGTCGCTGGTGTATGTATGCTGGTGACGGCGACGTGTATATGTATGCATGTGTGCGGCACATCGCGTTGGTTGCGAATGAGTGATATCGAACGATATCCATCCTCTGAAGGAAAAATAGAAATAAAATATGGAGGCCTAGGTATTAGAGCGATGTTACGGTTTCGCGTGTGCTGTACTGTGTGTTGTGTCAGCTCCCCGATTTTCGAATTGTGGAAAGAAAAAAATCACACCAAATTTTTTGCTCATTACAAACGTGAGTATCGTATTTTGCTAATTAATTGTGTAACAAATGGATTTTTCATCGAACATTCGATTGACAAATGTGTTGAGTGTGAGAAATTTTTAAAATTGTTCGACCCAATTTTTACGCTTTAAGAATAATTCTTTGCTGATTTTTTGCCATTGATTCGACGGCTCGTACTCATACGTATGAATTGCACAACCAAAAATTATAAATCATCACATTTTGACGCAGTAAATTTTCATTCGGAAAACGAAGAGAAGAACATTATTTTTTGCTACAGCGAATTGTCGAAAAAATGATTCCGTGCATTTTTCATTTTGAGTCGCAATGCGCGTGTGTGTATTTGTAAATTCCACGGTACCATCATTCATACACGGTCAAGTTGTATGGTTGTTCGCTATCGGTACACAGGCGCATTCACCGACAGCAACCAAAATACGGAAAACTTGTGAAATCTCATTCGGAATGCATTCGAAACGACAGAGAGTAGAAGAAAAAAAAAACGCGGACATATATAAGCAATTTTCTCTGCCGCAAACGGTTACCGTTGGATGTTTAGTCATGTACGACACAACCGAACGAACAGATAACGAGAGAACGAGAACGAGAGAGAGAGAGAGAGCGCAGCGCGGGTGTTTAGTTGCAGCGCTGCTCAGTTGTTTGATCAATATGCAAATGCCAAAATACAACGGTTCTCGGTGTGTTATGTGTGCTATGAAAGTCAGCCAATGTCTGTGTAATTATGCTTTGGTGCCACTAGCAAGGGAAATTTGAGAACGGTCAAGTCTGAGAGTGCGGAACGTAATCGAATATATGTACAATGGCGCATTGTTATGAGTAATATATTGTCTGTATGTGCGTCTCACAATACGTACACATGTGGTGACCTTGATTTTCTTCCTTGGCTCGACACAGCTCAATTACTACATTTTATTTACCTAAATACGCGCTCAAATAGACCACTGAATATTTGCCACGCTCATGGACATCATTCTGCTGCTGATTCTTCCGTTTTCTTCTTCTTCTTCTCCGTCATACGAGAGAGAGAGAGATTTGTTGTCTTTTTTATGTTGTGTTTCGCTTTTTATGCAGTCAGAAACGAAGACGTTTGTGCGAGACTTTTTGTCGGCAATCCGTCATTTGATCCAGTGAGCGTATATTATTCGATACGTTGACTGATGAGGAACGAGCACAATTGCTATTTGTTGCATTTGAATTATCTATGTCGATTTTTGAATTTTGTATAGCCCTGAATTTACTTTATCACACTCGTTTGGTTTCTAACACACATTTGTTAATTTGTGATAATCCAATTTATGGCCTTGCGTAAGAGACGATCGAACGAAGCGAAAAAAATTCCTTTCGAGAATAGGAGCTAATGAATCATATTGTATCTCTTTGTGGTAGTTAAGTTTAACGATTTACGATTTGAAAAAAAATAAGTCAACCGATATCGGCATGCCATAAGAAAAAACTCTGCCATTTCGAAATGTGCGAACCATTAATTCGAATTATAGTTGTTGCCATATACTTTCCCAATAAAAACTGTATTTTCTCTTTCTTCCAAATAGATCCATCCGCAGCAACAGCAACAGCACTAGCAGATATCAATGTAATTAAAAAGTGGCAAATTGTAGCGAAATCGAAAGAGAAGTCATAAAACCAAGTGAAGTACGCAGAACGTGTACACTGTACAGTCGATTGTATAATAGCAAAGGAAAAGAATAGAATTGTCGCAGTAAACCTTGAATGAACGGTGAAACGAAAAGAAAGTATATTCTCATTGAAACCAAAAGAGGAAATAGTCAAACAAAATATTAGAATAAAAAAAAAAACGAAACTGTGTGACAAAAACGGCAGGGATTTCGAGCAAACCCCAAACCAGCGACCGAGTATAATATGCCTGCAATTTCGACGCGTTTTCCAACGACAAGAAGTACGTACTTGCCATCCAGCACAGTTGAATCGTATCGAAAATCCAGTTATTCGAGCAGCGGCATCGGCAGTGGATCGAGCGCTTTCGTCGACATCCCATTTCGTCGATCGAGCTTGATTGGATCCTATCGAAGTGTTAATGGAGATGATACATCAACAGCATCCGGCCGATCTGGAGTAAGTACACGATACACGTCCACGTCCTACACCATACCATCAACAACCAGTACATCGTTCACACGCAAAAGCATTGATCGTGATTTTCGTAGTAAGCCACCAATCGGGTCCCGTGTTCGATCCGAAAGTCGTTTCCGTGATTTATCATTGGACAATGGCTACACCACATCATCAACCATAAAACCAATTATCGATTCATCACCACACTCACTGACCAATTCGAAACGTTTATCCACCTCATCATTAGCACGAACAGTTGCAACGTCTGGTGCCGATTTATACGATAAATACAGTGTTGCCAATTATAAACCAAGTTGTGAATTGTCACGTTCTAGATCGCTGACTGATTCCAAACTAATTGACTCACTAAATGCAAATCACCATTCAAGCTCAAGGCGATCCACATCTAAGGATCGCATCTCATCCGGTTCACTTTTAGCTGGCAGTGCAAGCGATAGGGACTATCTATCAAACCATCGATCAACATCACCGATTAGCGCAAGTGTGAAGGTAAATCGAAAACGTGAGGAATAGAGACCAGTGTGTTTGTGTGTGCGTATGTTGTGTGGTGCCAATTCAGTGTGTTCGTTTGACAAAACCACCTCCTTCACTAATACGATTCCAATGGATTACAAGAACGAGACTGAATTGATCACGCCATCGTTATGCTGAGCTCAGAACAATTCAAAGTTCAACATGTGCTGAAATTAAGAGCATTTCGTACATGAATCATTTTAAGTCGAACGAGTAATTAGCTTATGAGTAATTCATTATCCATCCATGTTGCAGTTTGAAAATTCTGAGCTCAACATAACAATTGCATGACAAACGTCTCAATTTGATACTAATACCGATTTTATTTTTCAAAACAAAAATTTAACATTAACTAATAGAAACTCGTCAGCAATGGCGCGAATAACCCATTGAGTAATTCGATTGTTGTGAGTTCGGCATCCCTGACTAATCAAAATAACGCAAGCAAACTAAATAGAAGAACAAACATTTCGTCCATTGAAATTGGCACGAAATGCGGTGCTATAAAAAAATCTCCACCTAAGGTATCGACGACAGGCAACGGCTCTGGCGTGTGCGCGAACGACACAAAAACAAATAGTGTGGCCAGTGTTCTCACAGTAAATAGTAAAGTGAATAAAACGAATAATAATCAAAATCAGACTATGAATGGCTATAAATCGATGAACGGAACAATCGCCATTCAAAATCTCAACAATAATAATGAGAGAAAGGCAGTTTTGTCGAGTGATTCATTTAAACGTAGACTTGGCACGAATCCACTGTCACCCTATCGAAATCCAGACTTTTTGAAATGTGAATATGATTTAGCACGTAGTCAAGTAGTGAATTCGAGATCAAGATCTGCGTGTGGTGAAAAGAACAATAATAATATAACTAGTGAACTAAGTAAAACCAATGGATTAACGTCAACATCACTGACATCATCACCAGCCAAAGACTCGAACCGTAATAAAATTACAATATTTGGCGTGAATTCAGCATCACCGTCAATAACAACCAGTTCATCGAATTCCACATTGGTTGAAGTTTCCTCAAAATGTGTCAAACCAACAGAACCAACCGATAACAATTCGAATGAAAATATGAACGCAAACTGTGTTCAACAGCACACCGTCGACATTCTAGATGACATTAAATTTATTGATAGTGACGATTCAGAACGAAGACATTCGCCAGGCACGGTGAATGTGGCTTTGCTTAAAGAATATTTCAATGACAACATGGCGCTAAGCAAAAGCATTAAAAACACATCAACACTCCCAACCACCGGAGCATCCAAAAAACTCAATGAATTGTTTACAAACAAATACAATACGATCACGAATGGCAATTGTGCACATCAGGCAAACGGCCATTTCGGAAATGGAATCGCCCGCAAGGCGGTACCAGAGGAAATGCTCTCGTCAACATCATCGTCAACGTCGACACTGTCGGCAATGACCGAGTCATCGACATCGTCATTGCTGGCCAAAAGTTCGACAGCTAAAGAAAATGGCACCACAATCAAACTGAATCAGAACCTAAATCATTTAGATGGTGGTGATTCCGTAAGTGTAAGTGCATGCGCTGGAATAACTCTTTCGTTCTATTTCTTCCTTCGACCATTGACCATTTAAACGTGATACTTTTTCTCATGGATTTCTTGGTTTTATTTGATTGTTGCTTTGCACTCATTTTACTAAAAGCTGAATTGAAATTCATTATTTTAACTCATCCAACATTCATATTTTCAACTCTATTGACATTCCGCCGAAAGCATTGCCTCGTACTTGACCATGCAATTAAACTGAATTATTCCATATTATTCACAGATAAGAAATAGTTCCGTCCGAGCCGCCTTGCCACCAACACCGAATCGCGATGGAAAAACAACATCGTCATCAATTTCTAGTCGAATTCTACCCGATACGGATGCCTTCACAAAGTCACTTGCAGCTAGCTCAATTTCGGATAAAACATCCGATACCGATAATACAGAAGGTAAAATGGATGGAAAAAATATGTATATGAATAACATGGTTGTGTGCCAATTCAAATCCATATGCGTCGTCTACTTTGATGCTTTTATTTCGTTCGCCCGAATATTGATTGATGTAAACAATTTTCGGTGACAAAAATATATTAATTTAAAATGGCACGTCTTCAAGTTATTTTGTCAAATGTTCCAAAATTCGATGTACTAAAAAAGTAATAATCGTAAAAAATATTGTGAATATTTCCACTAACTTTATACATGTTTTTTCCTACTCTTTCGTGTGTATTTCCAATCGTCGACATTGACCTTCCGCATTTATGTACACCCAAGGACTGTGCGGCCTTCGTAACATAGGCAATACATGTTTCATGAACTCAATCATACAGTGTTTGGGCCATACCAAAGATTTGACGCGTTACCTCAAAACAAAAATCGACATTCGTTCGTCTACGGCAGCCAAAGATTCGCGAATAGTTACGGAATTCTCCAAATTAATCAAAGAAATGTGGACTGGTGCGACCAGTTCGGTGACGCCAAGTGAATTAAAATTAGCATTCTCATTGAAACATCGAATGTACAGTGGCTGTTCGCAGCAAGATGCTCAGGAGTTTCTGCGATTCTTTTTGGATGCTCTGCACTGCGCACTGAACAATGGAACCAAAGGTGAAAAGCTCGAAATTGACGAAAGTCTATCGGACAACATTAAGGCTGACCGAACATGGGAATGGTATTCAAAGGTGGAAAAATCAGTTATCAAGGACTTGTTCGTTGGCCAATTGAAAAGCTCATTGAAGTGCACCGTCTGCGGAAACAGTAGCGTTACGTTCGATCCATTCTGGGATTTGAGGTAAAGTTCAAGGAATCATTTGCAGCTGTTATTTTGCTACACTTTGCTGTTTTTTTTTTTTCTCCTTTTCAATTTTCGTATACTCATGGACATTTTCCTCCGTTTTTCATTCTTTTCACAGTGTGTCGCTACCAACATCAAGCCGTTGCAAATTGGAAAGTTGCTTGGATTTATTCATAAAAGAGGAGGTCTTGGATGGTGACGAAATGCCAACCTGTTCGAAATGCAAGACTCGCCGAAAAAGTACCAAAAGTTTCACAATTCAACGTTTTCCAAAATATTTAGTCATTCGTAAGTGTTGATGATGTGAATCACACAATGTGATCTAGGCTCAGAAATCTTCTATTCATCGTGATTCATTTATTTTCATTTATTTGTCTCACTTTTTCTTCGTCACGCAGATCTGAAGCGTTTCTCGGAAACACGTTGGAGTAAATTGACGAACATTGTTGAGTTCCCAACTGGCGAACGGGAATTAAATATGGCACCATACGCGGCCAATTCAGCCTCAGTACAATACACTTTGTATGGCATTTGCAATCACATGGGTAAGTGACTTTAATTCTTTGGAAACCAGGATATTGTTGTCTTTTTGGCAAAATCATGATGACTTGCTATTCCATTTCCTAGGATCAACGGCTGGAGGTCATTATGTGGCTGTTTGTAAACATCCAACAACTCGAAAATGGCACGAGTTCAACGATAACATGTAAGATGTAAACAATTTCCATCGCGATATTATTTGGCTAATTTCATTCTGTTTTCATTTTTCAGTGTTAGTCCGATCTACGAAAGTGGTTTGATTTCGTCCAGTGCTTACGTGCTGTTTTACGAACGAGTGTAAGGAATGAACATTTTTTCAACCAAATCTATCCAAAATAAAAAGTGAACACAGACAACATATAAGCAAATCTACGATAAATTTAGCTGAAAAAAAAAAAATCACACACCTAACAATTTCAACAAAAAGAGTCATAAGGAAATATGAAAATTGTTGAGAGAGAAAAAAATTGCTTGAGATATGAAATAAGATGTGAAAAAGTCAAATTGTGTACCAAATATGATGAAATTAATTGTGTGAGATCATGGAGAGTAATGCTATGCGTCGATAGATTTTGAACACTCAATTTTTTTTTCAGAAATAGTCAATAATAACATAATAGAACGATTGTAAATAGCTAGCGAAATGGGCAAACGAGTTGAAGTTTAAATTTGAATATGAATATGCGAGTGTAGCCGAAGGTGAACACTGAAAATGATTTAATGAATACAACGCAGGCACACCCAATTCATAGCATAGATAGCATATTCAGAAGTCTATTTATTTGATATTTATTTATTTATTTGTTTTTTTTTTTCTACGATAACTTATTATACCGAGTTGTTTTTTCTTTACAAGTCACATGTGTTTGTGTCCATTGACTTAATTTATTTCAATTTCCCTTCGTTTTTTTTGTAGTTGTTGTTATTTCGTCCATTTAAGTTTTTTTTCGGTTTTCTACTATTTGTTTTATTTTCTCTCTCTCTCTCTTTCTTTCTCTCCATTCAATCTTCTCTAGGCATGAAATCAATCAGAATAATTTAGTCAATGCGTCCAAGCATCAAACAAAGCAAATTTTTCATAATTTTTTGTCAAAATTACCGTTGTCATCATCTAGTCATTATTGGAATGTAACCAATCATTTCAGCAATCAAAACTCAACGCATGCAACACATTCACTCAATTATGAGCTTTTTAACAATCCAAATGCAAGTGTGAGCACGTCAATGCAAAATCAACACGACAAACAATTCGCTATAAATTTCAACAACGAGCTTCTACACCGGCACTTCAATCAAACCGCCGCTATATCCAATCAAAATTACTATCATGGATTTCAATATTACGGTCTAACCGATTCCTGTGCTCGTTCCACATGCAAACATCGTCGAGCATCGCAATTAATCGATCATATCTCTGAACTCATTGCACATTTCATGGGAAACTATCACGTAATCTCACATGTTATCATTGGAATCGCATTCTACGTTATTCTTTTTTACTTTATTTATTGCATCAAATGAGCCACATCAAAATGAAACTAATGAAACTGGCTCTTGGTCGACATTGACTCATTCGATCATACATACATGCGTTGTATGTGACGTTCCGAACTCACAAGAAAAGAAAATTCGTTGAAAATTTACTGAACGATTTAGATTGCATCATTTAATATACGATAGTCCTTCGAAAAAGAAAGTAAAAGCATTGTAAACCATCTGTTGTTTGACTTTTGCTTCTATTTTTTCTTTTATTTGTTGTTATCTTCATTCGTAAGCGTTCAAAAATCAGAGTAAATGAAAACAAAATATTTTGTATGATTTTTTTGTTAGACTATATGAACATTTATCAAATGTTATTTCTTTCGGAGCCGAAGAACGAATTAGGAATCGAAATAATTTCTATGCAAATATGTATTTATTAGGGCGGTGAAACGAGATGTAATGTGTATTTTTGTAAGTGCAGACAAATGTGTGTTTGTAACGAGGAAAAAAAAGGAAAGTAACTGCAACCGACAAAAGAATGTAAAAAAAAAGTATAAGTTTGAAAAGTGAACGTTGAAATGTAAATAGCCTTATACATATATGCATACTGGCAAAGAATTTAGGTTCAATCAAAAAACCAAAACAAAATCCAATTAAAATAAACTTATGAAATCTTTTATCTGGTCAATAGAATGTTGGTCCAGGCTTTTGTGTCGAGATGTAGAATTTGTCGAACTAAACGACCAAAGTTTGCAAAGGTTTTACATACGAAGAAAAAGATGTGTTCTTGTAATTGTCCACAGTTGAAGGGAATGGAACAAAAATGGTTTGTCATTGACATTGAAAACGAAGCATTGATGTAATCAAAACTTTACATGCTTCGCATTTCTTTGAGATGGGCCATTTTTACACCAGAGCCGTCAATTGCTAAATTTACCCAAAAATCACACTATTTTCGCTCTGTACCGAGACTTAGACGTTAATCAAACGGAACGGTTCTCTGGAAACAAAATGTGAAGAAGAGCAATGAACATCCACCGTACGATGTTCATGACGAGAGCAAATGTAACAACATGTGATAAATTTCTAACAAAACTGTATAAATGTAAAATGTGCACTTGAATTTATTTGTAGGCCATACACACACAGTGACACACACTCACACAAACACTAAATTAGACAACTCAGTTGATTTCTTCGGTTAAATTTGATTCTCTCTTGTGTTTTTGTTTTGCCTGAGTCTATTTTGGCATTGCAGCATGACGAAAAAAATAAAACTTACGCAAGTCGTGTGAGATGAACAAATTTAGAAATATGATGAAATTATAAAATTGTTTCATTAAAAATGAAAGATGTATATTTTATTTATCTGTAAATATGTAAGATTGATGAAAATGGAGAACATTTAATGTAACATTTATATTCAAAAGCATGGCAAGTCTAATAAATAAATAAAGGAATGATATTGTATCACAATATTGCTATGATTTTGTAAAACAGCAAGGGAAGTACGGCAAATAAATTGGGTGTGGAAGTTAAGTTTTGATCGGTTTAATGGCGATCTATTGTTCTAAATCATGAGAATATTTCGCGTTAATTTTAACTGAATCAATCTAGTTGGGATGATTCTTTTTTTCATTCTCGCAACAATTCTAACTACCAATTTATGCTCATAGATGGCGCTGCGTAGCCAACTTCATAACATTGTGAAATACGGAAAATCAGGCAACGACATGAATGACAGAAGTCATTGTTTGCGCGCCAATCGTACTGTAAGTGCGTTTCTATTTTGTTCTCCTTTTTTGGCGTACCAGTCCTTGTTTGTGGAAAGAATCGTGTATATTTCGTGCTAAAACCTGAATTATTCTGTGTATATCGAGTAATTAAATTGAATTAACGTAAAGTCATTGTTTTCCTGTTGGTTATTTATCGTAAAATTTCAAACAAAGCAAAATGAGCACGCCACAACTAACCACTGGCTGCTTACAGGTAAAGAATCGAGTTGATTTTGTTGTCGACCAAATGTTTCCGCTGGAATGTTGTTTAATTTTTGCAAATGGCTCAATTTGTGCGGTTTTGATTCCTTTCCTTTGATTAGCAAATAATGACTGGCGATGTGTACGAAGGAGAGCCAATTTTGCAAGTGCTCGGTTCAAAGCGTATTGCAGGTGGCAACGCTGAACGATACCGTCTTTTACTCTCCGATGGCCAGTATTTGCAAAGTTTTTCCATGCTTTCAACACAATTGAATCATTTGGTTAACGAAGGACAATTGGTAGAATTCACAATCATCAGAGTGAATCAACACATCACGTCTGTGGTGAACAAGAACGAAAATGATGAAAGGTACGTGTTTAGTTTGATTTTGATAGGGGAAGATTTTGACATTGTTTGCTTTGTTTTTCTTTCTCTCACATAGTCGCCGTGTTCTGATAATTGTTGCATTGGAAGTTTTGAAAAATGGCGCAGAAGTGGGTGAAAAAATTGGCGAACCGGTTAATTTGTCCGAGCTTAAGGCAAAACCGGCTACGGCTGCTGCTGCAGCACCCGAGCCACAACGAAACGTTATAAATACAAACTCGAATGCATTGCCTCCGCCACGCACACAACGGCCAAATATGAATGAATCGGTGGCGTTCGATGGCCGTGCAACGATTCCAATCAGCGGATTGAGCCCATACCAGAACAAATGGGTGATTAAGGCTCGAGTCACAGCTAAGCCACCGATTCGTCATTGGAGCAATGCGAAAGGTGAAGGAAAGCTCTTCAGCATGGATTTGATGGACGAAAGCGGACAGATTCGTGTCACAGCGTTCCGTGATCAAGTCGACAAGTTCTATGATATGATTGAGGTATATTGGAGAAATCATTTTTATTAAATCATAATTTGACTATTCGCTTTTGTGCATCGCAGGTGGACAAAGTCTACTATATCTCGAAGGGACAGCTGAAGCCAGCCAACAAAACCTATTCCAACATACCAAACGACTACGAGATGACGCTCAGTAACGATACTGTGATTCAAGAATGCATAGAAGACCTTGACGATGTCCCAACGGTGAAATACGATTTCATCCCAATCAACGAGATTGCGGATAAGCCAGCCAACACGGTTGTCGGTGAGTTTGAAACAAATCAATAAACTATCAACAGACAAGTTCACGGAAATAACGAGCCATTTATTGAAAATAACAAACAAAACAATCTTCGCGATAAGATATTGCTGACAGTGATTGCCTTTTAATTGTCGTTAGTTTACTAATTTGTGTGTCATCAATTTTCACAGATATAATTGGTGTTTGTCGCGACGTTGGTGATCTCGTTGCATTCACAGCTAAATCAACTGGAAAAGAGTTGAAGAAACGTGAAATTACATTGGTTGATAACTCGTAAGTACCGCTGACTTTGCTATTTATGTTTTATGCACGCGTTCATAATGCGGCCGACAAAAAAACATCGATGACAAAACCATACATAGCGATTCAGTAGACTCATTTGTTGAATGTGTTATATTCATTTTTGTTTCGCAGCGATGCATCGGTGAGTCTGACATTATGGAATGCAGATGCCGAGAATTTCAACGATTGTGGCCAACCCGTTCTATTGGTTAAAGGCGGCCGTATCGGTGAATTCAATGGTGGAAAATCGATTTCATCGATCGGCAGCACTGTATTGAAGAAGAACCCCGACTTGAAGGAAGGTCATTATCTACGTGGATGGTTCGATAATGGTGGTGGACGAGAGATTCGAAACAGCATTTCAGCACAAAGTGGCGGCGGTGGTGGTAACTACGCTGCCGAATGGTTAACATTCCACGAGGCCAAATTGAAGAATCTCGGCAATGGCGACAAACCGGATTACTTCCAAATCAAGGGCACTGTCAGCTTGATTCGAAACACAAACATAGTCTATAAGGCTTGTTCACAAGATCAGTGCAAGAAGAAGGTCGTTGACATGCAAAACGGCCAATATCGATGCGAAACTTGCAACGTTGAATCCGCCAACTTCAAGTATCGCATGATTGTCAACGTGAGTGGAAAAAATGTTCAAAATTTTCGCATCAATAGTTTCAAAGTAAACTTTCTTTCCATAGATGAGCATTGCCGATTGGACATCTAACCGTTGGGCAACAGTATTTACAGACGATGCTGAAAAGATGCTTGGTATAGATTCATTCAAGTTCGGTCGAACGATTGTGGTTATGTTTCATGTATTCGTCATTTGTTTCAGGCAAAACATCCGATGAAATTGGTCACTTGGTCGATAATGATCCAGAAACGTTGAATACGTTCCTTCAGTCACAACATTTTCGACCATTTATGTTCAAGTTGCGCTCAAAAGTGGAAACATACGGTGACAATCAGCGCAACAAGATTTCAGTTCAATCCGCCGCTCCACTCAACTACAAGGAATATAATGACTACTTGATTAACAACATTCAGCGGCTAACTGGTGTTGGAAAACATTGAATTTCCTACTTAAGCTGCACCTAATCATCAGCTGATATGATAAGCAGATAGCGAAGCTAGCTTTAAAAGCATTTGTATGAAAAAATCGAACGCGTTCGTCATTGTTATTCATTTTTTTTTCTTTTTTTTTCATAATAATAAAACACATTCGTGTATAAGCAAAAAAAAAATCATTTATTATCTACGATTTTTGAAAGCATTCCCATTTGAAATGGAATAAAAACAGTGAATATTTGTCACAAAGCAATCGTTGTGTGTCTTTTTAATGAATTAATGATGGAACAATCTCAAGTTGGTGTGAGCCAAAATGATTCCGAGTTGATTGCAGGCTTCGATGACGCCGGCATCGTTTGTTGAACCTGACGGGCTGCCGATGTAGCTAACACCGCTCTGTGAATAAAACATGAAATCAATTTGAATTCTCTGCTATTTAGGAAAGAAAAAGACAACTATTTTGATTCGGGATGCATGTTGATACAAACCAATTTTGCGCGATCGATGTTATCTCTGAATGGAAAGAAGGCATCGGATCCCAATGCAACTCCGGACAATTTTGAGGCCCATTCCTTGCGTTCGGCATCAGTTAAGAATGAGGGCACTTCATCGAACAGCGACTCAAATTGTGCCAATGGCAAATCCTTTCCAACCGTTCCCAACACATAATTATCAATAGCGTTCGAGATATCAGCACGCTTGACTCCTGCTTTGAATTTAAGGTTCAAAACTCTTGGGTGGTGTCGCAACCACCAATTATCTGCCTTATCTCCCGCTAAGCGTGTACAATGAATACGCGACTGTTGACCTGCACCGATTCCAATTACTTGACCATCGCGCGCATAGCACACAGAGTTGCTAGATTGAAATAAATTTTCAGATTGATCACGGTTATGATGTTATGAAACACGTTTTTTTTTTTAAATATACATTCGCTATCGATTCATTTTTTTTTTTAAATCTCACCTCTGAGTGTATTTCAAGGCAATGGTCGCAACGATTAAATCACGAACAGCAGTAAGTGGCAGCGATTTGTGTCTGCTCACAATGTTAGTAAATACTGCGCTATCAATGAGAGCATCGTTTCTTTTTTGTTCTAGAGTCAAACCGAACAATGTTTTGCGTTCAATTGGACTTGGCTCATATGATGGATCGATCTGGGAAAAAAATAGTTGAAATTTCAAAGATTTAGACAACATATCGGTACTTTTGAAATGGAAAAAAATTGAATTTGTTATCAGTAAGTCTAGCAGATAAAATTCGAAAATTTTATTGGAATTCTACCTGCAACACACAGTATGCGCCATTCTTCTTCTTTTTCAAGAGTGCTAAGGCTTCGTTAGAGTAACCAGGAGCGATAATACCGTCTGATACTTCACGTGATATGATCTGTTTTGAGCAAGAAAAATATCAAAGATAAATTGCTTTAGAAATGTTCTTCTCTCGAGGAACAAAAAAATGAACAAAAATTTACTAGAAAAAGATTCAGCTTCCATGAACCTTTTTACCTTGGCAGTAGCAACATCGCATTTTTCTGAAATGGCGATAAAGTCCCCGAATGATGACATACGATCGGCACCTCGAGCACGAGCATAGGCAGTAGCCAATGGTGTGAGTTGATCGTACATATCGTCGACTTGGCACAATTTGGCTTCGTCACGACTCAGTGGCACAGCAACAGCAGCCCCAGCTGGTGAGACATGTTCTGAATAGAAAAAAAATCCAATTAGAATTGAAAATTAAATTCGAATTTGAAAAAACAAAACATTTCATTCAAAAAGATTCTCATTATCTTACTAAAGCTTGTAGCGGCTGGTAGGTCCAATGCGCTGCTAAGTTCGCGCACCAATTGCCATGCATTCAAACCGTCACAAAGATTGATGAAACCAGGTGATCCGTTGACAACACGCAATGGAAGCTTCTCCAATGTGGTGAACAATTGGGCTGGCTTTTGATGTGGGTTCATGCCGTAACGCAAAGTCAATTGCGAATCGGTTGGTGAGTATGTTTTACGGAAGTAGTCAGAGATTGCGTCATCGTATTGGGCTGTGTGTGTGAACGCTTTCAATGCCAATTTTTGACGGGTTTTTTCAGTTGTGTCTCCGCTCTGTTTGATCTCCTGAAGGGCTTTGCTGTAATCACTTGGATCGCACAAAACAGTGACACGTGCATGATTCTTAGCTGCTGCACGAAGCAATGTAACACCACCGATGTCAATATTTTCAACGGCGTCAGCAACAGTAACGTTCGGCTTCGATACAGTATCAACGAATGGGTACAAATTGCAAACGACAACTTGAATGTAATCGTAGCCTTGACGTTTCAAATCGGCTTCATCTGATGCAGTAACACGGGCCAGAATACCACCATGAACAGCCGGGTGCAAAGTTTTCACACGACCACCAAGCATTTCCGGGGCATTTGTAATGTCCGAAACATCTTGAATCTTCAATCCAGCATCGCGAATGGTCTTTGCCGTACCACCACTTCCGACCAAACTGAAGCCAAGGTTTTGCAATTGTCTGGCCAAATCCAAAACATCGGTCTTATCCGAAACACTCAACAATGCTATAAAAAAATACATTTGATTTTATTAATTCGTTCAGTTGAAAATAAACCATGATACTAAGTGCTATCTTTAGAATTTAGTGATAAGAAAAATGAGCACTTTCAATTGGATTGAAAGAAAAAGTGATTTCGTAAACGAATGTTGAATCCCGATGAATTAATTATAATTATTAAAAAATCATGATGCAATTGATGCAAACAACTATGATTAGATCTACATGTTGAAGTCAAAAACAAGATTATTTTTACCAAATTTCTTTGTAGATGCCATGTTTGATTGAATGGACACTTAAAAATTCCACTAATGTTCAATAAAAAGCTATTTGTCGAATACTGCTCAAAAGCAAACTGAACTAATTTCAATGATTGGAAACAACAAGTGGTTGAGATTTTTTAATTATCAAGTTATTTTGTGCGTCGTTCACGATGATAACAAGGATTATCAAGAGGTTAAGTGTCAGTTGAAGCGGTCAAATGAACCACCATGTGAGCAATGCTCTGTATTCAGCAGTTTGTACAACGATAAGCAAACACTGTTTTTGTTTGTCTCAATATCTCGTTAGAGCCGTTGTTGTGCACGCTGATTCACGTTTCGCACTTGGTTCACTTGAGCTGCTACGTTTGTGGTTATGACACAAACAATACACAGAGTAGGGTGGCCAGAGAATGTTATTCCACAAGATTTGTGTTTTATTGTCTGAAAATAAAAATTGAAGCTTGTTATCAACATATGTATAAATTTTAATTTGACTGCAGTCTGCACCAAATTCTGAAAAAAAAAATCGAGTCACTCTAATAATCAAGCTTGCTAATACCCAGACATGCGATCTCTCATTCCATTCGTGTGTGTTTGTGTGTTGATTTTATTAACCAACAAATCGTGCGCGTATTCTTGAGTCAAGTTAAGTGTGTCAGAAAACCGGTGTGTGATGACGGCTGTCTGTTTGCATGTGTATTCAGCACGTTTGCTGAATGAGGAGAAAAAATGTTCCGTAAATAAGGGAAAAACAATTCGTTTTCTTGATTTAATGCCAAATAAATTTTATTTGACGGTTTGAAAATATAGTAAATCTCTCTTCTTTATTTTTTTTTTTCTGTCGCAATCTATTTTGACGTTTTACATTTTCGTTTCTTTATGCAAGGAATAATGAATTTACAAAATAATTATGGAAAAATTGCATTAAATCACAACATTAATATACAAATCAGTTTCCATGCATGAAGAAAGACTGATTTAATGTTCGATTGAAATTGAGCCCGTTGTTTAATGAAATGTTAGAGAGTTAAACGGATTTCCGATCATATAAACATTTAATCACGAAATAAATACTTAAGAGAAAAAATATTCAGTCGTTGAATCAGCATTAATAATGATGATGATGATTGTTGTTTTGATTCGTAGTACGAATGGTTTTCAAAGTGGATCAGCGGGCAGCATTCTAAGTAATTTCAAACACTGGTCTCAATATGTGATTTGATCATAAATAAATGATAATAAATGTTATGCCAATTGGCAAACAGTTGACCTAATTTTCTAAGTGGTGGCTGGGAATGAGTTTACAACTCGTCATGCTCTTCATTGGTATTTTCACTATCGTCAGCTTGTGTGCGGTCTTCTTCGGAATTGTCTTCGGTGTTTTCATCTTCTTGTGGAATGTCTTCCTCCTCTTCGACTTGTTCATTTTCCGAGATGCCCAATGTTTGTCGCATCAGTTTTTCGACGCTGTCGGCAAATTCGGCTGATTCTTGAAGTGAGAAACCAGATCGAAGTGTTGCTGTACGGAACATAATCAATGCCAATTCCTTTGCAGAATCAGCCTCATCGTTTTCAACACGGCGCAAAAGTTCTGTGGCAAAAAAAGTGTCGTTAGTATTTTAGTTTTTGGTCGTTCAATTTTGAATAAGAATTTGTCCAATGTTCAAAATGTTGTTCTTTACCTTTGATAAGTGGATGTCTTGGATTAATTTCCAATGCCTTCTTCTGTGACAAATGGTACTCACGCATTGGGTCGTGCGTCTTTTGATGAGCGTTCGACATAGCCAATCGTTCCATGTTACCTGTTGATCGAAATTATTTCAATGCGTTAACAAAATTTGACAAAACATTGCAAGAAAAATCATTTGAAATTCAACGTTAAATTTAAATCACAAACTTACCAGTCCATCCAAAAACGTTAGCAACCAATGCGCATGGTGATTTTCTCAAACGTTCTGAGATGACAGCTTTCGTGATGCGGCCCTTCAATGCTTCATCGTTCAGCCATTTGATGAGCGGTTCAAATAGTTTGGTCAATGTTTCCAACTTGGCCTTTGCATCATCTGATGAGTCCAATGTGAAACCTTCCTTTGCAATGTTTTGGAATTTCTTTCCACCGAATTCCGGCAATGAAGAAATGGCGTATTCATCAACTGGTTCTACCATGAACAACACTTCGTATCCACGAGCAAGCAATCGTTCGACGAATGGCGAATTTTCGACTTCATCGCGATTGGCACCGGCCAACCAGAAGATGTGTGTTTGTTTTGGTTTCATGCGTGCTACATATTCCTCGAGACTGGTGAGGTTCTTGCTGGCAGACGATTGGAAACGCAATAATTTTCCAAGTCGTGAACGATTGCTTGGATCTTCCATCAATCCCAACTTGATGTTTGTTGAGTATTCTTTCCAGAATTCTGGATACTTTTCAGCGCTAATCTTCTTGATCATATCGAGTACCTTGCGAACCAGCTTCTTCTTGATAACCTTGATCAATTTGTGTTGTTGAAGTGTTTCACGTGACACGTTCAATGGTAAATCGTCTGAATCGACCAAACCACGAATGAAATTTAAGTAGTTTGGCATGATGTCATTGAATTCGTCGGTGATGAACACACGACGCACGTACAATTTGATATTTTCCGATTTGGTGCCGTATTTGTTGAAACTTTCCGATGGTTGCACTTTTGGCACATACAAAAGTGATTTGAATGTAACCTCTCCCTCGGCAACGAAGTGAGTGTATGTGAATGGTTTTTCGTTGTCTTTCGTCAAACTCTTGTAGAATTCAACATATTCATCTTCTGGGATCTCGGCAGGTTTGCGAGTCCAAATTGGTTTATTGACATTCATCAATTCCCAATCCCATACGGTCTTCTTTACGGTCTTTGTCTTTGGTTTCTTTTCATCGGTTTCCTCTTCGACCTGAGAGAGTTATAAGAGATGAAAAAAGAATTTTGTTGAAATCATATTTCAAATTGAAAGGTACTTGAACCATTTGAACTATACACTTTTTTGTTTGACTGTTCGGACACTTGGTATGTTTCATTCTTCTCTTCAAATACATTTTAGCACAACCATACACCAAGATAAATGATTGGGGCTTACCTTTGCATCTTCATCACCATCTTCAACAGTTTCATCTTCAGTTTTTTCTTGTGGTTTCTCTTCTTCGATGACTTCCTCCTCCTCAACAGTCTTGCTCGACCAGAGGTAAATCGGGAAGTTGATGAATTGCGAGTATTTCTTGATCAGTCCCTTAATGGTGTCTTCTTCTAAGAAATCAGCAGCTTCATCTTTAAGGTACAATGAGATCTGTGAGCCGCGTTTCAATGTGTCACCACGTGGATCTTCAATGATTGAGAAACTGCTTGAGTCACTTTCCCAAATTTGTTGAACATCATTGTTGTGTTTTGATGTGACAACCACACGGTCAGCAACCAAAAATGCCGAGTAAAAACCGACTCCAAACTGACCAATCATATCATTTGCACTTGTTTCCGGATTGTCTTGAACTTTCGATAAGAAATCAGCGGTGCCACTCTTAGCGATTGTTCCAAGATTGGTGGCGAGATCTTCTTTGGTCATAGCAATGCCCGAATCGATGATGTGCAAGATTTTATTGTCTTTGTCAGCTTGGACTCGAATGAACAATTCGGGGTTGGTTTCGAGCTCCGTTCGGTTTGTCAATGACAACATTCTGATCTTGTCGAGAGCATCGGAAGCATTCGAGATCAATTCACGCAAGAAAATCTCCTTGTTGCGGTACAACGAGTTAATGATGAGTTTCATCATTCGGCTGACTTCAGTTTGGAAGACCTTCTTCTCCGCCTGTTAATTAAACAAACGAACATCTGGTTAGATTCACTGATAAAAAAACTAAAACTTGCACTTAATTTAGAATAGAGGGGCGTACAAGGCCACGTAATCTCTTTGTAAATGTTATCATTCTATTCATTATCGAAGTATTTTGCCTAACTCATAAATTCGGCTTTCATTATTAGTTTCAATCAAAAACAATTATACGTAGTATTATCGTACCTTATCTCGTAGTTCTTTGATCTGTGCCACGTTTAATTCATCGACTTTGATGGCTTCTTCTTCACGTTTCACGGCATTAGCATCTGTTACAACGGAAACAAATTAGAAAAATGTTGAATTTATTCAAATATTATGCAAAAAGACAACAAAATGTTGATAGCTTTTCAATTACCTGTTCTTGATCCTTGTTTATCTTCACCCAAATTGACGTCGATTGTACTCTCTTCGAAATTAATCGCATCTTTTTCGGCATAAGCTGGACACAATCCTATTGAAAAAGAATAAACAATGAACGCCCGATTAAAAGTTGAAGCATGTCGATCGAATCTTCTAGAATGTTCCCAAAGAACCGCTATGTATTCATTCACGCCATAAGTTCTGTCCTAACTCACCAACCAGCAGGAAAATGCCCACAATTCCAACCAGAAAATATTTCATATTTTCTGAGCTATTATTCAATTTTCACTAGAAAATATTTTATTTTTCTTAAATCCAATTGAGTTTAGATAAAGAAAAGAAATTTCACGATGACAATTTGTTGTGTGCTTTGACTGTGTGACCGCACTATTCAACGAATTCAAATGAAATGCAATTGTTGGATATTTGTCTCGATTTATACCGCTATTGGTGGTTTATACGTGCTGAACAAACCTATCTATGCATTACGTGTATTTACAAATGGCTCATTCTGATTGGTCCAAATAATTGTTTGAATGTTCGGCCACCATATTGTGGGTTATTTGAAGATGACAGTTGACAGTTTGTGGGATATTTTCACTATATATGGCGCCACGGTTGAAAACCATTTACAGATCTCGATTATTCGATTGATTTCTTTAATGAAAACAATTTGACAGATTCTTTATAAACTGTTCATGAAACATGGAAAATGCCTGTATCTATTTCTCAAATGTTTTGCTTTCCAAATGGATTTGGATTGTTTGGAATGAACCGATTGACTGTAAGTATGATGATAACTTCTTGGAATAGACATGTTTAGTTTCGTTAGTCACACGAATATTTAGACAAAATCCAGCCGATTGATATAATTTACGATTGAAAAAAGCTTATTCGGTTCCAATGAAAATCTACGATATCAGAATAAAGAAAAAAGGTCTCGTTTCTAGATATTTATTATAACAACTTTCTTCAACATGTCTTATGGATGCTGTCATTTTATTGAATGTGGTTCATGTGTTTTTTACACACAGATTTACAGCTCATGAAATTACATTTTTATTTCAATATAGAAGAGAATCAAAAGGATAGTTTTGAAAATAAATACGTTTACACGAATAAAATACAATAAAATTTACGATAAATTCTTTGTTATCTAATTGTTTTATTATTTTGCTTCCGATATATTTAACGACAAAGGAAATTGATCCTATACAAGACTGATAATTTGATATTTACAAGATTTCTAGCAAATTAATTCGATGTAAATTATTGGATGAATTAATAATAATGGAATCGCTAAATTTAAAAAAATAACCGGTCGAATGAATCTTTGATTTGAAATGAAGACAAATGGGCCATTATTTAATGTGAAACACAAATATGGAAACAATTCAATAAATGAGCTGATGAGCACATTCCATATGCAATTTTCCGGCAAGACGATGAAATTTCAACTTATCAATTTGTTTTGAATCACAGACTCGACCGTTCACACAATTCTGCTCTTGAAAATTAGAAAAAAACTATGTGAATTGATTTGTGATGTTTTTTTTGTTGTTCAAAATTGCAAATTCTAATTCAAGCAATCATATCTATTGAATGCCTTTTTGTATCTCATGATTGTAATTTTAAGATGAAATGATGTAGAAGCACCATCGTTTTTTTTTCTTCGAAAAATTAATAAAGAAATATAGAGTAAATACTTTATAATTGCCACAAAAATTTGTAATGCTTGTTACATCAATAGAAACTCTGGCTTTATGCAATTTTTTCCTATTGATGCGAATTTAAAATTCGGTTTTACTTCAAGTTTCACTCTTAGGAATGTATAGGGATTTGGAAATATTTTAGACTTTTAAATTTTTTTTCTCAATGAACAACGAATTCACTTAAACAAAACATTATGATGGATATAATTAGTTCGCATTTTTGTAGCTGATTAAGCTACTGTGTCATGCGTTAGATCCATTTCCATCTTATGAAAACATATTCTGTTGTGTTGAATCGTTTTCGAAATCAGACCATGCGTTATTCAATTCCATAAACACCATTTTTGCGATCGTTTCATTGTCCGTTCCAGCTTGCTGCAATGAATCGAAATGAAAAAATTTGTATAATTAAAAACTGTTGTTCAAGTCAATTTCGTCAAGAGTGTTTTAATTACCTTATCCGGATGAACAGCCAGGCATGCTTTTCTGTAGGCTTTCTTTACATCTGCCGGTGAGACCAATTGATGCATTTCGCACTTTTTCCATTTGGCATCGGTCCACAGTACCGTGTGCATTGAGCAGAGCAAAGCTCGAATATTGTTTTTCTTTCCTTCGGTCTGTAAGACATTTCGATTAATAATAGTATTCACTATTCACCCATTAAATTCTGATTACACAAACATACCCATTCCATGATTCTCAGTTTATCTGGATCCATGTGTTGTACAAGTTCCTCTTTTCGCATTTCATTTATTGACCTTGGGCCGCCTTGTGGCTTTGTTGCAAAATTGTATCCTTGTTGTCCAAGAATATCGGCAAATATATCACCGCCACCAACGCCAACGCCAACACCAACGCCACCCCCACTGCTATTCGATGATCCGGCATTGGTATTATTTGTACCATTCTGTTTTGGTTTTGTTTCGAAGTGTGATCGACTGTAGTCTGGCCTAGATGATGGTTGATTTTCCATTGGACTTCGAGCTTGCTGCATAGACGGTGCTGCTTGAGCTGTGTTTGTATTCGGGACGAAACCACCGTATTGATGTGTTGGACTTGAGAACTGTGTAGAATGTGGGCTGGTGCCAGCCGTTGGTTTGGATGCCGCTGACTGTGCGCCCCAATTTAAATTCAAGCCAGACGCTAGATTGGCCATATCAGCGAATGGATCTTTGTTTGTTTGTGTTGCACTGGGCGGTTGTTTTGCTTGCGAAGGAGATGTTTCAGTACTGGTTGGCCTCAAAACATCAGCATTTGTGCCGAAAGCAGCGGCTCCTCCAAACGGGTCAAAATTTACGTTGTTATTGCTTGGTGCGTTGAAATTTAGTCCCATGCTGCTTAAATCTGGCAAATTCGAACTGTTCGTATTGTTTGTCTGTCCAAATGAACCGAAAAGATCATCTAAGTCTTGTGGTTTGGCTTGCGACTCGGACAATAAGTCTGGCATCGCGTTATTTCCTTGTGACTCAGCTGTTTCAAATGAACCAAGCAGATCAAAGCTGGCGTTTTTCGGTGGAACGCTTGCATTGGTGTTATTGCTTCGGGGCAACATATTCAGTAAATCAACTTCGGGCTGGGCAACATTTGGAACAGCGTTGACATCAACCGTTTCTTCGGTAGGATCTTGCCTTTCAGTATGTGCTGCTGAAGCCATAGGTGGAGTCGGTCTTGGTGGTGGAATCGATGCTCGGTTCGGCGCTGGATTTGATGGTCTTCGTGGTGGTTCGAATGATTTTGACGTTGGTTTTGTAACTGGAAATTGGAGAAATTGATTGAATATGTTTCGAAAAAAAAAATGTTGATCGAAATAGGTAAAAAAGAATGAAACCCTCACTGAAATTGTCAACAGTTTCATCGTATTCGAGCTGGGTGCTGAACAACGTGAGTGGATTACGTTGCGATTTCAATGGAATCCATGGGCAATTTGAGGCTGGTGGTCGTTCTGTGTCATTCACTTCGATCGGAACAGTCACATTGAAATTCATGGGAATGTGCTCGATGTGCTCGGGCAAATCATCCAGCTCTGGTCTGTCAAGTTGCAGAAGCGTCTCTTGTTCATGTATGTAGCCCGTGTGCATTTGGAATTGGCATACTTTTATCCCTTGCGGTCGGCCCATTCCTTTTAGTGCATTGCGAGCATGGTACAGAGTTACGCAAAAATCACCGCAAATTGTTGCATTCAAATTTACTTGAATTTTTCCCTCGCTTGCGTGATATAACCTGAAATCGAAATAGATTTTTTTTTTTGAAATTGTCTTTTTGAAATGGAAAATATATGCTACTACTAGGTGGAACGTACTTCATTTTATCATATTCCTGAATGGTGGACAGAACAACTTTGTCATTGCAAACAACTTCGACGTAAAGTCTACATCCATCTCTTGCCTTTGTCACCCGTGGAATTGGTGTACAAGTGAGTGACTTCAATGTAATTGGTTTGAAGTGTGGTAAATGCGGAGTTGAACGAACGATGTCTGACAAATAGTACAAATATCGAAGCTCAGATGGCCGTAAATTCGGTGGAATACGGCGAATTGCGAATATTTGAAGAGCATCTTCCGGCTGCTGAACCAAGTTTGCGTAGATAAGCAATGCGCAGGTCTATCGGGCATCCAAAGAGAAATTGTCAGTTGGTGTGTGAGACATAACAAGAAGAAGTGGAATAAAAAGTGGAAAAAATGTTGAATTACCATTGTGGCAGCAGTAGCACGACCATTGTCTGCACTCTGAATGATGACAATGGATTTTGGATCCGCACTCAAGAACCCATACATATCTTCAACCAGTGAATACATTCCCTGTAGAAGAGGTGCTTTGTTCGCCAGAGGAAAGATAAAACTTCCTTCGACCGTTCGAACTGGTGGCGGCAAGCGTGGACAAGATCTGGGCCCGAAATTATACACACTCACTTTGCCCAATTGATAACGACTTTCAATATACACTTTCACATCTTCAATGTTATTCGTTTTATATGCCGACTCTAATCCTTCCGATGGACATGGCATCACAAGTACTCGAGATGTAATTGCGCTGATATCCAAGTCAGTGCGTGTAACAATCGTTTGCTGCACCGACTGTATCACTTTGGACGAGGTATCCTTTAGATTCTTGAGCAAACTTCCAGCGCCGCCTTTGATTGATGAAAACGAAAACAAACTGCCGGCACCACCTGAATTGATGGAATCGTGGGCAACGTGTTGTGGTGGTGGTGGTGCATTGGAATGTTGTGGGTTTCGAACCGCTGCGGCTGGCGAGCTAACTGGTCGTGGAGGAGGAACGTTTCGATTTGCTGCAATAAAAAAGCAAAATTTGAATCGATTCATTTAATTGAAATGAGAACAAGCATTTGATTTTGCATTTTTCATAAACAAATGAATTGATACGTTACCTGAGCTGTGATTTGCTGGTGCAGGTCGTGGCGGAGGTGGCCTATTCGGTGCGTGAGGCGGATTGTTGCTTTGGTTTGGCTGAGTATTTTGAGCAGTATGCATTGGACTTGCATTTGGAGTAACACTTGGTGGTGTTTCAATTGGTTTTCCCTGTGAGTCGAATTTAATTGAAAATTGTCATTGTTGATGAGCCAGAAGCGATTCAAAGCTGATTCTACTAATGTTTTTGCTTACCTTCAATTTCACTGGACCTTTCAGTGGCCAGCCTTTTGTCTCCGAAATAGCGCCGAGTCTATCTAAAACCATAGACACGTCGAATCGTTTGTTTGGATCAACTTGTAGGCAACCTTTGATGATGTCGTGAAAACACTGATATCTAGAATCTACGGGCAGTGTGAAGTTTGCGTTAACTATTCGTAGTTTTGCTGAGTCTTCGAATGGATGCTTTTGGAAACACAAGTAGTAGATGACACAACCGAGTGCCCAAATATCGCTCTTAATTCCAATCGTATGATTTGACCAGAGATCCAATTGTTCGGGACATCGATACATGGGTGTTGTTATGCTCGCCAGCTGGAAAAAATACATAAGAATTGTTTTCACATTTCTATCACCTTCAATGGTTTCTAACTTGATTTTTTAATGGTACTGTTCTTGTTGGCACTTACTTGATCTTCGAGCGTGTCACGTTGCTGTGCCGACCACGAAACGTCTGGTATATATATTTCAGTTGTGGCCGATCCAAAATCACATAGTTTCAGTTCGCCATCGGCCGTCAAAAGGAAATTTTCTATCTGTGATTCAACGGAAATTTACTTATCAAAAAATGTGTGTCTGTTTACACAAAAATCATTTCGAACAGCCTTACCTTGATGTCTCTGTGCGTAATGGGTGGATTTTGATTATGCATATGCGCAATGGCTTTGCTAATTTGATAAATAATTTTCAAAATTGTATCTGGTTCGAATGACGTGCCCATGCAATGGATTAATGAGCCGCCTTTACATAACTCTGATACCAGCAGATATTCGGCATTTGCCTTTGCACTGTTCGTGTGGTCGATAAACGAGGCGGCTACATATGTCACTATATTCGGATGTCCAGATAACTGTTTATGAATGTTCAATTCACGTATGATATTGTTGCATGCTTGCTTATCGGAACCCAGTAGTCGTTTCAGTGCATATTCCGTTCCATTCTGGGTGTCTTGTACAACGTACACAAAAGCAAAACCTCCTACAAAACAAAACAAAAGAAGCAACATGAATGGAAAAATAATTGATTTTCATTTTTCAGTCAAAAACTAACAGAACATTGAAAAATAGATTCAATTTTATCATTCAACAAAGTGCCAAGGTAGTTCGAATGCACAAATTAAATGTTTATGTAATCTTGTTTTGAAAAGTCAATATTGTATGTATGATACGGGAAATTTTCTTTGTTTGATTTGTTCAATGCCATTTCCATCATAGACGGCAATTGGCACCAAACAACACGAAGAATATTACAGTGACGACGATGTCGACGACGACAACAACAACACGACCATACTTCTGAGACAGTGACTGGAAAAAAATGCACTAACCTTCTGCGATGACACGCTTCACACGAAGTTTCACTGCACCAACTTCAACGATTTGCCCAACAAAATCATTGTCACTGACACTTATCGTTGGACCCGTATTGAAGTAGCCCATTGCAGATTTAAATAAATCACTCATTTTTTCACGATAATTTTATTCTTAATTCCTATGCGCTATCACTAAAATTTTGTAGATTTTTTTTGTTGTTTGCTGCCACCGTTTGCTTTTCAATCGAAAATTGATGTTGTTTCTGTTGTTGTACGATTGCGTGTTTTCCAAGTCAATATCTATTGACAGAATCAAAAGTGAGTTTAATTTAAACGCAGGACAAAAGGCGTTTTTAAAAACACAAATAAATCGAAATAAAAGCTACTTAAACAACACTTAATAGAGATAAATGCCAGATTTTAACGTTGAACAGCAAATCCTTTTCTTTTTTTTATCGTTTTCATTTAGTCGCCCTGCACACGCACACTCACTCTCACACACACTTCATTGAATGATGAATGAATCAAGCCCAAAAGTCAAGAGCAAGTGAATCTGATTTGTCGTCTTCTGTCTATTTTGTCTATACATTTTTGAGAGAGAAAGAGAGCGAGTTTGTAATCAAAAGCGCCATATTGTCAAACAAACTCCCACTTTTACTCAGTATTGGCCGTAATGCGAATCACTGTCACAGGGTGACAATTGTCAAATTGGCGGAGCACAAATGTACATGTATTGCTTTTAAAATAAAGAGAAATGTTGAAATTTTCAATAAATTTCATGAACAACGCACACTTCAAATGGAATAAATCAATAAATAAAGGAAAAAACTGCAATTCTACATTGATTGAATTGCATGTTCAATGCCAAACACTTTTGACAGTTTGCACGTACGCTCGTTTGCATGCTGTGCCACACGGTTTACTTAACCATACACAGACATACGTCAACATACTTGGAAGACAAAGACCAACACCAATTCATTTCGACTTGAGTTTGTGTGTTTGCACAATCACTCTTTCTCTTCTCCGTTCGTTTGCATTCGAGTGCCAATTCAGTTGTGTTGTTCCTCGAAACGTCAGTCAGTCTGGTGTTTGAATCGACTGCAATTGGTTTGTGATTTGTTTTATGGGAATTTTTTTTTTATTTTGTTCAGTGTTTATATTGAATATTAATAAATACTTTGGTGGCATTTCAATTGGAATAAATTGAAAATCGTGTTGTGTTACAATATCATCAACATCACCATCATCATCAGTGACTCATCTCTTGAACAGTGTTCGCCGACCATTGAAACAAAAAAAAACTCGTTTTCTTTTTTGTACACGAGCCTTTGAAAATTGTGATCCCATTAATCGTCGCGACGATTTAAGTGCTTCCATAATCAGAACCAATTGATTTTTTGACGGTCATTTTCACTGATCGCCACTAATAGAATTACCACCGTTGCTTTTATTATAGAGCTTCTTCGAATTGTGAACCCTATTTTCTACTGATTTTTCTTTTCGGAGCCGCCGTAACCGCAAACACTGAACGAAAATGTCTCATCAAACGGGAATTAAAGGTGAATACGTGCTGCTTCTACTTCAATTACTAATCCAAATTTGATTTTAATCCATTCGAGTGGCCACTGTTTGTGTGATACATTTGAAATTGAATGACCTCAACGAGAAAATCTAAAATTTACGCGCTCGCCAGCCAGAAAACTTGTTATTACACATTTCATTTTTCTGGTTCATCTTGTGCCAGCATTCTATTTCTGAATAGAGTTACAAATGGAAAGAGAGATGTGCTGTGTTGTTTTTTTATTCGTTGTTCAAATTACGCGATCTCTGCTTTCATCGTTATTTTCGCCTCTGGTGAGCTCAAACTACAAATCATGATTTGTCTGTTTCGTGTTGTTGTGTTTCGTATATTATTTTTATTGCTGAAAATTTCTCTCATTTATTTGTGTTAATGTTTTAAAAGTAAGCTGATGTGTGTCGACAAATCGTGTAGGTATCCTCTTGTCGCGCGAAAACACAATTTTTTTCTTTTTCCTCCTTGCTATGCAAAAAAAAAACGAGCAGCGAGTTTAAACGTATCATAAAGCAGCCAAAGCATGCGATCTCACGTACGAGATATACTAATGAATCTTGAATGCCGCGTGCGCAATATGGAAAATAATTTACGCTTGGCTTATCATAGCGTTTCAGATATGACTCCGAGATTCATTCGTTCGTTCTTCGTTTTTCGTTGCTCATCGATATTGAACGCAAACACACTGCTTGTCCGTTCAATTGGCGTCGATCTGTTTTGATCAACTTCACTGATTTTTATTGTTGTTGTGTGTCGTTGCACAGTATTTAGTCTTTGCTATTTTAGCATCAGAAAACCACTGTTGAAAACATTCACATTTCAAACACGGCCATTAGTTTGTGAAAAATATAATAAAAAGAGCAGAGCACTTCTATAACAATGGATATATACTGACGGCAGTAAAATAGATTGAAGTTCTTTTGGATATTTATTTCACAATATAGTGGATTGTGTAACGTTGTTTTGTTTTGTTTCTTTTTTTGAACAGCCAACGATGAACTATTGAAAGCATTTAGTAAGTCGAAAGAAGGCAATACTCGAGTTATTAAGGCTTCTATTGAAAAAGGTAATTGAAGCGAAGAGATACGCGCTAGAGTCGGGCATATTAAATTATATACGGTTTCGTTTTTCTATTATTATTATTTTTTTGTCGCCAACAGAGCAATTGACTTTGGCTGCTGAGGTTGAAGTGAATGAAGACTGGGAAAAAGATTACAAAAACTTGGTGGAGCCGCTGATTGAAGAGAATACACCATGCTACATTTTCTTCCGTTTGGACAGCAAATCGTCCATCGGATATGAATGGCTTTTGATGAGCTATACGCCAGACACGGCAACAATTCGCCACAAAATGTTGTACGCATCGACCAAGGCAACGATGAAGAAAGAATTTGGATCTCCGCATATCAAAGAGGAGTACCATGCAACATCACAACGTGAAACCACACTGTTCAGCTTTAAGAAACACAAAAAAGCAATGAGCGCCCCAGCACCACTGACACAACGCGAAGAAGAAATGCTCGAAATACGCCGAAACGAGATCCAAACAGATATTAGCACTGAAACACGCCAGAAAACGTTGGGTGGCATTTCATGTGCATTGACTGAGTCGGCAATTGTCAGCATCAAGGACACCGTGAGCGGAACCTATAACTATCTACAGTTTAAAATTGATCTTAAAGAGGAGAAGATCCATCTAGTCAAAGCCAGTAATGTGGAGATTGAAAAGTTGCCCAAAGAGGTTCCCGAAGACGAAGCACGCTATCACGTCTATTTATTCAAGCATACTCATGAGGGAGACTTTTTGGAAAGTTACATTTTCATTTACTCGATGCCAGGCTACAAGTGTCCAATCAAAGAGCGTATGATGTACTCATCATGTAAAGCGCTTTTCGTCGAAAAAATTCAAGAGCTTGGCTTACACATTGAAAAGAAGGTATTTTGATATAATGTGCCCATTTATTCATATTTTTTGATCGATTATGGCAAACGAAACATTATTAACGGTGATGACAAAGTGTTGATCAAGGATTCATTTCATTATCCCGCATACTAACCAAGAATAAACATTTTTCATTTTCGTTTAGCTGGAAATCGATTCCGGATCTGAGCTGACCGAAGAGTATTTCCAAGATGAATTGCATCCGAAAACGTTGTTGCATCGACCACAATTTGCAAAGCCACAAGGCCCGAAGAACCGTGGAGCTAAAAGACTGATCGGTCTCCGAGCACCGTCTGAGGAAAATAATGAAACTGCCTAAAAACTCCCGCTTTCGATGTGTTTTCACGATTCAAAAACAACAGAAAAAAAAACAACAATAATTTCATCGCAAGTGATTCAACGTTATAAATTACACCAAAAAACCACTCAGTTTTGATATGCTAAAACGTGAATATCAAAGTTCTTTGAGTTTTACGTATCGCATTCAGAGCAATTTTTCTAATTTAATAATTTTTTTTTATTTATGCCTTGGATTTTACTATTATTATTTGTATCATTAGAGATAACTTGATATTTTCATTACTATCTTCCTATTGGGATTGGTGGTCTCGGTGCGAATGTGGAACAAGATAAAGAAAATAACAAAGCAAAAAAATATGAGCAATCACAGTTCGCAAGAGATATCAACATTGATAAGAATCAATTGAAATATTTTGAACAATTATACATTAAACTTTTTACACAGTATACGTACGTCTTGGCATACGCAAAAAATCAAACTTGATGAAAATTTCTTTATTTTGTGTAAGCACAACTAGTTCCACTTTTGCACTGAGGCTTCCAATTGAAAATCATTAAATGAAGAAACGATGACGACGACAACATAAACTGATCAGTGATTGTGAAATAGTTAATACGTATTTTTATAAAACAAAAACGATTCAATTGCTCAAAATGTGACCAAATTCGGAGATCTTTTTACAAGTTCAACATAGAAATGCAGGAAAAATAATGATGACAAACAAATTATTTTTCTACGGAAATCTTTCAATAGCGACATAAATGTCGTTATTGCGATTTTGAAATTTGTTAACAAACTCTGCAATAAGGTCCAACATAGAATAGAAACACAACGAAAGTCGCTCATGCAAGCGAATTGCATTTATCATTTTCTTCAAATGTTCCGAGAAAAAAAAAACAAACAAACAAACAAATTAGTTTAGATGTGAAATGTCAAATATGATTTGCAATTGGTTTTCCCTCCTCCCGAACCCAAATTGAGGTTAAATTTTTTTTTTTCTGTATTAAATTATATTTTTCCCCTTCGAAGCAAATATTTATATATTTTATTAGAAAAAAGAGACAAATCAAAAGAATAGTATCCCATCTTGCCAGAGAATCGAAATTGTGCAATTAAGATTTAAGAAAACCCTGAACGACGACACCGATCGCTATGTGACCAAACACAGCACAAATAATCTAAAAATGTGATGACAGAAACCGGAACCGCTGAAACAAAAAAAACGGTTTCAACAATAGTAATGCATTTATCCAGTAGTTGGATTAAGCGCTTTTCTTCAAATTCGATTGAAATCAAATCATTCATGATTCGTGTAAAACAAAATGAAATAAAGATTATTGAGTGAATGGAACATTGGTTTTATTCAACTTTTATGTATATGTTTTTCGATTCCTCAGATCAACAACGGAAATGTTTTCAAGCTGCGATAAATTGGTGACGTTCAGTTAATAATCATCATCGTAATCGTCGTAGTAATCATCGGCGCCAGCTTGACGGCCAAACTTGTGCGATCTTGTCGACATACTCAACTCCTTAGTTATGGATGTTTCGTAATTGCACTTGGGACATGGAATTGGTCCATTCTTTTCGTACTTGAAACCCTTTCGCCTTACATGATCATCGCAGTAACACACCTTGCAACGCAAACACGAATATTGACCCAATTTATTGCACGATTGGCATTTTGTTGTTTCTTGTTCCAATACTTGGCACTTGGCTTGATGTTCAAATTGGTCATCTTCGCAAAGGAACGTTTGACAAAATGAACAATTGAAAATACGTCCACCGTGCTCGTAGACACTTCGCTCGCATTCTATACACACGGCATCAATCAGTGGACAGGTACAAGCGTGAGATGTCAAGCATTTTCGACCGTGACACACGAATGCTTCGCAAAAATCACAAATTGCACCAACCATGGCCAATCCCGTTGTGAAAACGCCAGCATGTTTAACGACGCAATCGCCTGTTTTCAGCATACATTTCATCTTTCCGCACTGAGCACACTGCGGCAGACGCTGCACCGATTGACAAAAGTAACAAAATGCACGCGATTTTTGCTTTCGCTGACATTTATCACACTGCAACGAGAAAGCAATTCAATAATTTTCAATGAAACTTGTTTTTTTTTTCAAAAATCAACGTGTATTTGACAACTAGAATAAATTTTCTCTTTTTCTGTGGAAAAAATGAAAGACACAAACCTCCATCGATGCATTGCATGGTAAATCAGCCAATGGAACAGCGCGACTTCTTATTTCTTTTTGTCGCAATTTTTGCTTTTCAGCTTTTTTCCGCTGACCCGTCTTCTTCTTCGGCATGGTTACGCTTTGTTTTTCTTTTAGTCAACTATTCTTAAAATCTAAAATCAACTCAGCAATATCAACACGGTGCAAACTCTTTCTCTTTTTGGGAAATGTCAAATCGCAAATAGAACTGACTTGAAAGTCAACTCGAAACGTCAGTTCACGGTATACATACTTATATAATGTCATCTGTCATTCGATGTTTCTCTTGCGGTTGTAATTAGTAAACACGGAAAATGTTGCAAGAGGTTATCTTTTAAAAATTTGTCTTGTTTTTAAATTAAAAAGTAAAACTTTTGGATTTTATAATTATAATGTTTGGAGCTCTGCGCCGTGGACTTGGTGGAATTGGTGGCTTTGCTTGTTTTCGTTTAGCCTATACGCCAGTTGCTTATAAGAAATTAGATGAAGATAGAATATCAAATCCAGTTGAACGAAACTCAAATTCCGGTGTTGATAGAGTTATGAAAATATTCGACCGCGAGTGAGTTTTCCGTACCACACAACTGGAGTGACGTTACAATTAAAATGTCCTTTTTTTTTAAATTACACATGCAAATTATGTATTTATTTTGAATCGACAGTGAAAATGGAACGATATCACCTGAGGCGTCTTTCGTTAGCATATCTACATTCACCGGTGGATTCATCGGCGCTATTTATGGCGGCCTATTGACCTCAAGGATAGCGAATTTGAGCTTCAGAGAGAGTAACGAAGCAACGGTTTACTACTCACAAAAGGCTGCTGCACGAGAACTTCTAGATAAAACCACAATCGGCTTTGCAAAAGGTGTTGTCACGTGGGGTGCTCGCTATTCCTTTTTCTGTTTCTCATTTGTGTACGTTGAAAAGTATAATTTGAATACAGTTTACCAATTTTTGTATCAATTTTTTTTTTTATTTAAAATTCAAAATCTAGATTCAAAATAGGATCAATAGTTGCAAATCTGCTTCTACAATTTAGAATCTACATTGATCAAACCGAAATTTTTTCATTCATATAGACCAAGATTTTTTACCATGTTAATTTTATTTTATTTTTGCAGTGGATTGAGTACGGTACTATCGAAATTCCGTGGTGAGTCAGGTGTTTTAGAATATTCTCTTGGAGGTATGGTCACTGGTGCAATATATAAATTTGGCTTAGGACCAAAAGGAATGGTGGCAGGTGGATTTTTTGGCGGTTTAATTGGAACATTTGGCGGTTTAATGCTGTACATCACTTCAAAACTCAGTGGAATAACAATGGATGATGCATACAATTTGTCAAAACTTTATTATCAATCGAAAGATTATAATTTCCACGGTGCTCAAAGGGTGAGTGATGTTTCGTTGTTTATGGTTAAAAAAAAATGGAATATTTGTTACAGTTGGGTGTTCAACTGTTCATTGTCAATAAAGGATATTTTGCTAATGTATTTCTCTATTTCTAGCACACTGAAGAACCAGATATAATCATTCAAACTTACCACCCTTATGGAACGCAAAAAAAGAATACACTCGATGACGTCGACGATATTCGAGACGTTTCTGAATTAAAATACAATAAAAATACGTTACCCAAAGATATTGTGACGAGCAATAATGTAAATTCTAGCCCAGACAAGAAATAAAATCAGCATAAAGTTCTAATTATGTGGAATCATTGTTTTTCTTTTCGTTTGGCGCCTAAAGCAATACTTGCTAATGAGAATGGTGCTAATTCTTAAATTAATCGAGAATATTCACCATAAATATTGTTTTCAATGCTTTTCAAATCATACACACATTTGATTTGAAATGCGTGTCTTTTATTGGATCACGAAATTAACAGGTTTTCCCTTTGACTAGAAAGTATGTGTAGTTGAAGGTAGGTACAATATGCGTTACAAACACTACCCTTTCGCTTGGGTAAGAATAAAATTGGACTAATACAAATAATGAAATCTAGTAAAAAGAGTTTAATTACAGCGACTGAATCAAATCGGCAAAAATGTTAAGTTGAAGCAAATACGAGCAACTTGCACACATTCATGTGGCTGATTAATTTCAATGATCAAGCTAGCAAAAATATTTCTTTCTTCGTTCTTAGACATAATCGTTCATGTATGATATTTTCATTCAAAAGTTTTCAATAAATTATGCGGAGCGGCGTTCAAGGGAATGTTTAACAATATCGCTGCTGATTTTATTTTAATACACTTATATTACACTTATTCCGTTGCATGATGATACTTAACGAATGCGATTGCGGCCAATTCTTTACAAAATTCTTCTAGTGCCACTAAACTTTCAAACAGATGATCATGGTCTTCGTACGTTTCACTCATAATTGGTGGATTAATAAGTAGTCGTTTTGCCGTTTCGGTGATACGTTTCTGGAACCCTTCGATGCGTGGTATTTCAAGCAATAAGTAACGTGCAAGATGTTGCATACTTGACCAAAGCGTGTTTATACCTCGAGCGATCGGCAATTCGGGATTCAGAAGTATCTCATGCAAATACGGATGCGGTAAAAATGATAGCTTCGAGAGTATCGCAATGACCGCGATATTCAATTCATATGGATACTTGGCCATATCTTTGACATGGAGAAATAGCAATCGTAGCAGTGGCCCTTCGTAGAACTGTTCGACAGCAATGCCACTGTCACACGAATGCAATTTTCCATTGCACGCAGTCACGGTTGGTAAAGGCAATGGAAGTGGCGATTCGGGTGAAAGCAAATCGTCACTTTCCCTTGATCGACTGACGGCTTCGATGGGCCAATCAAACTTCGATGTTTTTGTAATCCAATTCTAAAGTACGAAAAAATGAGTTTGTCATTGAAAAATTGATTGTATGTAAGCAAAATATTGCAAGCGTTTACCTTGTAATGTCGATTGGCATCTTGTACATATTCTTCGTAACACGTTCCAATGCTGTCACTGATAATTTGTCGGGGCAACAGCAGTAAAAAGCTGAAAATGAGAAGAATACTTTTTAAATATTTTTCTATAAAATTTTCTTTAATTCCAACTCTCACTTATTGATAACTTTCAAAATGTTGTTTGGCTTCAACGTTACTGATTTGATGGGTTCAGATGCACTTGATCGACGTTTCTCCCGTTCATCCTCTTCATCGGACCATGTTTGGATGGCTGAAGTTGCATTCAAATCGTAGTATCCACGCGTCTCAAGATATCGAAACAGCATACTGTGCAAAATTCGCGAATTGGGATTATCAAGCAAAGCCTATTTATAGGGTAGAAACAAAGTAATCGATCATTCTCGGAGAAATTCCAAGCTCATCAATGTATGTTAGTTTGGTTTTGTATCTACCTCAACGAATTGCAGTGTGGGCAAAAGAATATCTTGGTTATCTTGTGCATTTTCTATGATAATGTTTAGTAGACAATCGGTGTGGATTATTGCCGGTGCATTTTCATTTGTACTCACAGCTAAATCATCACCATCCACAACAATCGCTGATCCAACCAGCCAAGTGGCCAGTTCTATCAATAGAATAATGTGCATCATTAGATTAAACTTTTCTTCTAAAATATTTCCATTTGATCTCACCATCGCTAAATGTTGGAGCATCAATTTGTCGAATAATTTTGGCCATCAGTACTAACATGAAACCGACAATGTTAATGTCCAAAATCGAAATCATTGGTTCGATGCTCATTTCGAATAGGTCAACGCGAACATTTTCCGCCAAGTTTTGTACGATTTCGGGTACATAGCATTCTTTGGCCAGCCTATTTGCATAGTCTAACCAGCAGAGAAATTCCATAAGTTGTGGCTTGCCGATAAAGTATTGTGCTTCCGAATCACGTGGTAATAGCCCCCATGTTGCGATGCAGTCTTCAATTTCACCAGTGTCCATATCTTCTGGGATATCCTGACACAAGAACGCTAACTTTTGACTCAATTGTTTGGAGAATATTTGAAAAGTCGTTTTTTGTGCGTTGCATTTAATTCCGATGGTCGGTAGTGACATTAAAATAAGTACCGCTTCGCACGCTCGTACGACAACCACGCTGTCCTGTAATTACAGGAAAAAAAATTGAATTAAAATTGACATTTAAATGAAAAGTGAACCGCCGTAATAAGATTCAAGTCGTCATGAATTATTCAACTGACCGCACTATCGAAGTACCGCAAAATGGTATCGAGCAAAATGAATGAATCATTTTCGGTGCAATCACAACTGATGTTACTGTATTCCGGTGCGACTTTCTTTGGTTCCTGAACAGATGTGTCCACTTCATCGCTGTTAGAGGCCGATTCTTTGTCTTGCAACAACGAAACATTTCTTACTTTCGACTCAAGTTTTGCATTCTCGAACAGTGTATTTTTGACTGGTGCTTTCATTCCGAGAGACGGATTGAGCGACGCAACTGCCCACGAATGTTCATGAGCTGGCAGAAATAAGTGCAACAGTAATGGATCTTTTCGTATCACACCGGCAACATTCAAAAGAAACACGATTTCCTCCTCTTCATACGGTGAGGCTCGGCCGGCCGCACTGCTACAGTAAGCTATCAGTTTCTATATTGAATGAAAAAAAAAACCTGTCATTTTATCACCATTCCAATTTTGCTATTGATTTTTCGCAGATGAAAAATACCTGTGTTGGTTGCAAAATACTTTTATGGTCTAATCTGGGATTCGGCAAACACGTTAAAAAACGACGCATCCAATTCAAAACACAAACGCTCGCACCAACTGGTGAATCGGTCAGGCAAATATCGGTAAGTAAGTCGAGCGGCCGGTTTATAAGAACGAAATCAAAACACTCTGCGGACGCGCGTGACATTCCACTACTACCTCCGCAAACTGTTTTCAGTGGTGTCAAAATGTTGTTATTTGCGGTTGGTGTCTCTTCATGCTTTGTATGATCCTCTTCGATTAACAGTTTTAGCATCTCCTCCAAATGGATGGGCAAATTTGTGTTTTCGATGTGCACTTTCGGCATAACATTGTGTTGTGCATAAAAATTCTTCACATGTTTCCAGTGATATTCGAAATTTTGCAGCGGTGTTGGCGGCGGTGCCAGCTGATGTTCGATAAAATTAAGCGAGAAAAAAGGTCGTATTGACATATTAACGTTCGTATGTAAATATTTGCAAAGAAATTGTGTCGAACAGAACCGAAAAACAACAGTTCACTCACAACGTCAGCAGCCGACTGAAGCGCTTCGTTGAATCGCCCAAGCATTTTGCACTCAATTCTAATTAAAATCGATTTGAAGAGTTGAACGAATTTCAACGAAAAGATGCTCTCATCACTATAAACACTTTTCCAATCGAATAGCTGTCGAATAATTTGCAACACTTCACTGCTATTTTACAATAATTTCGAAAGCTGAACTTTCTTACATTTTTTTTTTCTCTTTCAATTAGCATCAGTCCACTGAAATAATTATTTTGCACACGCAGCTTTTTGTGTGTTTACAATGAAGAAAAAATATATTTAAATTAGTTCTACTGATTACGACGTTGAATAATAGCACTTGCTTGGCAAGTGACACACAAAAAGCAGGTAAAGAATGTGTATGCAGGCAACTACGATGAAAAATTGTAAATAAATAAAAAATCTATAGATGTCAATTCAAACAAATGTTTCGTTGCTATTCCGAATCGTGTGTGATTATCAACGAGAATTGCAACAATTCTCAAAACGATTGGTTTAAATGGATTTATGGAATTGTTGTCACAGATATTGAGATTTTTTTTCTTCGTTTTCAATTGAAATTGATGTTTGTGTTCGTCTGAGTATATGAAAACAGAAACTATCAAAACATAATCCACCGTGAAACCAGTTCTCAATCAAGAATCTGTCAAATGGTTGAATAGTTCTGTCGACGACCGCCACTAACTACATGGCGTGTTGACATTTCAGGTTGTGTTTTCATTCGATTCACTTTTTTCTCTCTCTTGTTTGCGGCACAAATTTGTGAAAAACAAAACTGCAGGTTTTTGCCAAAAGCTACTTGCATCAAATTTATTCAATCAATAATTTTCGATTAAAACTAGTTAGTGATATCATTTTAAAAATGAGTTCAAGCGAGCTGCCACCACTGCCAGAGAATGAAAAAACATACGCTGGTATCCCAGAAGCCGTCTTTGTGGTGAGTAATGCAAATTAACCTGCAAATTTTGTGTTCTATGCTTGAAACCATCAACCTCATCATTGAATTAATCGATGGGATTTCTTTGTGCAGGAGGATGTCGACTCGTTTATGGCATTGAGCGAAAATGAGAACAGTGCTGATAAAGTGTTGCGCCGTTTGGACGAACAGCACAGTAAATACAAATTAATGGAGTACAATATCAGTGCACGCCGTCGCAAGCTGAAGTTCCAAATTCCCGATTTGCTCAAATCCATTGAGATGATTGACATTTTGCGTGAACAAAATGAAGACAGAGCAACACAGTTTCTACTCAGTGAGCAAGTTTTCTTGAAAGCAACCGTCCCACCCACAAAAACTGTTTGCTTATGGCTTGGTGCTAACGTCATGCTCGAATACCCATTGGATGAAGCTGAAGTTTTACTGAAGCAAAATAAGGAATCGGCTGAAACCAATCTGAAGTGTCTGGAACACGATCAAGACTTTTTGAGGTGGCTAAAAATCGAAAATCATTTGTTCTGGAACGATTTTAATTCTTTTTCTTTGCCAATTACAGGGACCAGTTGACCACAACCGAAGTCAATATGGCACGTGTTTACAATTGGGATGTGAAGAGACGTCAATCTGGCCTTGTCTCGGCGAAAAAATGATACAAATAATTCACTCAATGAAACCAAAATTTTGCCAATGCCTATTATTGATTTCTACAGTAATAACAACAAACCAGTTCATCTTCTCATACAATTCTCTTTGGATATATGCATTTAACTTGGCTGTTTTGCAACACGATCTAACATTATCGCCCTCATTCAACTCATCTTGAGAGATTATTTTCTTCAGATTCGAACAAAGTATATCACTTCGATACTTCTTATTGAATAAACGATCTAAATAAATCTAATCGAAACCAAACAGTTGATTCGCTTGAGTTCTGGATAAAAAAAATCGGATCGATTCGTTTTCGAAGTGATTCTTTTATTTGTAGAATAGTAAATTCAATTAAATTTCTCATATGGTTTAAATCAGATAAGTGCACAGACAGTGCTTCTATATCATACTTACGCTCATGGATTTTTAGTAAAAATTCATCTTTATTGACGGTAAAGTTGCCTAAAATATGGCTTGTTCAACGCGTAATTTGATCATCTATTGATTAGAAAAATAACATTCGCGGAAACTCGACAGAGACTCTTCGTCAATGCTCGATTGCGCATTGATGTTATTGCATATGACGTTGCCAACGTTAAAAATGCCATTATCGGAGCTGACAAGAGCTTGTTCTGTGTGCGCTATATTCAAAAGATTCAGAATATCCGTTGCGAACAAATATACAAGAATTCAAAGGTAAACAATTTCTTACGAGGTGAAGCAATTGGTGATACAACGCCTACAACCTTTGACAACAATGACGGTTTTAGTGTTTGTAGCAATTGATTGCCACTTCTTACGGAGCTCAGCTCATCTTCGACTTTTTTCATTGCATTTTTCAACGGACTGCAATTTTTACATTGAACAGCATCCGCAGCTTGGGTTTTATTGTTGAAATTTAACCGCATAGAAAATCTGGTAAGAGGTTTTTGAAGCTAAAGACGAGCTGAATACAATGATACTTATGTTTCTTCGATTAAATTGAAACTATTAAAAAAATTGGGTGACCAAAATCGAAATGGCCACGTGGGGCAAATCCGGACAAAGATGAATATTTATCATAATTTTCAATTCAATCAAAGGAACAAAAGTATCATTGCATTCAGCTCATCTTCAGCTTCAAAAACCACTTATCAAATATTTCGTGCACTTAACTTACAATGAGAAAACACCAAAAAAACTGGAAAAAATAATTGGACGAAAAAAAAACACCACATCTGCGCTTGTCGACCAATGATGCAATACTGACTGGTCAAATACGTTCGCTGACATAAGTCGTCAATGCATCTTATTGAGACGCGTTCATAGAGACCTCCCACGGTTCGAAACACCGAACCAATATAAATTTATTCGCAGTGTCCGGAATTGCCCCACTTTCCGTTACTATATGGACAATGACGTGTGTGCGACAAACAGAAAATGGTTTGGAACTTTAAAGAGCTGCTCTTCGGCTTCGGAAATCGGTCGAGTTCATCAGTACACCTTGGACGCCGAAAATAGATTAATACTATTTAATCAATTTCCTGCTGCTATGAAACATTTAACAGAAACATGTTCGGAGCAATAGACTTTCCACACAATGTGTGCTTTCATCACTCTCGCTCACTTCTGTGAGCTGTTATACCAAGTGATACTTTCAACATAATGTCGCGCGTGTCATCTAAGATCTAGCCTCTCACATATCAAAGACTCTTGATTTGCCATCGACATTCCGAGAGTGTTGTAGTAGGAAGCTCAAATGTTAAATTAATTGTTATTCCGTGTAAAATCATTAAGGTGTTTCTCTTTTCACGATATAGCGAAATAATCATACAAGCAACAACACCAGCAGCAACAAGCACAAAAGCTGTCACAGTTTTCTATCCGGTAATTCTTTGCTTGTATATCTCTTTGGTTTTGTTTCCAACAAAATAATATCATATGAAACTGGCCGTTCATTTCAGAATACGGTAAATTCATTGAGCCAAATATGGTGGAAAAGTGTGAGACTCCTTATGTCTATTGGCCAATTTGTGCCAAAAATAGTACGTATGGTGTAACTATACAATACTATTCGTTTCAATGTCGACTAAAAGGATTCTATGGGGGCTCTGGAAATTTGCAAATGAAACATGAAGGTAAATGTTGGATATGGGAAAAATACGGATACGAAACAACCACAGTTCTTTTTGTGAGTCAACTTCAAATTGATTCGATTTTGATAAGAGACTACTTGAATTTTGTTTAAATTTCGTTGCAGATTTTATTGATTTTCTTTGTTCTTCTTGTTGTGTGCTTGTGCATTTGTCGAGCCAAGCGAGCTGTATGGAAAAAAGATAAATCATTTTCAAATGTAATGTCAGCATAAAATATGCCTGAGATTCTTGGATTGTAGCAATCGACGTAACAATACATATATAATTTGCTATAATACAATACCAAGGTTGCTTTCTTCGTATACAAATACATAAGAAATATTTGATGTAAGACGCCAAGACGCCAAGACGCCTCTAGGCGTGCAGTCCTCGGAGCTGTCTTCGTACACATATTGAACACGCATATTGTCGTTTACACAATCGCACTCACACAAATGAACGCATCGAAAGTGCCCGCTTAATATATGCACGATGACTGTTTTGAGTGTCCCTCGCCTAGAGGGCTGCGTGTCGTTTTTCTTCGTTCATTAAGCGATATCTCAAATAAATGTGGTTACCTTCCAATACCAGTACGAATACGAATATGGATGTTTATTTTTTTTTCATAAATTTATGCCAACGCATTTTATTTCAATCAAAAACAATCATTTATGCACAAATATATTTTTTTTGTGTTAAGAAAAACAACATTTCGTTGTTCAAAAAAGTTTTGTTTTCGTTCGTTTTTGTAATTAAAAGCCTGTTATTGACTAGATCCAAGGACGAAACTCTTTTATGAAGGAGAAGACAACTGCATCATTTGGATCGCAATCTAAACCATAGCTTACGATGCCGACTAATTGTTCCCGGTTGCTCAATGTAATAGTAAGTTGCCTACTTATGATATCAATACCACCACGATCGACTTGCATGACGTTCCATACTCACCAACGACATTCAAATAAATGGCCAAACGGATTTCTCGATTGGAGCGATTGAATGGGCTTATTTCCTGTCAGAATCAACCTATTTCATCTAATTTCTATGAGCCATTGCTTAGGTATGATATCAATACCACCACGACCGACTTGCATGACGTTCCATACTCACCAACGGCATTCAAATATATGGCCAAACGGATTTCTCGATTGGAGCGATTGAATGGGCTTATTTCCTGTCAGAATCACTCTATTTCATCTAATTTCTATGAGCCATTGCTTAGGTATGATATCAATACCACCACGATCAACTTGCATGACGTTCCATACTACCCAACGACATCCAAATAAATGGCCAAATGGATTTCTCAATTCGAGCAATTGAATGGGCTTATTTTCTATGCGAATCAACCTATATGAAATTCTATGACGTTGCATATGAAATAGGTTGATTCAGATGGGAAATGAGCCCTTATACTTTTTTCTTTTTTTACTATAAGTAATTCATTGGCAATAAGTAATTGGAAGATGTAAAACTAAAATTCAACAAAATTGTGATCAGAACACTTAAGTGAAGAATGTATTTGGGAATTTTTCTGTTTTCAACACCATTATAAATCATTAAAAATAAAAAAACAAAAAAAAATTAAACCAAAACATATATCATACAAACAAGATGGAAATACTTGGTAAGTAGTACAGATGGTAAACGGTCCAGAATAGCCTTTAGTAAACGTTTCCAAAAGGACAAAGGGTATATCAAAAGGCGTTAAACATTTTACACGTTTAGTTTGTGACTTAATGACTGCAAAAGTCATCATTCAATTTATACTGGTAGATAAATTGACGAAAAGTTTTGCGTCGGTTCAGGCAGATCCATGTTGGTTGTAGAGTTGGTCCGTATCGGTCGCTCTTTTTGTGCTAGTTGACGGCAGCTACAATTCATTTTCTACGATTTTCGGAACAGAAAACAAACGTTAATGTAAAGAAAAGAGAACAGTTGAAAAAAATTGCATATGAATGACTTTTCTCTGATGCCTTGTATTTAATTTTATGCAGATGGAGTGTTCAGGAGAGAGAGAGAGAGAGAGAGAGAGAGAGAGAGAGAGAGAGAGAGAGAGAGAGAGAGAGATAGAGATCAAATATAAAAAATGCAGTGGTTGGTAAAGTGATTCGTAACCTATTTCATTCAACTTTATCATCAAATTTACGGACTTTTGAACTGGGTGAAAACTTTATTTCTATTCATTGAAAAACTCAAAAGCTACTTTTGAATATCTGTAAGCTGCTAGTGTTGCCGTAAATTTGATTATATTCAACTCAAGCCACACACGATTGAAAAAAGTTGCCCGAAATATTCGATGATTCAATAAGTTGGTTTAGAGATGTCATTGGCTGTCTTTTGGTATTCCGGCGATATGTTTATGATCTGTAACTAGTGAACTCTAGAGTGAACTGAATATGCGATTTGGATGGAATATTTGCTGAATTCTTTTGGAAGACTGAAGTTTTTTTAAATGATAGGCAATACATGATGATACCGCTCTTTGTATGTCATTCTAAGAACTTTTCAATCAGCCTAGTAGTAAGAACTTTCATATTTCAAAATGTGAAGAGATTTTGGATTGTCTAGAGTCATTGAAGAGCACACTATTTCTGGCTTAATTTGATAGTTTCACTTTTTCAACTCTAATTCGTCAATTCTGTACGCGGTTGTTATTTGTGTCCTACCGTGTTTCTTAATCTGATAGTTTGAATTGAAAACAAACCTGTTTTTAATCATCGTCTTCGGAAATGATCAACGAATTTGGCAGCCCTTCTCTCAACATCGCTATATTAGCTTGACACCGGGCTATAAACTCGTTGAATGAATCGATCCGCGCAAGGAATGATGATCTGGGCGAAGGTGGTGGCGATTCCGGTGGATAGTGAATGATGGGCGTTTCGCCACCATTCGCACCGTCGTTGCCGCCTAACAATTGTGTGGACTGAAAGTTGCAAGGAGATGATATTGAAAAATGGGAAAAGTTTTTGAAGAAGTTTGCTCTTATTTATTGTTAATTCTTACATGAGCATTCACTTCCGCGAAATAAGACTCGTCACCATCCAGCGAACTAATGATGCCAGCATCATCGTCGGTTTCAATGACCGAAACCTGCAAAGCGATCAAAGCGTATCTGGTATAACTACGTGATGATTTTCATGTGGACTTAATGAACTAATGACGATAAAAATACAATTGTAAAATCGGCTTAACTTTATTCTACAGAATTTTAGGAATATGAGTATTTTTTGATTTTGTTTTTGATGTAGATTGCTTATGGTCACTACATTTAATTTCTAGGGTGCGATTTGCAATTTTAGAATTTACCGTTATTTTTTGGCAGGTGTGCATTTTTCAGTATGTACGCCTATAAATTCTCAGCCGTTGCAAATAAAGCATTGGTCACTGAAGCAAAGTTTCAGTACTTCATCAGAGCAATGCAGCGCATAGTCCAAAAATGTACTAATCTTTACTATTTATATTGGTCAAATGGATGGATAAAGTTGAATTAATTTGAAATACAACGCTTTTAGCTGAAACACAATCATTTTTTATACATTTTTATTTATACCGAATTCATCGAACAAGCGTTTCTTTCATTCATGCTTTCGAAAAAAATCGTTTGAATTTTTCAATCAAAAATGTTTTCAAATCTTTTTGAAATGCTACACAGATTGAAATGTTGCATAGAATTATGTGAAAAGACAAAACATGCAAACTTACCGAATTTGGCTGCTCGTCACATGCCATTTCTTGGGATGCCGCAGATGGACCTTGTCCCGGCGATCGAGGAGCGTTCGAAACCATGTCTTCGTTTATTGGTGTGCTAGCATCATTTTAATTGGCCGCAGACTGAATTGATAGGAACATTTGTTATGGTTTTTCTTATTTGAATTTATTCATTAAGGGGGATTTTTGTCTTAGAACTAATGAACATTTTGAGTTGTGACGTTCAGTGAAATTGTTTTTATTACCAAGATCTAGTGCAAGCTTGATTGACAAGGTAATAAAACTGATTTGAATTTGTTGATAAGTTTTGTGGCGCAAAGGAGAAAAGGTGTAAAAAAAAGAGCAGAAAAATCATGCAAACGTACCGTACTTGGCTGGACGTCATACACCATCGATGTTGACTGTGCACCGAGGGATGTTGTCGCCGCAGAAGCTTGTGCCAACCTAACAGCGGTCAATGACTCGTCATCGCTCTCACTTTTTCTGGCCTAAACAGATGCAGAGGAACGTTTTTAAGATTAGTTCAGATCACTTTAAATTAACAATAAATGGAATGACCAATCCCAAGCGCGACTCCACACTTAGCTTCTAAATGTGACACCGTAGTAAGTGTGGGCATACGTTTTACGAATAAGCGACAAAGAGAATGGAAACAAGTGCGCGTGTATTAGTCGCTACATTGAGTAGCATCGCATTAGGCTACTCACTACCACACGCGCACTTGTTTCCATTCTCTTTGTCGCTTATTCGCAAAACGTATGCCCACACTTACTACGGTGTCACATTTAGAAGCTAAGTGTGGAGTCGCGCTTGGATATGACGATTAAAATGGTTGAAAGTGAATATTTTGAAAATGTTTTTATTTACTTTTGCTTCTCGCTTTTTTGGAACTTTGACCAACACGATATCATCTTTCGAAGCCGGCTGTTCTTTTGCCAATTCTCTTTTTATTATTTCTGGAAAAAATGAGGACAAGTAAAGAGAATATCAAGCAAGCATCATGGTGAAGATTTTGATAAAATTTGCTAATCATCTGAGCCAGGAGTAAATCCTATTTTTTTCTTAAGAAGTGGGTCACAAATGATGCAAGAAAATAACACATAAAAACCAGAGACTTGGAAATTTCAATTCTACTGCATAAAAATACTCACTCTCCAAATTAAAAGCCTGTATGGTGCTTTTCATTATGGTGAAATTTTTGTCATTTGGTTTCTGGCGGAGCTCTATAAGTGCTCTATACGAAAGACAACGACTGTTGAACTTTACGTATGGAGTAAATTTGGATACGTCTCCGTCGCACAGCTTCACCATTGCGGCATAAATATCGCGAGCGTAATTTGGATCACCGCTCTTTCGACCCGTGAATGGCATTGTTATTATCTGCAATAAAAACCGTTTGTCCCCTTTAACTACCACATAAAAATAACACACAATGTATAATTTGTAATGTCTCAAACCAATCAAAAATCCGATCGTCTTTTGTACCCAAAAATGGAAATAAACATACAAAACACGAGTATTTGGAAAGTGTGTGAGGCATTAAGAAGTTACTCTTTTCGAATTAGCATTGATCGTTTCCCGAATATGTCGATAAGCATTGCAAAATTTTTACAACACTGTGTTTTGCCCATATGAAAGAATTATTGGTACCGAAAAGATTATTGTTCTACAGATACACTCCGCGAAATAATTAAAGGCACATTTTCATTTTTTAAATTTTCTTAAAAATAAACACAAATATTGTCGCAGTTTCATTATATTATTTTACTATGGGCCATTTACGAATACATCACAAAGAGATTTACCCAAAAGGATTTCATATTTTCTATTTTTTGGTGATTTTTCTGTTTTTGGCGTGATGTAAGTGCGAAATAATTATAGGCGCACTCACAGTTTTATGTAAAAGCTATTGACATGTTTGTGATATGTATTGATATTATTTATTATTTTGGGTGCTCTTTAGAGTATTTCTGCATTTTTACAATTATCTGTAAAGCTGTTGGACGCCCCGAAAACGGCCAATCGGTCATGGCTCCGATTCATGTGTGGGAAAATGATGGAGAATTCCACCAAAGGTAATTGTAAGTGGATACAAAACCATCTGATATTTAAAGGATGGAACTAAATACAACATATTATGCAAAATATCGGCAAATTTTTCAGCATTTTGGTCAAAATAAGCAAAATGGCCGATATAACCTCAAAAAAACGTCACGAATTTTTTGTGGGAATTTTTGAAAAATTTCCTAATATTTTCGCGAATTTTCGATTGAACACTGTGACAAGGGTCTTATATACAATTGTGATTTAGATCAATTATCGCGGCAATGTCCAAAGTTGAAAATATTGGGAATGATAAACCGAAGCTAGTCTAAAATTATTTGATAAGGAAAAACTACATACATTTGTAGAAGTTCAAATTCAAACCTCTTGATGATTTGCAGTTGAATTTGTAAAAAAAAAAATTATTCGAAAATTCCGGCATTGAGATTGTCATCGATTCCTGAAAGGAAAATGATTTACTGGGAAATTTGAAGTAAAATTTGCATTCATTTTAATTAGTTTTAAAATATTTATTATACCTGCTCCAAATAAATATAATATTGTATAGCAAATATTACACAGAATCTGTTTCGAATTGATTTGGACTGCACAAAATAAAATCTTCTTAAAATAATAAAGAAGGAAATAAGATGTATACAAGATTGTCTTAGGAAAATAAATAAATCTTCGAGTGATCAACACAAATCTGACAGCGTACACACTGCACACATTAAAAGTGCCTTTTGCGTAATTTGTATTCTATATTGACATTATGATTTCTGATAAAGTTACGAATCTGTGATAACAATGTTTTACTTTAAGCAATTTATTTAAAGATAAAAAAGATGCTAGTGTGTGTAAGGTGCCAAATTTGAGTCAGTGAAAATAGAAATTTATTCACACAACTTGATTATTACTTCTTTTTTAGCTACAAATAACATTTTTTGAATCATTCTGGTATTATTATATACACTTTAACAAGGGGAAAATCATCACCAAGAATCTTAAAATATTGTTCTCATATTCATCCTTCTAGGTCAATCAACAATCCATCGGCCGTAGCAACTTTCACATTATCTTTCGCTCGCAGAGTGATGTGGTTTTTATTCACCATGTCTTCCCAATTTGTGTTTCCTTCGGATGGAAAGTAATCGCCTTTGTGGTAACTTCCTTTGATTCCAGTTATGACTTCCATGGAATTGGTGGCCGCCGCCGAAACGCCATCATCCGTTTTTCTGGATGCTCTGAAGTAATTATTACCAGGAAATGACACATGATCCCAAGCAAAGACTTCATGTAGTTTGCAGTTGGAAAAATAGTCAACAGGCTCTTCGTAATGCTTTGGATCGCATAATTGTGGATTTTGAGACGTCAGCCGTACGCGAGAGTTCACACCGTCAATTTGATGCATTTAATTTGTGCATTCGTCAAACGAATCGAAATAGATGCAAGCGATATTGTCGTAGTGTTTTGCGTGCTCCTTCAAATTGTATTGCAATGCTTGATTCAAATTTTCGGCCATTTTGCCGCGAAAATGTCCCGCAAACACTCCACACCCCACGCCCGGAATCGTAATAAAGGCCTGTTGGTTATCCTGTTTTGCATTCTCGTCACTATAGCCATTTAGAGCTACTCCAGACGAAAAAGTCGAAGTAATATTCCATATCCATATATATATATTGCATTGTTCAAAAAAATAATAAAAATAAATTCTCGTTGGCGTAATAAAAAAGTGGCATCAGCCGTCTCTCCATCAGTCGATTGTAATTGTCTTAATCGAAGGCATTTCCAGAAATGACCTCTTTCATATCGGGGTTCATTGCCGCCTTCTTTTTGCTTCGAAGCACTGGACCAGGTGTAAATAATAAACGCTCCATTCAACGGTGGATTGTATACACGGAAACGTGCATTTTTCGGCACCCAAACGCCGTTGTCGTAAATTGTCAAATTCATCGCAATGTTGATGTCACTCAATATCCGGAATTACATGTCATTCCAATCCACACCGCCTCCGTTGATCCCATGTGTTGCAAAAATGATCGGTTTTTTGGCCAACAACAAACATTCTACGAATCGTTCAGTAGATATTTCATTGAGAGGTGATTTAGTCGTGTCCAAAATTTGTTTCAATAAAATCCCGGCTTCAATTTGTTTGCAAATAGATCATTTTTGTGCGACACAATCTGGTTCACGGTTTCTTGACTCAGAACAATGTCGTAGTTTGGTTTATTTGCCATTTTTCTTCTCTTTCAATCTCGAAAATACTAACGAGAGATATTTTAGCAGCACTTATTTCTTCAGGTTGTTTGTAAATATTATCTTTGATCTTCCAGTGTGTCTGTTACTTACCTACGAAGATTTAACGTATAAAAAATCTCACGAATATTTGACTCGTCGTAGCTTGAGCAGTTGTTTGCGCTAGAAAGTTCACTGACCAAATGAAATCAACTGGTGCGACTCACTGGAAATATAAACAACAATTTCACAATAATTACGAATGTGATGCCTTTTGACTGTGACTCACCAGAAATGCCAATAATTTCACCTTGCACTAGAAAGTTTTATTTTTCTAAAACAAATTTCGCTGATTCGACTAAAAAAAGTCGATGCTTTGAATTATTGTACTGGTTTCGATTCGATTAGATGAAGAATTATTCTTTCTTAAATCGACGAATATTCACAGAATTTTGGTTTAAAATATTTACGGTTTGCAATAAATCAGGTATAAAACTGTTCGCTGAATGACATAAGCCGGCTGATTTTGTTTGTCATTTGAAAACATATGCTCTACGAATGTGCGTGAAGCAGTACGACAGTGTGTGCGTGCTGTCAAATGTGAAATAAGTCAAAAACACACCATTGTGTTTGGGCGGTTGTTTTGAATATATTATTTTGTTCGATACACTCATCTGTGCTCCACAAAATAGCTATTCCCAGGAAAGGCTACGTGATCCCACGACTTTATGTAATTTACAGTCGGAAAAATCATCGCCATCCTCTTCGTATTCGTTCGGCTTGCACAGTTGTGATGGGCCATTATTTTGGGATACCGGTTGAACGCGATAACTCACACAATCAAATTGTTGTGTTTCATTGGTGCATTCGCGTTGTGGATCAAAGAAGATGCAAGCGATTTTATCGTAGTTTTTCGCATGATTTTTCAATATATTCTGCAATGCTTGGTTCAATCGGTTGTATTTATCTTGATCCATGTCATCGCCAGAAATTATCTGTTTTAAATCTGGAGCCATCCCGACCACGGAACGACTTCGAAGCAATGGCCCATTTGTAAATAACAACGCTCCATTCAACGCGAAAATAAAAAATCGTTCTTAATTCATGTAATTGATTTTTTTTTTCATTGAAGTCACATCAATCGAATTTTCGTAACCTAATTAAAAATTGAATTAAGACTCAGCAACCAGCTCTCTTACAAAATCTGCAATATTTTTATCTTTTCTCTTCGTAATAACACGGTGATTGTTCTCCAATTTATGTAGCATGGAAATGATTTTGTGCAACAGATTGCGAAATATTTCGCTGTTATGCGATTTCAAATTGGGAATCAAATCGTCGATGGTGTTTTTCGAGCGTTCATAAAAATAAATCGGTGTTGACAAGCGAGCTCTGTGATCGATGTTCCGTGAGAAAGAAATTGAAATCAAAAGAGATATGAAAACAAACCGTGATCACAATGCAAAGGATGAAAAATAGCCAAAAATGGAACAGAAATGAACGAAACGGATGAACGGAATCATTAAATGAAAAAATTAGCAATCAGAAATTTGAAAATAAAACAGAGAATAGATACCAACTAGCATCAATGAATAGAACTTCGACTTTGATTCAAACTGTTTATATTCAACCGAATGAATTCTCACCGTTCGTAAGAAACTCTCACAAAAATGAAACAAAAATAAATCTTCTTTACTCGACATGTTCCCAACAGGTTTTGCAAGGGTCAAAGCTCTAGATCTTCCGATGCAGAAATAGCCTTAATTTATATTCATACTTTTGTTGTGCATAGAGATGCGTATAACATGTGAACAAGAAATGAAAAGTAATCGCTAACGTTATTACAACGCTAACGTTATTACAACGTGCTTGATATAATCATTCCAAAACCTGAAAAGTAATGATACCCATATAGCACTTATGATTCAGCAATAAGACTAAAATAGCATGCAGAAAATTTTGAACAAAAAAAAAAAATAAAAAATGAAAATAATACTAACTGGTTGATAATTAGAATAAATAAACAGAAAAACAAGAACATGCAGATGATATTTATATACGTAATTGAAATGCTTGCAAATAAATTTTTAGATTTTTGACCAAACTCACATGTATGATTCAGAAATTAAACGTTACATTGAACGCATAATCAACATAGAATAAATCGATAGTTTGATTTTCCCCATTAACGTTTACTTGACATACAAATCAATTCAACAAAATTCGCTTTCTAGAAATTATTTTCTTCAGAAATGAATTCCAGACGTAATAAAGACATTACGGAAAAGGAATTTAAATCATTCAATCAAATTTAAATCAACTGTGGTGAGAATGTGCCGTGATAAAAATGAAGAAGATATAAAGCGTATGTGTTTATTGGTTTTGGAAACGCCATTAGAATTTAAATTCAAAGCTGACGGAGCCACTGCGTTTTATATGAAATTGGTATGCCAATGGAACTGTGATAAAAAATGTGTAAAAAAACACAACGAATCTATACGTTGATTTTGATTATATAAAATATAACAAATGCCAAATATTGCGGTCTAGACATAATGACTAATGCATATCATCAACGCGAATAAGCTCAATGAATAAACATTGTTTTAAAATGCTGTCAAAGTTACTAATAACGATGATTGATCAGCATTTTGTGATGACCATTATTTTGATGCAGTTGTTAGCAGCGAATATAAAATATCACTTCAAAGTCATTTTTTGCAGATTATCGGTGCGGTATGATCAAAGTCAATGACAATCTAAAAAGAACGCCACAGAATATTTTGATTCCTGCGGCTATTTTTAGTCACTCTTAATTTTGGTCAGTCAAATCAGGTTTACTGCAAATCTTCTGCAAATTGTTATATGAGGAAAAAGAACATCGAAACAGAATTGAAAATGTGCACGAAATTTTATTACCGCCTCTTGATATAAATACGGCTTGAAATATATCATGTGTAGTTTAATGGTGCATATCATCTGTGGAGTAAGTTGAGAGATTGCATTTCGTTCGATTCATTCTACAAAAAAAAAAGTTTCAAGAAGTATAGTAACTGTGAAATTGGTAAACTCAAGTTAAGCAAAATGTCGTCTGAATCCATAACAAAACTTTTACATCAAGTGGCGAAAAACCAAGGATTTTCTGATTATGAAATTAAAACAAAAACTGGATCAAACCATGGTGATAATTTTGTAGGTGTTATGACTGCTATCACATTATCTGGCACAAAGGGATTAAATGGCAACGGTGCGCGTCAAGAGTTGCATTTGATTTGTAAAACACCTCCAGCAGACGAAGCACGGAAAAAGCTGCTCAGATCGGACTTAGTGTTTGATCGTGAAATTTATACTTATTCAAAATTGCTGCCTGCATTCGTTCGATTCCAACAAGAGCAAGGACTTAGTGAAGTGGATGCGTTTTCATCATTTCCCAAAGTTTACGCGAGTGAAGCAAAAAATGGCAGTTATATATTGATTATGGAAGATATGAAATCCAAAAACTATGAAATGTGGCCCAGAGAAAATATCATTGCACTCGATCATGAGCTATCGATTATGCGTGAGCTCGGCAAATTTCACGCGTGTTCATTTGCTTTGAAAGATCAACGACCACATGAATTTGATGAATTTAAAGGATTGAAAGACATTTTTATTGATGTTGCTATCAAGGGATTGTTTGGATCATACATAGAGAAGTCAGTTGAAAGAGCGGCTGATACACTAAAAAATCCGAAATACAAAGAATATATGCTAAATCTACGGAAAAATTATGCAAGCAAAGTCGAACATTATTTATCTGAAGCACTCTCTAACGATTTCGGTGTCATCGGACATGGAGACTGCTGGAACAACAATTTTTTATTTCAGAATCCTGATGGTGATGTAAGTTTGATATTTCTTTGGAAAAATAAAAATGAAGTGTTGGTTTATGCATATAAATTTTTTTCCTTGTTTTCGCAGAAAAATCGATTGGAATCAGTGTGTTTCTTGGATTGGCAATTCGTACGCTTTTGTTCACCAGCGATTGATTTGCTCTATAACATATTCTCTTCGACTGATAAGGAATTCCGTGATCAACACTATGAAAAGCTGTTGCAAACGTACTATGCATCATTGAGCAAAACTATTCAAAGGCTTGGCAGTGATCCAAATAAACTCTTCAGCTATGAACAGTTGCAAGCACAACTTCGAAAATTCGGTGAAATTGCATTATTGTTCGCTCCGATGTTGATGCTCGTGAAATTAGTGAAGCCAGAGCACATAAAACCGATGGGAGAATATGCGTCAGGCGTTGAACGGGGCGAGGAAACGGATTTAATAAATGAACTCGATGAAGAAACACAAGCTGAGTTCAGTAGGCTGGTTAACGAGCTATTCAGTGATCTTGTGGGTTTGGGATACATACATTTACAGTAATTTGGTCGACGAATTTTTATATTATTGAAAAAAAAAAATAATTGAATAAAAGGATACGTTAAACACATCTGTTTGCATTTTTTATTTCTAAAAGAAAACTTGATATAAAACACGATTGACCTAAAATTTCATATCGAGCAATTTTCACTGGATGTTCCAGGGAATCGTTGGAAATGAATGATTCTAGATTGAAAGTGTTGATGAAAAATCGTTTTCTGTACATTATACACACTGTGCTGATTTTTCATTTTCCAACAATTTCTGGGGCGAGTCGAACTCAGCTACACGACCCATTCGTCAAAATTGTACACTCACTAAACTCATTTCGAACTTAAAACCAAAGAAAAGAAGAAATAAATCCAATAAAGTGGTGTGATTTCGATTGTTTGCCGGAACATTCATTTATTTGGATTACAAAGTCATTAAAAACTATCGAATAGTGCTATCTTATGCTCTTAATTTGCTAAAAAGTTAAGTTGATGTTGCGCATCAATTTAACCGTGAGTTGTGTCATCTTCAACGAAATCTCGGGCGATTTCTCTCGTTACACAATCGACGTGTGACACTTTGTTTCTAAATCGAACACCATAGAATTTGTTGGCGTGCTCAAGTAATTCAGGTCGGAACGTGGTGGTGATGAATTGTGCGTTTTCGCTTAGCTCATGAATCATGTCGGCCACAGCTTTACGATGTTGAGCATCCAAAGCCTATTAACGTCAACGAAATTAAAGTGATTAGTCACCAAAGTCATATTAAAAATAGATTTAAAGTAGTCTTACCTGATCGATTTCGTCAAACAGATAGAATGGTGCTGGATCGCATTTTTGGATGGAGAAGATGAGCGCAAGCGCTACCAGAGACTTTTGACCACCGGACAATTGATTCATTTCTCTCATCTCAGCTTCTGAGCTGGATAAGAATGAAACACGAATTCCAATGCCAGTGAAATCATCTGAGCTGGCTACCTCTGGATCTTGGTCATCCTGACTGTCACGTGTCTTCAACACCAAATGTCCGTTTCCCTGTGGCACAAGCTTCTTGAAAACGGCACTGAAATATTTGGCCACTTGCTTGAATGTGAACTGAATCGCTTCGACCTTGCGCATTTCCAGTGTTTGCATGAGTTCACGAATTTTTGAATCGGCCACATCCAATTCCTCTTTACGTTTGTACAGTTTCTCTTTTTGTTCGGAAAAACTCAAGAATTGATCCAGGGCCTTTTTGTTAACGTGATTGTACTTTTTCAAATGTTGATTCGCCCTTTCCAGCTCTTTGAACAACTAAAAGTGTGATGGAATACAATGAAATTATCGAGTTTGGACAATACATCCAACACACAACAATAGAGAATGAACAATTTTAAAAATGGAATTGATTTACTTACATTCTTCAGTGACATACGTGTATATGCCGGATCAACCTGCGGCAATGCACCAAGACTTGCAATTTTTTCGGTGCATTCGTCGATTTTCGAACGCAGCAGGTTCTCTTTTGCTGCCCATTTTTCGAACTTTTTGGAATCTTCATCGACTTTATCCTTCGCTTCTTTCTCTTTTTGTGTCCATTTCTCCAGATCTTTTTGTAGATTTTTCTGTGATTTTACAGCATCTTGAACCTTTTTATCCACCGACTGTAGATCTTTGTTGACCTTATCAATGCGTTTTTCAGTTTCGACTCGATCCGCATTGCAATTTATCAATTTTCGTTTGCGATCTTCAACCGAAATTTCTTGCAAAGCTTGCACCAATTCGTCGCGACGCCGGAACAAATTGTTTGTTAGCAAATTGTCAAGCTTATTTTTTTTCACTTCCAATTGCATACGTTCACTGAACGCTTCTTTGTTTTCCTGGTTCAAACGGCGAATTTCATCGTTGAGTGTGTCAACTTCACGTTGATCCTGTGTCGATAGTTGTGACATGAGCTCTTGGTGCAGTTCATTTTCGAGGCCCTCCTTTGTGCTGTTCAATGCTTCCAAAGCAGCCTTGCATTGGGTGATTAGACGCTCTTTTGGTCCACGGAATCGCTCAATTCGACTCAATTCCTCCTTCATTAAACGGATATCAGCTTGCACTTTATCGAATATATCTTGAGATTTTCCTTGCTGTAAAAAAAAACAACAGAATAATTGAAGTGACAAAACGAGTCCATAGGATAAACATTACAATTTAAACCACTTGAAAAGTTCAGAAAAAAAGGAATGAGTGAAAAAGTACGCGATTTATACCTTTGTTTCGATCTTCTGCATCTCCGACACCAAGTTGTTGATACTAGCTTCGGTTGTTCGCAATTCATTTCGAATTGAGGTGAGCTCTTCTTCAAAACCTTTTATTAAATCCATGAATTCGGTGCGTTTCTTCTGAATCTCGAGACGCGAACGTGATGTATTGAAGTAACCACCAGTTAAGCAACCTTTCGATGACACTTGATCACCTTCCAATGTTACACAATCCAAACCGGTGCTTTTGGCCAATTCGGTGGCTCGCTCCAAGTTACGACAAATCAATGTTTTGCCAAAAATATACCGAAGTGCTTTATCGTACTGTTCTTCATAGCGTAGCTTTGATATCATTGGAATCGAGTCAGGATTATCTGGGTAATCGTGTACTTTCACTTGCAAACGGTTAAGCGGCATGAATGTTACTTCACCGGGCAACTTGAGCTTGTTCATTTCCTTGAGAATTTGTGTGCCAACACGGTCGGATTCGACAATGTGATGGAAAAGCCTATTTCCAGCTGTCACTTCGACAGCAGTATAAATGGCCTTCTCGCAACTAAAGTTCTCGATCACTGGACCGTAATAGGCTTTGGCAATGTCGGCTTCAGGACCACCCGCATCCAAAAATAGATCTAAAACTTTACGAACTGAGTCACGACCATTTAAAATCGGCTGGAAATAGCAATTATTCATTAGGTTTTTTTGATACATTTCAAGATTTTCAAGAAAAACAATGTGGACAAAAGAAATGTGTACTCACTCGACCAGCCATCGAACGAAGTGCGGTGTCTGCTTTGCCTAATTCTTCTTTGTTCGCTGACAATGTTTGTGTCATTTGAGTTTCTTTTCGCCACAATTCGCTGAAATAATGCAAAATGAAAATTTAAACGAGATATTCAAATTCAGAAGCACAAAAATTGTAATTTTTCCCAATGTGAATTGCGAAAAACACGAAATTTAGACAGATATCTACGAATAACTCACTTTCTCGTTGCTTGCAATGCATCCTTTTTCTTCTTCAGCTCGTATGACTCCTTGTAGAATTGATCGATTTGGGCGCGCATCGATTCCACTTCGGCCATATGCTCTTCGATCTTCTTCTCCAACTCGGCCTGTTTAGCTGCATCGCGTTTTAAATCATCTTGCAATTTGTTCTGATGAGTGATTTTGTCTTTGATTTGTTTCGCAAGTGACTTGAGTTCGGTTTGAATCCATTTGTCTCGATCTTCTTTCGATTTGAACTGTGAACCACGCCCTTGTTTGGCATAGAGTTCCTTTCGTTTTTGTTCTTTCAATCCAAGTTCACGCGAGAGATCTTCTTCGCGCTGCTTCATCGCCTCATAACGCGGTCGAACCGCATCTATACGTCAAAAACATAATGATAAATCGTTTTTTTTTTCTACAACTCACTCAAATACAAAAGTTAATTCTATTTACCAAGTTCCTTTTCTTTTTCGGCAATTGACTCTTTGAGCTTTTCCAATTCGTGTTCGGCGCGCTCTTTTGATTTATTATCGCCTTGAACTTCATCCGTCAAATCGCCGATCGTCAAATCGAGTTTCGTTTTTTCGCGCAGCAACTGCTGTTGTTCGGTCATCAGAACTGACTTCTCGTCTTTCAGAATGGTCACATCTTTGCGTGCTTCTTTCAAACTCTTGTGGATGGATTTCAATTTATCTTGAGCCTCTTGAATTTCTTTGTTAAATTCCTTTTGCTTATCTCCCGATGTTCTGCGCAGATTTTCCAGATCATCGAGCGCCTTCTTTGTGTCTTTCAATTCGGTTTCATGAATAATATACTCCAAACTTCGACGGGCTTTGTCCCATTTTTGATATTCCTTCAGCTCTTCTTTTTCCTCTTCAAGTGTGGCCAATCGTTCTTCAATGGTGTGAAGAAATTCTTTAATCTTTTCCACTTTTCCTTCGGTTTCCTTCAGAATGTTCATGGATTCTTCTTTCCGTTCGTCATAAACACGAGTACCAGCCACTTCACGCAGCAACTTCAATCGATGGGCATCTGGAGCGGTGGCCATTTGATTGATTTTACCTTGTTTCACAATGTAGTATGGATTTGAATTGGAAAAACCAGCCGATTCCAATAAATTCACTACTTCTGTGCGTGGAACGACTTTTTTATTCAAGAAATACTGATCTTTTTTGGCACCAATCACACGACGCAAAAAGATTTCATCTTTGTCAATCTACAATTTGAACGCAAGAGACAAATTCATAACTTCTGTTATTTTTTTATCAATCACGTTTGATTTTATCTAGTAGAGTTCGCAAGCCCGACCGATAGATAATATCTACTCACCGGAATTCGATTGTCCGAATTATCAAAAATGATTTCGACGTACGCGGACAGAACGCGAGTACCAGTACCTTCGTGCAAGAGAGCTTGACGTTGTTCAGGTCTCAAGTGGGTAAACTCATCGCTGAGCACAAATTGAATGGCAAAGAAGAAATTACTTTTGCCCGAACCATTTCGACCAACGACCACATTATGCCTCTTGTCGAATGGTTCAACGACCGTTTGCTCGCGATAGCTCTTGAATCCTTGGATTATAATCTAATTAAAACGAAACCAATTGAATGTATGCAATCAAAAACCATTGAAAAATCAATCGATAGAACTTTTGAGTCGAAGGAAGCGTCACTAAACATAACCTCAATTCCAAATTGTTGTTTTATTTTTCACATATTTTGCCATTTTAACGCGTATTTACCTGTTTTATATGCATTTTTCATGCAACAATGACATTCGATACGGATATGATTTATTATCAACGATACATTAACGGTAAATTAATTTCACATGAATTTTAAATATCAAACACAAACATTTTTGTTTCGATTACAAACAATAGATCCGACTCTATCGACGTTTGTATAAAACTGTTTTGACAGCGTCTAATTTGCACAATGAATATTCACATAGAAGTACAGTCAACGAGCGTTAAAAGCCAACTTCACGCCAGATGGTTGATGGTTTGAAATAAAATATTGTTATTGGAAAGGTGTAAATTTCAACAAAAAAATTTCTTTTTTCCAATTGAAGATAATTTTCATTTCATTCAAGGGAAATATATAAAGAATACAGCAAGATTATTCAGAAAATATGATTTAGCGTTTATTTTCTTCATCATCTTTTCTTTGGGTCCTTCTTTCGGTTGAACGTACTAGATCGCAATGGCAATATTAATACGTTGTTTTTCTTCTTCTTGCATTCGGATTTGTCATTGTTGACGATAATGTGAAGTGAATTGAAGAGAAACTAAGTTGTTGATGGTTACTACAATTCGAGAACCACTTTGACGTATGCACAATAACAGTGGTGATTAGCATTTAGAATGTACATTTGAAGCGAGCGGTAACTCAAGACACGTCGACACATTCAACCCACAATTATTTGCATACAGATTATAATGACATCTTCGGATATTAATCATAAATTGTCATCTCAAGCCAAGATTTAGTGTGTTTAGTGGTATGAATTAATTTGTATATTTGTAACTAAAAGAAAAAAAAAACACATCGAACAAAGACTGAACAAAGAACCATGCGACGTGGACGCATACAATTTCTCAAAGTAGGTATAGGTGCAATAATTGTGTTGGTGGTATTTTATTTCCTGTTTTCGGATTCAAATGCACATACACGAGCCCAACAAGCGATATCAGCTCGGTTTACAGCCAACAAACCAAGAGAACGACCCGTTTTTTCGAAAGGAGGTAAGTAGTAGCATTCATTCTTGGTGAATTAGCCATGCTTTATGCTAAAATACTTTAATTGTAACACATTTTTTTTCTTCGATTTCACAGAGCTAGGCAATTATGAACCAAAACACGAAGAAAAGCGAGTGGGTCCAGGAGAATATGGTGAACCTTACATTTTGCCAGAGGAGAAACGAAATGCTGCCGAAGAGTCTGAAATGGAGTATGGCATGAATATTGCCTGCTCCAATGAAATTTCATTGGACCGCGCTGTAAAAGACACTCGCTTAGAAGAATGTAAGCACTGGAATTACGCACATGATTTGCCAACAACAAGTGTCATTATTGTGTTCCACAACGAAGGTGAGTTTGATATGGAAATTAATTTACTTTCGGGTGAGTTTGATTGGAAAAATGTAATAAATTTACTTTCCACAACGAAGGTTGGTCGGTGCTATTGCGAACGGTTCATTCGGTATTGAATCGAACGCCAAAGCATATTTTACACGAAATCCTACTGGTAGATGACTATTCCGACAAAGAGGATTTAAAAGACAAATTAACAAACTATTTGGAACGATTCAATGGAAAAGTGCGTTTAATCCGAAATTCAGAAAGAGAAGGATTGATTCGCACACGATCAAGAGGTGCTCGTGAAGCGACCGGTGAAGTTATTGTATTCCTAGATGCACATTGTGAAGTGAACACCAACTGGCTACCTCCTTTACTCGGGCCAATTTACGCAGATCGAACTGTTATGACTGTACCAGTTATCGATGGAATTGATCATAAGACATTCGAATATCGACCAGTTTACAGTGATGGCCATCACTATCGTGGGTGAGTTTGATTGGAAAAAAGTATACTTGAACACATCATTTGAATGCTACTCGTTATTTTTTTTTTTACAGTATTTTCGAATGGGGAATGCTTTACAAAGAAAATGAAGTACCTCCACGAGAGCAAAAGCGACGCACATACAATAGTGAACCATACAAAAGTCCAACACACGCAGGTGGTTTGTTTGCCATCAATCGCGAATATTTCTTGGAATTGGGAGCTTACGACGCTGGCCTTTTAGTGTGGGGCGGTGAAAACTTTGAATTGAGCTTCAAAATCTGGCAATGCGGTGGCAGTATCGAATGGTACGTTGCAAGTAGGACCTTTAGTTTGACCTTTCTCTATACGCAACTATTTTGCAAGAATAAAATAATTTATTGTTATTTTGATTCACTTTATTAGGGTACCTTGTTCCCGCGTTGGCCATGTCTATCGTGGTTTCATGCCATACAACTTTGGAAAATTGGCTGACAAGAAAAAGGGACCATTGATTACAATCAATTACAAACGTGTGATTGAAACTTGGTTTGATGATAAATATAAGGAGTACTTTTATACTCGCGAGCCATTGGCACGTTACTTGGACATGGGCGATATTACAGGACAGCTGGAATTGAAAGAGAAGTTGCAGTGCAAGAGCTTTCAATGGTATATGGATAATGTAGCCTATGATGTATTCGATAAATTTCCACAGCTTCCAGCCAATTTACATTGGGGTGAACTACGTTCAGTGGCTACTGAGATGTGTAAGTGATGACATAAATGAAAAAAGAGACTGATCGAGGCTCAACGATTCAAATTCTAACAACATGAACATTTTCTAATAGGTATTGATGGAATGGGCAGACAACCTCCTTCAATAATGGGCCTGCAGCACTGCCACGGTCACGGCAATAACCAGCTGATGCGATTGAATGCAGCTGGACAGCTTGGCGTTGGTCAGTGGTTTTTCATTTCACATTTTTTTTTTCAAGCTTATCTCATCAACTTACTTGTGTTGCAAATCAAACAATTGAATTTGATCTAAATCCCTAACTCTTATATTTTCAGGTGAAAGATGTGTCGAAGCAGATCGACAAGGAATTAAGTTGGCATTCTGTCGACTCGGCACGGTCGATGGTCCATGGCAATATGATGAGAAATCAAGAACATTATTGCATCGCGTGCACAAACGTTGCTTGGCCGTTCATCCGCAAACGCATCAAATGTCACTACAACAGTGTGATGTGAACAATGCATATCATCAATTTGTTTTCAAAACAATACGACCGAGCTGGGCGCGTGATGACTAAAAATAGCCGAAACATGATCTTCTTTTTTTTTTCTTGGGTTGGTTAAACGTATGGTGATAACGAATCTTAAATGCATTTAAAATAGCAAATCTTGCACAGCAAGCTCCGCCAAAACATTCTTAATGAAATCTCTAAATTGTTTTAATGTATGTGATTTGTTGATTGGATTGTTCATCCGTACGTATGAATTGCAATTCGCGTATGTGTAATAGGAGTAGAAATATTTATTAAAACAATGGAGATCAGAGATGGATGAAAGACTTTCTTTTTTAAATATTTTTTGTGTGTAAATTTTTAAAACGATTCTGCTTAATACTGTGAATGATGCATGGATGTGAAAGGCAGGTGGATGGATAATATACATATATATATAAAAAGCCGCTGTTAATAAGAAACTCTTTTTTTATAAAGAAAAAACACAACCAGAATACTTGTTCCAATAAAAACTAAATCGGAGTACCAACTTTAAAGTTTTTGTTGTTTTATTTGTTTTTTTTTTCTGAAAATCGCCGGTATAACAAAAAAAAGTTCAAGTATAAAAAAAGGAAAAAAAACATTTTTTTCGATTGAATGTCTTAGAAAAAAGCTATACATCAATCGCAATTAACTATTCTTTTCGACTTCGAATGTGACTATTTTTTCTCTTGCATCTTCTCCTTCACTTTGCGTAGCAACACGTCAAATGAATCATCATTATCGATCTTCGTTTGTTGCTTTATTGGACTGGTTTTATCTTCACGGAATCCATGACCAGAATTGTCTGCGGAAAAACCATAATGATAAGATTAGTTTTGGATTATGCAACGCAATGTAATGAATTCATTTCGTGACGATTGTTCGACAATTGAATATTTATCATAAATAGAGAAAAATGACTTACCCAAATCAAAATACTTTTCGCGACAGAAGGCACGTCGGCCTCCGAAACTGATGTCATAATGACAAATTGCTGAATTTTTTGGACTGTCATCGATGGCAGTGTATGCATCACATGGACGTACAAATGTAACAAATCCATATTTCAACTTGGAACTGTGAATAAGAAACGAACATTTTGTCTCAATATTTTGAGCGTTGACTTCAAAATATGTGTTGAACTTACTCTTTGTAATGCAATGACACTTGTTTCACTTGACCATAAACCGAAAATTTTCGACGTAGCTCTTCTTTCGTTGTCTCCTCTTCAATGCGTCCAACGTAAACAATTCTTCGTTCCTCTGTAATCGAACAAAAGAAAAACATTTGATTTATGATGCTATGTGTGAATTGAATGTGTTTTGAATATGATCCATATTTCAGAGTCTAAATTCTACTGACCTGGTGAGTTGGATCGTTTCGATGTCATTTGTCGATAGTTGCTGCGTCGGGAATTGTTTGAAAATGTGCGTATTCTGTAATATTGATGATCGTCACCGTAATACGATTTCGATGAGCTACCGCCGTAGCTATTCAATGATCGTACCGATGCACTAGAAACGTATGTACTTGAGCTACTTGATGATTGCGATGAGGATGATGAATCGGTTGAGGTAGTTGAATTATCACTGCTGGTCGACAGTGATCGGCTGATAGTGCGATGTCTACTAATATATTTATCGTATTTCGACGATGAATATCGGCTTGATTCTCTACGCGATCGTCGGTGTCGAACAGCGCTGTGCTCCATAAAGTCTGAATGCCGTGAACGTCTCTGAACGCTTTTGTCGTCTTCGTCACTATAATAACTCGACTCGGATAAATGGCTCGGCCCGCGATAGTTGCGATGTATTCTATTTTTAGTTTCGGTATGCAAAAAGTGCATTTCGCTTGATCGATTATCTCTGGGTATGCTACCCATGCGTTTCTCAGTCATGATTGATTGCTTCTTGGACAGTGGTACGAGCTTTTCCAATGGTGGGAATTGGAAATAGGGATCGGTTTGTATGGACGTTGACACTCTGGTCGGTCGTACTCGATCTTTACGCAAATGCATGATAACTTTGTTCTCGCCATGTTCTGGCACTTCTTTTTCTTTGTCTTTGCCATTCGTGGCGTCTTCATCTCCACCTACTGTAACGTCTTTCTTGTCGTTTTGTTCGATGCTGTGAGTTTTTTTCAAAATAACATCTTGTATACTTGATATCAATGACATACTCGAAATTTTCGAATTGGCCTTTTCAACTGACGTTTGAATATCCGATAGTAAAACTTTTGATTTGACCGATTTGCCGTCTTTCATCTCGGACGGTTGAATGAATGATGCCTCTGGAATTGATATATTGGTGTTGCATCCCATTGAAACAATGATGATCTCTTCATACATTGAATTTCCCACAAACACATCATTTGGCGATGCTTCTTCATTTGTTTCGTTCTTTTTCTGGTTTGATTCCATCGGTGCTTCATTCCCAATTTTCTCCGTTTTGATATTTACAATGAAACTTCCGTTAATACTGGCACCACTGTTGTGAGATGTTTTCAAACTCTTACGTTTCAAATATTCCTGGATATTCAATTTCCGCTTTGCACTCGATTCAACTTTACTTTCTTCAACAATCATAACATCTGGTTTCACTTGTTCTTGCACATCGATGATATCTTTAACTTCGACAACATTGACAACATCGATAATTTCTTCATTGATCTGCTCAGTTTTGATTTCTTTTTCACATTGAAACACTTTTTCAACTATTGCGGGTAACTTTTGCACAATGTTAGCTGGTTTCGGCTTACGTTCGGCCAACACATTTGAACCTATCTTCGATTTACGCATCGACATTGTTCCATTCGAAACGATTTTATTCTTATCGTCTGCGAATATTCTAAACTTGGCTGGATTTTGCAACAACATATTCGATTGAATCAAGCGTTTCTGTTGTTCCAAGTTGCTCTTCTTTTTCGACACCGTTGGTTTAGCTTTGGTCACTTTCTTCGCATTTGTAACAAGCGCCCGTGCGAAATCAGTCGAGTCCAGGCTGTTGCTATCAATAATGGTTGGCTTTGTAATATTCACTTTTACGTTACTACCGGCGTTTTTGTTCACAAGTTCTCCAGCACTTGGTTTTTTCTCGAAATGGTTTTCTCGTGGTTTTTCCTTATTGCTATTGACTTGAATGACTGGATCTTGCTTCACTTTGCGAATTTCTTTTGGTGATGGAGTTGGCTCACTATTCACTTCTATATCAGAATCATCAGACTCTGAACTTTCGGACGAAGAAGACTCAGACTCGGAGGTGTCGGAATCCGTATAAATTTGATGAAACCTATCTTGCTTACAACTCTTATCACGTACATCATAATTATCACTCGTTTCATTACAATTATAATATTTGGCGGTGATTTGAATGTCTTTACCGCGGCCAACGCCCATACGTTTGATTGGATGTTGAACCACTTTCGGTTGGTTCAGCTTTTCGGTTGCGCCGGCTGGCACAGACATTGTCTTGAGTAATTTTCCCTTGTTCATCGGACGTTCGGAGAGCAATTGTTGCTTTAGCATATTCCTCAAACTATTCCCATGAGCTGATGGAATAGTTTTTGTGGCTTTCTTATTTTCCACTAAATCTTTGCGATCGACAATCTGTTTTACATGGCTAACGGCAGTTTGTTTTGGCGCTTTAGCACCACGTTTGTCAGCGTTTGGAATCCAAACGGGATCATCTACTTTGCGTTTGTTACGTTTACTACTTTCAGCTACGCTATTTATACTGTTTTTTATTGTACTAGTCTCTTTCTCATCTTCGCTATCACTAGTTTTTATGAATTCGCGTGATAGATTTTTCCTCTTTCGCCGATTGCCTGCCGGAGTTTTGGCTACTTTGTCATGGGTTGCGTTTGTTTGTTGAACGGCGGACGTTCGTAACGAGTTTGATAAATCGATTTTATTGGGTGTGTTATGGCTTTCGATGTGTCCAATGTCACTCAATGATATCATTCGGCGTCGAGCCGATGAATCGTTAACTGGAGACAACAATAACGAATTACTTTCACCGCCAATGTAACTGGCTAAATCGAATTGATGATCATTTTTGAATAAAATGTCATCCACCTGTGGGTCAATCGGAAATTCTTCGTCGATATTCAATGTTATGATATCAAAGTCATCATTTGATTGTTGCACATCAAACGGAGCTCCATGGAACAGGGTGTTTGTCGACACATGTACTTCATGTTGTTCATTATCTTCACCAGACTCCGACTCCGAATCCGACGATGATCCTGAGCTAGATGTGGTTTCCGAATAAAAACTATCCGGATCGATTGCAATGATTTCAACGTCCTGAAAAATTCAAAATTCAAAGGATAACATTGAATAAAATAGACTTCTTCAGTGGCGTCAAGCAAAAAATTACTCATTAACCACATATGCAAATTTGGAATACTCCTCAACTTACTTGCAATTCATAGTCATCATAGTGTTCGTTGGTAAATTCAATACCATTGTAGGAATTATCCAGATGATTTTCGCCTTGTATCGCATTTGATTTCGATCTGTGCAAAGGGAAAATCAACTCAATGAGTATTCAATCATGGAAAATGCGAAAATTCACTTAGAATATTTCAGTTTCAAACTTACTCAGATTGTTGTTCAGTGGTGACTCCTGACATGTTGTAAGCATAATTTCCGAATTGAACGCCTCTGCACGTACCAGCATCCATTGAAAGATTTCTACCTAATTTTTTTTTTTGCAAAAGCAGAAAGAAACAAGTTGAAAATGATAATGTTATTATGTGAATGAAACGAAGCCAAAACTTCAGTGTGACATTGACTAGAATTGGTCTGTCAATCAGACAAATTCTTCTCAATACCGTGATGAGTGATCACCACACAGATCAGAACAGATTTATTTATAAAGTAAGCATCAATGATAAAATCTCGTTTCAGTTCGACGTCACATAGTTCGATGTAAACTCTTCTTTACATATGTAACGCACGCTATTCTGAATAACGAATTATGTAAATATATTCGCTAATCTCATGTGAGCTACATTTCAGTGCAACGATGATTGGCGAACGTGATCGATAAAAGAAGCCAACGAAACGAATTGTACATCAAAATGCAACAGATGGTTCAAATCAATTTTGATGAAAATTTTAGACTTCTTGTTTTCAGTCTAAATAATCCTACATACGATTGTACACATATATTGTATGTTGTGACACATTTGACAACACGTTGGTTGTCTCATCTCATACATTTTGTATTTTGGTCGAAGTAGGGCGTCGATTTATACATTCGTATCAATCCAAATACCGAATGGTTGATTCGGTTGAAAAGTCAAATTTGCTAATTCGAACCGAATTTCGAAAGTGTTCGATTACAATTAATGTTTAATGGAATTCATAATAACCACGTTTGTCAACAAGCGATGCAAATTTTCGATCGCACATTGTGTGCTCAGCATATTTCGCAGGTTATGAAATTTACCTAAAATTCTTTTCCAAAAATGTGTGTTGTTCTTTCGAAAATATTGTCAGGATCACGCACTGAACCGATAAATTGGTTTTTAATTAATTCTGGAAAATATGTTAATCGTGGGGTCACTTCCTCATAGTCTAATCTTCACGTGTGCACAGCACACGCATCAGATTTTACGGTCGCAAAATTCACACAATAACACACGTTCAAAATGAAATATCAAACTTAAATATTGCCGATTTACTGTAATGAATTGGTTAAACGGTTTGATCTAATTTATTTAGTGTTTATAGAACACTAGAGTCGCGTTCTTGTTGTATTTTTTCTCTCCTTTTTCTACTTTTCTAAATTGTTTGACCAATTCACGTGTACTGTAACCAACAATACACTGGGAAAATCGCGAAAAAACTGAAACTCAAGTCTGTGCATACACGTTGCGTTCATGCGGAGATGCTGTACATAAACTATCACACTAACCAAATACACACAAATACATGTTGGATTTTTTTTTTTGGGTGCTGAATGAGGAAATAAAAATGTTAGGTTAGACCGACAACGTAAAGTGGCTTGCGGGTGTGCAACTTTCACTCACACATTCGCACACATTTCAATGGTAGAAACCCGTGTACAGCTTCAGTTCCATTGTTGAAGTAAACACAATAGAAAAATAAAGCGACAACGTGCTCGCTCTTGTTGATATTTATACCTGGCCCTTCTTTAACATTCGTTCACAGTTGTACCACCAGCATAAGAAAATCAAAACATTATTTTACTATACGAAAACAATGTTTTCAATATCAAGTATTAACAAAGAAAATTATCGAAATCGTTTACATGCACATTTTTATGTTTTGAATTTAGTTTATTTTACGAAAGGAAAATTATTTTTGGTCCACGAGTGAAATCTTAAATCTACCGGCGAAGCATTTGACACTTGAAATGTGAACCAGTCATTTTGACACATCGCAACTTGAGTTGCTTTCAATTGACATTTCCCAATCAACCAAATGTGCATATAAGTGAGCTGTGTCTTGTTCAGCAGAAAGGAAATATTGACAACACATAATAAAATTATGAACACGATGCAAAAAGAGGAAACCATTCAGGCTGTCCTGATTGCGGATGCCTACGACAAAACCCTTCAACCCTTCGTCAACGAAGGAAGTATCGTAAGTTGATTTGTTATGAAAATTTACTGTAGATGACCAAACGACTGATGATGCAAACGTAGTCAATTCTAATGCAATAATCTCTTTTCATAGGGACTTTTACCGCTAGTTAACACGCCGATGATCGATTATGCCCTGGAAGCACTGAACCGTTCAAAAGTTGAGGAAGTTTTTCTATTCGCAACCAATTTCGTAGATGAAATCAAAGCCCATATCAAGTGAGTGTTGATGTAATTTTTTTTCTCCAATATCATGTGGCCAGAGGTTGATAATTTCAAAGAATATTTCCAACAGTTCACTGAATGGATCTCTTTTTTCCATTATATTTGTAAATGTGACGAAATTCGAGCTATACCTCAAAATAATAGCAAGATGATCGCTTGAAAATCTTAACTTAACCTTTACCTTCTTCATTTTTCTTTAGGAAACGACTCGATGAAAGATGTACTTGGTCAATTCAAATGACAGTGCAGGTCGTCGGATCGGATGGATGTCATAGTTTGGGTGATGCCTTGCGTGATTTGTACGCAAAGCGGCTGCTTCGCAAGCACTTTATTCTCTTGAATGCTGATACAGTTACCAATGCCAATCTGTTTAGCATTCTTCAAACGCATATGTAAGCTAAATGCCAGCTGCTTCAATTTAGAATCATTTAAATAATGTCAAAATTTTGTTTCCAAAAATTTAAATTCCAAAATCAATTTTTTTTTACAGTAAAAGATGTGCCTTTGACGAGGGCACCGCAATGACAGTTGTCTTCAAAAAGTGTGTCCCTGGCATTTCCACCGGACAAGAGGTAATCATTGCGAATGATGCTCGAACAAAGCGACTGTTGTTCCATCAGCGTGTCAGATCAAATAAAAAAGCATCTCGAAATTGCATTCTTCCATTGGAAATTTTCACCGAAAACTCCGATGTTGAACTTCGGCATGATCTGAGCGATCCAGATATTGCCATCTGCGCTCCATCGGTGCTATCATTGTTTGCGGATAACTTTGATTTTGAAACACGAGATGATTTCATCCGAGGACTTTTAATCAATGAAGAGATTTTGGCCAGCACAATTTATGTGTCCGAATTGCCGAGTGAACAATATGCGGCAAAAGTGAAGGATTGGCAAATGTACCGAATTGTAAGGTGAGTTTTCTTATTCAAAATGTTTATAGTTTCTTCCGAAAATTCGTCACACATGTATCACACACGTTTACCTTAATTTCTTTTTATTCGCTCTAGTCACGATATTATCAACCGATGGGCATATCCACTCGTGCCTGACATGGGTATTTGTAGTTTACATCAAAACTACATGTTCTTGCGAAACAATGTTTACCGAAGTAAAACAGTGCAGCTAGCCAATAGTGCTATAGCGCGTGAAAATGTCGTCATCAATGACCACTGTGCAGTCAAAGAAGGCACCGAACTCATTAACGCGGTTTTCGGAAAAAATTGTAAAATCGGACGGAATTGTGTATTGGAAAATGCATTTGTTTTCGATAATGTTGAAATTGGAGACAAATGCGTACTCAAAAATTGCGTAGTTGGCAAGAATACGAAAATCCAAGACAAATCAGCCATCTCGAATGGAACTGTCATTGGACATGGATGCGTTATTCCACCAGAAAGTATAATCGCCAAAGAATTTATTGTTGCAAAATCGGGCACCGACGAGTATGATGAGGGTAATTTGTCAAACAAACTTACTTTGTTATTCCGTTCTTATTTCGATCTGAAATTGAATTGTTGATACAATTATCGATTTTTCTGCTTATCTCCAATCATTTTCGTAGGACTAATCAAATTTCATGTCATTTCATTTCCAGCAACCTATAAAAAAATTAGTGAGCATGCTTACAGTATGCAGCTTAGCGAGAATATGAACGTAGCAAGGGGTGCTGATGTTGACTCGGACGATGAAAGTGTTTGTATTGAACAAAATAACCTACATATGACCGATATGACATACGAATACGAAAGTAGCATTTACAGTTCAAGTAGCGATGGATCGCAATCGAATCGACTCACTCCTGTACCTGACGATGCCAACAGTGAGTTCCACTTTATGTTTGAAATAAAAAAAATTCACACAGAATTGTGTCAATTGAATACTTACAAATATCTTTTTAATTGGCAGTTTTCCTAACGGAAGTAATCGATTCGCTGGAACGTGGTTACAAAGACAAAACCAAGCCAGACTATTTGATACTTGAGATCAATTCATCGCGTTACGCTTACAATATGTCATTATCTGAAGTAAATTTCTATGTAGTTAAAGCGTTACTCAACTTGTATCCAATTAAAGAAGCCAATGGCAATGTTTTGACAGCCTTCAATCAGATATTTGCGCAGCTACATGGTGTTCTCAAAAACTACATTCGTGGAAGTGATGCCATGATAGATTGTTTAAAAGCCATCGAGGTTTGTTTCTATTTGTTTTCTGTGCTTAGTTGCACACTTGTTCACACGTTATTATGTGTAGGGCAATGACTGTGATTTATCGTGTTTTCGTTTGTGTTTTTTTTTCTCTTTCTGCAGGAGAGTTGCCATCAAAATGAAACGTTAAAATCGAAAATCGCACAAATCATTCACTTCCTATACGACAAGGAGATTATAACGGAGGAAAGTATTTTGTCATGGCATAATGAGCTCGATGATGATAAAGAATGGATTCGAAACTCATTAATCAAACTCATTGAATGGCTGAATGCGTCAAGTGAAGAAGAAGAAGAAGAGGAATCTAGTAGCGACGAGAAATGAACAAGATTTAATGGTGTAGAACGGAAATTTGCGTGCATATCTATCGTTCAGGTCATGTGGATATGTCGGACTTCGTCTGTTTATAACAGCTTCTTACTTTTTACTGCTAAATTACTGAAACAAAGAGAAAAAACGATTCAGAAATAAAGAAAAAGAAATGAATTTAAAAATCAGTTAGCGTTGTGTGATTTTATTTTCAATGGTTTGTTTTGTTCTATTTTGCTTCTTTTTTTTTTATTCATATAAATAAATTATTTTCCATCGTTCATTTGGATGATTATAAAGCCTTGCACGGTACTTTTACTTTAATTATTAGGCACTATTCATAATAATGATCATTTTTTATGATAATCTACCAAATCTGTGTTACATTTCTATGCATTCTTCGTTCACCTACGATTTTTCACTTCAAAATCCGTTCGGTTCGTCGTTGATTCTTTTTTTAAATTACAGTCGTAATAAATAATCATTATAAAATGAAACAACAAAAAGAGGGGAAAGGGAGTCATTCATAGTAAAGTGGGATTCTAATGGGACGTAAAATTATACCTATATTTAAAATTGCGATGTCGTTTATCAAATTCGATTTTGTGGTAAGTGCAAGTGCATTCTAATAAATCTATCCTACATTGCCATTGTAATATCACTGGTCTGTGAGTGGTGTTTTAATCATATGCGGTGCAATATTTATTCCTCTGTCATGCTCTCATGCTCTCTCACACACATTCTTTTCTTTTCACACTGTTTACGCTTATATAGCGGAAATGATTTGAAATTTGGGCATTGGAATGGATCAAAATCTAAAAGAAGTAAAAAAAATGGTACCAATTTTTTTCGGAACTATAAAAGAAACCCATTTTTTGTTATTTGTGTGTATTATTTCAACAGTGGCTAGTTAATAAAATGCTTTGATTTGATTGGAAGCATGTTTCTGCATAAATAATAATATTTTTAATGTGTGCTTTTGTCCGTGTAAATTGCATGAGATTTTCCATTGACTGCGTTTGCATTTGTGCGCTTTTCTAGTATTGTTCGTCGGTTTTTCTTTATTCTTCTCTTTCTAGCCATTTCATTTACTGTTTCTATCACTTCGCTGCTCATTTCGCGTGGCGACTGCGGCGGCGGATTCAGCAACGGTGGCAGAGGAAAATGGGAATTTTAGTAAGGGATTGAAAATTGTGCCGGACAGCGAGTCTTCATCGTCGACTTTTTTATAGCCCCACAAAGACATTGCTTGGGTGCAATGCTTTTGAATTTGATCGATTTCATAGAAACTCAAATCGCGCATCCAATGAAATGGTGCGGTCCTCGAGTCTCGGAACGTTGAACTCACTCCGCCAATGTCCGTTCGAGTGTGTGAGTCCAAAAACTCTTCGATTTCCGCATCGAATGGCAGTCCATAAAAGGAGAGGATCTCCTTTGTCGCTTTGAATGGATCCAGAGACAGATCTTCATATCGTATTGCTTTAAATCGTAGCGGATATTTCTTTGTTAAGACTTCGGCCGCTTTGTAATCAGATACCATGTCATTGCATAATATTGCAGGATTATCACAGTCTGGTTGACCAGGGCACCAGTCGCGGTGCTTTCGCGATTGAATGGTACCGCGCGGATCACGTACCAATAACAGGACTCTCACATTTAATAACGGATCGATTAACAATGTTTCCGACAGTTCGGCACGAAGCCGAACCACTTTCATACTTTGAAATGGGAACAGTCGACAGAACGGATTTAGAAAATTCGGGTCAAAACAAAACTGCGGATAGAGGTGACAATTTTTCCACAGTCGTGTATTGTGCGTGAAGAGAAAATGATGCCCTTGCCCATATTCAAGGTAGTGTTCGAGACCGGTATAATTGCATTTAAGCAATTGACGGAGAGTGCTGAGTGCTTCGGTTGATTCAGGCGGGCCGCGTATCTGCACAATATCGTAGTACAATAACGGCTCATAATGGTAATAATTTCCAGGCATCGCGTTCATAATATCTCCCAAAAACGTCGAACCCGATCTCCATGTCGATAAAATTACTAAAATGGAAAAGAAATCGTTTTTTGTTTTAAATTTTTTACAATCAAATTCCAATGCAATTTCAATCAAAATAAAGAAAGTTTCCATTTAAAGAATGTGAATGAAAAATAAATTGCAGAAAATATTCACATCATTTTATTTTGATTAAAATGTTGCGAATGTTTTCAATCACGTAACAGTAACGTAGAAACGAAAAAATTTCTTCTTCCAAATTGCTCCACAGAATAGTTTGAAAATGAACAGAAATTAATTTACGCTAGTATTGGCGTGGCACACTTTTTCTCACCTACATTCATTCGAAATGGCACATCAAAAATGTTCGAAATGTTTTCAGTTTAAATCAATGTGATCTGATTATTTCGCAAAAATAATCGACATTTGTGAGTGTGAGAATGCCAGCGAATCAAGAGCAATTACCACATGTCAAACTAATAATAATAGACTGTTTATGGCAAAGGTCACAAATTTTATTAAAATCGATAGCTTACCACTTTGCAGCGGCTGTCCATTCGTTTCCGGGGTTAAGGCAGACAGCCCAATCATTTGTTCAGTATATTCAAAATCTTTCATTTTTGATGCGATTCTCTGGCGTTGTGCATCAATAATGTCTTCAATTCTCACCGTTGTATTGATAAATGTGGTTGTGGCAGCCGTTGCCGACTCAGATGTTTGGAAACCACCAATGTATTTACGCTGTGAACGTTGTTCGGTATTGTGCGGATGCATGATATGATTATATTTTGCACTATGCCGGTTAGCACTGTCGATTGCATTGTAATTACTATTATGATTATTGCTGTTTGCATAATTCTGTTGATGATACTGTCGATGGGAATTATGTAGTTTGATGGTGCGCATAAATTCGTCGGGTGGTGCCGATGAGAATGGAGACAACGAAATTCGGTTACTGGCATAGATTAATAGAATACATAAAACAACGATGACGCATAGCGCCACCGAATTGAGTCGACGTGCCATTCGAGCCGATGGGAACATTGATGTACTTAATAAATAATATTTTTTTTTTCTTTTATTTTCGTTTCTTTTTTCACAATTCATCCACTTTGCACGAAACCCGTAAACATTTCTCATAAATTATCCAAACAACTAACCGGATTCTACGACGACGATTCAAACATTGATTTTATTTGTATAGTAATTGTTTTCGTTATAGGTTTTTCAATGAGTATTCCTTTGCAATAATGTCGCACGCTTGCGTTCAATACCACGTAATCGATCAATGGTGGCACACAATTCCATCAAAATGTTTGTGATTCATTTAGTTTCTGACCACAGTGCCAAATCACATTCCAATGTAATTAATACACAATTGAATCCACAATAAGTCTCAATTTTTTCGGAAGTTTTTCTTCTTTTTCAACGGCTTGTTCTGTTTATTTTCATTCAAATTGTTATTTTGTTGTTGCCTAGTTTTAGGAGATGTTTTTTTCTTAATATTTTGCATCGAAATTGTAAAGTACACGACATTTGCAGTTGGAACTGGTAAAACTATTATTATTTATGTGAGGTCATCATGATTGATTCTATAGATCAAATCACACGCGAAATCCTCAAACAATTTGCACATTTCTCACAGTCAATATCCATTGCCTCAATGTACGAGAAATCACATCACACATTCACAACATGGCCCATGTTCGTCGATTTGTTTCCAATTCGGTGCTAATTCAATTTTACATTTCACGTCAACAACTTTATGCAAAACTATTTTGCTATCTTCCCACTGTCAAATAGTAATCAGCACATTTCACTTGCTGTTTGATTTTCCTTTTTGTCACCATCTTTAATGAATTCGATCTTAAAACAATCACTCTGTTTTGCCAGCACACACAAAATTATTTTTGCCGTCGTTCGTCTAATATTTCAGTAATTGATGCAGCAGTTTTGACATGATTTCTTTTACTCGTTTCTACATTCACCCAATTTTTTGATTCATATTTTATGTCACGAGATATTTGCAACATAGCACACATTCACAGTAGCTATTTTACGTGTTTGCAGTGAAATTCATTATTGTTCTTTTCAGCCTTTTCTCATCCGCAATAAAGTGTTTTTTTTTCTGTCTTTCTTCTTTTATTTCTACTCTTTTCTCGGATATCTCGCTGTAGAAAATAAATAGCGTCACGAACCGAATGAAAACATGTGAGCGAGCATTTGGTTTTATCGCATACACCGAAATAAAAAGAAACTTTCAATATGTTAGTTGCTAGTTTTTGTTATCCATTTCTTTCTCGTCTTTTAACATTCGAAAACTCGGCGTACGGATATGAGAATAGCGTGAATGAAAAAACCAAAATATCAAGAAAAAGCATTGCTTTGTGACTTTTATGAGTTTGCGATGCGCGCATTTCTACTATATGTGTGTATGCTCTGCACTGCATCAGTGTGTGTGTGTGTGTGTCGAAATGACAGGTACAGAGCATACGCTATCGCTGTTTGCGACAATGAGCATAACAGGGACAACTGTATGTACGCTGTTCTGTGCAGCTCTCTTTCTCTATAGACAATCCCTCATTCTAGCCAGATATTTATAGAAAAAAAAAACGTTGAACTTAATTGCAGTTTTTCTTTTGTTTCATTTATTTTGTTTCAAGAATATTTTTCTTTATTATGACCTCAATATTGTTCAAATATAAGTTTCATTAATATTTCAGGCTCCAGTTTTGTTGAATCGTTTTTTTTTTCATTGGATTATTTGCATTCTTCGTGAAATGCTGAATCCAATATGCGGAAATCGCGCCATGTCGGTGGATAAGAGTTGAGAAGATGTTTTCCACATTTTTTACATGGTTCGCTGAAGAGTTTGATGTAGCTATGTAACCAAGCCTAAAATTGAATAAAATTGGGATTAGTTTCGATTTTGGAAATGAATGGATATATATGTTGACGCACCATGAAGAATTTTACAGCCAAGTCGGGCAATGTTGGGCTGTAGAAGTGAAGCATTGCTGAATGTGTATGATCTTGCACTTTACGGAAGACTTGATGCCTTGATTCGGCCCATAAATCATCGTCAAATGTCTCATCGTACCCTTTGACCGTAACCCATTCGATCATGATTCCTTTGAAGATCAGAGCGGCTTTCAGCACACGACCCAATGTGATCTAAGTATAATGGTACAAAGTTTTGTAAATTCAAATGCGCAATTCATTTAATTGATTAATTGCAAAAAAAAAATTCTTACATAAACAATGGCATTCCTAGCATGAGGGCGAGTAATGTTAATGGTCATGTCACTCAAACAATTGCTGGTTAAAACATTTTCAAAATGTCTGAAAAAGTCAATAGCATTTTATTATCGCGCATTTCTCTGCGTATTTTGCAATTCAGATAAGATTGGATCTACTTACGTTGGAGGAATATTGTGACAGGAAACCAAAGGTCTTCTTCGTTTATTGGAGTTGTTGTTGAATGACCGCTTCAGCGAATTCGAATGCAACACTGTGCTAGCAATCGATCCATACTCATGTACCTATCAAACGGTGTTGATTCCGTATGAAACCATAAATCTCGCACCAACAAATAACCGTAACCGAATATTTAAAGCAAAGATTTTTACCTTGTCGATCCATTTGTAGCTATTGACCAGTTGTGAATAGAGTGCTTGCCGATCTTGTGATAATTCTTGCGTCAAAAATGAAGTGTTTCCGAGTGTAAGTGGCGCTGGAGGTGTGCTGAGACTGTTTATGGTCGATTCTAGATCCCTTTAAAATTGAAATTATAGATTAGAAAATGGAAAAATGCGAAAGAAAATGGTTTTACAAAGCAACCAACCTCAAATGTGTATTGGTCAGCGTAAGAAGTTCTTGTAGCTCGTGCAAGAATTTATTTTCACCATGTTCTTCTCCATGTTCGATACGAATTCCGCCACCAAGTGTTTCAAATATTTGACCAACGCTGGTTCGAAGTAATTTCAAAGAACCCAATGCTGTATGCAGTTGATCCATTATTTTCCAATTTCAAGAAAACTAATGTGTACACGAAAACAACTTTGTTGATACTCAATCCCGGCGTCGATATATACCGTGAAATGTCAATATTTGACACAATCAACAACAAAAGCAATCCCTATCGGAAGCCTCCATTGCAACGTATGAAATGTGACACTTTATGTATATCAAGCGAGTGACAGATACTAAACTAAGCTGTCTACATCAGAAACATTGCTTGTTTCTTTCTTTCTATCTAAAAATTCTAAATTTTAAAAGGGACAGTGATTTAAACGGAAATTCAATATGGGTCGCCGTTCAATAAATACCACTAAAAGTGGTAAATACATGAATCCAACGGATCAGGCTCGAAAAGAAGCCCGAAAAAAGGAATTGAAAAAGAATAAAAAGCAACGTCAAATGGTGAGAGCGGCTGTGCTGAAAGGAAAAGACCCGGCACAATTGATCGAAGAAATGGAGAAAATCGATGAAATGGGTTCGTACAATGCTCGCCGTCTTTTCATTTGTTTCATTCAAATAAAGTGTTTGCATTTGTTTAATTTACAGAATACAATGTATTACAACCATCACCATTGAACGAAAAGGTTCTGCGTGAAAAGCGAAAGAAATTGAAGGAAACGTTTGACCGTGTTATGCGATTATATGTAAGCGAATTATTGAGTTGTCTTGCTCTTTTCCGGAATTAATTTTTGAATAATTCTTTTAAGCACAATGATGATCCGGAGCTATGGGCCGAGTTAAAACGCAAAGAAGTGGAATATGAACGACGTCGTAACAAGCGTGTTCAGTACTTTGAGAGTGTACGAACTGCTCAAACCGTTCAAATCGAAGATATTCCATTGCCAGACATGAGCGAAAAACCACCAACAGCTCCAGTATCACAACCGCAACTTCAATTCGGATCTGTGCCTATGCCACCCAGTTTTCCTCCACAAATTCCAACCGGTGGCGTGCCGATTCCACCTAGTATACAGAATGCTATTGCTGCCCATCAAAAGGCAGTGGCTGAAGAGAAAACTGCTGCTAGCGAACCGAAACGAAAAGATCCTCCTGGTTGCCCACCAGGACCGCCGCCAGATTTGTTGTCAATGCGTGAATTAGATTCAGACTACGAGAGTGATGACAGTGATCGGGGACGAAAGTCACCGGTTTCCAAGCGATACAAGTCATCGTCTAGACGGTATTCGTTAGATCGAAGTTCGAATCAATCAAGTGACCAAAACAGTGACAGTGAAGACGAAGTCGATGTTCCGAAACCGACGTCAGTGCAGCAACGAATGCTAGCGATAGCTGGCCAGAAGTATGATGATTTCATGAAGGAATTGGAAAACGTGCACAGTCAATCAGATGATCGACAATCATCGAGACAAAGTGACAGACACCGTAGCGATGGCGATAGCAGAAGTGATGACGATTTGAGAGACAGGCGCAGAGACAGAGAAAGATTGAGAGATAACGATGAAGCAAAACAGGGTGCGACCGAAACAAATGTCAGTGCACAAGAGAGAAAACAAGACAATGAACATAGTGCCGGGCATGCATTGCGAAAAGAAAATCCCGCTGCTATTCCTAATATTTCCGCGGTACCAGCGCCACCAATGCCACCGCCAATGATGCACAACAAAATGCCAAGACCACCACCACCACCAATGGGTATGGATTCTGTTTCTTTTTAGTTTAATTTTCATTTTCTGTTAAGCAAAATAAGTTTATCCAAAATCAACAGCACAAAATCTAAAATAAATAAATAATCGATTTTCTTTTGAAAGGTATGCCACAAATGATGTTCCGACCGCCTCCCATGCGACCTGGTTTACAAGCACTTGGAATGCGTATGCCACCTGGTGAGATATTGATTAGCTTCTTGCTTCGTTTATCGCATCACTTGAATTGCACATAATGAATGAATGTTTGCCTTTTCAGCTGGTCCAAATATGATGCCTCGCTTCCGTATGCCACCTGGTCCACCACCTGGTGCACCTCCAAACCGACTAATGCATCCACATCATAACAAATTTGGTCCACAGCATCCACCACAACAACAACAAGTATGTTTTCTGTTGTCATGACTATTCAATACAAGAAAAAAAAAAACACCTCTGAGTACCCATGCATCCACTCCCACATCATTTCTATTTAATCATTATTCCCTGTTTTAATCAAATTTTTCGTATTTTCATTCATCTCAATATAGAATATGATGCAACAGCCGCCAAAAGATACAAAGGGAATGACAACAATCACAGCTAAGCCGCAAATTCGTAATCTAAGCGCTGACGTGACACGGTTCGTGCCATCTGCATTACGAGTGAAACGCGAGGATAAAAAGGTTCAGAAACCAAAGTCATTCATCAATGAATACAGTCGACAACAGCAAAGTGAAAGCACGGCAAATAAGGGAACAACCAAGGACGATGCCTACATGCAATTCATGCGTGAAATGCAAGGTCTTTTGTAAACGTCTCAATCAGTTAGTTTTTAACGAGATAGAAAAGAAATTGACTCATTACAACTTATACGGAAAATGTAAACGAGAGTTTAAAGAGAAATAAACGATTTTAATAACAATTGCTGATTCTCTTCATTTGCTACGTCACCAGAAAATGTTAAAACCGAATTCAACTTGAGATGTAATCGATTTATTCAAAAAAAAATGTATCGACAGATCTAGAGAAACTGTGTATACGATCTACATACATATATGTACATTTTGAAATATATCAGGAGTCAAACATACTACTAGAAGTAAAACACCAAGAGTTTTGTTGATAAGCCTAAACTCAAACACTAAATGATTTTATTGAGCAAAGTTCTAACTATTCATAGTAATACAAAACTCATTTTTAGCTAAAATAAGAAATTTTGCATTAAATCATAAACTCATAATAATCGAATAAAGAAATAGATAATTTTTAAAATGAAAAAAAAAGAACTAAAGTTCTATCCATTGCTAATACATACAAAATACTCTTACGAACTACATAATATGCATTAATTTTCGTCGCCGGCTACCAGTTGGTCCATCGATCCAGGGTATTTATCTTGTATCCAATCAAAATAGCGTTCTATGATTGTGTACACTGCATAATTCTTATCCCTATAACTCAAAATTCCTACCCCATTTACAGTATGATAAAGCGGACTTCCTGGAAGAAAAATTTAAAAGTTTGAAAAATATGTGTATAGTATATTACAGCTTGATTAGCTTCACTTACCGGAGTCTCCACGCGTTGTTCGGATTTTTTCGGTTTCAAGTATATTGCAAAAAGTGTTGATTTTGACTTGGCATCTTCTTGATATAAATCTTTCTGTTGGGACTGCCATCATATAAAGATAAAACGATCTGGTAGGAGAGAAATCGCCGCTCTGAATCCCAATTGTGAATCCAGTACCAGGGAGTTCACGATAATAGTGGCCCAATTTTAATGGTTGGAGGGACACAGTGGTAGGGAGGTTTATAAGGCAAATATCGTGTATTTTTTCTTTTGTGCGGAAACCTTCATGGCATATCAAATTTTCAGTCTTTATTGTGCTATGAATCATATCCTTAAAATATATTTTCGCTGTTTGCATTTCGCTGAAACAATGTGCAGACGAAAGTATCTGCAGTGAAAATTATTTTCATTATTTTTAGAGAAAGATAAAAAAAATTTGAAAAAAATCAATTAAAAATGCACAATATAATAAAAATTTATACATACATGTGTGTGAGAAATCATAAAACCTGAACAGAGAAGTTCCGAGATCAGACCGGTTTTCACCTTAATTCGAACGTAGTATTGATGATGATTCGCATCTAATGTCTCAGGTACCGGACCACTTAGGATTTTTAGGCCTAACACCGGTTCCTAAGGGAAAAAAATTAAAATTGTTACATTAGGAAATTGCAACAATACCGCTGTACACCACTCAATACACCCCTTTTGCATTTTTATTATGTTTTGTGTGTCTGAAATCTTCCATTTGCATTGAACGCAAATTACTTTCTTTCTTCTACTACTCATAAATCCATTTATATCGCATCGAAAATCTCTGAGCTCATTTGATGAAACGAATCATTGCAGTTACATTGAAAGCGCAATAAATGGATTTAGAATCGTTGACAAGGTCAATGTAAGTGTTGTTATGAAACACAATACAAAGCTTGCGATTAGCACGGGACACACACACACATACAAATCGAAATGCTTAGGATTTTATTAGCAACCAAATTGTAAACATTTTGTCTCTCTTAATTAGGTTGAAGCATCAAATTGTACGGAATGTAAACAAAATTGGATAACATGAAACGGCTTTTTTCATTACTCTTTTTAGAATCGGCCATTAAATGTTGAAGATGAAACAGAAGATTCATTCATCAAATTTGCATTTGCATATTCGGCTGTTTCAATTGAGACGATCCAAGGCTACAGTAAATGTAAATAGTTGAACTTACCTCGTTTGGCTTTGACTCATCTAGCTCACTAGTATCCTCGTTCGACGGTTTATCCGTTACAGGATCAGGTCGAATGGTTCCGTCTATTATCGTGTTTAGTTTTAGAAAAGTCGTATATGGATTATTTCATTTTTAATCAATGTTTCTGCACGCTTAAATCAAAACATTTAATGGTTTAGGCCATTATTTTGGACTAAAACACATACCTTCCGACATGATTTCGGTTGTTTTCGTCGTTGTTGAAATGCATATTCCAAAACATAAAAATAGAACAGCTATTTTCATTTTTAACACAAATCAAAACAAAACTGAAACACTGTAAAAAAAAAAAATCGCAACTGGTCACAGCTAAAGCTAATAATATTAATAATATTGATCAATCAGACACAAAATTTGATTAAAAAAAAAACCAGCAACTGAAAGAACTAAATGTTGTAGCACTTGACATCTGAACACAAAAATCAAACGACAACCGAACAACAACAAATATACGTATTTCAGTCGGTGCGCGTCTCCGGAGAAGAGACACACTTCACATTTCTCATTCCACGTAAATTCGCTGTACTTTTTGTTATTGTTATTAGCTCGGTCACGTTTCCATTTAAATATGCATTGTTTTGGTGCGTTCTTTCTTTCTTAACGCGAAAAACCGCGAAATTTGGTGTACAGTCGTGGTTTACCTTGTTTTTCGCGGAACTGATAAGAGATAACGATCTAGCGTCTTTAGCAAATTTATAGTACTTGAGGTCCTCCACAACTTCGCTCAAGATAGTTATCAGTTATCTCTTATCAGTTTCGCGGAAAACGCAAAAAATGATAAGCAAAAAAACCTTGCTATATGCGCGTGTTTTTGATTTGCGCCTAACTGATAAGAGATAAGGCATAGCAGTCTTGAGCAAAATTATAGAAGACTTTGAGTATTACAACTTTGCCAAAGACACCAAACCTCTATCTCTTATCAGCTTCGCGAAAATCGCGACCGACCGCGGACCATTACACATTTTCAGTAGATTCGTCCATTTTCGAAGCTATTCAAAAGCATTCAGAAGTGCTCCGACAGATTCAGAAGATTTTCAGATTCATTAATGGTTTCTGGTGGCAATTCAGTATCGTTGCAGAGATTGCATATTTGCTGCTGAGTAGGTCTGAGCTGAGGCGCCTGAAACGGTATTCTAGCGCACTTACGGTGCAAAATTGTTGTGGATCGCTGGCATCCACCCAAATATAATTGATAAACAGCGTGGATTCCAGCGATTCACAACAATTTTGCACCGTAAGTGCGCTAAAATACCGCTTCAGACGCCTCAGCTCAGGCCTACTCAGCAGCAAATATGCAATCTCTGGTTCGTTGACATTTTTCTGATACATTCATTTTATTTAGTTTAAAGCCAAATCTTTGTAATTACATCATGCCTGGTGGAAGTTTCAATGCTTTGAATGAACTTGCCCGACAGCAGGCGGATCTATTCCATTCATACGAGTCGGTTCGTTTCATTTCAATCAAGCCAAAATTTGTGGTTCCATTTTTGGTGGCCCATTTCGTTGCCAAGTAGACTGCGTCTGGAACATAGATCGTAACTTTTCGTGCTCCGGCCAATCTTTCTCGTTCTCTATTTAACATATCCAGTTGAAGTATCTCTGCCGATTTAAACTTGAATAGCTTGATTTTTTTCAAATTTCTTAATTTTTCAATGAACAGCAGAATATCAAGCGTTTCTCTGAACAAGTGAAGACGTTCCACATTCATGAGATTTTCTACAAAGATTTCATTTTTGGATTTATCAGAAATCATTGTTTCATTCCAAAAAAATGGCATAAGAATTTCCGCCGTTTCATTATATTCGATTAAATGAGTCGAAAGCGGTTCAAGGCTAGTAGCTGTTTGTTCAAAGGAAAGTGTTTCCAAAAACGGTATTGGAGGCAGTCGATCACGCGGCAAATCATAATCTGACCATGCAATTATATGCAAACGATTATAGACGCCATGAGTGTGAAGTTGATATAACAAATCCCATAGCTGTTTTTGCTCATCATCACAATCGGTTATCCATTCGAATATGTCGAGTTTCACTTTGAAATTAAGTAATGTATCTTTGTTGAACAATAATGTATATGAATCGCATGAAAAACTGCGTATATTGGGATTACGTTCGAAAAACGTACAAAGTTCATCTATTCTATGTGGATACCTCGAACGCACGCGCAATTTCAAATGCTCAAGCTTTTCATATTGTTGCTGTAACCATTTATATTTATTTTTGATAGTTACTTCCATTAACTGAATACGACGCACATTTTTACAATATTTTAGGAGAACATCGTAGAGATCTTGAGTGACTGTACCACCTATTAGTTCCAACACTTCGATATTTGGCAAAATTTTCAAAATATAACCGACTATTTGCTTATTAAGGCGCACATTTGTGAGAGAAATTTTTTTGACCGATTTAAATTCGTCGGAATGCAATTTAAAGTACTTAAATTTGCTCAGATTACAGTGGAAGAAGGTATCAATAGTAAATTTTTTCGTATTAAATCTATGTCCAGCAATTATATTATTTTCTATGGCAATCCAAGTGATAAATTGAATAAAACCTGGTATTGGAACACACTTATCAATGCTAACTACAGTGCTGGCATCAGTGTCTATCATATAAATACCATCACTTAAACAGTTAAATTTAGCGACTGAATAATTACGTGTGAAAAATTGGCCCGTCATTTGTTGCATCGATTTACAGGTTTGGCCCAATGAATGCAAATCCTTCAACGAGAGATAATCGAATAGTTCGTCGAAACAATGGCCATTCAACTTGAAAATTGAAGATGACAATAAATGTTGGTCTTCATTCGATGGGCCCGCAACTGATATTCCATTTGAACTTTCACCATTCCTTTGCAGCCACTTTCTTCGATTTTTATTTGCACCACTCTCGTCGCTCCTTCTTCTTTGTGGCAATTTGATTAGATTGTTCCCCATCAGTGCATTGGTTATTTGCTTCGAATTTGTTTTATTTATTTTATGAACACTGTGAAATAATTAACAAAATAAAATGAACACATTAGGATTTCAAGGGATAATACAGATGATAGAAATTAGCGTTAACCGAGAATGCGTATACGGTTTTGAAAAAAAAAAAACACTTTTTTCGTTCTAAGTGAATTACAGTAAACGGGAACACTCTCTTTCTCTTCATCACTCACATTATTTCAATTTCGATATTTTTCAAGATATTTTTCTTCACTAAGCGGAATGATTGAAAAACATTTTGAGCTGCATATTTCAATTACTTACCTTTACAATGTTAATTGTGTTTTGTGGATATACCTGGATATGTAGATTTCTTCAATTCTTAATCAAATCTATATTAGTTTAAAGAAGCCACGTGTTTATTTATATTTAAACACATATCTTGACCAAATGTTATAGTTCTTTCTTTTCCGAAGAAATAATTTTCAAGTGTTGGGAATAATATTTCTCACAAATTTTATACCAATATCCGTTCTCAACCAACTTTCAAACACAACTGAATTTTTTAAACACAATTTGGATGCATTTCTGATTGTATGCATCAGTTAGGATAGTTTAAAAAGGACGCAGACTTCTTTCATTGTGACCAAATCCACATTTTCGTTTCAATGTACTTTGGACACAATAGAAAAAAAAACATTTTAAAAAAATGCGATGAAGAGCAGGCAAAATTGTACGTTTCGTTTATTAGCAGAGGTATACAAAATAAATGTGTTCTTTCATGAGTGTCTAACGATGCTCCAATTTCTGTATTCATATTTTCTTTCATGAGATATTTGTAACATAGAACACACTCAAATAGTAGCCATTTTACGTGTTCGAAGTGAAATTCTTTATTGTTCTTTTCAACTTTTGGATGAGAATCCGCTTAAAGTGTTATTTCCCTTTTTTTGTCTTTCTTCTTTTATTTCTACTCTTTACTCGGGTAACTCGATGCAAATCCACATTTTCGTTTCAATGTACTTTGGACCATTGGGAAAAAGAACATTGAAGAGCAGGCAAAATTGTACGTATGGTCGAAAATTCATTAGCAGAGGTATACAAAATAAATTTGTACTTTTATGAGTGTCTCACCAGTGCGACATTTTTTGCATATTTTAATATTGAATGTCATCGAAAAGTCAGTTTACACTGCCTCCTGGCGAGTGGAACGTGTATGCCTATACATTCAATAAACTGCTTCCCCTCTACATTTTCCCCTACCATTTTTTCAATAAACAAACTATATGAAAGTTGTATGGACTCGCTAGGTGCCGCCACAAGTACTACTTTTTTTAATCATTGTCTCACTGGTCTCACGACTCTCCAATTTTCCGATTCCTATATTATGTCATGGGATATTTGCAACATAGAACATATCCGAATAGTAGCTATTTTATACGTGTTCGCAGTGAAATTCTTTATTGTTCTTTTCAGCCTTTTCTCATCTGCTTAAAGTGTTATTTCTCTTTTTTCTTTCTTCCTTCTTTTATTTCTACTCTTTTCTCGGGTAGCTCGATGTAGAAAGCAAATAAAGGAAAGACCAAGGACAATGCCTACATGCAATTCATGTGTGAAATGCAAAGTCTTTTGTAAACGTCTCAATCAGTTAGTTTTTCATTCTGCTTCGCTACCACGAATAGACTCATTACAATTTATATGTAACATTTAGGCGAGACAGCAAAGTGCGCTGTAAATGGAAAATATTCAGCAATGAATGCTCTAACGGCATCTATACAATATAATTAGGAAGTGTAAGTAGATAAGCTTTCGTCATAAGTTTTACCCAAATGATGTAAATGGCATTTGTCAGAAATGACATTTTAAACGTCATTCATAATTCAAGTCAGTGATCTTTCAATTACCATTGCGCTTCACTGTGTTGAGGCGAGAAAAAAAAAAGAAAATATGAACAATTTTAATAACAAGACACATTTGCCGGTTCTCTTTATTTGCTACGTTACATGAAAATGATAAAACTGAATTCAACTTTAGATATAATCCATTTATTCACAATATTTTTTATCAACAGATCTGCAATAAACTATTATTGGCATACTAAGTATAGCTTTTTTTGTAGAGAGTGATTTGGGGTTTATTCTGGCATTCATTGTACACAGTTTTTTTGTTTTGAGCGAATTCGTGATTTGATATTTTAAAACACTTTATAAGCCTTTGTTGTACCATGCCAGTTCGAGGTTTGGTCTTTGCTTTTTAACAACTGTCTTCACTTCTGGTTCTAGCTCATCGACCTTGAAGAGAACAAAAAATCCGATATGAATACTCTTTCCAGTACATGAATGAAGTTCTTTCTTGATTAGTTAGATGTAAATTAATTTTACCTTGATGCTTGCCATTTGGCTGAAGAATGCGCATCCCAATGGTGTGGCAAAGATCAAAATGAAACCAACTAGACCCGTCTGAATTGGAGCATTTGCCCATGGATACCGTTTGAACACACCTTTATTTGCTAGCGCCTGCACAACGACTGGTGTTATAACTATCAACGATACAAACTGCACAGTTAACGTTTGTGCTTTATTATATAAAATGTCTTCAAGTGTTAAAAGTACGAACCCATGCCAGGCATCGCCATTGCGATACGACTCGCAATTACAGCGCTAATCCCTTGATAAGCAGCCTTCTTTGATTCAACGTCCAAACTGTTGTACTGATCATCAACCAAGGAGATTCCATTTTTCAACTCTCTGTAAAATATTCCGTTCGTTAGATTCATACCGATGGATTAAATCTTTTAGGCAACTAGGTGCAGAATTCTCTATTGGATTTTTCTATTATGCCTTAAAATGGCATAAAACCAAAAAATCTTACTGAATTCTCATCATTGGAATGTTAATACAGTTAGCAGCTGCAACAGCAACAACTGGAACCAGTCGTCCAATTAATGGGTTCATTTTCTGTTCATTGTTGAAAGAAAAAAAACCATCAAAAATTGTTCCATTGTGATCTCTTATTGGTGTTATACCTTTGTAAGTCGATTTAATCCTAAGGCTGTAGTCAAAGCACCTCCCGTAGCACATACGTATGATGTCAACAGTTGACTGTTCAAAGGGAAAACTTTTGGATTTATTCAAAATCAATAATTCAAGCGAGTTTCCACTTACTTTGTGTCAATGGGTGATGCTCCTGAACGATTTGTGTAATTCACTAGCGCGTTAAATGACTGATTGACCCATTGCCAAAACACGACAGCTGGTGTTGTCTTGTAGAATGTAAGCATTGCTGAAATAAATTAGCACATTTTCGAACAAAAAACGAATTCAAATTAAAGAAAAAAATTTCAATCAAAACTAATGCAGAAAAAATATGCAGACGAAAGTGTACTCACATCCAGTGATTAAGGTGTTCATTGGCACTTGAGCTGACATTCGGCCGAAAATAATCATCTTTTCACCGGTATCGGGATGAAAGGCGGAATCGTACAAATACTTTGCACGCCATAGATCTTCAACGGTTTTGCATCCATCAATCTCTGTTTTGCCCGCTTTGTACTCCGAAATGATACGCTTTGCATCGTCCAAGTCTGAGTCACTGGCCAATAAATTCAGTGGATTGGTCAAAAGGAAAAAATGCTTTGCACGATTTATGTATGTGCTTTGATCGTATTTTGGTTTTGTCAAATCAACTCCGCTCGGTAAGCTCATGATTGCTTAAATTAGTTTTGGTCTGCTTTTTACTTAATCGTATTGGATTTTATGACCTAAAAAGTAAAACAATAAAAGGCTCAAGTTTATTGTTACCGTATACACAATAGTAATGCATTTAAAGTTCTTGATTTACACAAATTTATATGCAAAATAGCCTACAGTGTAAAGCAAACAGTTATTCCATTGAATAAAATCATTTATATACCATTCATTCACTGAACTGTTTATATTCCACTGCGAATACAAATCTGATTTGGTTTATCCGAATAAAATAAACTTTATCGCAACGAATTTCCTATTTTTCCAAATTCCTTCAATTTTTTGTCGTTTTTTTGTTTGTTTTATTCTTCAATCTAAGTCATAAACCAATTTAAACCGATGTGATAACAAATGAAATCCGAACCCCCCGTAATATATAACTCCAACCGATTAGCCGGACTTGAGTATGTAAATCAATGTTATTATCAGTTCAACGGCAACCTTTATTTATTTATCAGTTTATGGTTTGAATGTCGTTCGCTCGAACTTTATCACCGTAGAAAATATGACATGTGCTACAAGGCATCTTCAAAATTGCTATCAACGATGGCTTCGATTTCGAACAGCCAACGTAGACACATTTCCGCTTCGAGTTTAGCTCATAAATAAAAATGGAATTAAACAATAAATTAATCAGAAACGTGGTAAATAGAATGAAAAGCTAATTCGCTACTTATACCCCATGTGCCAGACAGTTGCTGAGTGATTGAAATTTTAAACTCTTCGCTTTGTACAAATAATGAAATGTGACAAGTAATGAATACGTATTTCATCTTGACAGCGATAAGCAACCCAGATGAATGTTGTCTAACATCACTATGTTTTCGAATTTGAAATTTAAACCGCTTAGCCATTGAATAATTCAGTCAATTCGATTAAATTCGCATTGTACATTCAAAACATTGATCAAATTATGCTGTGTCGTCGCATATTTTTCGAATCAAGAATATACTTTCGCATATTTGAAGGCGAATCTCTTTATGACACGTAGTTGCTATTAGCTCGATGTTGCGTCTACCGTTCAGCGAATTAATTAATTTAACAAATCCGGATTATATGTGTGCTGCAGATATGAACACATTCATTTTTACACAGATCAACGAAGTGATAGGCGTTAGATGTCGTCACAAGAATTGACTGACAACGAGTGAACTCGTTGTTTATATTGTTCTTTTCAAATATTGCGTACAAGAGGAGATATTTTTCTTTGAATCTCATTGAAAATCTCGTAATACGCAATTCCTTTCAACTGTGAAAATATTTTTTTTGAAATGATCACTTCAATATTTATGTGTGTTGACGTTCAACAGTTCTAAAACAATATGGTCTATTTTTAAATAAATTTTTTTCGTTGTTGTTGTTACTTCAGTCTAGCGATACCGAATTGGCCGTGCAAACAGAATATAAATTCGTTGTTAAAACGTTCTTGATTTGAAATAACAGCGCGGTAATCAATTAATTACATTGGAGAAATGCTGCATTGCTGCTGGAAGTTCTGTGTATGTTTGGAGTAGCGAAAACACCTGTTTTTGGCACATATAAAACGTGGGTATCCGTAGTGTCTGCGCATGACCAAATAAAAAGGAAGAGCTCTATATGTTGACTCTTTGCCACTTTTTTTTTCATATGATTCGCTCTATCCATCATCCTCTCGTTTTCTTCTCTCGCACACATTTGTAACCATTTTCACTTTCAATTGTTCTTGCACGTTTATGTGTCATCATTCTCTTTTTTCTTTCCTTCCTTTTCTAAACCTTGATTCAAATGACTTTTTTTTGTCTTCTTTTCTGTTTGATAGCGAAAAAAGCGACTATTATCAGTTGCGTACATTCTTACCCTGAATGAGTTTGTCCTATATTTTATATGCAAAAAATATAGGAAAATTCCTGGCAGTAATATGGTTTGTGATTTTGTTTTGTGTTGAAAAAAATATGATTCCTTGATCCGTAAATCCAAATGCGAAACACACTTTAGTGGACGTAACAATTTTTTAGCATAACTTGCTCTCTCTCTCTCTCTTCACTTCTATTTAGATGTTGTTATCACAATATATTAATTTATTTGAATCGAAATCACTTACAAACGATTTATTCTAAATAGATGTGTGTGTGTGTGCGATTTGCCCGAGCCGTAACAAGCAAATGATATTCGTTGCTCTCTGTCGCGTGTGCCTTACCGAACTGCTCGTGTCGTATTCATACTGGAAAGAAAGCAAACGTACTTTTGACGCTCTTCTTTGCTTTGCTCATTCTCACACGTTTCAAATTCGTTTCGTTGTATTGGTGCAAGCTGAATCGAAATGCCGATGCTTTGCGAAACATACAACCAACTGACAGTATATTCGAATGACGATAATAAGCTAGCTCATTGACGATTTTTTCTTGTTTGCCATTGAAAAATATTCAAAATTGTCTTTTATTTATGAAAACAAAAATATTTCCATTTTCTATACAAAAAAAGAAACCAATAGCGGTCTAAAAAAAATACTAGTCTAAAAATGCAATTTTATCCTAAGATTCATTTATTTTTTGATTTAGTCCATGTTGTCAAATCGACACCCATTTGTGATTTCATAATTCGGAAATTGTTATTGGCTAGAATGTATTGGTGATAAACTTGTTTTATATCAAAGCCAATTTTGAGCAATAATTCGCGTAACTGAGATTGACACTCCGTCGTCACCATTTCGACTGAACTCCACTGAAGATCGATTGCATGCTTGAGAGCGCGATGTATTAAAGGTTCGGCGACTTTGTCAGAATTGACTTTTGATGTGATTGCAAAATGGCTTAGCCACCCAGCATTGGGCAACGAACGATGCTCTTCAATTGAAATTGTCGCCACTATTGTCCGTTTCATGCGGTTCACTTCGAAATCGGTTGAATGCAAACGACTCTCATGAACAACATCGTAGTCAAGTGAATCGGCGTTCAAGGAGAGTGCCATTAGGTATGGTTCATATGCTTCTGCCACCCAACAAGTCGTTATCGGATCCTTCAACAATGAAATTCATATGAAGAAAAAAATGTTGATGAAAAAAAAATAAAAAAATAAACAAATTTCAGAATTGAGCCTACATTTGATAGCTCGAACGCCTTGGCGAAGTAAGCTCCGTAAACCGAAATATAGATAAAAATAACAACAAGTGGTATGGACGAGAGACAAATCGTCAACGGCAAACCGAAGAAAATGAACATCACTGCTGCCACTATCACAATGAGCTGTATAAATACCTGAGAAAATTTAAGGGAAAAAAAATTAAAATGAACCAACACTTATTTTAATTGATGATGGAATTTCATGTTGGCCCAAAGTTGAAATACCTCACGAAATAAACATGATGTGAAGGCATCAAAGGCAAACGACATTGCATATTGTTTAATTAAATCCTTGCGTGTTATCGTATCTGCACTCTCGTACTGCCTAATCACAATAAACGGTCGCATGTTTAAACAAAAACAAAAATAGCTTAGCAAAAACAAAACAAAACACGTTGAGAAAATAAACAGAACTCAAACCAAAAACAAACTATTACAATTGTTTACGGCATATGAATGGAACCCTGCGTAAAACACACATGTCACTGTCAGTGTCAACGTCATAGCATGGGGTACAGAAGCTTACCATGTATCTTGCAAAATGGATCGTGCGCTCGCTAAAAGCATTCGACATTGGTTTTTGACCAGGATGCTACGAAACAGCGTGTATTGATGTGATTGTTGCAATGAAACTTCTTTTCAACGGAAATGTGAGATGAAAATTTATTTCCATTTGTTGATTGGAATCTGATTAAATTGACAGCATATTTCGCTGGTTGCCACATCTCCGTTCGATAAATTTGATGCAAAGCAATGCATTAAATTTAATATTGGGAAATGGAACAGAAAACAATGCCGCAGGGAATATACTTGCTACTTTCTTGGGCATAATCCGAATCAGACTGAAGTAATAACGAATTTGTTTTCCCTTGCGATTGTTTGCTTAGGTCGTTCTTCCCAAAAACTTTATTCCATATGTATACATCTTTTTTTTCGGTCGTCCGAGCTCTCAATACCCACAAGTTGTTAGTTTTTTTTATCGCTTACATTTTGAACAAACAAACAGCACTTCCTTTTAAAAAAATACTCCGAATAAAAGAAGAAAAGAAAAACATGGTCTTTGGTCACATAGTTGATTCAACTAATTTATTCATCGTTCTTAAACATTGCCATTAACAAAATAAGATCACTTACATTGTTATTATAAATTATTATTACACGTGTTCAATCTTATATTCAAATAATCTCTTTGAAATTACTTTTCATACCAATTATTATGGTCTTCGGATGTGATTCGAAGAAAGCAAACAAAATGAAACCAAATAAAAATCCAATTTAATTCCAACGAAAGTATTCCACACTGATTCATTTCATCTTGTTAAAATGATTCTTGGCGAATCTTCGTTGAATACAAAAATATAATTACTTTTCGTGCAATTTCTCTGTCACAATTTCATTCATAATCTCATCTCAACAACATTAAATACAAAATTGCAGAAAAAACGGTTTTTGGCTACCCTCCGAATATTTTAGCCGAATGGCCTCCATATTTAGTGGATGAACAAGTTTTTGGCACTCGAACAAATGTGAACTGAATAGTTTTGAACGCAAAATTACACAGAATTTATGTGCACTTTGACAAAGTTACAGAACTGAATCGGAATACATTAATTAGAGCACAATAATAATGGTATGAGGAAAAGTGGTTATGCATTTATATTCCCTGGAATGGATTACATGGGGCTTCTTCTTTTTTTGTACAACATCATCTACTATTCTAAACATGAAACTACAAGTGTTAGTTGGATTCGAAATGGAATTTATTACTATTCCATTTGATTTTGTGGTGCAAATTTATGTTCACAAATTGACTTAATCCGAAAAAAAACTGGTTACATTGATTGGTCCATTATTTTGGTTTTGTTAAATTTGAAAGATGGATGGAAAAAATCTAATTTTTTTTGGGGTAACATTTTTCTCTTTTCTTCAAATTGGATACAGTATGGTACTACTAAATAATGATTACGCGATTTTATTGATTTTGTAATCCATTTAATGGATTTGAGAATGAAAAAAACGTTCGTTTATTGTTTCTTGCTTCTGGTTTGGTTGGGTTTTTTTTTTCGTTGGATAATAATCACTGTGGAAATCTGGGTGAATGTTCTGACTGCATAATTGATTCAATGATTTTGATGCTTTTTCCCAAATGAACAGCCAACCGCGAGAGAAAAAAAAACAACGAATGGCGTAAACTTGATTCGACGGTCATAAAAAAACGCTGTGGAAAGCGTTTCATCATCATTTTCGAATAATCACCGGGTAATAACATCGATTGTGTGTGTGATTCATAAAAATTTGCCAAGAATCATAAATAACGTCGACATCCGTTCCAGCTGAAAGATATACACAGCGATGAACGCGTTTGGTAAGAAGGAAAATTACGCGAGAATTTATGTTCATGATCTTTCACTTGCAATCAACAAATTTATTTGTAGTTTATAGCTCGCATCTCGACATCTTCTGCGTTGAAAAGTTTTGACCGCGGAGGAAGGACGATGGCATTGAATCAACGAATCAACTGACCATTCAATTTTTGGTTGGTGGAAAATAATGGGTCAATATAACCGCAAGAAAAAAGAGAAGACGAATAAAGTCGAAGGAAAAACATGGAAATGTAATCAATCAAAGTAGTAAATTAAATTAGCCATTGGACAAGTTGTGGCGTTTGCGTGCATTCATGTCGCCCGTTTCGGAAATGCTTTTCGTTAGGTTCTGTCACAAGCGATGATATAGCAAATTTATGTGGCGTCTGGATGTGGCAAACAGTGGCCAAAAGCTTGGTGAATGTTCGTAATTTGTGTGGTCAGATCAGAAACGAGGAGAGGAAATAGACCCCAATTGAATTAGTTTCTTTTTATTGGAATTTTCAAGACAATCAACGTTACAAGTAACGTTCTAACTCCTAAAATGGACACAGACATCCTCTCTGTTGTCGTTCGATGAAAATTGAAAATAAGAACTGCTTCTAAGCACGTAGAATTTTGTGTAAAAAAAAACGAGTTTCATCTAGCTTCGAAAGATCTGTCGAATCGTTGGTTAAATTGAGTAAATCCGTCTGCCCAAAGTCAGCGTGCTTAACCCGTTTTTTTTTCTCTATTTCTCCAGACTCACAAGCCAGCTGAACAAGCAAGCCAACCTAATGTCATGTGACATGCATACAAATGATGTGCGATTCGAAAACCGTTCTTTTCCCTTGTATTTTTGATGAGACTACATGACAATGTAATTCTTTATCCGGTACGCTATTGTCTACTTATCGTTCCATCATTGCTAAGCACATTCTGATGACGACTTGATTTGTTTTTGCCAACAAATCGTTGCTTACATGTCGATTTTCGTATTGTTCGACACAGAGCATGTTCAATTTCGGAACATTTCATGCTAAAAACCGAAATTCCATTTTTTTCTCTCCCGCAGCGATATTACTTCAGTTTGTACTCCATCCAGTCATCCATTTGGCTTATTCGCATAACAAAAACAACAACATCAACAGAAAACCATAAGCATGGCATTTAATCGGTTCGCCAAGTTGAAAAATTACACATTCAAATGTTGATCCTTCGTATGACAAGTTTCGTAATGTTTGTTCAACGAACATAATTCAGGCTGAAACTTTTTGTACGGTGCGTCTGCTTGTCGTTCTGCTGACAGCAGCGATTTATTTTTTTTTTTACGTTTTCGTCTCTCCCCTGAAGAATTTTCTTTTCTCACCATCTCATAAGTCTGGCTTATGTCGGGCTGGTGCACATAAGTGTCAATGTGATCTGAGTGTCGACGACAAAAAAAAAAGTAAATAAATCTTGCTTCTTATCGCTGTAATAATTTCTACATGAATAGTTCTCTACCAGCGCATAAAATTTCATTAGAGACGTCTTTAACAAGTTATTGCCTGCATACGTAGACCAAGATGACGATGATGATACTGAGAGCACTCGTCTGAGAATCGATTGTGACGGCATTCGGTATGCGAGCTTGTGTTCGACTATAGCACACATTTGAATTGTTAGAGAATTTTATTCTAGGGTCGTTATAAGTTGTATAGCATCAGCTATGCCGACATTCATATCGATTTGCAGTTTCATTTGCAAGTCTTTGCTCGTTAGACTCGTTGCTAACAACTTGCTAAACTGCTTGGAGCTCTAATTAATTTTGATTAAATTTACAAAACAATCGATGTACAGCGCTTTAGCTCAGAATTGTGTTCATACTATATGCACACTAATACTTGGAGTGTTTGTCTGATGAGAGCACATTTTCGTAATGGCGCGAATGTTCATTTCGATGTTTAATAAGTCAATCCTAGCGTCAAAAAGACTAATAACTCGTTAAGCCAATATTAGTCGTCTATCATTTTTGCCCCATCAAATTTCGTTTGTGAAGAGATGAAGATTCATCATTGTAGATTAGTTCAATGGGGCGGAAAATATTTGCATTTGTAGGAGTGTGCTCGGCACGTGGAACATTATTGAATTGAAATCCGAACACTCTAATGGAATACAAATCTGCATATTTCCATTCATATTGAAATCAGCTGCCACAATTCACTGTGCACCTGAACGAGATTCGTTTTCAAGCGAATAAAAAGATACGTATATAAAGTAAATCCTGTGACAGATGATCTGTGTGAATGATTATTGATTGCGTTGAGTATATATTTGCAGTTTACTTGCCGCAAATCGGGCCGAACATTTCATTCACTATACACTCGCACACACACACACACACACACACACACAAGTGCAAGGTAAACACTTGCAATTTGGATTTGTTGGTGTGATGAAATCAGCTTTGCTTCTCCGGGCATCATGTGGAAAAATACCTATCGACCTCGTTTAATGGATGCACCGTGTATTGAAGCTTTCATCCGATTAAATGAGCTCATACAAGAAACAGACATCTTCTGTTGAACACAAATAAATCCAATAAAAAAAGAACGAGAAAAATCAATATCCACAACACACATTCCTGCGTTGTACAAACGTGCATTAATGTAAATAATGTCCTTGAGTTTTGGGTTCATCATGATAAGAAACAATGGTTCCGAAATGAAAACTCCTTTTTGTCGCTGAAGACCATTGTAAAGCGAAACAAACGGAGCATCATTTGGAAGATGATATTAGGCAAACCATACACACTCAGTACCGTGAAAATGTTTTTTTTGCACAAAAGAAATGTAATATGCATGTAAATCTGAATGAAAAAAAAGCAACAACATTAGCATAACGCATTAACAATTCAGAAAAAGACATCTGTCGCTTGCAGCTTTTGAAATAAAATATTGCGCATCACCTCGATTCCCAGCACAACGAAATTCATATTCAAAAAATTGAATACTCTCTACACAGGCGTTCCTGAATTTCCTGTTTACCACACGTGAAACGATTTTATCGCTTTTTTGTGCATTTCAATTATTTGATGAAATGAACAAAATGATTATTTTCACGAATAATTCAATTTCGCTATCGATTTCATCGTGAAATTGAAATAAAAATTCGTCGAGTGTGTCAAAAAAATTTCAGGAGTGTACGTTAATTTAATGTGCATCGAGCCATCATTATAAATGATGGCTTCAAATGAGATTCATCAATTTATGTAATCAAATTAAATGTTGACAGTAGCTGATACTCATAATTGACACACACATACACACATCATATGATGTGTAACGGCATTTAACACTCGAATAAAGTTCATCAGATGACAAAATATGCGCGAACAGACAAAAGGATTCCGTTGAATGAACGAGGAAAAATTATGTTGCATGAAAAATGTGAGAGAAAATCCAGTCCCAAAAGAACTCGTGCATAATTATATGCGATCGCATTATTATGACAGTGTATACAGAGTTTCGTTTCTCATTACGATGTCAGAGAGAAAATGACTAGCATAAATTAAAATTTACAACAGATGAAATGTATCTTCTAGTGGGAGTGCATAAAAAACTGTACTAAATTATTCAGCGTATTTGCCCGGTCCGTACAACATTTTAAATAATAGATGAAGGCGAATAAAAAGCGGTAGTTTGACTAAAAACAAACCGTTTTTTTTCCCATGCACCATTCAAATAACCAACAAAGCATTGAATTGTATCACATTTCCATTATTTTGTTCGCTCTCTCTTTCTCATCCATTATTCTCTTTTCGCTTATATTTGCCATTTTTTCCCCATTTTCACTCACACTCTCACGCTCAGTTTTTCTGTGTCATCTGAATCGCTTGAGCGAAAAAATTGAAATACTTCCGAATGTGGATAGCGGTAGTTGAGCATTAAGCAAACAAAACTTTTATATCCATTTCAAATTTCATTGAGATGGAATGTCCGCTTTTGTTCGCTCTGCAGACGACACGCGAAATGGGTACGCTTTCGTGTATGCTTTTTGACGTGATGTTTTGACTCGGTATCCATTATGCATTTTAAATGGTTCACTTCAAAAGCTATATTCACCAGTAAAATTAGTGTTTTCGAACAATCAACTTAATAAAATTTGGATTTTTCTCTCGGATTTTCACAATGTTTTTGCAATGAAGAAGGAACACGTTGAGCTCTTTGCTGTAACGATGAATGGGTTTGGCGTCAATTTGAAGCTTTTTTTTCATTCCTTTGTTTGTTTGAATAACAACAAAAAACCAACGATGACTCTTCATGAATAAATCCAATAAATATTTCAAAAATCCGTTGATGCTTGACAGTCAGAGCTCTCTGTGTATTTTTCGAAAATGAAATATGAGATCAGAGAAGAGCTTCATTCATCTTTTAGAATTAAAAAGGTTCATTCTGTTTTGAATCGCTTTTTCCACTTTATGTTGGTGGGCATCAATCAGCGGATCGTAAAATAAGTTCGCTAGAACAATGCTCATTTCCAAAGCAATTGAAAAACCACAATATGAATAGAATTCTATTTCGCCGCACCAAAAACCGAACAATTCGAATGCAACCTCAATCGTGACCATACCCGTAAATTGGGAATTTCATACATTTTTCCTCTTTGTTGTTAACATTTTGTAGTGTACTCGCAGAAGCATTGCGATGTATATTACTACATTGCATGCGAGCCAAGGGAAAGCACAAAAAATCGATGAAATAGTTTCCAAATGCTCTATCATTCGCCCAAGTGAGAAGATGAAATGCGAACCATGGCTCCAACGGCAAAGTTATGCGAATCAGGTTGGCAGATGCAGTTGTAGCATTTTTCACCACGGGAAATATACTTATTCTTCTGCATTTCAAAATATTGCGAGCGAACGAACAAGGGAGAGGAAAAAAGTTCGTACAATAAAAAGTATGGAATAACGTGAAAATCAATTCAAAGTTCTTTGGTGTGGTAGCACACAATTGAGATCTATTTTACAACTCGAGTGCACGTTTTTTTTCTGCGAACCACCGTATTTTCCTCTCTGCTGGTTAATCGGTAAGTTTTTTTTTTCGTTAAGTTGTGGGAAAATTCTATAGTTTCTCGCTCGACTCATTTAACCATCAGAGGGTAACTCTCAACTCATTTCTACTGAAATATGTAAAACTCAAATACATCCATCTGTCTGCATCATTTCGTTCGTTGTGTGTTTTTTCTCAACTTTTATTTTCTGTTTTTGTCGTCATCATCGTCGTCAATGGTGTTCTACAAAATTGGTCCACTCGGAGAAAAAAAAAGCAGAAGTAAAAAGAGTTTTTTCTCTATTAGATGGATTTAAAGTGACCTCAGGACACTGATGAGTTTTCATGCTTCAAACTAGTGGTGGTTTTTTAATTTTTTTCACCATTTTCAGTGGGTACGGTGGGTGTCATTTAATTAAAATTGATGGACGCTCCGTTTTTATTTTCGTTCTCTTCTGTTGCTCGCAATGCAGTTTCTCCACATTTTTCGCTTGTCGTAATTTTACAAAGAAATGAGATGTTTGCACGTTATTAGAAATTCTCTCATCTCGCTAATTGGATTTTCGTGCGCACACCCAGTTAATTGCTCGTCTCACATTTTCATCGGATCCAATTCCAATGGATGCGACAACGTCAACGACATGTTTGTTCTCATGTTATGATTTCAGATATATGCGGTCGTCGATCTCGCACTGTCTCTGTGTGTTGCACAGTCTCCCGCTAAGGAATATTAATCGATGGAAAAAGTGCTTTTCGTTTGTGAATTGTGTTGATTGCAAGCATGTTTGCGACATCGATTCTTGTTTCGATAAGTACATTCGAGAGACAGACAGCGACCGAGAATTTTCGAACGCGTGTATCAAACTCCTATGACCTCAATCGATTTGATTGCAAAACACATCTCGCCGAACGCTACCGCAATCAATCCAAATTTCTTCGGGGCACAGCAACTGCAATATCTTATTGGTAGTAGAGAACGGGTTATCCGTCGATATGCTCTCACAATGAATAAATCTGAGAAAGGCAGCATAGACTGCTAGGCCGAGAAAGTTTTCCCGTGAAAACCAATGTTTTCACATCGATTCATGAAACCGTAATCGAATTTAAAATTTATGTCAAATGCAATTTGAACCTGATTTTTTTTTTTTTTGGTTTTCCGAATGTTCTGCGAGACACTCTTTGTATTTGGAAGTGAGTTTTCTTGTCTTGTTTGAACATCGACTAGATTGTAGCACGTCGTACGTGGTGCAAAGAGGATTAAAAGAAGAATAAGGAGGGAAAAAAGCACTCGTCGATGTCTGGACGAAACGATAAGCGAAACGAGTTCGATTTGACATTGAAATATATTCCACATTTTGTCACCGTTTCAATCCATTGCGACGAACAGCATGCTCTTTTTCCCATCGAATCTCGTACCGAGACGTTGAATAAATTGAAGATACAATGATAATAAAAAGAATAAATAGAGAAAATGTGGAGAAGCTATTTCTATTCAAGGAAACAGCGTAACGCAATTCACTGTTAAACGTTGAATGGTGGTGCTCCCTTCATTTGGGGCAGTTGGTATGCAGTATCTTTCGATAGAAAGCCATCACGGATTAAGTCAAGCATTAGTATGAGAGAGATATATACAAATTCTAAATAAAATCGAACAAATCCATTCGATTTGGCCTTGATTGAAAGTTACATGCACATTTGAACTGTGCGCACATAAATTTTCCAACCAAAATCACCGCTCGCCACGTTTAGCTCAATAAAAATTATTCAATTACAAAAACAAAGTCAGAGCTGCTGCTATGTGTAGGCCGTGACAGATGCGTGGTTCGAAAAAGCATTAAGCCAAGTGAAGGGACCAACTTGAAATTGCTGAATATGCGAAATTAATGACGAAAATCCATAGCTTCAATTTTATCTGGTATCCATTTGGTTGTAAGCCAACAGCTTTTATTTCTATTGCGTCAAACATTAAACCTAGAGTATACTATACTCAGTCAGTATAGTAAGGGAAATTATTGTTGATGAAAAAAAAAGAAACTTGTAATTAAAATGGTCGTGCTGTGATTTTCGCCAAAAGCTGAAACGTGCGAACGTTTTTCCTATGGCTGCTCTTTTGTTTGTTGAATAATATACAGAAAAAAATGTACACCGTTTCATTACATGTATATGTATTGATTTTTGCTCCAATGAAAATAAATGGTCTTATCGAAATGTTGTAGTCGATGTATGTCGCCCATCTAATGAATGCTCTCTCTCTCTCTCATTCTCTCTACGTTATTATTCTTGTGCTTTTCTTCTTTTTTATGTGCATATTATGCACTCGCATGCCAATATATTATGCATCTATGTATTTATTCCCATGCTCACCACTTTTGTGGGCAACACTATCTATCAGAACCGAACAGAACATATTGGTTCGCAATCCAATGAATCGTCGATGTGTGAAAAACGAAGCCACAAGCAAATACTACATTCAAACGGTTTTCAGAGCATTCATCATGGCTTACACTTGTCGCTTGTGTGCATTGAAATCGTAATATGGTTAAACATTTCACTTTAAGCCAAAATCGTCCGAATTGAATCATATATGCAGGCAGCTTCCCTCGCATTCAGCCCGATGTTTGTGCTGGTTTGTGCAAACACAAGCCGTTGAATATTTGAATAAACTTGACCGCGATGCGTCTATTTTTAGTGTATACACTTTTCATACGAGATCGTTCATCTCGTGCTGCAAAAAAAGACGGGGCGTTTGAATGAAAGTGCATGCTTCTTGAGCAATCGCGTTGAAACAATGCTTAATATCACTTTGGGATATTTTCCCGTAACAGAATAGCAGCATAGCTGTCCAAATAGAAACAACAGTCAGTCCGACCGTGATGCACTCTCCGTTGTTTTTGTTGTTGGCGATGATATTATATGTGTATATATAGTGTTGATGGCACATTGGCCGCTTGGGGTTTTATGGGAAACTGTGTCACGTTCTCGACGATTAGAAAACGTAGACTCGGTGCTTAAATTATGCAGTAACGTAGTACTCGCGATGTTTTTGGCATTTCTCACGTGCTATATAGCATAGCGCCAGTGTGATGAGTACAGCAATGACTATGGCCATTCCTATTGAGACCATAATAAGTTCATCGTTGATGCCACTGTACGATTTTCCTGGGAAAGAGACAAAAACAAAACAAATCCGATTAAATGAATGCAATTTCCTCGTGATATTAACATGATCTTCGACATCTCTCCGTGGAGAGACATGGAATTGTGTGTCAACTATGTCAAACTGACCGAATGATTCAGTATGCAAATGAATCGTTTCATTAACTAAATCAATAAAATAAATATCCTTCCTCGTTCGAATCCCCAAACGAACTACTTGCATGCGACATTGAAAAGCCAACGACATGCTTACACGTATCTCATGGCGTAAGCAGAACGTGACGCAAAAGTTTATGATTATTTATGCGTTCAACATTCCGATGTTGTGGAAAACCCGAACCGAAATCAGCTTATCACAAACACTATGTGCAGTTAGATTAGTGCCAATTTATCCCGGGTTAATCGCTTTTATAACTTATGAGCTTGGGTTCAGCTTTCAGTCTTGCAATGCTTCCATTTGACCCATATGGATTGAGGTACAAATTTATTGTAAACAATGTATTGGGTTTTTTGTTTACAGCATTCATTCGAACACGTGCAACTTTTTTCAACGTGAATCTTTCAATCCTTCTCGAAAATTCACGTTCCATTTAAACATGTGCTCCATATTAGTAACGGTTATAAAACATTGATGTATTCTTTCGTGCTTGGTATACCGTAACCAAAGGAAAACCGAGAAACCCAAAAGAATGTGTATTTTTCTTGTAAACGAAACAAGATACGAACATTGTTCATCCAGAATCGAAATGGATAATCAAACATTTCATTTCGATAATACTAACATTTTGTTCTTCCGTCCATAAATCCTGCAATCGCAATGCTTTTATATTTTACGGTAGTTTTCTCAAGGTTCATATCATCGCAAAAGAATCCTGATTCTTGAGCTCTTTGGCTCATTGGCTCATTTTATAGGAAACAAGCAAAAGTTTTTTCATTTTATTGCCATTTCTCTATTGATGGAAATCGTTTTTCTTCTTCGCTACTCGGCTTATCACTTTGCTATGCCCAACTTTTTACGTCATTTGCACCAATGATAAAATTTGCCTATGTTTTTATATGGAGCACATGTTTATGCTATATTTAAGCGACATCTTGACGGTACACGCTGAACTATAAAACTTCTTTATAAATATACTGCCAACTATCAATGACATTAACCAATGACAGCAACAATAGAACGTATTTGTATTGCAAAATACTTCCCACTTGCAGATGGCGCCAAACCAAACGTCATTCTAGTCATTTTTCTCATTATTTGCACATCTGCTGAAATAAATTCCGAGCGGAATTCGAAAACTTTGATTTCCGTCGTTTTTTTTCTTCTTCTGTAATGTTGTTGCATTCAAATAAATAGAGATGCGAAACTTCTCAAACAACTTCAGATCAAATTTAAACAATCGATTCACAGTGTCGTTTCACGGAAATAAAGTTCAACTTACAGAAGAAAATTTTAAATTGCACGAAACGCGCCCATTGCGAATTGATATGCCAATTGTATTGATGCGAAAATGAGTTCAGTTCTTGGGATGTGCGCAAATTATATTTTGCAATGTGTTGAATTTCTCATCGATTCAATAAGATAAGTTCGAGAATAAGATAGGGATAAAATTGAAATAACTATATAGTTACCATCCATGTGCTCTGAGGTAAATCGTTAAAACTTGAGTTATTAAATTCAATAGATGAACAATACCGTTTTAAAAGTTTTGTCAAGAAAACGCTTCTTCTCGAATCACTTGAGAGCATCAACACCGAATCCATCTGCAAGAACGGAAAACTCTTCATAAAAGCTGTGAATTTATTCCTTCAATTGGTGTTGTTTCATTGTTGCTGCGACCAAGTATGTGCTGTCACAAACTGCCATGTAAAACGCTTATGGCATATGACACGGCAAGAGGTACTTAGAAAGTGCTTGAAATGAGTGTTCAACATTCTTTTTATTGCAAGTTGCAATTGCAACACAATTTTTCAATTTTAAACGGACTTTTCATCGAATCCATTGCATTAAAACCAAATTCATCCAATATGTCATGTTATCAAAGTTTGTGTGCAGATTTTTATTACATCTAACAAACTTTTTCAATATCTGTATGCACACGAGTAAACCACATAGGTGCATTTTTTAGCCCTGTTCTCCAGTCATGACCAAAGGTCGAGAGCAAAAGTCAAACTGTGAAAATCGAGCAAAAGAGGAACGATGAGAAAAAAAACGACGCTTCAGACTTTGAGATCAGAGCTTTGAATATATTGATGACCCACCACACCAATCGACACCTTGCGCATGTGTTTGTTTCAAGACCGATTTTGTCAATAATTTTTATAACGAATGACATTTTACCGTTTTTGTCTTCTTTTTCGGGATAAAATTCAATTTCCATGATGAAAGTGAATTAACCGTGTGGATGCTGCTCATCAACGTGCTTAGCGTCAACGAATTTATCTCAGCGACAGTCGTCGCGTATATCCTCGAAATGGTTCACATAATGAAACGAGCGTTTCAGCGCACAGCTTGTATCAAGCTTCGAGCCACGAATAAATATGCAAATATTGGGAATTTCGCAAACAAGTTTACTCTCGGCACATACTATACAACATAGAAAAGCATTATACAGTCATTCAATTCACTATTAAAGGCGGATGTAAAACGTGAAATGTGTTGCTCTCAGCTACATTTGATTCAACATCTGTACGTACATTTTCTGTGGCAACATGGATATTATGTGTGGCATTCAGACTATAAATTGGAAGTTATGACAGGCATGATTGATTCCTTCGACTATCGCACATGTTCGCCCATAAACCATGTGTGTGTGTGCAGTGCATATATGAATTTTGTTTGATCAATTTGCAATTTTTCACATGAATTCTCCGAGATTCTCGTATTCTCTCTCTATCTGAAAAACATAAAATCCGATCGAAAAAAAATGGGACCCAACATTTGGTTACAAAATATTTGCCCGAAACAAATAAATGCGATTTGAAATCAAGTTCAGCTGTGAATGATAACGATGTGAAGGGTGATATTTCTTTTCATTTCCACACTAGAAAAACTTTATATCGCATAAAATGTTATGTAAAAACTCACCACTGTAATAGTTGCCTCCGCTACCGCCTACTTTGCCCGCAACACGGCCGTCAATAGTTTTAGCACTGAAGAGGAAATAACAGAGTCCGATGAAGATGTACGCAATCGATTTCCGTAGAACAGACATGTTGAAAGCAGTTCGTGTGCCGTACCCAATGTATAACATCTATCTGAAATATATATAATGGCTTTATTGCCTCGCATCGCTTCGAATACATAAGAGGGTTCGATTGAAACCAGACACACACACATACCGCATAAATTGATCGAATAATATATGAGTGTATGTCGCATACGAAGTGCTATTTAATGAACTAATTAAACTATAATTAAAATGAAAATTTTATGTACATGCATGATACACCACTTATTAAAACTAATGAATGGCCGCAACCCAATATTCGGACTTAAATAACTTCATTGGAAATGCAATAAATTGGTCTATGTGTGTTCATTATTCTCATATTCCCACTCTGGCGATCTATAATTTGCGACAGAGTATGGTAAAAATATAGACATATAGCCTAAAAGCCCATAATATGAATTTATCATGGGCAAAGAATGTGCCATGAATTCGCTGGCTTTATTTATGACGTTCGATTGTTAACGCAATGAAGATGTGTTGTTGCTTGAAAGTTTCAAGAGCTTTGGATATTTTTTGCCGAATTTTTAATGTGCGATGCTCGTCGGTGTGAAGATATGGCGCTGATGTGTCAGCACAATGATTTATTGATAAATAATAAATAATAGAGCCGAATTTATTCCAGCACATTAGCTCTCAGATAAAATACGGATGATTTGTCGACGTTTACCGGGCGGAGGTATTATGTGTATGCGGCGCGTAGAACAAAAGCAGACGCTTTTGCACAAAATATATTAATCTCTTGTGGATATAATAATATAACGTCAGAAGAATAATGGCTAAGTGTGAGCAGGCACAGCACAGGCGTAGCAGAAATTGTGTATGCGGAAGATGAGTGGAGCAAATAGGTTAGTCTCATAAATACACTGAAACACAATACAGCAACATGACATTAGCTTCATAAATTCATAATTGATTCGGCATACTCATTCCTTTCTTCGTTCGGTAACACTGTGGATGTTTGTTCTTCTCGGTTTGCATAGATTAAAGTAATGGCAAAACTTGGTTTTTTCGTTAACATAAAGCCGACAAACTCGACCTCATTCCAACATTTTGCACGACTTTTGCGTCACTTTTAAATGTTTTATGCGGTTGAACAGTTTATTTATTTAATTTCACAGCGATGAAAATTCGTTGAATGCATGAAAATTTAGCGATAAGTTGTTAGAACAAAATCGTTATGTTTGTGCACACATCATGACACGCATTATTCCATGGCCTCGGCATCGCTTTAAATTCACTTCATCTCGCTGGAAATGCATGGGTGTATGAAAAATTTAAGCCAAGATAAACTTAAACAACGTCTGCTTGACATCCCAGATGGGAGAGTGCGAGGGCACGCGCGTGTGTCGTGATTCCATACGAGAGTCAACGTCAATGCAAAGAAGTCATTTTCATTTCAATGGATTAGAGCTTATTATGTAAATACTCGCTAGAATAATGAATTTAAATGCTTGGATGGTGCTTGTGTGCTGGGGCTTGAGATTAGCTTTACCGAATGGAACGGTTTTACATTTTGAAAATGCCGAAGCAAAAGCGCAATGCTGACTTCTGCTCGTCGGATATTCGAAAATAGACATATTGACTCAAGCTTGTTTTCCATTTGTTTGTGCAGCAGGAAATCCCACAGATCGACCCGCTGTACGTTGTTTTCGTTTTATCGGCGTGTTTCACAGTCTATCAACAGCATATTTACAAACACATTACATTCAGTTTTGTGGTTAGCTCTTATTTTTATTGTCAACTGAAACCACACGTAATTTACAAGCAGCACAACATTTGCGGAAATTCTTGCTCACGTGCGCTCAACGTAACCACATTCCATCCGCTTCTAGCACAACATATTCGGTCCATATTTAATGAAATTTACGTAATGAGCGAAAATTAATGGATCACCTCAAATGCAAAGAGTAAACACAGAATAAACTTGAGTAGGAGAAGCAGCAGCAGCAACACACGAGTAGTATTATCTCGAAGTAGCCGTGAGCTTAAAAAATTTCCTTTTCTATCCATGCGACATGCATGGCGGCCTCAGTAAACCACATTTGACCAAATTTTTTCCCACTGGAAACATTTCCTTTTATGACGGTCCAAACAGATGAAGCAATTAACTTTTACCATATCATATACGAGGCACTCGAATTGTACACCAATTTCTACGAACGGAAGTCAGTGGAAAATTAATATCGACCGTAATTTTGTTCGTTATGTCAAGTACCTTGGGCTTCGTATTTTCAGCAAATTTCAAAATTGCGGAAAATCAAATTGAGAGATTTTGTTTGGTTCAAAGCAATATTTATCGTTATTTATCAAAATTGCTTTTGAATTCCGAGAAATCGGCCCAAGGACGAGCTATCTTATATTATTTATGGCTTCGTTAGACGAGAATTTGACGTAATCAGACTTCATTTGATCGACCAAATTGTGGAACGTTTACAAGAGAGAAATAACATACGAAAGTCGCTCAACATAAAATGAAGTTGTTCCGATGAAAATAAGAGAACTTCTCGTTTGTTTGAATAATAAAGATGGAAAATTCCATAGCAAAAAGCATATGATGAAGTTTTCAAAATATTTTTAAATGAAATTTAACTTTGAGTGCATTTATTTCACTGCCTCTGGTTTTCGAAAATAAATTCCGAAATAACAACGACAATAAATGTAAATGCAAGAAAAAGTAGTAATGAATGGTGTTTTGCAGAACGAACAAAGTTCTAACTAACTAAGCTTTCGAAAACTTGCTTCAATACAGTCTATTCACTATATGTTACGGATTATCAATATCAGACATAAAATTTGCAACAATTGTCAGAGTATCTTCATCGTTCTCCATTTCAATGTCTTACAATGGTGTGTCAACTCATAGAGACATTCGCTCGAAGCCCTTGTTTGCTTGCGTCAACCTTTGGTCAGCATTTCCTTTGCTCATCTCTTCATTTGATGTATTGGTCGCCGCATGTGGTGCTCGAAATATGGCCATCGTGCGTTATCTTCATTTCCGTCGGCACGTTATCTTCGTCAGTGTTTTCATTTTAACGTGAACTTGGCCATTTGTCACTTGTTGAACTGAGAAATGAATTATTATCTCGGACAACCACTTCTCCTACGCTCAATGTTTTATTCATTTCGGATGCCTTAGATTTGGTCACAACCGCACAATAATTTGGCACAGACTCAACTTTGTTGCCGTCGATTAAAGAAAATAACTCACGATCCCTGATGGGTTTGCTTCGACAAGCTGTTACTTATTATGATTTCGTGTAAAATATTCAGTACCTCATCATCATCATCATCCAAGAGCACTCGCTCCAATTTGATGATTGTTCATTAATTTTAATTCAATGTGTTAGGATCGATTGGGCCGTCAGCTCACGTCTGTCGCTCGTAAACCCAAGTTTAATGTTAGCTCAACAATACATATAACGATTTGGTTGCGTCGGCCTTTTGTTTGGGTCGATGTCGACTCGACGAACTGTACTTGAGATTTTGCTGCGGCAATTGATTTGAAGACGGCACATCGTTCTCCCTTGATTGGTCTCAGAAATTTTCAATTCGTTTTTAAACGTTGTTAAATCAAATCGCCAATCGTTTGTTATGCTTGGGCACAGTCGTTTGTACCGGTCCCGATTGAATACCTTCTCCGGAGCAAAAAGCGTTTGTTCTCTTTGACTTCTTTGAAGAGGTACTTTGACTAAAAATGTCAATATCACAATTGCCACAATTCATATTCCGATTCATTTTCGCATAAATTCCAAAACCATGAACAATAGAGCATTTTATTGCAAATTTTTCATAGTTCCTGTTTGTTTTTCACTCGGTCGCTTTGTGTATTTGGGTAGAATGAACATGAAAGATTTTCCACAATAGAATTTATTCCATTGTTTCTGAACAGTGAAAATAAAATATCGATTGCATTTCAAATGTAATGAAATCTGAAATGAACAATAAACGGATTCATGTCCCTGCGGATATTACCGAAAGGAAGCAATTTCAATTCGATCCAAATGTTTGCTATTCGCCAATAAAACATAAATATTATGAAATCGAACAAAAGTGTCGTTAAACAGTAAACATTCGCCCGAAAAATGGCTCAATCGCTGGATTGTATATTTGATCCGTATGAGAATTGAGCGTATCTTTATTCAGGCCCAAAAAACATTGTGCTTTATGGTGCAAAAGCATCAGCACCATCAGCCCGTGTAGCGTGAATGCTTCATTATTGTTTTGTCACTTGAATGCTTGGTGTTACCATCGCGATGTAAAAATCCGAATTTTCTGGTGGCAACGACGGCCGCACCTAAAGCATTAGAAATACAGACAAAATCTGGTGAACCAAATAATGTTTTCTTTCCATGGAAATGGTTGCAATAATCGCAAATGCTGAAAACAACGATGGAAAAATCCATAAAGTAGGTAGAAAGAGAAATCCGTATCAAATGCGTAAAAGGAGCATGCGAGAGCAGAAGTGCCTACGGGAACATAGTCAAATGTGTTGTCTATGATACCGAATGGCAAGATTTGCTTTTTCGAAGGTCTTTTGGTATGCGCGCGCGTGTGTGTAAATGAGTGTACATTAAATTCAAGTGGATGTGGAGAGGGCCCAGAAGAAAGAAGCACATTTTAAGCACATACTTTGTAGCTAGATCCACTTGATGGAACCATCTTTTCGCGCGGAAATCTCTACATACATACGCAATTTTTTGTGAGTTGAACGAATATACTTTGACGTGGGTACGGATGGTTAATTTCGTTCGGTAATTCGGATGAAAAACACTCGTACCTTTTTTCCCCAGTTGTTGATGCTTTGTTCCAGTTAATGTGTTTCAAGCTGTTTGCGTGTGATGGAAAAAAAAAGCTCGTTCAACTATTCAGAAGTGTCATCAATGGCATGGACAAAAAATGTAAACAAAGATAATTAACGATTTTCAAAGGCGCCTACTTTTTCTGTATAAATCATTTTTTCATAGAGTCATTTCCACAGAAACCAAGTATTTTTCCATGTTGCTACGGATCATCAAAGCGTGTCTGGAATATTAAGCCTCGAAATATTGTTTCCAAATAGAAATTACGGGTCTGATTTACTTTTGACTTGAGATATTTACGATATGCAACAGAAGATTCTACGTCATAGGCAAAAAGTCACGCTCTTTTTCGCATTCGTTTTTGTGTGTCATTTTATTTCACCTATTAAATTGTTTTCTAAATATAACTTTTCGAATGGGCGTGTTGGAATTACCCACAAACTTTGTATAATTTTATGTGGTTCAACTTAAGTCCGTAGGACCGCAGCCATTTCTTTTATATTGACTGTTTTTGAGGGTAGCAAAAAACACTTTGTTCGTTGACATGAGCATCAATACTGGGTGGAATGGTATGATTCTCGTTAGGAATTTCAAGAAAAGAAATGTAAAGTCTTCATGCCTGCGGATATGTTTTCATTGATTTTTTTTTCCTCATCTAACTTACTCTCTGCAAAGTCTCAAAGACAACAAGAACATGTATTCAGTCGACGGTTTTTCTTTTTATGATAACATTGTTCTTGAAAGCATTGAATATGTGAAGAATTGAATGTAACTGAAAAAAGCGAGTTGGAAATGCGAATAAAAACAACGATAGCGACTAACTTTACATCTTTATAGGCCGAATGGAAAAAATACACTTTTGGGACGCATTGTTCGTTCAAAAATATGCAGCGAATAATTTATCTACTCCACTCATGATATTGCAAACAATTGCATGAATGTCTTCATCACTCTTATCTTCAGTTTCAGCTGCAGATGTTTTACTCGGTTTCTCATCTCTTTTGGCCGCTGTCTCAGGTTTGATCGCTGCGTCTTTTGGTTTTTCAGCAACTTTTGGTGTTTCCGTTACTGGTTTGACTGCAGGCTCACTTGCTGAAACTAACGGCTTCATTTCAGCTGTCGCTTTTGTTTCATCAGATTTCGTGGAAGCTGCCGTTTTAATTTTCTCTTCGGCTTTCGATAATAATGGTAGCGGTGACGGTTTTTCCTTTGACTTTTCTTCCGTTTTTGGCGTCTTTTCTTCAAGCTTGACAGGTTGAACAGAAATATCTTTTGCATCTTTTGCTTTATCTGGTATTGCTGCAGGTTTCGTTGGAACATCAGTTGATTTCTCCTTGCTCTCAGCCTTTGGCTTTTCCTCTGTCGTTGATTTTAGTGGTTCTTGTTTTATTTTTTCTACTTCTGGCTTGACTGTAGGTTTAGACTCTATTGACTTACTACTATCAACTTTGGAGGGCACATTTTTAGATTTGTCTTCTCCTTTTGCCGTTAAATTAGGCAAAATGGATGGTTTTGACGCTACATCTTTGGGTTTTTCATCCGCTTTCTTCTCAGACTTTGGCGAAATATCCTTTGACTTTTCGTCAGTTTGCGGTTTGGCTGCATCCGGTTTGGAAACAGATTTGAGCGGCTCTTTTGGTTTCTCATCAACTTTCTGTTTTTCTGCTGCAGGCTTGGTTGCAACGTCCAAAATCTGTTTCTCTGGCGTCGATTTAACTTCAACTGGCTTAGCTGAAGCGTCTTTACTTTTGTCAACACTTTTTGGTGCCTCAGGCTGAGTAATCGCTTTTGCCACGGCTTCTTTAGGTTTCTCGTCAGCTTTTTTGTCATCAACTTTTGGAATAGTCGTAAGCGGAGTAGCTTTTGCTTTGTCTTCGACTTTCGACTTTTCTGCTTCCGGCTTGGTGTCCTTTGGTTTCTCAACAGTCTTCGTTTCTTGAACTTAAAATTAAATAGCGATTTGATGGAGTTTTGCTATCTTTTGTCTTATAAATTGTTTACCTTTCTCTGGCTTAGATGCAGCTTCTTTTGGCTTTTCTTCAACTCTTGGCTTTATTTCTTGGACTTTAGCAGCAGATGCCTTAGTTTTATCTTCGGGCAGAGCTGGAGACGTCACCGTAGATTTGTCAACGGTCTTATCATCTCCCTTTGCCTTTTCTTTCACTTCGGATTTGTCTGTCTCTGGCTTGGTGGTTGCTTTCGTGACAATATCCGATGATTTCTGCATGCCAGGCAGAACAGCGGGTTTCGCTGCAGAATCAATTGGTGTTGCTTTGATGTCTTCCTTAGGACTGCTCGCTGTTTCTGGTTTAATCGCATCTGGTTTCGTTGTCGGCTTACCAATTTCAGTTGGTTTTCCTTCGATTTTTGGCTTACTCTCATCGGCTTTAGCGGGAACAGTTTTTGTGTTTTCATCCATTTTTGGCGAATCAGGTAAAGTAGAAACTTTGGGCACATCTTTAGATTTGTCTTTGGGTAGCTCTAGTGGCGCTACGACTTTTGGCTTTATATCAACTTTCTTTTTATCTGCTTCAGGCTTGGATGCAACATCCAAAACCTTTTCCTCCGGTTTCAATTTGATTTCAACCGGTTTGGCCGAAGCATCTTTACTCTTTCCATCACTTTTTGGTACCTCCGGCTGAATAGCCGCTTTTGCCACAGCTTCTTTAGGTTTCTCGTCAGCTTTTGGAATAGTCGTAAGTGGCGTCCCTTTTGATTTGTCTTTGAATTTCAACTTTTCTGCTTCCGCTTTGATGTCCTTTGGTTTCTCAACAGTCTTTGCTTCTTGAACTTGAAATTAAATAACGGATTGATGGAGTTGTGCTACTTTTTTGTATTTCTATAAATTGTATACCTTTGTCCGGTTTAGATGCAGCTTCTTTTGGTTTTTCTTCAACTTTAGCGGCAGATACTTTAGATTTGTCTTTGTCTTCAGGCGGAGCTGAAGGCGTCACTGCAGGCTTGTCATCGGTTTTATCCTTCTTATCATCACTCTTTGGTTTCTCTTTCATTTCAGATTTGTCTAACTCTGGCTTCGTGACAACATCTGATTTCGTTGTCGGCTTACCGATTTCAGTTGGTTTACCTTCGGTTTTCGTTTTTTCATCCATTTTTGGCAAATCAGGTAAAGTAGAAACTTTCGGCAGTTCATCCTTTGGTTTTTGTTCGTCTTTACATTTACCATGTGCAATTTTGGATTTGTCTTCGCCTTTGAGTAACTTTGGTGGTGCCACTTCTTTGGGTTTTTCATCTGCTTTCTTTTTGTCTGCTTCAGGCTTGGCTGCAACATCGATAACCGTTTCCTCCGGTTTCGATTTGATTTCAACCGGTTCAGCCGAAGCATCTTTGCTCTTGCCATCACTTTTTGGTGCTTCAGGCTGAGTAGCCACTTTTGCCACAGCCTCTTTAGGTTTCTCGTCAGCTTTAGGATTAGTCGTAAGTGGAGCAACTTTTGTTTTGTTTTCGACTTTCTCCTTTTCTGCTTCCGGCTTGGGTGTTGTTGGAATTTCTTTGACATCAATTTTGGGCTTCAAATCGACATCCAAATTTGGCGTCACTGGCTTGATTGCTGGTTTCGTGTCAACATCTAATGATTTCGTTTCAGGTTTCGATTTGCTTTTATCGAGCGTCGCTGGAACAGTTGCAGTTTTATCATCGGTTTTTTTCTCAACTTTCGACAAATCCGACAAAACTGGCTGCGTTAGTTCAACAGCTATTGGTTCAATTTGCTTTTGATCGATTTCGGTAGCGGGCTTAACGATAGCCTCTTTGGATTCTTTTGACTTCTGTTCAGCTTTAGCTTTGCCTGCTTCGGGTTTAGATGCTGGTTTAGTTTGTGGTCCTTTCTCTTCCAGCTTCACTTTTGAAACGGATTCTTTTTTGTCACTCGATTTCGACTTCACTTTTTCACCTTCAACTTTAGTCGAACCCTTTGCTGAATCCTGCGATTCAATGCTTTCATCACTCTTCACCATCAATAACAATGCACCGCTTATCGACTGAGTGAAACTATCAATTAACTTGTTCAGCTTTTCGCCCTTATCAAAAACGAGTAGCCGTTCATGGACGGTGTCCGTGACAGTTGGACATACTTTACTGGGTTTGTCGCCAATGACAGTAATCTCTTGAACAATGTATTCATTACACGTTGTGTCATCGTCACTGTCTGCCCAATCACAATCCGGCCTTGGACACGGGCGTGGATGTTTTGAACTTTGTGGATTTTGTGACTGATTTGGATTTTGTTGGCCGTCTAGTTTCTTTTCACTCATATTTCCAAGATGGTTCCAACGCAGAAAAAGGTAATCGTGCTTTCGAAAGGCTGAATGGAAAAAATTTCTTTGAAAAAATACACTAAAATTGAGTCAAATTGCAAGAATCGCTTGATTGCAAATGAATCAATATATCCTGGCTACTATGTTTGCGTTCCTAAGGAATAGAAATGAAAATTTGTATAAAAATGCAATTTTTTCTCCGGCTACTGCGCTCATTTTGCCGTTGAGAATAAGCTTTCAAGATTCTGCAATAAAAACCAAATCCAAGTGTACCAATTTAAAATATAATTCTTTTTTATTATGGTATTCATTACAAATGCTCATAAAATGCAACTTTGTGAAAATGAATGTGCCCTTTCCTTGCGTGTGTTCTTGATTGGCTATTTAAACTGCATTCTCATTGTTAGCGTCATTCGCTCTGCTCACTTTAAGATTTATGGTGATTTTATCAACACAAATTGGCTCGACTTCGGCAGGCGGAAACTGGGAATCTGTGTTAGAGTCATCGCTATCGGTCGTTTGATAGATCCATTCTATTGTGCTATTTGAAATTCGCACGGTTTTGTGTTCGTGTGTAGGAAAATGTCTCCTTGCATTGCTTTTTATTTGTGCTAAACTAACTCGTTCGTCACTTGTTGAATGGGTAATCAGTTGTCGGTACCGTTCATCGTCGAAAATTTCATCCGATCTAAAGAACGTTTTCGGTGGCTGTTCTGCATTTTGCGCATTTGGAACATCACAATTACACCTCAGCATTCTCTAACTTTTGTTCGACCACGCACAATAACTTGAGATTTCGAATTGCAAATATAAACTCTACTCAATTGTGATTTCGTTGCAAAGTAAACTTGATTGCTTCATTATAACGAAATGACAGGACGAATTATACGAAATTGAGAAAGTAAAGTGAATAGGAGTTGAAATTGGAAATAAACGTCTATCATCTCTGTATAGTGAAAACTTCCACAGTCGAGCACAAATACCTCCTATCGGAATGTTAACATGAACATCAAACAGATTCATCACTTCAATGCAGGATGCAGAACGTTGTAGGAGGAAGCACAGTCTTCCCTCTAAGTAATTGCTTGTTGTTTCTCAATAAAAGACAGATACTTCTAAAATAAAGTGCCGTTGTGCATTAAATGTTCACTGAAAACCAAAAAGAGAAAGTGAGCAGTCTGATTTGATTTTGTTTGTACAGAAACTCGATTACGGTTGAAAGAGCACTGTGAACGTGAGCGAGTGTATTACCAAGTTAAGTGTGTACCGTGAGAGAAATTCCTTATGGTTTTATCTATTGAATGTTTTATAAATCAACTCGATACAAATGCGACATTGGCAACTCAAGTAACGTCTTATAAATTTCATTATTTTTGTATACAACTGAATTTACCTTGGTTCATCACAGCCGAGGTTCGTATTACGTAATAAAAATGTTGTTTGCGAATGAGCAAAAAATCCATAAAATAGCGAAGATGTGCGTGACTAAACAAGGGAACAAGAGATACGAAGTGAGCATGCGAAATGAACAAAGCCCACGGGAAACCTTTTAATTCTTGTGTCTATGACACAAATGATGGAAAATAACCCGAAGAAAGTACGTGTATGCGAGTGTGCGTTTGTATACAAAATTCAGCATCGAAATGGAACTGAATAAATCCCAAAAAAATGAAATACACGCATCTCACACGCACTTTTCGGCCGGATTTCTTCATTTTGAAAAGTTTGCTTGCACACTGCAAAGCTTTACAGCGATTATTAACATTTCGTGTGATCAATCGACCGAGAAAATTCCTTTGAGTAGGGTAAAAGTGATTAATTTTTAGGCATGGATCGATACACATTATGTCCGATGGAACTCCACTGAGAGACCTGTTTTTCCTATGTTCCCATTATCAAACTCCAATTCTAAAAAAAAAACAAGCAAATGGATTCTTATAGAAACACATTCCGGAGTTTTTCCAATGGGTTCGATTCGACTATCCGAGAACATCGTAATTTTCTTCACTGTATTTTTTTCTTCAGGAAATCGAAAGCAATATAATCGAAATAGAAATATCAGTACACTTTTTTCCCATCAGTTCCCTCGGTATGTTAAAATATAAAAAGTTGAAAAAATGATGAGAGTTTTTTCTTCTGATATCCTTTCTTCAGATTTGTTTTTTATAGTATTTTCGTAGAAAAAGGGTTTGCTCAGTGAAAAAAAAAAAATCGACTGAATTTAAAACCATTGGGAATCACGCCAACATTTGGTTTGGAAGATGTTTTTGCATCTCGTCAACTATGTGCAAATAGCTTTTAACCACACAATTTCGGTCGGCGATAGTGTTGGAATTGTTCTGCCATCGAAATATGTTGGGTTGAGAGTGCGCCGGAAGTGATATGCTTGCAATTTGCCATCTAACGTATCCATTAGGTAAATTGTTCCCCAAAAAGCAATATTGGTGTAAACTTTACCATGATTTTAACAAAATGTATTCGATAACAGTACTGAGAGTTTAATGCTGCGATTCGTTTAAAATGTTATCGTGATGAAATAAGAGAAGAAAATAACAAATACAAAATGGAGAAAAAAGGGAAGTCAAATGGTTTCGGGTGTATATGCAGACATCCCTAAAACGATTTTATCTTCTTACTTACGTTTAACGCTAAAATTTTCGCTCGTTTATCTTTTGCGCCTCAATTGCTCCGAACAGCTCTCAGTTGTTATAATGTGTAGATGAATCAGTATAAGTTTCTTAAATTTCGCATAAAATGGAGCGTTATACAGCCTTTTTCACGTATATTGCAAATATAAACTTTATGAAAATTCACCGTTTTAACGAACAAAAAAATTTACAATGCAAAAATGATCATAAATTTACACCCAAAACGAACGATGAATTTTATTACACTCTCCGTAAAGATTTTTTGCAAATAAATGGCTCGCGTTGTCAGAAAACAATGATTTCATCAGCGTAGACAGACACACGTCTCACTCACTTTTTTTTTATTTCGCTGGCAACTGAATGAACATCCGTTGCAAAATGAAAAGATATATAAACTTTGTTCTTTGTCAGACTTAATAAATCACCGTATGTATCTCTTAATGGGCGATATAATAGCACATTCTAAAAAAAAAAATGTTAGCGACGGAATCATAACGTGTTAGAAGCAAAATAATGACAAAAGTCCAATGTACGAGTTACAGATTGCACACAATGAGAGATTTTTTTTTCTGCTTGAATCACGTATTCACTATTGATTCAATTGGCAATTGTTTGTCTCGTAAACGATACGATTTTGAGCGAGCACAAGACATAAATTCGCAATGATCCATATGTTTGCCTTGTTGTTGATAAACTGAACACTGCTATCACTGTTGGAACCGTGCAAGAGCATTGAATCTGAGAGTTGGAGCGAATGGACCACGATTTTCCATGCAACGAATCGACTGGAAGTGGATGCGTGCTGCGTGTTGCTGTAAATCACTCCCCTATAACATTATTTACATTCCAGTGCAACTACGCATGTTACTGCTATCTTTCCAGCCATCGTTCGCTCACCCGAGCTTCTCCGACACAGATAATAACAATTCACTGTTATCGCTGGCTGCTTAAGGAGAAACCAAACACCATGTGCTTGGGTGCTGAACGTATTATATTGACCAACCATCTGCTTGTTTCACAATTCCAATAATTCTCCCATTCTTATCCCATCCACACAGCACATATCAGCTCCACATTCCATGAAATTTATTCTTATCTCCGTTGTATTATTTCAATTCTTCTTTATTTATATCGACCTTATTGCAATGAAGAACTTCTTTTTTTTTCATCCACGCAATTTTACCTATTGAAATAGCTTCAACTGGCACACGAAACCAACATAATGTAGAAATAAACGCCTACTCATAGCTCAACATATTTACGTTGAATGTGTAAAGATACATTCCATTGTGCGAAAAATTAATATTTCATTTATCAAACAGAGTGAAGAGCATCAATACACGGATAAATGGTTTTTGAGTAACGCGCTTTGTGATAAATGAACACTCATTTGTTATGAAGAATGATGTTCACAAGACAAAAATGTGTACATCTAATGACACACGAACGTAAGGACGCACCCTATCATTTTGGCGCACAAACTTTGACAGATGAGTTTCGCTCACACACAGAACAACCAAAACAAATTCAGTATAGTTCGTTGTTGGCGTCTGTTGTCTTACCGTGCATTCTGTGATTTCAAATTATTTGTCAACATTTGGAAGAATCCATTGCAAGTGTTGGATTCAGTTAAACGGCGGTGAACGTAAATATTTCTGGTAATTTATTTCAAGGTAAATAAATCGAAAGAAAAACTGAATTAAAGAAAAAAAACAAAATTTTGCTACATTAACATCGTTTGAAACACATTGAATCACAATGGCGAACAGTGAACAGTGAATTTAAATGAGTTAATGTCATACTTCTCTATAACTTCTGAGTTTCATTAAATCAAAATTTAAAAAAAAACCGTTCTCAACAATGAATTGTCGCTGGCCGTTATAATTGAAGATTTTTCTCAAAAGTTTTTAGAAATGTCCAAAGATTCATCACATTCATCGTTGCGTAAAAGACCCGTAAGAAAGGCGAAAGAAAAGGCAACGTTCGAAATTGTAAGTTAGCGAATAAATTTCATTCTGCATTTTTTTTTTTTATCTTAAAAATGATATTTTAATTCTATTTGCATGTGATTTTTCTGCAGAGAAAATATTTTAAGCCGAAAAGTTTGCAAATCGTTCCGGAGGATGCAGAAATATTGAACACAAAACAGCCAATGAAAGTAAGTGTTTGAAAAAAATCGAACCACTGTTTTTTTTTTCTCTTCAAGAAAACGATGGCATATTGACACTTTTTTGAATTATTCACCTCACTTCTAGGACAAAAACAACAATTCTGGAACGAAAACAAAACGAAATTTTAATCAATTATATCAGAAACAAAGTAAACATGACGAAAAGGAATCAATTAGTGAGGCACATCCAAAAAGGGCAAAACCAAACTCGTGGAAACCAGAGTCTGATGGAACGAAACTGACTCTGAAGAAAATTGCTTCGAAGCAATTAGAGTTTTCTTCGAAAAGCCATCGTTCAAAAGACTCGTCGACATCATCGTTGTCTGAGCTCGTCAATGTATTGGACAGTCCAGTGGTGTCGAAGAGTGTGATTGTATTAGATAGTTCAATTGCAAGCAATGAGTCAGAGTATGGTTTTGATGCATTACAAACAGACGATCCGACTGACGAAGAGATCGACGTCGAATTGACTGATACAAAAAAACCATACTGGAGCCTATACAATAATCGCATTGCAATTGTTATTGATCAAACGAAAGTCAGGACAAAAGTGATCGACAAGCTATTTGACTCGGGTCCTGAAACCGTGAACTCATTAGAAATCTTCCCAATGAACACACCGATTTCACGCCGTCGATCGACAGCCGTTTGGAACACTCCACCACGTTATTCAATGCTGCCAAAGTACTAAGCTCCATTATCATCATCAATTCTAACCACAGATAGACTCTCGTTAGAAATACTTTCAAAATATGTGTGAGATTAGTTTGCCGAATTGATTCCCAAGATTTAAAACATTTGCCATTTTGAAACTAAATTTTCTGAACGAAATCGTTATACTATTATCTATTAGACCAGTTTTTTATTTTTTTTAAGAATTCGTACAATAAGTGTGATTTATATGTTGAATACATTCGAAAATAAAGCATGTACACCAATATAGCCAATGAGGCATGCAACGGTTTTTACCTACTGCTGATAATAGTTTAAGATGTTGGAAAAAAAATTCGAATAAAATAATGAAATTATCTCAATTGCTGTCTTTTGTTCATTTTACCTTTGCTTTCTGTCCGCTAACATTCACTTACCTTCAGCCATCACATTTTAAGTAACTTCACCGTCTCTTGGATAATTAAAGCAATGAAATTATGCAAATGAATTCGATCGCCTTTTGGAAAGTTCCCTAGAATGGTTCCCATGACATCGAATGAATCCAATTGAATTCGAGCATTTTACGGATCGATCGGTTGTGATGACGTGCGACTCTTTCTCAGGTAGTCTAAATTCAATTTTACCTGTTTTAGTACCTGGATGGAAACAGCAGTGGAATTTAGTTTTCTATCAAAATCATAATCTTTATTTCCCATCGATTTTTTTTTTACATTCGTTTAATTTTATTGGAGCAAAACTTCTTGAGTTGGTATTACATTTTTTATCTCATATTTGATATTCGATAAAAATCCAATTCAACGAAATGAGCCGATTGGTGGTATATAATAGAAAAAAACGTAGAAAAACATCATTGTATGACACCAATAAAACAACATAGAAACTATTTTGATAACCGAAGATTAGCTTCAGACATTACTTTTTTTCAACACAGCATTTGGTAATTATTAATATTGGTTTCAGTGGAAGTGGTAATTTGCATTGGCATAGAAGTAGCCTCTGTGTTTGATATAAATGGTTTTTGTATTTTTGTTTTCTTTTTTGAATAAATTTATTGCTCTTAGTTGGCGCTGGTGAAATATTCCTTGGATTGATCAACGCTTGGTTTGATAGTTTTGCTGCCGGGTTTCCAGCCGGCTGGGCACACTTCACCATGGATGTCAGTGTATTGGAATGCTTGAACTAAGCGCAATGTTTCATCGACGCTGCGACCGACTGGCAAGTCGTTAACGGTGATTTGACGCAATTTTTGATTGGCATCAATGATGTACAAACCACGGAATGGAATGCCGGTCTCTTCATCCAAGACACCATAGTCACGCGAAACCTTCATCGATTTGTCGGCCAACAATGGGATGTTCAATTCGCCCAAACCGCCTTGTTTGCGTGATGTATTGATCCATGCCAAGTGAGTGAAATGGCTGTCAGTCGAAACACCGATCACTTCTGTGTTGATTTTGCGGAATTCTTCGGCACGATCCGAAAAGGCAATAATTTCCGTTGGACACACGAAAGTGCTGCAATGACGAAAGAACGAAACCGAAACATTAATATTTGAAAGACAATTAAATGATTTAGAGAAAGTCGATAGTAGCGTGACTCTTCGAAATGAAACAAATAATCTCAAGAAAAAACCATTTGATTGAACACGCTTAACCCACGGCGTTGTTCGTTTGAAACAATATTTGTCGACATTAACATTAACTCTTACAAAAACAAATTAACGATAGAATTCGAAAGCTCTTGAAAAGTGCTTTGAAAACGGAATGTTAATTTGTGGAATCATCATGAAATTTAACGCAGTAGCGTTTGGTTTGAATTTCATATTTTCACTCAAGCAGTACAAACGGTACGCTCAAAGCGACCATCCAATGCGGATTGGACGAAATAGCAGCAGCAAGCGTCACAGTGTGAGTGAGATGGATAGTTTGACGCTGAGTAGAAAATGTTTGCTTGCCGGCGAACGGTAACATTCCATCGAGCGGCTAAAAGCACTCACTCAATTGTGCGAAACACACAATGCCGACACACTTGTGTCATTTTATCTCTTTTTCCTATCGTGACTCCGTCGTTAGCGTCTCGTGCACATATACACAACCAAATGCTATGTCAATGTATTCGAAATCCGGTGAAATGCAAAACACAACTTGTATTGGAAATGAGTGGTTGGTCGAATTTGTTCGGCTTCCGAAACAAACAGAAAATGCGAAAAGTTTTGAATGAAAAACTCTTCGAAACAAATAGTTGAACGCGATAAATCAATTTTTCTGATGATATTAATCAATAAAACTACTCGAATGTGACGGGTATCAAAATGATTTTGCCTGGTGACATCGATCTATCACGTTCCCATAATCAATTGCTAATTCGTCAGTATGTATAATTGACGCAACCAATACAAGTTTGTGTGAAATAGAATCTATTATTCATGTGCGACGAGCGAAAAAAAAAACCACTTGGCTCTTGAGTCGAATGAACGAAAAACGAAAAACGAAAGGTAAAACAGCAATTAAATGCCGTTATAGTAAATTTGTGCGACCGCTTGCGTGCAATGAAAAAAAAAATCATATCGATTCTAGAAGAATATCCGACTCGGTGTCTCTGTGCGAGATAATGAGAGTGTTTTCAACAACTGTTCGCTTCTCAACCGAATGCAAGGGTAAAATTAATGTCGAAAACCAAATGGTAATACTTACAAATCCAATGGGTAGAAGAAGAGAACCACGTATTTGCCTTTGTACTGTGAGAGTTCGATCTCCTTGAATTGACCCTTCACCACAGCGGTGCCTTTAAAATCTGGGGCTGGCTTGTTGATGGCTGGCATTTTTGTATTCTTCGATTGCTGTTTGAAGACAAAAGCAGAGAGAAAAATAATTGAGTCCAAAAAAAGGAAAATTATATTTTAACGATCTTTATAATGCGAATGATGATACACAGAAATAATGACAGATGTTGAGACAGAGCGCAGAATGAAGGAAAAAAACCAAGCATCACACTTGTTTGAATGCGAAACGAAGTAGAAAGAGACGCACAACGAATTCGCGCGGTGCGAGAGAACAAACGGATCTGGAAGTTTCTGTATGTAATTTTGCCATACAACGTCGTGAGACATACGAACACCGCACATTTTTGCGACTGAAATTGTTGTTGTGCACACGAAACGTTTTTTTTTTTATTGTTGCTGTTGTTGTGGTAGAAACCAACTGCGAAGCATTGTGTTTGATTTGAAAGGGGAGAAATAAAAACTATTTTTATTGTGAATTTGTAATCTGAACATACAGAGTGACTACGTATCGTCATGTCGTACATTATTATCAACGTTTTTTATTTCACCAGAACAGCGTTTGATTTATCACGATTTCATTTTTCGAATGTTCATCTATTTATTGTCATTTCTATGTAGAACAACGCGTTTGATAAATCTTATGCATTGCTTCGTAAAATGCATTATTGATTGCTTGACTCTCGAAAATGGAAACGAGAAAATGTTAATCTCACTGCTTGCTGTGACGACGCGGCAACGGAACGTACGATATATTTCGTTGCGCAATAAAAAAAATCTATGTATTTGATTGACACGGAAATCTACCGAATCTATTGGAAAATAACACAGACGACGAAATATTTACGGATTTATATTTAACCGAAAAAAAAGCAATGCCCATACGTCTGATGCCGATTTTTAGGGTATTCACGAAATTGTAACTCATCTGAAATAACTGTTTCGATGCGAAAAAAATAATTTTTCACTTACCTTTTTTAGAGATGTATGCAAATTAACAGACTTCGGTCAGCTTGCTGGGACTTTGTTGCGAGAGATCCAATACAGTTGACGAACAGCGCTCTACTAAACTGATGGATGAGAGAACAATATTCTATACAGCCGAAATGACGGAACGCGCGCAAACACACACACACACAACACATATTTATCCATCTCTTTCACGTTGTCGAAAGGCACATTTTCAGCTTGATTGTATATGTGTGAATGTGTATTTGACCAGTTCAAATCGCTGTGTGAACTGAACCTCGTGACTCTGTGTGTTTGCCGTATTAAGTCGAGTGTCGAATTGTGCTCAATGTAATAGAAAAAGCTAGTGCGATAACGTGTTTCGATGGAGTGTAATAGCGAGCGAAAGAGTTCAAAGTCTGTGACACAAGTGCGTGATATCGTCGTTCCATGTTCGAACAAACTACTCACATTAACGTGAGCATAAAACTCATTTACAGCGAGTGTCGGTTTCGAAACGAGTATTACAGCGGATCTTCGAACGTTGCATTGATTTTTTTTGCTCGAACAAGCGGTTTGAATATTCAAAACATAGGTCAATTTATTATGCTCGAGTTTATTGCGGTGGATATTTGCTTCAACAGATAACAATAGCATGAAATTAAGAATTAATTTGTATTGTCTTCAAACTTATTGCTTCTATTGTAAACAATTTCATATATTTTTTTAAATAAATTTTGGCAGTGTTTCTACCCACACCATACATTTCTTTTCTATAAACACTCCCAAAACTGGCACTATGGAAAACAGAAATAAAGATAAATAATAAATTTGACTTGGTTCAATGAACCACAACAATATTTTTTTTTTATCTCTAAATGTATTACGAATAGAGTTATGGAGAACGGGATGGATTCCGATGTGCTTACGCATTGACGTAATATTCTTGTCGCTTCTTGTATTTTTCGCGAGCGATGTAACAAAGTGCAAGTGATATCAGAACCGCAATGATTACACCCATTATTATTGTGGCCCACATGATGCCCTCATTTATACCTGAGTACGACCGGCTAGCTGTCAATTTTGGTTTGGCAAGAAAATGGTTGGCAAAGACAATTATGTTGAACAAAAACAAGCTTTAGTCATTCTATTGAAAATGTTTACCTCCATCTTTGTAACCACCATTGGAAAAAGCGACCTTACCAGCGACACGTCCTCCCATCTCTCATCAACTGTCTACATGACGAGCAATGATAAAAACAATCCTTAATTAGTTAAATGTAAAGTGTGTCGAAAAAAATTAATTGTTATCGCTGAAATACGCGTGAACAATTTCAAAAGTGCACAATATTTGAGATGATATAACATTTCAGAGGTGATTTTAGAGGAGCAAGTTCTAAACAGATTCAAGTTTGTAAATAATAAATATTTGTCGAAAGTATGTTTTGTTAGTTGAGAGTTGTTGCAGAAATGTCAAGCACGTGCATGCATCGAAATTTTATAAGTTTTTCACACTGTGCATAAAATTAATTGCGTCACTTGTTCTAAGTCAAAATGAAGAGAGAAAGAACCAAAAAAATTGTAAATATTTCCGAGCAGAGATGAGATGCAACCCGTGTGCTTTTCTTTTGTCTTTTACTTTTTTGATTTATATAATTCAAACGACAAGCTGGCGCCACAAACTATGCCCGAAGTGATAACACAAGGACCGTAGCTCGCGCGACACTTATGTAACTGTTGTTGGTGATGGTATGTTTTTGTGTATGCAACCGCAGCAGCAGTACCACTAGCAGATGAAGCTGTCTAAAGAGAAATATGCTGATGGTTGGACCTTGTCATAGCTCACAGCTAAATGAAAGTCCATTCAAATCGATCCGAGATGCCAATCCTCTCCTCCCTCACACACGCACGCCACTGTTGCGAATGTGCTCTTCAACGACTTTTTATTCTTTCGACCGAACTAAACTTTATAATTGCTCAAATATTTTCAACTACTGGCCACCACCAACATTGGACAAAATAAACTTTTGGCATTTATTTACACTCGATGTAAACTTACATTTTTCAATGGCAAAACTCTGAACGGAAATTTACGACGAGTTGAGAATGTTGTAACGAAAAACCACAAATATGCGAATCAATGTATCGCAGTCGAATGTTGCTAACAAACTGCTTTGCTTCGCGTTACTCTTCTTCAGCACAAGAAACGCCTTCGCCTGATGTGTGTCGCATGACTCGCAGTTCCACTGATAAGAAGCTGTAGACTTCTTCTTTTTTCATCATTTGGTCGCATGATAAAAGCATGGATCAGATCAGATGATTGCTTGCTGCACCCCGAAATGCTCTGTCAATGGCCATTGTTTATTATTCTGTTATTGCCGTTGAGCGTACGTTGCGTCACGTTGAATGAACGTTTCATGCGAATGTTTTTACGAGAAATTTTCCCCTTATTCGCTGGACGGAATGTCGTAACTTTACGCAAACATGCTGCGTAGTCGCAGCCCTTTGTTATGCTATTTACATAGATGCTCAGACCGTTCAATGCGTCGACTACCGTTCACATATTCAGATGAACGACAATAATAATAATGCAATGAATAAATAATTCTGAATTAATTTCTACTGTAACTTGAACTGCAGCCGAAAATTGAATTATGCGGAAAAAAGAAACTTGTTGACTTTTCGAGAGCAGCAAAAAAGGATTCATAACTTTGAAACGATGCAGTTGTATTTTTAGCTCTCCAATAATGTCGTAACACTTGAGCTAACAAACTGATGTGTTGTTAATAACGTGCACAAATGAAACGCAATTCCCTTTTGGGCATTTTTCATGTATACTTTTATTGATACAATACATTTTTATTTAGTTCTTTGGTTCAATACAAATAAGAGTTAAATCACATGCAATATTTGTCTGTGAAAATGTGTATTGGTGTATTTGGCTATCGAATCTCCGAAGTTAACTCGACAGAGCGAGAAATTATATCAATGATTTATGAAGATGTTTACATTTATGTATGAAACTCAGAACGCAATTGGGCTAGAATCGCTCTTCATCACAAGAGCATTAAACCGTAATTTATATGAGTTTGACCGTAGTTAGACAGTAACGATGGGTCAAATGGTTCGACCAAGCACTACTATTCAAAATCTCATACTTTTGGACAACTTATTATATCGTTCTGAGACTTAACGTCGCAATTTCAAAGTTCTTATGTAATTTTCTCGGCTGGACAAAGCCGTTGTTCACTTTTGATTTCCAGACGCCTGCATTTTGTGTCTCAACCGAAAATACGTTGGAGAATTATTTGAAATGTAAAGGTTCATCAAATGAAAACCTTGAGCAAATGTGTCTATTTTCCCCTCTTTTTATGGCATTGAAAATGTTGCAAGAAAAATCCACGTAAATCGTAATCGGTATAAATCATTGGCGATATTTCTCGCATCAATCGACAATGGTTTTGTGAGCTAACATTATGAAATTATGACTGTAGAATCTGGAGTGTAGATTTGTTCCTTATTGTGATTAAATACAAATTACAAATGGAATGATAAATTAAATAAAAATAGTAATGTAAGTTTTTCTAATGTAAATTCATTCAATGAATGTGTGACATCGAAATATTCATACTAGAAGGTATTTTATTGACAATTATATGCCGGCATAGAGTATATTTATTATGTTTGGTTGTCACCATAAGAAAAGGAAAATAAAACATTTGTAATTTCGATTAACAAATCCACGACATCTATGTGTATTCATGTATAAATCGAGCGCATTTTCTTCGGTTACTATTTCTTATTCGATTTTATTTGTGCTTAACAATTGAGGCCGGTGGGCCCATGCATTTATCACGCCACTCGTAGACAAATTTTCATTAGAAAAAAAAAACAACCAAACAATTTATTCAGCTGCGTTCAACATTTAGAATTTAGAGTTTAACGGATTTTCTTGTCTTTGAACTTTTGATCTCGTGCTGAATTTGCAGATTCTTTAAAAAGACTGGTTCAACATCAGCAAACCACGATATCTCCTCGCGCTTTTTAATCGGTCCCTCGCGACATGTCAGCCAATATGTATTCATCAATCCTTTGCCCTGTGTCAAACAATAGATAATAACATTGGATTATTTTGGATGATGGAATAGAAAAGAGCTGATGATGTGAAACATTTCATTCATGATGACACAAACACAAATCAATATCAACGTCAAAATATTCCTATTTCATCATCAGCGAAAAACTATTTTCCATGTGCACACAGTTAAATCATTTTTCCATTTGCATATTTTTCCGACCATTTCCATCGTGTGTGCGTTGTCGAAATGAACAGAAGCAGACGAAAGTCCAATTGTCCTTGGTTGGAGTTTTGTTCTCTCGGTTCAATTCAAATTTACCACCGTTTTAGGATAAAAAATTTGGTGAACTTGAAAAAAACTGCCAGCAAATCAATATGATGACACGTGAATGTTTATTTTGTCTGAGCTGCGTAAACAGAAAATTTGATATACATTTTAATGTGTCTCATCAATCACACAGCATGAAAAGAACCAACAAAAGGATGTTTTTTTTTGTTGTTCGCGCATGGAAGCCACAATGGAAATAATATTTATTATATTTGATTGGTTTCGACGTTCAATGAACACACACTTTCGGTCTTAAATTTTAGACAGATTTTATACGGTTTCATTGAGATTCAATCGCAGACACAGAGAGAGAGAGAGATTCTCTGTGATTTTCTAAAACTTACTTTTACATCAATAAGTCCTCGATGTTCTGTTTTGAAGCCGCCTATATTAGTCAGTTCATCGTTCATTTCGGCCGTTATGTGAATCTTCAAAGCTGTCAAGCAAAAATAAAAGAGAATGAAATTCATGCAATTTATTTTTTTTTGATCATTTCTTCTTCGTGGAAAATAAAATTCATTGAAAAGGTTATTGAAACAATAAAAATCAACCTTCTCCAGTCGACTCCATGCGACTGGCTGTGTTAACAGTGTCTCCGAACAAGCAATAACGTGGCATCTTTGTGCCAACAATGCCAGCCACAACGGGTCCTGTGTGTGCACCGCATCTTATTTGAAGTGTTTCTGTTGTTCTGCGAATGATAATTCAAATGTGAATATCATTTTGAAATGGATTAACTAAATCAGTCTGACTTTTAACGAGACGGACGGAGAATGAACATTTACCTTCGGGGTATTCGAAAATATGTGGCGGCATCGAGCAAATCAAGTGCCATTGTTGCAATTTCAGATACATGCTTATTTCCATTTTTCACTGGCAATCCAGAAGCAACCATGTACGAATCGCCTATCGTTTCCACCTTGTACACATCATAGCACTCGATTCGTTCGTCAAAGACTTTGTAAATTGAATTCAAAAAGTTTACCACCTAAATAGAGAAATAATTCGGTCATCAACACATGGTGTTTATCAAAATGCGAACACATTGAAATTCTACCTCAAGTGGGGTGCATTCAGCGGCAATTTCCGTAAAACCCACAATATCTGAAAAATAGACCGTCACCTCATCGTAATATTCGGCGGGAACTTTTTGCGTTTGTTTCAATTGTGTTGCTACGGATGGTGGTAGCATTTGGAATAAGAGCATATCACTTTTGCGTTTTTCTCGTTTTAATTCTTTCGCCTTTTCCGATAAATTGCACGCATAGATCTAAACCGAAATGGATATAAAGAGCAAACACGAGCATACCAAATCGAATGAATATAAATATTAAACAGAAATATCGTTTGCGCTAACGAGATAAAACAGAATGATACTGAAAACGCCTACCTGGATTGTGTTTGTTGCGTTGCGTACTAAAAATATAATAACTGGCGATACAACCAACACAACGGCAAGGATAGCGATTCCAATGTATGTACGGTACTTTGCATTTATTATATTACTGTTGACATCATCCCTACGAACAAGAAAATAAAAAGAAAATCCAAATTAATTGACAAATCCACAGACCAATTTGAATGCGATCTCTTGAGTGCTTCTGATGAGAGCTGCTCGAGTAAATTTACAGAAAATAACACTTCAAATACCCAATCTTTTCTCTAACAAGATTTTGAATTTTTCTCAGCTCATCCAAATAACTCGCCATTAAATCAAAATAGCTAATTGCCTCTTCGACGCTCGAAATTCGCTTCTGATTTTTTATGATTAGCCCACTCCTGTTTCATGGTACGAAATAAAAAAATAAATTGGTCAGAAAACTTTGAATTAGAAAAAAAAATTAATTGTTTACAAAACTCACGAATTCCGGAGACTGCCATATCCGGGCATTCCAGCCACTCGTTTGTACACACGTTTCACCGATGGCACGTAGTTGATTGTTGTGTTCAATAGATCTTTGCCTAAAATATCGTGCCGTATATAGTCAACATACTTGTCTGAGCTCAACAAACCTCGACCAAAATAATTGATGCCGTGCACCGATGCAATACCATAGCATTCAATGCTTCGCAGTATATTCTTGAACCCAACTAAATGCCTATGATGAAAACCAATTTGAAACGACATGTTTTATGAAAAAAAAAAAAAATTGTTATGATTAAACTTTCTATCGCTTCTTCTACGGTGTTTACCTCCAAACGCCGCTATTGTCCGTTTCCTTGATCTGATTGGTCAAATGGTCGAGAAGGGCTGCATTAACTGTGTTATACCAACGCATGACATCAGCCATACTGCTCTCCTCCGAATGAATTTTCGATCTGAAACACACAGATTAAACAAAAGCTCATCAATTTCATTGTTCGCACACATAGTTTAATTAATCGGTGTCTTCGCTTTTGGGGCGCGGAAAAATCTAATCAATAAAATAAAATATGAAAATATTTTTGCATCAAAAGTATTTTTTGTGGGAAATTTCCTCCGAAAATCATTTGTTGATTGAATTCGCTCGAATGTGGTTAGGCCACGTGACGTTCATTTTGTAAACAAACATAAAATTGTATAATATTTGTTTAATTTGATTGAAGAATATCCGATGACGACATTTTGCAGCCGTTTCAAATCGACCGACACGTTATCCAGTCAACCGATAATGATGACATCAATTCTATACTATACACATGCTTGTGACAGCGTGGACTATTTGAGACAGGCATATCGATGATGTATTCGTTAGGCAATCGAGCATGTGAAAGTTCACAGTGAAGCAGGTGTTGGTGCCATCGCCCGACGCATGAAAACCAGATAATGCGTCACTTTCAACGAATCACTGGCATTTTAATTGAAATGGTAATTAAATGCAGTAGTGATCGGCCATTTGTTTACTTTTGGCATGTTTCGAAAATAAATTGATGGAAACACCATCAAATTTTATGGTTTCACTCCAAATGAAATGCGACTGTAATTTGAATACGTATACTCTTTGTTGCCAACAAAGATTTACCATACTCTCTGTGTTTGCATAGACATTCATTGATATTCATATCATTTTCTGTATGCCACAACGTTTGGCAATCGGAAAACCTTGTGGCAAACAATAAAAACCACAAATGTTGTGCTTTATTCCTTTCTAAAAGCAGTTGAAAGCCCCTTTTTATTGATCAATAAAAGTAAATGAATCGAAAATATAAAATCTTTCCAATTAAATTGCTAGAAATTATTATTCTACTCATGATAATTCAGTTTGATTGCCATGCCAAATATGCCATTTAGATTTATATTTGCCATGGAAAATATATTTTCTATATCAATAACTTGAGGTAGTATTTCTTCATCTTTTGCTAAATTTATCATTATTCTGCCAGCATAAGCATACTCTGATGGTTTGTATACTCCAAAGTCTCAGCGTAGATGCTATCTCAGTACATGGAAAAATCGTTTGAAAAGAGTTGTCGCGAAAGGGATTACATTTGCATATAAAATAGTCCGATGAGCAGCTTCTTTGTGGAACGTCTTTGTTTTGTTGGTATTGAAATGCTGTTTTTTAAGGGTTCGTAGCGTTTATTTCGCTTCAAAATAGCTTTTGCTAACTTTTTTTTTATTTGTCATAGACTTTTTTTTTTGCCTTAACATCGCTCTTGGCTATGTTATTTTCAATCGGAAGCTCTTTGAGTCTCATCGAAAACAGAAGTCACATCATTCAATTCGAACATCTGAATGTTTTGCATTTACATTCCTCTACACGAAAATTACATGGCAAATTTAATCATAGGAATACTTCTGTTCTCGATTAATTATGAAGATGTTGCAAGTAAAAGTATCTTTTTATTCGTCACTAAGTTGTTATTACAGATCATTAGATGGGTTGTGAATATACATTTGCATCATTTCAAATTGGATCACGCTTGGAATCTCATGAAGCAATCGACGAACGGATAATATGTGAATATTTCTCATGATTTTGTATTAATCCATATCAATTCCAAGCAATGTGACTCTAGGGGCATTTCACTCGCATTCGAATACATGATCATTCGTGCACGAATCCTGCATTCGCAAAAAACAGTATAAGTATTTGCATTCGCACCATGTATTCGTACTGCCGCGCGAGCATTCGCGCGACTTCGCATATGAAACGTATTGAAACACTCGCACATGTATTCGTCGCGAATGCGCTCAGTTGAGATGAAGTGTCAAACACAGACAAACATGTGGAAAGATGTCAGACGTGTTTGAAAAATTACAACGTGCATTAGGTGAACCTCTACCAGAAATTTTACAATTAATTCTCACACATTCTGGATTTGATACAAAAAGCAGCTTAGCTACGTTAAATAGAAGCATTTGCGGTCGCAGGTGTCCGATTTTTTGCAAATTTGTTTCCGTTTGATTACAATTCTTGATTAACTGTGGCAACTGGATGATAAGCAATCGGTGACCCAGTTTAAATTTAAACTTATTCACATTCTCGTATGATGTTTCTTTGAGAATTTCTGGGTTTTCAATGACATAGTTCTCGATATCCATAATAGCATCGTTGTCAATGAACATTAGAGATGATTCATTTTCAAATGCACAGAATTCCAGGATTTTAATAATATCGGCCGGAAATTTTTCATTCAAATATTTTTCTAATTTGAAAATAACATTTTCCAGTCCCTAAAATACAAAACACAACTTAAATTGATATTAAATTTGGATCGAAATAACTATTTACCATTTTGGCAAACTAATGTAAACAATGTAGCTGCAACGATTAACACAACAAATCAATAAGAATCTGTCAAGTGCATTCGCATTCGCGCAGCAATATTCGGACGTATTTGCTAATGCCGTATAGATACATTAAATGGTTATTCGTACGAATGCGAATATTCGGCACGAATATCAGTATTTGCGAGTGTTTATATTCAAATGCATGGCAAAGTATTCGCGCATTCGTACGAATAGCAGTATTCGCATAGAGTGAAATCCCCCTAGATGTGACTTCTGATTACTACTTTGGCCGTTGTGTGTTATGTGTTCAGGGTGACTTACAATTAATACGTTCTTAACTAACGAAAAACTAAAGTCGATTGCAATAGAGCCACTATATCACATTAAGATAGCAACCATTTGATTATTTGAAGTTCTACCAGCAACGGGAAGCTTTGACCACCGAGCACACAATTACTTTTTCTAGTGATGGTAGCCATCCATATTAATTGAAACGCCAGTTTCATGCACAGTACGAGAGAGTTAAATTTTATTGATTTTGTTTTTGGTCGCGAATAATATGTGCTGTGTACTTGGAATTGGATCTGCTATGCTACGGTTGCGAGCGTGCACAAATATCATGTCAAGGAGAGTATAGCCAGACAAAAAAGAAATCAACTCGTTCGCTTTGAGTCTCCACGGGGAACATTTTTTATTGTAACATTCTCGTCTATTTTCAGACGCATATGATTACTCGTTCTCGTGGCAAAAACTGTAGTCATGATGATGTATGGTGTCAAACGCCACCACATAATGATATCAAGTGTTACTCTAATTTTCTAAATCGTACTTTCGACAAATTTATGTACTGCTCATGGGTTGGCTGGCAGTCAGTGTGGGGGAAAATCATGTGAATCAATTCTGACTCGACAACAAACGCCGAAATAATAACGTTTTTCCCTTGTTACGGAGTACGAAAAATTGTCGCATAGTGAATGACTCGCTTGAAATGAGCGCTGCCTCCGTCCTCATACTGTATGAATATAAAACGAATATTTGAATATCACTTTCATAGCAAGCTTGTAGATTTGTTCGTTTCGATCTACAACGATTGCTCTTTTCAAGTAGGAAATAAATTCATTTTTAAAGAATTCATTTTCCTAAATGAGATTCTAATTTTATTGAATTATTTTTCTGAACACATGTGGTTTCCTTGATTTGTCGTCAATTGTTATCAAATCAAGACATTCTACGAACCATCTATCTCAGCAAGTCCTGAATTGTTTCCAATGAAGTATAATGTCGAGGATTTTTCAATTCACCTAAATATTTCGTTCACCTTAGTGATAACAGCAATAACAGAGAAAAATGGATACATTTAATATAATTTGCAATAAAGACTCAAATACCTCATAACGTGTCATTTGATTGAACCATATGTAAGAAATAAGAGCAGTTAATGCAATAAATATAAACCACATTGTTTTTCTTCTATTTATTGTGCGGAATTTTGAAATTTATGCTTATGAGAAATGATTCTCATCGTATTTTCAATAAATGGGAAGTCCATATATATAAATTGCGTTTAGAGGTTACTTTCGCTTCTTTATGACGGCCATGAAAACCAAATGAATAATAAAATGTGTGTTCGAGAGGAGACGTGGCGAGCCCACGTTTTCACGTTTTTTCCATTATCCTATTTGTCTGAGCCGAATCTTAAAATGTAAGCACCATCAACAATACGTTATTGGAATTTTATTAACCGGCAATGAACCACTTATTTGGAAACAGTGGCAATGTAAACAGTCATCCTAATGAATTGCATTGCATTGCACATGAAACACACACTTTTCCGTTGCTTTCGGCAAGTCATACCATGATTCAGCGAGAAAAAAATCAATATAAATTTCCCCATTGACAATGGAATATTTTTTTTTAAAAAAAGAAAACCAAATAAATTTTAAATATTTAATGCGATATATTCAATTCTACCCCATACTGTTTTCCTACTTGATATTCTGGAGCATGATATTAATGGTGAGGCGCCAATGAAGCTGCTTTTATATTAATTTTTTCCTCGAATGCAACGTGCTTCACGGTGCTCATAAGCGTATTGCATTTTCAATGGAATCGGTGGATGGTAATATTTATTTGTGGCTTATATTCAACAACACCCAAGCGATGTTAAAATATTATGTTGTTCGAATCGATGATTGATCGATCGTACATGAATGCTGCAATTTAGTACCTTCGATTTGAAGGTTGTGCTCCGGTAATGAGTGGTAAACATTTTGTGTGTTGAATATGTATTGAACGCTTAAAAGTTTGTTTGAACTGTTTCTAGTTGTGTTCATATTGTGTGAGCACTAAATTGAACGACAGCTTGATTGCAAATGAATGCCCAAGTGAATGATTCGAAATTTCTGCACAATTTAAAGAATGAATGAGCATATTCGTGTGAACGTGCCATTTGTTTTGCATCATGGAAATGTGCACATCAAACGCTTCATATAGAAAATGCGGAATCGAATGTTTGCAGCGGCGATTCTGTTAAGTCATCTAAGTTGTGGGATAAGTTTGTCTTTTGTCTTCATTGTGGCAGAAAAATTGAAATGCAAAATTAGTTTCAGGTTTGTTTATGTCGCATGAATAGATTGGAGATGAAAAGCTGCGAAATTCGCCGTTGAATGCTATGGTAATTTCGTAGGAAAATAGCGATTTTTGCAATGGCCTGAACATGCAATGTTGCATAGCAAGTTCTTGACATCATCTATTCAGGCGAAGTGAGTTTAAGTTTTTTTGTTTACGTTTTTCTCTTGTTCCCGATGAACGCGCTTGCATGAAAAGTCAAAACACTGCGTTTTAATCACATCATCACACGTGATATACAGTCATGGAAATTTAATTAGGACCGGCATTGAAATTTCAGTTTTTTCCCATTAATTCTGTTATTTTACAACAAAATATTCATGAAATGATGTTTATGAGAATATTTGAAGTTTTTATAAATGGACTAGACTATCAATTTCATTATTTTTGGTAATGGATATCATTTATTGATGAAATTGCCCAAAAACTGCGGGAAAAATAATTAAGACCTTCCATACAAAAAATGACAAATTTTTTCGAAAAATCGGAAAATTTATCATTTGTTTGACAAAATTCACTCCACCGATGGTCGTATTTAATTGAAATACATTTTTTCCACATTACCATTTAATAGATTTCAAATTTCTCAACAAATTCGAAAAGTTACAGACCAAACTATGATTCTTCCACGATTTTTCATACAAAAAATGCTATAAAGTTTAGTTTGGTCTGTATTGTCATTTTTTGTATGGAAGGTCTTAATTATTTTTCCCGCAGTTTTTGGGCAATTTCATCAATAAATGATATCCATTACCAAAAATAATGAAATTGATAGTCTAGTCCATTTATAAAAACTTCAAATATTCTCATAAACATCATTTCATGAATATTTTTTTGTAAAATAACAGAATTAATGGGAAAAAACTGAAATTTCAATGCCGGTCCTAATTAAATTTCCATGACTGTATTTGTTCAACCCGATGCGACTGGCTGCTGTTAATTTGATTTTTATTCATTGTGCTGTGGAAAATTTTCCAGCGACGCCTCATGTGTCACCGTTCTGCAGTTTTCTCTCGCACTTTTTAATTTGAATTTTTCCATTATGAATATGCAATGAACGTGTGCGTGCATGCACACATTGAGTTCACATAAATGAACGGCACCACCGTCAGCACACATCCAAAGCCCTTTTAAAAAGTTTACACTCTGCATAGTTTACTCACCGAAAATCCTCCAGCTGTCTTAAAAACTCCGTGCGATTCAGCTTATTTGATTGCACACCATCCATTGGCTGTTTATTCAAAATGTCATCAACAAATATGGGCACATTGAGATCAGGAAACTCCGGCAGATTATTTAAAGCTTCATTGGTTACAGCGAATCGAGACGATAAATTTGATCTGCATAAGCAAAGTTTGCGGTGAGCGTTTTGTGTCGAGATTGGTTTGAAATTGTTGAAAAATTGTATACATTTACCTTAATGTGCTTCCGTTTGTGAATATGAAAAAGGCCACTTCCGATCGCTCCAGTTGAATTTGCGTTACCACTTTTCCCAATCCCGTTGCCAGTGTAACCTATGTATGTATGGGTTTTCGTGCAAAAGATGATTAAAAGTTTATCAAATCAAACAAAAAAAGAGTTCATTGAAAATCTCTCCATTGAGAGAATCCTTTTCAAGTATAAATCCGCCGTTTTATCGGTATTCATGAACCATAATTTGACTTAAACAAATTCACCATAGACGGTGTCACTTCGCGAGCATAACTCCATTCATAACACCGAAACTCGAGAGAAGCAGAACGGATGAACGATGATGAAATGTTTTATTCAAAATATACGAGGAAGAGATGTTATGCAACAAGTGGTTTCCGTTGATTGGATTTAAACAACCTGTTGGTTTATTATTACGATTTATATCTTGAATGCTTGTTTCATCGCCTTGGAAATGAATGTAGCGCATTTTGGATATAAATCACATAAAACTGCGATTGAAGATGGGGTATCATCGCATTTCAGCATCTAGAGTGTAATGATGAAAAACGCACTTCAATCCACATTCAATTTGTTGAAATCAACGCATTACATTCGCGATTTGCCCACTAAATTCGTGCAATTTTTCGAAGACTCACTTAACTTCGTGGAGTCGAAAGCTAATCTTCGAGTACTAAATGTCTCGACAACTAATTTATTGGCAATACATTTTCCGGGCTTTTTTTCCACCAATGCTCAATTTGGAAAATCACTAAGCATATCGAACATGTGAATGGTTTGGAGCGAAAATGTAATACAGAAAAGTTGAGCGGAAAAATGTCAAATGAAAAGGGATAGCTATATAGTTCACTATAGTTTACTATACAGTTTACTATATAGCTACACCTTTTCCGCTCATTCATCATCGACATTTTTCCGCTCAACTTTTCTGTATTACATTTTCGCTCCAAACCATTCATGTGATGCATACTGTGTGCATTAACCATTAAATATATTGACAGCGGAATATCGATTTAGAAGAATGGCATACAAATGGGAAAAATCTTCACTTGAAAAATAAGCTCATTTATTTCGCGTCGCGCATCCAACGAGAGATTTTAAGTCGCCAAAGTGTTAATAATGTGCATTCCAGTGCAGTACCAAGCTGGCTGACTGACGTGAGGAGACAAGTGTGCACGGAAATCGTTACGACATTTTGCGTGAACGAAATGAGCGAAGGCACGTTCGAGCGATATAAATTTTGATTAAACTAATTCTCCAGCAGTTTTCCGGCATTGGTTTTTTCTCTCTCTTTCTCTCTCTCTCTTGCTATATCAACAAGTCAACAACGCAAACACATGGACTGTAAACAAAACGACCAATATCGTTCAAATGACTTTTTCATTCCGTCCCATCAATTTGTCGTCTGTCGTGTGCGATGGTGAAAACAAGTATGTTTCTTCCATTTCTCCTTCTACTCATCTTCCTCTCTTATTGGTTTAATGCATCTTTTGTTTTCTCTCGATTTCGATAAGTTATGAAAATGACAAACAAAGCGTCCGTAAAATAGCCATATTTGACTTACCTGTGTTTCTGTGTCCGTGCTGTCTGCTTGATAAACGATTAACGAATGTAATGAAAGCGATGTCTGTACAATCAGTGCGAGTATTGGTATAAAAGGTAGTATTATCATCTGTTGTAGGTCGCAAAAATCGTGCGATGAAAAGAGAGAGAGAGAGAAAACGATTCAATTAGTCTTTCGAAATATATCGCAGGCCAGGAGATAAATGGAAAATTCAATAAAATGGCTTCGCAAAGTCTGGTGAGTGGTGATCTCGATGAAACTCCAATAGTTTCATTCCACTTCAATACGGTAAAATATTGCCGAACGTTTCCGGACGATTGCAATAAACTGTTTTATATCTGACCGTTAAATCGTCAGACAAACAAACTATGCGAACATTGAGCGAGGGGACGAGACTTTCAATGTTCAAACGAACTTTCAATCATGCTGAAAACCATTTCGTTGTCTCCAAACAACACACACTCGATGAAAATCCGATTAAGCGCTGTGGCGCAATATGCCTTTTTATTGCTGCCAAAGTTGATTCAAAATGAAGAAAATGAAAGGCGTCAATTTATTTTTGGTAGATTTATTCAAATGTTGTTCTTTTGAATGCTTGTGGTGATTTGGTGTGTGAATGTTCTTTCGATTGTGTGTCTGAGTGTGGAAGCGTGAAATTTGCGTGATGGTATCGAAGAAAATGTATGGAAACAGGCGAATGTTTGTCAAACATGAAGTTTGAACCGGCCAACGAGAACTTCTCGACGCAATAATTCAACTTGAATTTACGTGCGATTCAACTTACGTTTAGACAAACACTCAAATCAGCCGTCTAAACTTTAGAGCTAGCCAATTCGAGTTTCGCGTGTTTCACTTTTATTTCATTCAAGAAATTATCAAATCAGCCGTCTAAACTTTAGAGCTGGCCAATTCGAAGAGATTTCCTAAATGAAATATGCACAACTTGTGCTGATACTTGTGGAAACTTTCCGTGTATCGAGTATCAATGAGAACTCAGATTAAATTGCGCACAACTTGTACTGCCAATTAAAAAGGAACTGTCCTGTGCTGAGACTCACGAAGAACTGATTTCACTTTTTCCTTCTCTTCAAACTGTCGCCACATCGCAATACACTTACCTTTGTATTAGCGTCTTAGCATGAATGTTACTCACACAAACACACAACGAAATGTCAGTCAAGTCGCAGAACGCATTTGAAACGAGAGCAAATGTGAGTGCGTTCAGCGCTCGGTGATTTGACTGAACAATGCATGAGCAAACTAAATGAGCAAATTAAAAAAAAAATCAATGAAACAAACACGAAATTAAAATTAACAAAGAAAAAACTTAAAACTAATGCAAAAGTCCACGACAAGCGCAAAAAACCAAATCGATTTAAGTGAAATTCAATTTTTTTCCTTTCATTATTTTCGTTGCTCACCAATTTGGATTAGTCTCCAATGAAATTTATCGTAGAAACAAGTGAAAAAAAGATTAGTTTCTGCGGAGGAGTAGCATCAAAGAAGAAAAGTCGAAGAACTCGTTCAAAGTTTAATACGCTTTCCATGGCGACCGATTCATGCAGAGCTATGTTCGGGCACAAATACCACACAAAAACCACCTTCAGAACCATTTGATCATAGATTTCTATGAGTTTATCGAAATTTTACAAGAAATATTGACCAATTTTTTTGGAACAAATTCTGTAATTTTTGTATAATCACCATATCTATTGACTAGATCGAGAGGAGAGTATGTGAAAAAATTCTAATATATTTTGAAAGAGGAGAGTATGTTTTCTGATGATTCTGTTGGCGTTAAAGTAGAGTATGTTGTAGTACCATCTAGCCTCTGCGGTCTTCACGGTTTTCGCGCAACTGATAGGGGATAACAACATGGTGTCTTCGGCAAAGTTGTAGTACTCGAGGTCTTCTATAACAATGCTGAAGTCAGTTATCTCTTATCTCTTATCAGTTGCGCGCAAATCGCGCACATAAAAAAGCAAATTTTATATAGAACTTTTTTTTTCTTATCATTTTTCGCGCTTTTCGCGAAACTGATAAGAGATAAGAGATAACTGACTTCAGCAATTTTATAGAAGACCTCAAGTGCTACAACTTTGCCGAAGACACAAAGTTGTTATCTCTTATCAGTTCCGCGGAAACCGTGGAAAACCGCGAGGACCCGCCAAAAATGAACATACTCGCCTTTAACCATTTTTGAGTCGAAAGAAACTTACTCTTCTCTTTCATAACAAAGTCAGATGAACTTACTCTCCTCTCGATCTAGTCAATAGATATGTATTTCTAACTTCTTCTTAAAAATCATACAAATTCCCAAAATAATCTTTGATGCCAAGATTTTGTTTATCGCCCATATAGTGATAGCTGGTTTCGCTGTGTACCGCAAATACAGGCAAACGGCCACTTTTAAGAAGCATCGAGATACACACAGTAACAGGATGAATTATACCAACTAACGAAAAAAAAAACTCTATAAGTACCTGGCTTAGACCACGAGAAGTCCAACGGGCGTACACATATAAAAAAAGTCATGGATTAGGAAACAAGCCGAATACTCGCGAGAGACAGGCATAAAGATGAACATTCAATTTCATAGTTACATATAATTGCAAACAAAGTCCGAGCAAACTAACCCAAAATGATAAAATGGTATTTGTTCAGCTGTTTTTGGTTGTAATGTTTGTTTTTCCATCGGAATAAGTTTTGATTAATCAAGCACAATTTTGACATTGATAACGGTTAGACGTTAGTTTGAAACATATTAATGTCAAATTACTCAAACAGATAATTCCAACAATCATTCAAACAGTTTATCTCTCATTCTATCGGATGGTTCTTCATTGGACAGAGATTTATAAACTTTGATAATAATAATTTGGTGAATCGTACATTGGGGCGTTTATTTGTGAAATCCAATTGTGAATTGATGAATCGGTTTTATGTATTGATTTAATTTGAAGAGGATAAATATCATTCACGTGATTGTGATATCAAAAAAAGTTTCAATGTCTAGCAAAACCAACAAAGAAATTAAAGAATATGCTGTTGTGAAAAATTAGTGTGCTTATCACAAAAAAATCGTGTAGCATGTCGATGATTTTCTCTGTTTTTTTTTTCATCTGTGTGTCGCTCGGTTTTAAATATTTTCGCTCTTGGAAATAAGAAAACCAGTGTAAAAAAATGCAGAAGACTTGACTTCTAGAGAAAATAAACTTTCCATTTATTTTTAATTTCTAAAGTCAACAACGAACCTGTAGCAATTGAAATCGCCGTCCACTTTTTATTGCTGGATTCGTTGCATTTGAACTACAGCACGCCGTTGGTAAATCGCTCGTCGAAATATCCTCTGAACTAACGGATCGCATGGAAGATGTATCGTTGGCTGGTCCATTTCGTATGTTCAAGTTGCTTTGATTTTGTATCGTGCCTGGCGGGGCCTCCTTGCCTGGATTGCATTTTCCGTTCCACATTTTCGCTGCTCCTGCTTTCTTTTTTAAATGGGAAACCTTGTATTAAATATCGATTAATATTATTGGATCCAAATCAATGGGATATGCAGATATTCTCTTGTTTCTCCCTCCTCCACACTCCTTGGTGTTACATTAGAAAAATGTGATAAATTGGTGATTTATCGATGAATATCAAATGGCGTCAGTTAATTTGAAAGAGTTTTTTTCTATCGGTCTCTAGTGCATAGTAAACCTTCGATCGAATGTCAATTCTTTTTCTCTGGAATTCCCCACACATGATGAGTCGTAATTCAAGATGCGTTACTAATTATGTGTCGTTTGGTAATTTTTGTCAACTAACAACCAGTTGCAGGGCGGTAAAGTCAATTGATTTTTTAATAAATTAGAAATGGTATAATGATGGGTCGTTCATATGTACATGTTCAACCAACAAGCGTGATTCCAAAACATCATAGGAATAGTCTGCGTGGTGAGATCCACGTTCACTCACACACAATGAACATGATACAAGAGGGTTCTTTCTATAGTATTTGTGCTATTCTGCGAAACGAAACCGTATTCAGTGACTACGATGTGTGTATATCTATGTGACGACGGCGACGATAATAATGGCAACAATTATGGAGAGAGAGAGAAAAAAAAAATGTGGGTTGATCTAAATGATAACGACAACGGAAAAAATCATAACTGTCATCACTAATAAATGTTACGCTCATATCGTTTCAAATGGGACGGATTGAACGGGAAAAATCGAAACAAAAATCAAGCATGAAAAAATGCGATACATAATTATATTTCTGTCAGAAGCATTTTATTATCTGCAACTGGAAGCGTACGAGTTGGAAAATTTCCTCAGTTTTAATCAGAGTATATTTACAGATGGATTCATCATCGATAGATAAATTTATCAGATAAATCGTATGCGTTGCGTTGTTTTAACGCATTTGCAGTATAAAAACGAAGAGGAATTTATTAGAAAGGATTGGAATCCATTAGAAGGGATTGGATACCAATGGATCCCAATTCCATCCAATGAACTCCTCTTCGTTTTTATACTGCAAATGCGTTAGAACAACGCAACGCATACGATTTATCTGATAAATTTATCGCATAAATTCATCTATCGATGATGAATTCATCTGTAAGTATTCTCTGGTTTTAATTCGTTGGAAAGTATGCCTTCAGTCGAGCAGACAGAATCGAATTTACAATGCATACACACACATCAATAGTCATCGTCATTCCATTGACTGATTAAACTTTTCCTGAGAAAATTCATTGATGCGATGAATTAAAATCCAAACACGCTGTTTCCATTTGTAGAGCATCAAGTTCTTCGTTTTACTTTGCATTTGCCATTGAACCTTGGACAATTTATATAAGACTTGTGGATGTCTCTTGAATTTAAAATAAAAGATCTACTTTCATCTTCACCGCTTGTTAGCACCAAATATTGATTAATGATTACAGAAAAAACGACGCTGAAATTCGAACTGTATTCGCACAAATAAAACGTAGAAAAACTCGATGTAAATTCGAATTACGCGTATAAATAAATATTGTTAATTCAATTATCGAAAAGTGTTGTGTATTTTGCACATGGATGTCCCACCACCGAGCAGACAAGAAGACGATGAAGAAAAAAAAACACAAAGACATGTTATTTATTCGAGTTTACATCTCGTTTACTTCACGTTAATTTTCACAGCCATTCATGAACAGAGGCAGCAATGAGACTTGATATAGTCGACTTTGAGTGTAAAAGCGTGCACATTTGATAGAAACTGTCTGTCCAAATCACATGTGATTAATTTCAATCAAGTGGATATACACGCAAGCCTTGGGTATTGGATGTTTACATTAATTTGGGAAAATCTAGTTCAATCTCACGCATAAACACACTACGAGCGAAAACTACACGTAATCCGTAAGTTTTGCTATTTCGAGCAAAAATTTTTGTTTGGCAAACAAACGGATTAAAGACAAACAAACGATGGATGCGAGAAACCCCTTTCACCAAAGCAATAGTTATTTCTTTCGCCCCAAGAGAATGCAAAGAACACTCTCATTGCGAACGAAAAATGAGAAGAAGAAAATATCTGCCTCCTCTTTTCTTTCTCCCTCTTGTTCATGAGTGAAATGAACTGTTATTTATTACATTCACATATTTTTTGATATCAACACCATCATAAATTCTAGTGATGCAATTTGGCTGTTGTGCAGGTGTAATTATTCAATTTATACGTTTGATTAATTCTGAATAGAATATTGCGCCAGATTGAAGTTTAAATGGTCAAATATCTCGAAAATCACAAATTCAATAGCACATTTACTCACTCGAATAATACCCGTTGAACTAATGAAAAATAGCTCGCTTGCCTCTCACTCTCTGTCTCTATCTCTGTCGCTCTATTTAGCTCGCCTCGGCGTGTAACAGCAGCACAATTGAAAAATGTATGAAGTCAATAAAAATAATGAACGCTATTGAAATACACAATACAAATCACAAAACGGTTCACTGTTGATAATGCGCCTTTTTTGCTCGTTTCGGGGTTACAAACTTTAATCCATTGTGAACGCAGCCGTTGCATCTCTTGATTTCAATCGTTCGCTACAATTTTCACTTGAAAACACACACACACACAGAGAGAGAGAGAAAAACAATCACTCATATGAACAATAGCGCGCGCTCTATTTTTATCAAATATTTTGTTTGTGCAATCACACAAAAAACTTGAGACAATTTAAGTTTATGATTAATGACGTATAAATATGCCTATGACGCATTTCCATTCGACTTGAAATTCTGCAAGCTCAAATGTATTCCGTTTTCTTTTCTCTCGTCTTACGTTCACTTTGTTCTTTTGTCACGCGTTTGCCTTCGAAACATTTAAACTAAATTGATCAGAGTTCTAGTATACAAATGAATTTCACTAAATTCAATTCACCCTTTTATTGTGCCGAAATTACACATCAATTTCTTCGTCGTTCTGAGATTTAAAGCGGTTATTATGGTGTACAATGCCCAAGAATATGTTCTCTCTATGCGATTTCAAGTGATTCAACAGTTGTCTGTCAACAATTTCATTTGACTTTCGCGCCAGCGATACATATACACACGGTCAGTAGTTGGCTCTGCAAAATTATCCATCCGTTCGCAGCGAACATACAAAATCAACTGAAATTATGCGGTCTGTGATAAGCGAGTCTACTGTTTGAGATTCAAACTAATACTGTTCATACTCCAAGCGAATGTGATACGAGCAACGCAGCGCAGAACACCAAAGTTTCACATCACACAGCTTTCCTTCATCCACTTTTGCTCACAATGCCCATCACGGTATGCGTCTTTGTCTACTCCATGTAGAAGTGTACGGTGATCTCAGCGTATCAATTGCCTTGCAACTTCTTCTCCATTGCCATTGCAAATCGACTTTAGAACAGATTAATTTCGAACAAAGTGAAAAGTGCAATCTTCTGTGTTGAACAAATTCTCAATGGGCGATTTTAAATTATGCTGCGTTTATATTTCATTGTGTTCTCAATACTTTGTCAATTATAAGTATAATGGCACACTCGTATGTTTATTCTGCCATTGAATGTGGCTACTAGATGCTGTAGGCAAGATGATCTTCTCTTTGCAATATTTCGATTTAAATTTGTTTCTACCGCATTATTCATGCCTGGAATACAAATGGCAACAAGTTTGATCTATCAAACTTTCTAATAATTTAGACAGGAAGCCTATGTTGCAAATAGCAAAGTGAACTCATAGCATCTGTCTATTTTCTAATGCTATTTTAAGCTAGAGGTTTTAATTTATCACGCACGTCTGCTTTTGAGCGACACAATTTGGATGTGATTTTGAATTCATCAATTGCTTGCATGCAATGATTACTTCGTTATAAGTTTAACGATGCATTTTAGAATTGGTACTGAGGTAAACAAAGTTGGACAAACACTTGAATATTTTGAATTTTTCGTTCAAAGATAACTAGAAATTCTTGTTGAGGGTTTATCAATTTCAGATTTGATGATAAAAATTGTAATAATGCGTCGAATTGATACGTAAAAATGGAACAGAGCCCTGTTCGAACCATCTTGAGTTTCACAGACTAAAGTTATAATGAAAGGTTAAAGTAATGACCATTGACCACTGCAGAAACCATCCACGTGATAATAGTTCAGTGTCATTCTGTTGATACGATATAAACTAGCAACAGCGTATGAAAATTGGGTTATTCTGATCAATTGTCGGAATAGCAAATGAAATAAATAAAATTCAAGGGGAGGATAAACAAAGCCGCAATGAACTTTCCGTAGAAAATTATATGATATAGACGAATGCCGCACCTTACAAATTCAACCAAGCACTTTGATGGATCACACAATGTTCACAACGTTAGCACGAGACGACCATGCATATTCACATTCAAAAGTTCAACTATTGTGTTGGAACAGCGTGTGTAATTAATAACACTCAATTAGTAAGGTACACAGTTTTCTATTGATTTTCACTTCTTTGCTACTTATTATTCACTAAACTTGTGCCGCTTGTAAAATTTATTACGCGAATTACCGTTCGACGACAGAGAGCTAATTTCTGTTCTGTTGGTTTCTCTTTCGATTAGCTCATCATTAGCAATAATTAGAGCATTCGTAAAGACCAACAATTTGACATTTTGCAAATAATCACCCATTTTTCTTTTCGTTCGATTCCTACTACACATTAACTCGCCATCATTAGATAGTGAAGTAAACAAAACTGCGCAGTTAATTCAAATTTTCTTGAACTTATAATTTCATTCAATAAAATTTGAATTTCAGAATTTTTCTCTTTATTTATTGAACATATTCATGCGGACGGAGGTGATAATCAAACTCAATCGAAATAAACAAATGGAATTTTGGTATTAACCCATATTTTATTCAATTGACGTCTATATAGCATTTTCGGATTGAGATTAGCTGGTTTTTGGCAAAACAATGGTCGAAGGATCAAATTATATTACTTAAACCACACGTTCGAAAAGTTGTTCTGAATAAGCTCAAGATTGGCCTCGATGAAACATAGACATTGCAAAATAAATTATTGCTCTCTTCTCGTTGTCGCACTACTCATTTCCATAAACCATACACAATATTGAATGACAAAAATAATTACGCATAAAGTATCAAATATCCAAGGCATAGAATTCATTTGAATTGAAGCACAGCATCATTCATCGTATCCACATAATGAATTTCATGATTATGCAATTATTTCGGAAAATCCAATTGAAGAATGTGAAAAGAATTTCAGCTGGTGTCATCGCACCTATGCACACAAATCCACTGGTGTGATTAATTTATAAATGATTCTTTTCAACAAATGGAAAAAGAAACGCTAACATAATATTTGGATACTCATAAACACGTTTTCCATTCACATCAAACTGCCATGTCGGTGTGTTGAGTTAATTAAATCAACATTTATCATTTATCTAAAGTAAAACTTAAAAACCAATTCTGCAATAAAATTGTCATGTCACACAAACAACTGCACTTGGAAAATTGCAATCCTAACGTAGAAGAATAATAAAATTGTATATTGTGTGTTGTACGCTCAGACCAGAAAATTATCAAGTGCCATGCAAACCACAAAGTGGATAGTACGTATATAAAGTGCAGTAAACAATGTATTTATGCCGAACAAGTTGATGGAAAACTTTTTTAATTATGTCTTCGGTGTATTCAACTTCACTTCAATACATTAGGTGAAATTATTTCTTACGCTTTAAAATGAAAAAAAAAAAATGCGCAAAATGCCGAGAGCTATGTGAATTATGCAAATTTTCCGATTATTCGCCATCAACGAAGTATATTCAAGTAAATGGAACAACGACACATAAACACATAATCTGATAAAATGAATGAATACACAGAAAGCTTCTACATATTGATGGAGGTTATGGACATTCATTCGGGTCAGATGCCCATAAAATCTCAATTTTTGGTATGAACATTGAACAGATATTTCTAACGGCTGATAATTATTATTTATTTTAACAACACATATGAATGTACGATTTCAAAAGAATTCCTATATTCTGTACAAAAATGACATCATCTCCAATTTCTCCTTCATTTAAACGGCTCTTTTGAAAACATCGTAACGCTTAGACTGCGGCTATGATGTTTTTTTGTCATAAACTTCTGAGAGTGTAACAATTCCATGATAATGATTTAAAACACGTCAACAACATGAAGGCCATGAATAATAATAATGTAGTGGTGTACGGTACGTAACCACTCGCCGCATGCATTACACATG